CGTAGGAGGGTGGGTGGGGTAGGAGGGTGGTGGTGGTGGTGGTGGTGGTGGTGGTGGTGGTGGTGGTGGTGGTGGTGGTAGTGGTGGTGGTGGTGGTGGTAGTGGTGGTGGTAGTAGTGGTAGTGGTAGTGGTAGTACTACTACCATGTCAGTGCTGAAATAGTATTGGAATGTTAGAAACTTACCTTTGTCGATATTTTACAGAACTTAGTGGATTTGAAAACGAGTGCAGTGTTTTATTTTCGAGTGCGTGCCAAGAACTGACGCGCGCGGGGTACCTCAGAACGAGTGCGCGTCAGGTGTACACGCACGGACGGGACGACGCGATGTGGCGATTTCTTGCAGGGATCACGATTGACGCGTCAAAGCGCGTCTTCGTCATCGACCTTCCCCCGTCTGCATTGGTACATAATGCTTTCTCAGTACCTCCTACAGAAGAGAGGTTTTGTACCTATGTACGGGTGTATATTGTCGCCATTTAACATCCACTTCTAGGCACGCCTGAGCGGCACAGCCACGCATTTTGGTCAATCTATCGCTATGTCTTCAGACGCAGCTGTATCAACAGCGTTAACACCACCGACCTCGCCAGAAGATGGTCCTACAGAAGCCATGCAGAAAGAAGAGGCGCGCATGGCAGAGGCGCGCCACAAAGAGGAGCAGAAACGCGAGAAGAAATTGGCCGCAGATCGCGCGAAGGAGTTGAAAGGCGGGGGCGAGGCCGTCGATACCAAGTACAAGGCATTGGAGTATCTGCTGAGCCAAAGTAAGCTGTATAGCACCATTATGCTACAGCAGATGACACAGCAGGAAGAAGCGGCTGAGGCCAAGGACGAAAAGAGCAAAAAACGGGCGTTGAAGCGAGAAGAGACGGCCGAGAAGACTGCACAGGCCCAACAGACCAGAGCTACGAGAGCGTCAGCTACTGCCGATAGGGTATCCGAGGCGACCACCAAACAGCTGCCACGGAGAGGTCGTCCTGGCAATAAGACGAAAGGGGGAGGGAAGATCTCTGATTACATGAAGAAGGAAGACGTGCAGGCGAAGGCGGGACAAGCGTCCATCTCTGAGGCATTAGCCGAGGAAACAAAGGATGCCAACATACAAGCGGGCGATATAGGCATGCAAGACCTGCGATCTGCCAGGCAGCCCGATCTCGTCACCGGAGGACTGATGAGGACTTACCAGCTAGAGGGACTGGACTGGCTGACATCGCTCTATGAAAATGGGCTGAACGGGATCTTGGCCGACGAGATGGGCCTTGGTAAGACTCTGCAAACAATTGCATTCATTGCATTTCTTCGGGAAAGGGGCGTCAATGGACCATTCCTCATTGCTGCTCCGCTGAGCACGACAAGCAATTGGGTGGCAGAGTTCAAGAAATGGACTCCTAGCATACCCGTCGTGCTGTACCATGGCAGCAAGCAAGAACGAGAAGAAATTAGACGTACGAGACTCCGTAACCCCAGCAGTCAGGACTTTCCAGTTGTCTGTACGAGCTACGAGATCTGTATGAACGATCGCAAACACTTGGCGCATTTTGGCTGGAAGTTCATCATCATTGATGAAGGACATCGTCTCAAGAACCTGAACTGCCGACTGATCCGCGAGCTCCAATCATACCAGTCAGCCAATCGACTGCTCATCACAGGCACGCCGTTGCAGAACAATCTCACAGAATTGTGGTCATTGTTGCACTTTCTGATGCCGAGCATATTTGACAAGCTTGAATCGTTTGAATCCTGGTTCGACTTCTCTGCGTTGAAGGAGAAGGGTGGCTACGAGGAGATCTTGTCGAAAGATCGCCAGAAGAACTTAGTGACAAGCTTGCACGCCATCTTGAAGCCGTTCTTGCTTCGTCGTGTGAAAGCAGACGTGGAAAAATCTCTGCCAAAGAAGCGAGAATATGTCCTGTATGCTCCGTTGACCCAGACACAACGAGAGCTATACCACGAGATTTTGGAAGGCAACAGTCGATCATACTTGGAAAACAAGATTGTTGAAAGCTTGAGTGGCGCTTCCACTCCTGCAAGCGCAAGAAGTCGTAGCTTGAAGCGAAAAGCTGGCAGCGAGGCAGCAACTCCGAATAAGAGCGCGAAATCAAGTCGCGCTTCAACACCCGCTACAACCGATAGCGTTGGACCTCGATCCCGACGGGCGAAGAAGAAGCAGCAATACGAGGAAGTATCTGACTCACGGTACTTCAAGCAACTGGAGGAAGAAGACGACCAGATGAACGAAGAAGATGCCGAGTCGGAAGACGAAGCAGAAGTCGAACGTACGAAGACGTTATCCCTTGCCAAAAGAGAACTGGCAAACAAAAAGCTCCAGAACCCCGTTATGCAGCTTCGGCAATGTTGTAATTCACCACATAATTTCTTCTACCCCTTTGACCTCGACGACAACACCCCGGTGGACGAAACGTTGGTCACCGAATCCGGGAAAATGCTCCTCCTCGACCGTTTACTTCCCGAATTACTTCAACGAGGCCACAAAATCCTCATTTTCTCCCAGTTCAAGACACAACTTGATCTCCTCGAAACCTACTGCTCCGAGCTCCGCGGTTGGGCGACTTCACGCATCGACGGCTCAGTCGCACAGACCGACCGCCAACAACAAATTCTCGACTTCAACGACCCCAAAAGCGATACCAACATCTTCCTCCTGTCCACTCGTGCTGGTGGTCAAGGTATCAATCTCGCAGCGGCAGATACGGTACTGTTATTCGATAGTGATTGGAACCCCCAGCAGGATCTTCAAGCGCAAGATCGTGCGCATAGAATTGGCCAGACGAGACCTGTGATTGTGTATCGTTTCGCGACGAAGGGAACTGTGGAGCAGCAGCTGCTGGAGTCAGCAGATAGCAAGCGCAGATTGGAGAAGCTGGTGATTCAGAAGGGAAGATTTCGAAGTAATGTTGGTGGTGGTGGTGGTTCAGGCGGAGGAGCGGATTTTGCGGAATTGCAGAAGTTGCTCCAGCGCGATGATGGTGAGCGGATTGATGTCGCTGATGGCAAGGGGTTGCTGAGTGATAGGGATTTGGCAATCTTGACAGATCGGAGCGAAGAAGCGTTTGAACGTGCTGAAAAGGGAATAGATGTCATTGGTGATGTCTTCAAAGCGGTAGAGACCAAAAGAAACGGAGAGGGCGGATTGCTGGAGAGCCTGCAGAAGTAGAGGAAATGGGGCGAGGGAAGAGGTTGAATAATGCTGCCATCAGGGATACGCACGGGAAGCTGACTACTTGTATATATACCTTATCTTACCTACCCATGCACCATAACGCTCACTGCCCGAACGTGACATCTCCAAAGACCCTCCATGTACTTTAATTTTTTACAACCATGCTCAGCAGCCTATGCGATGTCGAAGAGAGGCTTCAATTGCTTCGCAATCAAAGTCCACTCATCCTTGCCGACTTCATCTCTGTAGAACTCCTTGAGCGTATCAATAGAAGCTCTCGAGATTTGTGAGAAGACCATGTCCTTTTCTTCCAATTGTCTCCCATAGCCAGGTTGATTGCTGCCTTCAATCTTGATGGCTACAGAAGGCGCGCCCTTTTTGCAGATTTCCAGCTGCTTGTGGTCACGTTCAATGGACACGACTCGGCCCATGGTGAAGATGTCCTTGACGCCAGTCACAGCATTGTGCTTGACGACAGCCACAGGCGTATGGAGACGCAAATTTCCTTCGATGACATCGACACCAAGGACGATAGGGTCTTTCTTGTTGAAGACGGCCACTGGCTTAAGTATGCAGGGAAAGACAGCAAGCATCTTGCTTTCTTCCTTCTTCTTTGCGGCAATCGCCTTCATGTGATCAGTGAAATTATCGAAGAGGTGATAGATGATGTCTGCTGTGAAGATTTTCACGCCCATCTGATCTGCCAACTCGTGTGCATCTTTGTCGACCTTGACATCGAAACACAACATGACCGCGTATTCCTTGGCCTTTTCCAACATGGTCGAAGCTGTGATAACATCGCGCTTGTGTACCGGGCCAATGGAAATATTCGCCACGGGAATCTTGGACACGCGAAGGAACTCGAGCAACGCTTCAAGAGAACCAAGAGTGGATGCTTGGACAGTGACACCACGACCGGTCTTGGATATACGAGACATGAGATTCTCGAGATCACCCATGACCTCCTCCTCAAGATCGTCTTGTTCGTCCTCGTCATTCTTGTCTTTCATTACAAGGAGGCGAGATCCTGCAATGGCCGTGTCAAGACCATTGGCGGCAATCTTGACACCAATAGCCGCCTTGACTTGTTTATTGTGGACATATTGCGACTTGATACGCAACTCCTTCATCTCAGCGGGCGTGAGAAGTGCTCGGATATCAGTGCAGATAGGTCCATCCGTACCGCAAAGTACGATTCTGTCGCCTTCGTTGAGGATACCATTAGACAACACCACATCGATTGTAGTTCCGAGGCCCTCAATAACCTTGACTTCCAAGATTGTAGCCTCCACCTCGGTCAAGTACATGAGCTGCTTTGTCATGCGTTCTTGAGTGAGTGTAATGAGGAGCTTGAGCATATCCGGGATACCCTCACCAGTGTGAGCGGAGGTCGGGACAAGCGAGACAAACTTAGCCATGGACTTATTCTCGTAGTAGAGCTCGGCATTGAAGCCTTGCTCAGCGAATGCAAGTTTGGTTTTCTCCAGCCTGTCGTAAAATTCGTTCTGGACACTAGATTTCTGGAGGCTGAGTGAGTCGCGGAAACCGTTGTTGGAGATGGCTTTCCACCCATAGAGACGATCAATCTTGTTCAAAGCAACGATGAAAGGCGTTTTGCGGTCACGAAGGAGCTTCATGGATTCTAGAGTCTGGGGTTCAAGACCGTGCATGATGTCGACCACCAAGATAGCGATGTTGCAGAGCGAAGAACCACGGGATCGGAGATTGGTGAAAGACTCGTGCCCTGGCGTGTCGATGACCAGAAGACCTGGTACCTTGAACTCAAAAGCGCCATCTTGGTTGACAATGTTGGTCTTCTTCTGCAGTGCGTCGACGGGAAAGTATGTAGCACCAATCTGCTGCGTGATACCACCAGCTTCGCCTTCCTGGACGTTCGTTTGGCGGACCTTGTCAAGAAGTTTGGTCTTTCCAGTATCGACATGACCAAGAATGCAGCAAATCGGCGAGCGCAGGTTGTCCTTGGAGCCAGCAGCAAGAGCAGCCTCACGCTCCCTCTCTCGTTTCTCCTGGGCCTGCTTTCGTCTTTGCTCTGCTTGCCGTTTCGCCGCTGTCAAGGCTTCATCATCCGATGAGTCGTCCGAGTCTGAGTCTTCCTCTTCCGAACTCGATTCTTCCTCAACGGCTTTCGTCGCTCCATTCGTTTTGGTTGCGTTCTCTTTGCCGTTGACTGCAGCTTTCGTCTTCTCCTCATCATCTGATTGTGCGTCCCAACTATCTTTGACGCCGCTTTCCTCCGCTTCTGCCATGGCCTCCCAATCTTCTAGCTCATCCTCGGACTCTCCCTTCTTGGCTTCGGCGTCGAGTCTGGCCTTTTCGGCCTCTTCCTTCAGCTTCTTCTCCTGCTCCTCCTTTAGTCTGAGCTCTTCCATCTTCTTGCGTGCTTCCTCTGCCTCGCGAGCCTGCTCTGCCTTCTTCCGCTCCTCGGCCTCTTTACGCGGGTTCTTCTTGCGCTGGTCCTTGACAGATGGCTTCTTGACCTCCGCATCGCCCTCCAGTGCAGCAACCTTGACGCCGCTCTCCAACATCTGCTGTAATCGCAGCTTCTGGCGTGCCTCGTCTTGACGTTGCTTGTCCGTCTTGTAGGTGCCAGCCTTCTTCATCTCTTCGATCTTTGCCTTCTCCTTGGCCTTTTTAGCTGCTTTGGCTTCCTCTCTCGCCTTCTCCTCTTCCTCAAGACGCTTGCGCTCATCTTCGTCGCGCTTAGCTAGTTCCTCGCGCTCACGCTGCTCTTCTTCCTGTTTCCTGCGCAGCTCCTCCTGCTGCTTTTGGAGTGCTGCAAGCGCCGGATTGAGCTTCTTCTTCTTACCACCAGCAGCTGCAGGCTCCAAAGTGGGAGCGGGAGCCACATCTGCCTTCTTCTCTTCCTGCTTTGTTGGTGCTGGAGCAGCCTTCTTTTTTGCAGCCGCCTGCTCCTTTTTGCGCGCTTTCTCACGCTCCTTCTTCTCCTTCTCCTTCTGCGCCTTAGTTTTGATCACGCCACCCTCTTCCTCATTATCATCGTCCTTTGCAGGTTCTAGGTCGGCTTTCTTCTGCTGGGCGCCTTTGCCACCTTTCTTGCCCTTTGCAGGCTGCCCGAATACATCTTCGTCGTCCATGTTGGCCTCCTCTGGCGCCTTGGCAGCAAGATCCACCGCAGGCGCAGAAGGAACTCCTTCGCCATCCTGTGTCGGGTCTTCGCCATCAAGGAAGTCATTGTCGGCAACCTTGCCCTTCTTCTTACGCTTCTCGCGGTTCTTTTTCAGCATGGCCATCAAGCCGCCGCCGCCGCCAGTCTCCTCGTCCTCAGCAGCATCGGCAGCTTTGGCTTCCTGCTCTGCCTGTGCGATTGGGTCGGCACTCTCGCCGAGACCTTCGTCCCAGTCGTCGCCGCCCTTCTTTCCTTTTTTGCCCTTGGGTGCCATGACTACTTTGTATGTGGTGCACAACTGATATGATGGACGAGTGAAGTGACAGGAAACCGCAGTCTGTGTGGCGAATGGTATTTGTGCGTGGGTGTCCTTAGTGGGGAATGTACTCAGCTGTTAGTGCTGTGGGGGAGAAGCGGTTTGGGAGGTGGGTCAGGGTTGAGGGAATCTTCTCGCATGCTAGAATGAAGACGGCGGATGTGCGAAGTGGCACTCGTGGGCACAGTCAAATGATGACGGGAGAGTTGTTGCTGCCGCAGAGGTGTGGAAATGGCAGCAGATTTGGAAGCGTGGTGGGGTGGGGTCATACTGGCGATATGATCACCATGTCTTGGCTCTGGCTCGATCCGACGGAGGAAAGAACAATCGGAAACACTTTTCTTTGACTCGACTCAATCCTACAACATATGATGGGAGTATCGCGCACACATGCACGTGTGAACGCGTCCATTGGAACCTCAGGTATAGTGACTGTTGCGCACCAGAAGAAACACGAGGCGCGAAGCTTAGGCACTTCTTTCTCGCCTGCTACAGGTATTTCATGTCATATCATCTCGTGCAATGAAACACAGGCGAGACCTACGCTCTGAAAAACATGCGTGCCATCTGCTCCGCTGCTTCGTCTGCTGCATCTTCTCCCTTTGGTTTGTCGCCAGCGTTTGACACCGGACTGCCATGCGCAAAAAACAAGATCTTGATGGCGATAGCAAACCCCGCATGCAGCGCCAGGACTACAATGAGCAATACCTTGGACCTTTTTGCGTCGATCGCAGATACGATAGGGTAAAGATTCCTCGTCAAGAATACAGCCGAGAATGCGAGTCCGACTGCAGTAAACGCGTAGTTCAGAGCTATCGTACGCCGTTAGTACATCCCGCCCGTGCAAACTCAGCGATAGTATACGTGACTTACCAGTTAAAGGACTCCAGCTGACCAGTGCCACGACAATCCATATCAGATTCGCATATCCATAGAGCGCCCAGCACTCGAGGAGGTTGGCACTTTCACTCCCACTCCACTTCAGTACTCCCCATAGTCCCAAAGGCACAAATATGGTATAGCCATAGACCAATCCCGCAGCTCCTGATAGCAAGCTAAAATCATATGCAAAGTGTCCCTTGCCCTGATAAGCCAGGTACTGACTGATTGTTCCTGTGAGGAAGAGGATCACCACGACCGTTGTTGCAATCCAGAAAGGTCCATAGAGATCTGGGTTGCCTTCGAGAACATCGAGGAAATTCGTGCGAGGGTAGAGAGCGCTACGGCAGCGGTGGAGGACGGATGAGGTGTCCACATCGAAGAACTGTTGATAGAATTGGATAGACCAGAGATAGCGTTTGGAGGACGCTGGGCCCGTGTTTGACGACGACGGGAATGCGCCGGTCTGGCTCGCGTCGGGCTGTATCTTTGTACGGGCGTTGGTGTTCTGGTCGAACGCTGCGTCACGAATCAGAGGAGTAGCGGAGCAATGCTCGAATGGGAGGCATACTGGAGTTATGGAACTCGAGGTCATCATTCAGGTCGGTATGTCCAAGGTCTCCCTAGGCCTGGTCAGCATGTATGTAGCGTAAACCGCTATGTGAGGCATAACACATACCTCTGCATCAACATCGACGACGACATCATACCCTCCCCGAGCAGCCATTATCAGTCGAATGGTATTGTTGGCAAGCTCGTGTTGCTGCTGTCGCAGTTACAGTCGAGCTCTACGATGGATTCCAAGTCGCGACGTAGCAGTCGCGTGTTGTAAGTTCCAAGTTCGTCACGTGAATTGATCAGTCAGCAAAATTTGGAGCGTAGACAATGTAGACGAAATATATAAAACTGCAGTCACCTTCTATAGCCATCCTTAGGTTTAGTCTATCCGTACCTGCCTTGTCTAGCATATAGGAGGACGTGTTTAATAGTTATTACTAGGGCCAAAACGTATCGGAGGGGGGAGAGGGTGGGGGTGGTGATGGCTTCTTCCTAGGTTCAGGTATATCGATGTGGTTGTTTGTGTAAGATACTATCTCAACCTAAGCACATCGCAGCGACATAACAGGTACAGTGTTACTTCATGTTCAGAACGGCATTCATAAGAGGTAATGCGGCTTGTTCAAGGTTCGCATTCAACAATACATACAAGGTCCCAACAGCCTTCTTTAAACCTTCACGCTCCCTTCCCTCCTCCCTCGGCGTTCACGTCTGAAGCAGCCAAATTCGCCCTTGGTACCTTCTCTCAACTTCTTCAAGATACTTCGCATCTCTGGTAACTCACCCTGGAGTTTGGCCCTTGCATCATTATCCGTACGTTCATCCAGCGCGAGATAGATTTGGCTTTGGACTTCGCTCGCTTTGTCCGTAGTATAATGGTTCAACGTCTGCGCCATGAACTCTACGTCAAGCGTAGCCTGCATCAAGGCTGGTAGGGTGTAATGCGATCGCAGCTTGAAAGCACTGATCAGGGCTAGGGAGCATTGTTCGAGCATGTAACTCAAGATCTGGTTTGTAAGAGTACTCGTCGTGGCCGACGTGACTTCGGCGTGGACGAGAACGAGTACAATGAGCACATCGTAGACGTAAGCACGGGCTTCCGTTGGACGAGGCGTCGCAGGTTCCCAGTCTTTGGCCGTAATTCCTTCTGTTATGGTGACATTGAGATTGTCGACCAGTGGCTTGACATAGGATTGGAATAAGCGAGCATCTATTTGTGCCAACACGTCTCTGATGGTCTTGCTTTCTTCGGTGAGTTTGACGCTGAATGACGACTCGAATTGCGATATGAGCTGTGGTATGACCTCGCTCCGGAGATGATTGAGGTTGGACAACGTGATGAGCATTCGCTCGTTGCGGTTGGAGGCATTCAGGGCTTCTGATCCGAGAGCGGCTGCTCCGTCAACGTCGATCTGACGATAACGAGCAATCGTGATGCCGTCTGGGTCAGCATCTTCGTCGAGTCCAGCGCTGTCGAGCTCAAACTTTTCGGCATTATCGACCATGCCACTCATTCCTTTGTACAGACTTGTTACAAACGTGCTGCGCACAGCTTGCAGCAATTTTGCAGAAGGAGGCACGATCACGTCGCCACTCTTAGTGGACGCGTCAGAGACGTAAGCAATCTTCTGCACATTGCCGAGAACCTTGTCGAACCAAGCCTCGAAATAGTTGGGTAACAGGGTGAGGTCTCTGCGATCAGCGCTCCTTGTCCAGCTCTCGAGCACTTTACACCTTTCGGCATCACTGCTCCAACTCGCACAAATGCACGTGATGCAACGCTCCCGTGCTGACACTAGAGTGTTCTTCAGCTTCTCCGGTTCATTAGACATTTTGATTGTGCTCAGAGCTGCCATTTCACCAAAAGCGGTACCAGTAATGGCCACAAGCCTGGCCAAGTAGAGGGAGCTGGAGAGCGAATTAGCGCCGGGGGGCCAGAAGGCATACGTCTCCCACGCATTGCCGGACTTAGGAGCAGGCGGAGGGAGGTTCAGCGGATCGAACGAAAAGTTTGGCCTCACGCCAGATATCGGGGTTTTTGTGTCAGGAGTGATTGGCGTGGGCGGTATTGGACTGTATAGATCACTAATGTCGTCCACTGGAGCATCCTGGAAGAATGCGTTTACGCTGTCTCGCAGCAGGCCAACCATTTCAAGAGCATGCTGACGGATAGAATCAATATGCTCCTGTGATAACTGCAGATTCGTGTAGTCTTGCATCGCAAAGACTGCGGTGGGAAATGATTTTTGAGCCTTGTTGTCAATGAACGACTGCGCACTTTCGTGCCAGTCAAGCAGATCCCCTACAATGCCGGTTTGCGGTGACAGTAGATTTGCTAGGGAGCTTTGCACCTTTTCCCAAAAGAGAAGGACGTTCTCCATATCAAGGTCGCGCGTAGCATAACTCGTCAGGCGCAAGGATCCGCTGCTGGCAGAGGCTGCACGAAGGTGTTTGGCCAAGGCAAGGTTGTCTACTTCCATATTCGCGGCCAGTTTGCGGCGCTGTATCTCGATCTCTATCCGGCTTCGTTCGAATGATCGAGCTATCCTATCCTTCAGGTAGAGATGGCGACTGTCGAGCCACACCCAGATTGGGTTTTCCTCGGCACCAAGTTGGAGGAGCACGGCAATGAGGTCCATGTGCAGCTCTCGATCATTCTCATCAGCCACGCTAGCTGGCTTCCGGCCATGCGAGTTTTTGAGTCGCCGCCAAATGGTCTGTTTGAAGCGGTCTACTTGCTCACTTACGGCATGCCACATCCTCGCAGTCACAATAATTTGCTGCGCATCGGCATCTCCTAACTCCACTTGATTATCTTCTGCGATTGCAGCGATTTCTCGAGCCTTGTCAGCGTGTTGTTTTGCCTCTTTGTAAGCAGCCACCACCGCGTCGTAGTCATTCTTCATAACAGCTTCGTGAACGGTTCCAGGAAGGCGGAAGATGTCGCGATGCTGGTCCAGTGAGCGTATGACGGACTTCAGCGTCTCCTCCTTTTCGTGCCCACCCAAGGCAGGGCCCCAGACCTCCTCGGCTTTGATGGCGAGTTCCTGAAGCGGACCCTTGATACCTTGCACTCCATACTCTGACTCTTTGGTCAAAGCCGTCTTTTTCTTGTCAATGGGCGGGATCTTGGCCTGGCTGCCAAACGGACCACTGGTGTTTCTAAAGTGACTCTGGCCCTTGCTCGTCTGACGCGAGTGTGGTCTCAAGTTGGAGCCAGCCTGTGGCATCTGCGACAGTCGCGTGGGCTCGACACCCTGCGTCCTCATCTCGGTATAGACAGTATCGATGGTTGCTTTGGCGCGCACGAAGCGCTCAAAGTTGCTCTCCACCAGGACCTTCAGACTCGCCGACTTTTGCTCGATGCTCCTGCTGAGAAAGTCAAGGCCTCGGAGCAGATCCTCGGTACTCGCCTGCTGGTGTACCTGCGACAAATACAGGGCGGGATTGAAAGTGGTGCTGGAGGTCATGAACTTGTTGCGCAAGGCGAGGTTGTCTTCCACGGGCAGGCCTCTCTTGCGCAGCTCTGCTGCAACTGAGGGCGCCATGCCCAGCGCGTCAGGCTCGTCCTTTTGCACGCCCACATCGCCGTTCGCGGTCTTGGTGGCGATGGGACCACTGAGACTGGCATGTCGGCCGATTCTCTCGAAGCGCGAATTGGGCGTGCTCTTGGACATTTTGCGGGCGTGGTTCGTGGATATGGACGTCTTTCGCGGGAGCTGTTCCGTCGCCGGGCGGCCATCGTCATGGTCATGGTCGTCGTCGTCGTAGTCGTCATGGTCGTTGTCGTCGTCCTGATGCGGCCATTCGGTCGGGTATAGTGATGTGAGCTTGTACTTGTTGAGCAGCTCGCGCTCCGTGTCGGCCGAGATGGGCATGTTACAAGGTAGCGTTCTTGTTGATGTAGGAAAGAGAAGCCGGCTCTACCACACTCCCGCATTACATGCTGTGCCGGACCAGACCTGGAAGCATTGGAAGACGTGAAGTGAGTGGGTGTATACAAGGCGCGTGGCTCGAGTCAGGTTCCAGGGTGGGTGAATACATCGGAGCAAAGTCAAGCCGACGGAGGCACGGCCTTTCGGGTCTTTACCACTACAACCCGGAGGTCCCTACAGGTATAGGTAGGTATATATAAGGTAAGGTCAGGTATGGTGCATCTGGAATGCAAGATGGCTTATAGATAATTCCATCTCTACAGCTTGGGTACTTTTATACCATTCAGTACATGTAGGAGGTAGTAGAGTATAGCATCGCTCGGGAGTAGTCCTACATGTGAGTGATCCGCCGACGAGTAGTTCTCGGTCGTAATGCCTCCTAGTACCTTAAGTTGGTTCTGCTAGTGAAGTACCGCCGTCTCTATCCGAGCCTTCACCATCCGCATATGCACGAAGTCTGCTCGTAGCTTTACTCTTGCTCTGCTCTGCTTTGCTTTTCACCACAACCACCACACCCACCACCACCACCACCTCCTCCTCCCTATCGCCCTCCACAGACCTCGCTGGTCTGCACACTCGCCCGCTCCTCCACCCGATTCAGCACAGTCGCGTCAAGTGACTGATCTTCCATTGCGCACTCGCAAGGATGTTGGCGAGGGGGATCCGAGCTGCGGCATCGCGGCACTGCATGAACACTGCGCGCCCAACTTTTGCCCAGGTATGCTGCCGCTGCTGATGCACGGCTGCAGAGAATACACAAAGGACAACACGCTGATGGACACCGGTGCAGTTCGCTCCACGAAGCTATGCCACGGCAGCAGCGGATAGAATTGCCAAGTTCCCCGGCCAGAAAGGATCAGATGTACGTCGATTTGCTTCTTGAGATCATGCTTCGAGACGCCGGAGGGTCCATACCTGATGGAATATGAACATACTCGTGCTGATATGTGGGAAATACACAGGGCAAGTACACAGTATCCCTCATTGAGGGTGACGGTATCGGACCAGAAATCTCGCAATCTGTCAAGGACATCTACAGCGCAGCCAATGTGCCCATCAAGTGGGAACCGGTCGACGTAACGCCCATTCTCAAGGACGGCAAGACTGCCATTCCCGACGAGGCCATCGACTCCATCACCCGAAACTACGTTGCCCTTAAGGGTCCGCTGGCCACTCCCATCGGCAAAGGCCACGTCTCACTCAACTTGACCCTGCGAAGGACCTTCAACCTGTTCGCGAACGTGAGACCGTGCAAGAGCATCGCTGGCTACAAGACTCCTTACGACAATGTGGACGTGCATCTCATTCGTGAGAACACGGAGGGAGAGTACTCGGGTATCGAGCACGTCGTGGTTGATGGTGTCGTGCAGTCCATCAAGCTCATCACCCGTGAGGCTTCCGAGCGCGTCCTCCGCTTCGCCTTCCAATACGCTCAAGACATTGGCAGACCAAAGGTCCGCGTGGTACACAAGGCCACAATCATGAAGATGTCCGACGGCTTGTTCCTCAGCCTCGCCAACGAAATCGCAAAAGAGTTTCCCAACATTGACTTTGATGCCGAGATGCTGGACAACACCTGCTTAAAAATGGTCACTGACCCAGCCCCATATAACGACAAGGTCCTCGTCATGCCCAACTTGTATGGAGACATTCTCTCCGACATGTGCGCTGGTCTGATCGGTGGTCTTGGTCTGACCCCTTCTGGAAACATTGGAGACGAGTGCTCCATCTTCGAAGCTGTGCACGGCTCCGCACCTGATATCGCCGGACAGGGTCTTGCCAACCCCACTGCTCTTCTTCTATCCTCCATCATGATGCTGCAACACATGGGTCTGACTGAGCACTCCGCGCAAATCCAAAAGGCCATTTTCAAGACGCTGGCCGAAGGAAAATACTTGACTGGTGATCTTGGTGGAAAGGCCAAGACGCACGAATACGCCGATGCCATTATCAAGAACTTGTAGATATGATGCGGAAATAAGACGAAGACGTGATCACCCTCCCAGCATTGCGGTCAATAGAAGCTGCGGTCAATAGAAGCTGCGGTCAATAGAAGCTTCGGCCAACCAGCATATGGCTTTGGCGTTTTGATGTATGATATGCTTTGTCCTACCGAATGCAAATACGGTTCAAAAGAATAGTTCTTTCTGGAATAGTGGAACTCCCAACCTGACCGAGACCACTGCTGGAAGCAAGCCGGCGACAGCTGAAGCTCACAGTAAGTTTCCACACGCGATTTGATAGTCATGTCAGATTACTACTGGAATCACGTGTGGTCAAGAACAAAAAGTTCCAGTAGGGAAGGACATTCCAAGAGAAGATATATGTGTCCGCCGTCACATACAAACCACCTAATGTACTTATTGACATTTTGGATACGCATATAGAGGCATCGAACATGCAAGAACTCGCTGAAGATTGGCATAAGCATGAATTCCGGACATCGTGACTGGCAGCCTCCGTGAACCAGGCAAGGAGACCGATAAGCTCTGGTCACCGATATGCGTCTGGAGCGAGACGATTCTGACTTTTCGGGAAGTTTTCAAGTGGAAAGCGATGTATGATGAGAGACACAAGAAAAGACAAGTATCTTGAAGAAATCGAGACTTTTCTCATCAATCGCCACTCCATACACAAGAATCAAGACTACCTCTCCTAAAGGCAAAGACAGGTCACGGCACCGAACTCGATCCTTTCCATCTTCACCACCACCACCACCACCCCTAGTGTTCGCACCACAACTCCCAACCCCTTTCCGTTCCCCATTTCTCCAACCACTTCCAACTCCAAACCTCCCCTCCACAAACCCAAAGTACATGTAGTACTAATCAATCTACAAAATCTACATCCAAGCAAGCATCCATCCATTGCCCCCCAAATCAGCAAATAATTCTTCTTTTGTCCCGTGCCCAACACACAATACAATACACAAGGTATAACAGAACAAGGTGGGTTAAAAAAAAAGAAACTTACACAGCAAACTTCGGAAGCGCTATCGACTTGCTGCAACGAACAATCCACATAGCAAGAATTTCCGCCGTTGATGGTGATGCGCTTGGAACCGACTTCGTAGCAGGTACCACAGCCGATTGCGCGGCGCTCGAGAGGGACGAGGCCGGCGGTTGATAGGCTGAGCAGCATGCTCGAGAGGAGGAGGGTGAGGAGTTGAGAAGGCATGGTTTTGTTTTTGTTCTTGTTTGGTTTTTCTTGAGGAGGAAGATGAGAGGATCTTCGAGGTGTTGTTGTTGTTGGTGATTGGGATGGAGGATGGGATTGTGTGGGAGAGAGAGAGATTTGAAGGGTGTCGCCAGCTTGATCTTTTATATATACCTTACATACCTTACATACTTTACCTTACCTTACCATCTTTGCTCACTACTATTACTTACAATCGCTACGTATCCACTCATCGATTCCAAAATATCTCATTCCCTTTGTCGCATTTCCCGAAGCTAGAAGAACTGGCGTGGCATGGCATGTTGGCGACAGCGCAAGTCTCTCTGGGGGGGTGGCAGCATCAGAGACAAGAGTTGCCCGCCCCATTGCAGTCGCTGTCCCAGTTTCGCTGCTCGTCGTCGGCACTCGGAAGCGAGCGAGCGATCACGGTGAAACATGTCAGTCAGTCGGTCGGAGAGCGTGCGTGGACCCCAGACCCTCCGAATTGCGAAACAGCATAGCATACCTAAAGGCTAAAGGGTGTGATTGATCGGGTCGGTCGGGTGATTCCATAGAAGAAAAGTGTCGGCGAAAATAGAAGCGATTGGTTCGATTGAGAGGGGCTAAAACCAATGGTTCAGATGTTCGCACTTCGTGAGTCGCTAAGGTAGAGGCTTGTGAGAAGAGGGTTCTTCTTTTTTTTCCGATGGGAGAGAGAGAAAGAATGTCGACGCTTTTCTCGGAGAGCGGGCAACGGCTTGGGTGTTTCAAAGGAGACGCCAACTCTTTCCAAGTGATGGAATATTCCTCATGTCGGCTGCTCACATCCACGTCTGGTCTCAGATCTTGCTATTCAGTCTTGAGGTTTTCACAGGGCCTGACGTATACCGTGAGGCTAGAGGAGCTGCCAAGAGAGATGTTCTGAGGCGGAAGATATTCGGGCCCAGGCAAATTCCAGACACCGATGATAGATTCCCGGAAATCTGTCTTGCTTTGAATACCGACTGCCTATAGGGTAGTTGATGGGAATGAGCCCAAGGCTCTCTATCCACAAGGCTGCAAGGTTGAAAGGGGCGGGTCTCGATCTAGGCGCTTGCTTTTGATCTTGCTATAATCAAGTGTGTCCGCCAGTTACCATTGTCAAACTCGATCTACCTTATGCAGATGACTTCACAGGCTCTCTGCATCCATGAAGACCGATCCTACCTACGTGTAGGAGGTAGCTGGTCTACCGTCGATGGGTGGACGTCACTGGAGTCTCGAAAATACCATACTTGTGCTGCACCATAGCATTATTGCTACAGCACGAGACGAATGTACAGCGGCAATAGGAGGTAGTCAGCATCCCCTCTGCAAATTTGGGAAGCGAGCTCAAACCGAACGTCTTCGGTGCTACTACAGGTGCTATCAGTTCTCGGCGGCATCTGCAGCACAGACGATGGCGGGCGCGCTTCCGGATATCTGTCCCTCTTAGCTCGTTGTCTCGTGGCATCCATGGCGTCTCGGCAGCTCACGACAAGTCCATGTCGTCGCCGCCCTGGCCGCGCTTCTCGTGATCCGATACTCTCTTCTTGGTGGCGGACTTAGCATCCTCGATCCATTTGTCGTATGTGCCATCCTTGAGCTTCTTGCCAGCGACGCCCTTTGTTAGCTCCCCAATGAAGCCGACAAAATTGTGCCTCCGCAGCGCGTTCTCCCACTGCCAATCGCGTCTCTTCTGCTCTTCTCGTGCCAGCCATTCCTCATCGCCCACCTCTCTCGCTCTTGACCTCAAGTCCTCGCAAATGGCAAGCAGATTGAATCGAATCTCAGTCTGCGGGTATCGCTCAATTCGTCGCTGCAGCACAGGTATGACCGCATCTGAGAATATTTCCGGGGGACAGGCTCCTGCATCGCCGTGCCTGATCGGCGCTGGCTGCAAGCCGTCCAACTCGTAGAGTGTGCTGTTGATGCTCGTGTATGCAATGAAATGGTAGACATCATCGTCCGCGGTGGCAAGTCGTGTCTCGTCGGATACAAAAGGCGATGAGCGGGCGAAGGAGTTGTGGGTTTCTCTGATCAGGTCCGAGTTGGAGAGTGCCTCGCCCCGGAACTCAGCTGGGAAAGACGCCGTGAACTCCTTGAACTCCTTCAAGTTCTGCCCAATCTCGACTCCGCCGTCTTCCTTGTTGTCCTTGTTGAGGAGCACGCTAAGCAGAGCCTGTGTCCCGCATGCATTCTGAATCGTCTGCGCTGCAAACCACAGCGGCTCGTCCTGGTTTTCTAGTGCTGCATAGTCGAACTCGCCGTCACGAGGCGTGTCCCGCTTAGGCTTCTGGTCTGTCGGATACTTGAACAGGAAGATGACTCCGATGGGGTTCAGCTGTTGAAGTGCCTCTGGGTCGAGCGATATGAGCTCTTCGAACTGCACCTTCTGGACACCCAGGGACTCGATGAGGTAAGTGAAGACGCCCTAGTGGTGTTAGAGGAGCGACATGGAGAGGAATAGACGACAAGATAATTACGGCGTCGCTCTCAATAGTGTTCCATCCTGACATATTTGGCGCTTGTTGTGTTAAGGTGGTGGTGGTTGGGGGAGCTCATAGTGTATACACCTCTACAGCACATCGATCTTGCTTAATAAGCTTTCTCGCACTTGAACACGGTCCCGTCGCCGTCGCGTGTGAAGCTCTCCAGACGGGAGGCACCGCGGCTCTTGGCGGGACTATGACGACAGAGGAGTGTTCCTTCTGTTTGCATATGCACGACTGACGCTACTTCCCAGTTTGCATTCCTACCTACAACCTACTAGTACTCACCTAACTTGACCTTTCCATCACTGCCCAGGTGACCTCATCTACCTTCCCTTCCCTCCTTTCCTCCCTTCCTTGACCTCAGTGAGCATCGCAACCAACATCGCCATTGACCTCCCGCCTCAGCCAAATTGACCCGCGCCCCCAGTGTCTTCCGACTCGCAGCTCGAATTCCTCGCGCGCCCCAACAGCGAACAACAACCACCACAACACCAATCAGACACCGACATGTCGTACGCCGCCGCCGCCGCGCCTCATGGCAAGAGCCAGAAGCAGACCGATGAAGAGAAGATGCCTGACTTTGTCCCGGAGATTATGCACGATGACTCGGGTGTTCACTCTCTCGAGTCGCTGAACTCGGTCAATGATCACCTTCAGTCTCTGCCCTCGGACTCGTCATATGCTGGCCAACAAGAAGCTGAAGAACGCGCTGAAGAGCTTCGCCAACAAGCGAAGAAGGAGGTCAATAAGATTGACCAGGAAGCTCGCAACTTCATGAGCTCCGCAGAAAAGAGCGCAAGTGATTTGAAGAGCCAAGCCAAGACAGATGGCAAGAAGCTTGAGAAAAAGGTCGATGCTGAATTTGAGAAGGCAAAGGACAAGGCCCAAGAGGGCTACAGCAAGGCCAAGAAGGAGGGAAGCAAAGTCGCAAAGGAAGTGGAGAAGGATGCGAAGAAGGCAGGAGACTGGGCGGAGAAGAACCAGAGCAATCCAGTTGTGCTCGGCAATGCGGCCGCAATCACGGCTTTGACTGCTCTCCTCGGTATTGGAGCCTACCGAGCACACAAGACCAACACGTTGACGTGGAATGTTGTCGGCGCATGGGCAGGCGCTGTTGGCCTGTTTGCCGTCGGTGATTACTACGTGTCGCAATGTATGTCAGGTACTCTCCTTAGTCGTCTTGAGGAGTTTGTAAATGTGGTGTGATTGAGCTTACTGACAATGACTGCACAGATTTCTTCAAGAAGTACCCACCAAAGAACTAAGGTAAATATACCAGCGAGCGCGATACACCATGATGGATCGACGAGGGCCGCAGGGTGGCCCGGCGATATGTGACAGAAGCGTTGGTTCAGAATGTGAAAGTCTCCGATGTCCCGCTCTATACAGAAACCCATTTCTACGACTTGGATTGAATATGAACGAGGCGGCTTGAGCGTTGGTAGCCAAGGCGTTTACGGACGAAATCTTGTACAGTATTGCTTTATTAGTAGCCACTATGCTCCCACGATAATCAGCATATTACACGAGTCTCAGGCCAGTACAATTGAGGAAGAAGCTCCGAAAACAATCAATCTGAATTAGGGAGGAACAAGTGCTCGTGTAAGTTGCAACCAAGGATAGCTGTAGTCTTTCGCGAAGTGTTTCGTACCATGGATGCTACGTCGTGTACCTACAGTACCTAGTCTTGAGGCTGGATGATACGACGATTACTGATGAGTGCGAGAGCTAGGAGGTAGGTGATGACGGGGGAACAAGTGGCACCACAGGAAGAAGCTCTACGTACATAACTTGGAGGAGCATCGTCTTGTTGTTTACCTTCATGTCCATGTAGTCATGTTCATGCCACAATAATTGAAAACAAGCCACGTTCCAGGTCTACCTACCGTAGGTAGTAGGGTACCTTACTTACGTAAACTCTCAATCGCGCGCGTGTGAAAACCGAACTTCACCTCTCCAGACCCCAATCCGACAATGGCTTCACGGTAAGTTCCCACAACCTGAACTTCCTCAGAAAGAGAGAGAGAGAGACAGACACACACCTTGAGCCCTCAAGGTGGTGGTGGTGGTAGTGGTGGTTCCGAGAATCGCTTAGACTAACGGTAGGTTCATCAACAAAAACAGCTTCGCCCGTCAAAACGACGCGCGCAATGCGCTCTTCTCCAACTACGATGCCGCACCACAATCGCGCTCGCGACCCAATTCCGCTGCCTCTCGCACCCATCCGGGATCCTCGAGCAAAAATCCTCCTCTTCCACATGCTCCCCCTCCTTCTTCGAGTTCACCATATGCCGGCGTGAACGATAATTTCGCACCGGCGGGAGGGCCGGTGTATGGCGCGTACAATAACAATAACAACAACAATCTTGGCAACGCGAGTTGGAATAGTCCGTATGGGGGTACGCTGGGCGATAAGAAGAAGAATGATGATGCGGGATTTCGATCTGCGACGCCGGATAAGAAGGGGAGGTATAGTGATAGTGTGTTGGAGAGTTTGGAGAGTCAGAATGATGATCAGGCGGGGGAGATGAGTAAGAAGGTGAAGATGTTGAAAGAGGTGAGTGTTCTCTTATGGGTACATTACTTAGAGAACTTTTCTCTTCCTCTTCCCCGAGGGCAAGAGAGTGACTTGGGGGGTTTGTTAGAAACGGAGTGTTGATGAAATTCATTTGACTGACATATATAATGCTGAACAGCTCACGATGGCGATTGGAGATGAAATCCGAGATAGTACGAAACTTGCAGACTCGATGAATGATTCTTTCGAAGGGGCGAGAAATCGCTTACGAGGGACGATGAATCGGATGTTGAGGATGGCGGAACGAACGGGAGTGGGTTGGAAGGTGTGGGTGTTGTTCTTCATCTTCATTTGGTGTTTGTTTGCGTACGTCTGGCTCTTCTAAGCGCCGAGGGGGGAAGGGGGGACGGCATTGGAAGTGTGGGTAGATACCTGGGCGAGGAGTTCAAGGCGTGCGAAAAATGGTTGCGCCGCAACATGAGTAGGAGCATTGAGTGCATTTCACGGGGGTGGTCTACCTGATAAAATTAGATGTATACGGTAGTCATCGATGCTACAAGTTCAGTCCAGCCACACGCACTATTGAGACAAGAGCAGCCAAAAAAGCCAAACTGTGAGTGATTATACTCTACTATGCAGAACTTTCACTAACCTAGACGTAGGTAGGGCATCATAGAGACTTCTGACATGAACTTCAATATTGAAGCTCTGACAAATCCATCCCCACAAACCCTCGCATCTCCTCTCATCACACCATCACCTCCAAAATACGCATATGCCTCCTTGAACCCTCCCAATCCCAGGAGAGCCAAATTGGGGACATCCCTCAATCTACCAGCCAACTTACCTACAAAACTACAATATCCCCCCTCAAATGCCTCCCCACTTTCCTCATCCAACACGCCACTTTCCTCCTCCTCGTCCGATCTAGCAACAAAACTCTCAAAATCCCCGACCAATTCTCCTGCGTGAATAGAATTTTTCGGGGGCGTTTATGGTTAGATATTTTGTTGCTATTGTTGAGTACGACGGCGGTTGTGGTGGCCCGTCGTCGTCGTCGTCGTCGTTGTTCGAGAGATTATAATGATGGTTACAATGATTCCATAACGACGACAAGCGAAAAAATCGAATAGCGCGCTCGATACATAGTGGGAGAATTTCTTCAATGGGAGAATCGGGGTGTAGAAGAAATGATTTTCTGTGCAATTTTTCCTGCGCAGGGTTCGACGTAGGAAGTTTTTTTTTTTTTTTTCCTATCCTTTGAGATGGGTGGAGGGGAGAATGTAGACGTAGTTTTTGATGGAGATGAGGATGGGTTTTTGTTTGGAGATGAGGGGTGTCGGTTAGTATGTGGTTTCTTTCTGCTTTTGATTATGGATGGAGTTGGTCCCCCCTTTTCCCTCCCCCTGATCGTGTGTGTGTGTGTGTGTGTGTGTGTGTGTGTGTGTGTGTGCGTGTGTGTGTGCTTACAGTGCCCGATGATTTTAGGATGTCAAAATACCCGGGAGGACCGTCTTCTTCTTCTGGCAATAGTGATAGTATTGTCTCTGCAAGTCCATCTGCCAAAACTGTACTGGCAATTCGCTCTAAACGGATTCTCCTACTCTCTGGAGTTTGAACCGCGCGATCGCCTATGGCAGGATTACAGCTACTCTGCCTCGAACCCTCGAGCTGCATATAATGTCTGGATGGGTTCATAATTCGATTCATAGTTAGTTAGGTCTGCAAGGATAGCGTATTGAAAGATATTGGTGGCGGTGAAAGTGAAGTGAAGTAAAAAAGTCAGCCGCAGTCCTTATTATATCGCGTACGTAGATCAGTTACTATCCCAACGCGATGACACTTGTGAAGCTTGAGGTGTAGGAAGATTACTATTGCATATTGTTTCTGCTTCTCGATACTTAGTGTATTTTTGCAAAAAAGGAAAAAGCAAGGGGGGAAATCTCCTACTATACAATCCCCATCGGCCTTTGTTCTACTTCAGACTCTGTTATATGATCCTAGCTAGATGCATTCATATTCTCACGGGCAGCATATCGACAAGAGAGAGAATTTTACATACATCCTTCTCCTACACCCACCCCTTCAGTCCATCCATCCAAAAAGAAAACACACGAAAGCCAAATTCACCCACACACACGTCGAAATCTAAACTTTCTCGCCATGGTCCAAGTGTACAAAAAAAAGCACGTAGTCTTCTTCGTCGTGAAGGATGATGGCCCCCAGAGGTAGGGACAACGCGCAGTCTTTACGAGAGAGAGAGAGAGACCGGGTACACACACGAGATCGTGAATGTTGATGTGTTGTTGCACAAACCAGATCAGATTCAGATCCAAAGAGGTAGATAAGTAATCTGCTCTCAGGACGTCCAATCTCATTCATCAGTTGCGATTGCGAAAAAGTCTGGTTTTGGAGACAATATGTCTATCGAACCGCCGAGCTATGAAGATATCAACAATGAAGCATATCGAGTAAGTCATCCAGACCAGACCAGATTCTGAGGGGGATCTCTCGAAAACATGAAATGAATCTACTCATTCCAACATACATCCATAGGCCATACCCCTAATCGTGCAAATCCACCAACACTCCCCCACCAACATCATTTTCGAAGAAAATCCTCATCATCATCAGCTTATAATAAGCACCCCCCCTCCATCCAACCGCCCCCTCCCAACCCTCCTCCACAAAGACGCCATTCTCCTCCCCACGACGAGCACGTACGAAGAAGTTTTTAATTTACTTTATCAACGAGTTTTAGCTCGCAGTGCAGGAAGTTTTCCTCCTGCAGTAGCAGGAGCGGCATTCAAGGAGGGGACACTTTTTTGTCGGTTGGCATTGCTTGTTGATGTTGATATTGTTGATAATCAGCAACAACAGCAGATCCTAATAGATCAGGGCAATTGGATTGCTGCGAGGACATTTTTGAGATTTCGCGAAAATGTGGAATTGGTGTTTCATTTTTGTTTTGTGCCGAGTACGTTTCACGGCGGGGGTGGCGGCGGGCAGGGATGGTTGATGCAGTATATTCGTCGGAGATGGAGGAGGAGGAGGAGGAGGAGGAGGAGGAGATGGAGATGGGGGGTTGGTATGGCGGGGAGAATTTGTTTGGTGGAACCGAGTTTTGATGTTCTAGGTAGTTAGGGTGGGTGGTGGATTGAGGAGGTGGTCTCCTACAGTATGAGAATGTCGTTATGCTCGGATTTGTTTTCTTTCTCTGACATTTTTATGGGGTTGAGGTTTTTTTCCGATGTAGCGATTCGCGCTCGAATAGACTCGTGGCAGGTAACTAACTCAGTTGCCGATAGTGATACTCATCCTTTGAAGTCTGTCAGTGTCCAGATCGCCGCAATCGAAGACATGGTATACATCGATCTCCAGAGCAAATCTTCTCGCGATTGAATGCATTTCGACAAGGGACACGCAGCCGGACAAATAGGATATCTTTTCTTTTTTTGGTCCCAAAAAAATTCATCACTCCTTCTGACCCAATTCCGTACCCGGACCTTTATTGATATAAATCTCGCTGAGCGATTCCACAATCTGCAGTCTCCTTCGATCGGCAAAATCAAGCGCAGCATTACCCGGTCTGTCGACGAGAATGGCATTCAATTTGGCCTCGTGTGCAGCATCAATCTCTTTGACGTTGTCGCTGAGGAACAGAATCTCCTCGGGTTGCCACTATATAGATGATAGCCATGTCATTGTCAGTAGGTATATAAGAGAGAGAGAGCTTTGTAGCTCATAGTCAAGAAAGGGGTTTGGGTAGGAGGTATGGTTAGATCGCACCTTGAGAGTCTCGGCGATCTTGGCATAACTAGATGCTTCGGTCTTGAGGCCGGCGTTGGTCGTGTCAAAGAATCTGCCTTCGAACATGGCCGTTAGGTCTTCGGTTTCAGCAGGTTTGCGATGATCGGCAGCGGCAGCATCATCGCCATCATCGCCATCATCATCATCATCATCATCATCATCATCAACATCATCAACATCATGCTTGTTCTTGCTTGAGAGTGGCTGAGCAATCCCGTCATTCGCCTGATCCTCGGCACCATGATGAAAGTCAGCTGGCCGTCCGCATTTTTTCGCACCAGCTGACGATGACGATAACGCTGGCGCTACCGCAGTCGCTGCTTCAACTGCGGTCTGCTTCATCTGTCGTAGTGGTGGAGGTGGAGGTAGTCGTAGTAGTACGTGGCCAAACAACAGCTTCTGCGCAAAAATACTGCCCGAGGAGTATATTGCCAGTGATAAGCCTTCTTGCTGCTTCCATTGCCGAAGTTGAGGAACCACGTCAGCAAATAGATTGGTCGCGTACGCTCCAGATTGGTAGCCGTCTTCCCAGAGAAAGCCTTGTAGATTCTTGAGATAGGCGACTTTGACATCGCGCAAAGTCAGATCTTCCACGTGAGCCTGGAAATCTGCTGGTGACTGGCGATGTTCTTCGGGAAAGGCATTGCGGTAGGGTGCGAATGCTGGGTCATCCCACTTGCTTTCGAGGACTTGGGGGAGGGCTTGGAGGGCATATGGGAACTAGAGGTCAGGAAGGCAGGCAGAGCCAGTTAGTGCGTATGTCAGGTTGCACGACCATCAGAGTGTGCGTGGGACTGGGAGAAGAAGGTGGGAGGGAATGCAAGTTGGTCATATGAACAAAAGGAAAAAAAGGTCATGTACCTACGAGCGTCTCTTTTACGAAGCTGATGGGAAGTATCGTGCCCTCTTCAGTAGTAATAATAATAATAATAGCAAGTCAGTCGTACGAAGGTATCATGCCACCGCGCGCATCCAGTCGGTCGTACCAATGTCGAGGAGGATGCATTTGATGCCATCCATCTTTAGCTGGTTGACAAGCTATCGGTAAGGGTGGTCAAGTGTATGCGGGAGCGATTTTGAAATTTCTTATTTTATTTAGGCGCAAAGAGGTGTTTGTGGTTGTCCTGCCTGTGTGCGCCATGCTTTTCTTGGTTCGCCAATCAAAATCCATTAGGCTGGGACACTGTCGAACTCGTTCGCTTGGACATCTTTTGGGTCAGAAGAACGCTCGTCGCCGGGCATTATTCTACCTACACTAGGAGGTACCTACATGTATGTATAATACCTGAATACAAACAACCTCATACCTCATACCTCCTAGAACCAGACCCAGAAGAAACATTCTTGACGATAAGACCAAGTCAAAGAGGCTAGGGACCTAGTTTCACAGCATCCATTGTTAACCCTACCATCTATCTCTCTCTGCGACGACTGTGAAAGACACGGCACCGCATCCAAAAGGAGAGAAGACAGTACGCGGCGGCAACCTTCCCATTGTAAGCAAAAAAATGTCCTCGAGCGGGCGGGCCTTGGAGGCGAGAATAGATGCGCCCACCTCGTGGCCAGAGGCCCAGAATCAGACGACAGCACATGCATGCTGCTGCGGTGCGAAGCGCTGTGGGATGCTTGGCTGGATTACTGCGCCAGCGCTTGCGTACGTGCATGTAGTGCATGTAATAGTAGCTTGGCTTGTTGGTTGTACGGTGGTCCTAGGAGGTACTATCTACCTACATACCGCTACCTCCTATGTATGTACCTTTTAATGTAGACTACTGGCCAACTCATGAAACGTTTTTTTTGTTACGACCACAGGAGATGGAACTACTGTATGTAGGTAGTAACGGGCTGCAGTCGCCAACCGAGGCCGCCATGCGTGTCTATGTGTGTGTGTGTTTGCAGAAATGCTGCTTTTTACACCGCCATGTGTAGTTTTTAGTCTCTCTCAACTGCAGTCTGCAGAACTTCAACGTCTCGAGGGACATCGATCAACATTGTCGGCGCGAACCAAGAGGCGTCTGGAGTGCAGGAGGTCGAATGAGATATCTGGATTATCTTCTAAGGCTACGGGATCGGAACGCTGTGCATGAGAAGGAACAGGTCTCCCTGGGTGCTTCTGGATTCTAGACACGAGATTGTGATGAGGCATTGGAGCTACTGCATACCATAATGCTTACCAGAAATCTCTTCACCACGCAGCGGTTGGATTGGCCATGTAGATATGTAGATATGCAGATATGCACACATGCGCATACACCACACACCACACACCTCTCTCTATATACCTCGCATGGAGCGCGCTCGCATACTAATGCGCCCCTGATCTGGAGACATGTCAGTCCTCACCGCTGGTTACACAACGTTCCGTCTTGGGCGTGGTGTCCGGCCAGCCACGAAGCGATCTTCGTTGCAGATCGGCTTCAATGTTCCTCCGGCGCGTGCACACACTCACAGTGACACAGTCTCACACAGCGGCAAGCGGCACAGCCCTTCTTGGTGTGCGCGTAGAGCCGGGCCGTAACGCTATCCACGTAAGCAGCAGCATGACTCGGGCACGGCCACTATCCGAGGCGGTTCTGGGTGTTTCTTTCTGTGTCCATTGTCTTCTGGCGGCGTTATTGACGGGTGAGGACTTTGTCTGGCCACGCGACATCTGACCAACGCTCGCTGGGAAAGCAAGCGAGCGAGCGAGAGTCAGGTGGCAGTGTCAGTGTGGCAGAAGGAATTCGTGTTCCCAAAGTCATTGCGCACACCATACCATCACATGTGGCTTGGAATGCTGATGATGTCCCTCCTTTTACGGGCGCCTGCTCACGAGACGATCGAGCCGGACTATTCTAACCCGATGGTCTGGCCCAGGCCTAGTAGGTGTATTTTCTCCGAGCATGGTGGCGCTTCCTACTGCACAAGCTGCATGCAGTACCTCGCAGTGGTGCATTGGAACGAGCCTTGATCAGTGCCAGAAGATGTAGCAGCAGCCACCACGTTGGTGTGCACTTTTGGCTGTGAATAGCTGTGAATAGCTGTGGCCTGTGAATCGCTGTCGAATCCATACCAATGTCTCCATGCAGTCGGGAAAGGGTGCAAAATTAACAGCAGTGTCAGATGGTTCGCTGTCCGGAGCACCCGGTAGATGAGGACAACGGTCTGTGATCGACAGGACAGTGAAGACTACCTTACTGGAGCTTCGATCGTCCGTTGTACTAAAAGTGCACATACTACAGAGTCTACGGTGGTGATGACGGTGGTGGGGTGGTATACGCAATTTCAGAAGGTTTTCTCGTGACCGGCTCTGATGAGGGGAGGAGTGATTGGTCTAAAAGTGTTGGCAGACAGGTCTCCTGGTTCATGAAACAGGAACAGGCAGGCGTGTCGCCAGACGTAGGCGTCGTATGGTAGGTAGGTACGTAAGGTAGTTGTCGTCACGGCAGCCACGGCCCACGAGTGAGGTGATGTGTGGTGTGTTTGATGATGAACGTCTCGCGAACCCTCTGAACCAGTGCCAGAAGCCAGTGGAGAGCAAGCGTCGCAGGTACTGCAGTCGCAACGTGTCCAGTTTGGCGAGAACAATGCAATGCACACGCACCTCCCAGGCTCCGACCTCCTAGAGGTACCTCCTACCTCCTCCTAGGGACTCCTACTGGGGAGCTTCAGCGTCAGAGGCGCGCGCGATAACGCGACCCGGAGAGTCGGGGACTTTCTGCGATCGAGGTCGACGGTTTGACGGGATGGATGGGTGCAGGTGACATAAGACCAAACAAAGCCAGACATGACGATGACTTGTGGCAACTGCAGTCGAAAAGCGGCGTCGTGGCGTCCCATTCCTTTCCGCGTCGGTGCTGCCTGCTCTATCCCGCATTCGGCACGCTACTGCAATGAGCCTGGTTCCTTGTCCGCTGCTCATGTAGACTGGGATCCCCACCTCTCTCTTGCGCTGCCGCTCTGCTTTGCTTTCCACACCAGTCCAGTCCACACCCTCTCACACATACAGACGTACAGTAGTCCAGTTCAACCTACACCGCTTCCTAATAATTCTACTACATCTTCTCCTATCCCATTCCCGCCTGCGCCATTGAGCACCATATCCGCATTTGCACGCACGCACGCACGCACGCACGCACTCACGCAGGCACTGTTCTCTCCTTCCCCAGCTACATACCACCATCTTACCTACCTAAACAATCGCTTTCGAAACACACGTCCGGCCAGGCAGCAGTAGGAGGTAGCCGAAAGGTTGCGACGCTGGAACGCAAGTTGCATCCACGGCAACAGCGCGCGCCGGGAACCCATCATCTTCCATCACCTATTCTCGGCCTTTCCACGACCCTGAGGAGAGCTCCTGCCGTATTTACCTACCTGCCTTGCCTACCAACTACCACTACCAACTACCACCACCACCACCATCATCACCACTCCACCAACTCCACCACTACCGCCACGATAGCCTTCACTCCCTGAGATCACTCCTCTTCCCCCTTCCACCGTTGCTTGCACCAAATGTAAAACAAGCACGACAGGGGCCTCCGTAGCAGCTGACCAGTCTCCGCTCCGCCCCGGGATCTGTGCTTCGTCATCGGACCTCGCAACTCGCAAGCTCGACTTGGAAAGCAAAGCAGGCTGCCAAACAGACCAAGCCCGTCCAGCTGTCAATCTCACACACCCACACACATCTACAGGCACCACCACCACCACCACCACCACTACCACTACCACTACTACTCCTCCTCCACCAACCACTTGTCTCTCTACTCGACGGTCTGGGCTCACCTCACTGCTATCTCACCCAACAGGCCCCCCCGCGAACACATCCCCCCAGAACCAACAGAGAGACCCCTTTGATGACCAACACCCCCGGAGCAGCGTGACCGTCCTCAGGCAGCATTGGCTACCCGCCCAGCAACCCTGCTCGACTGCTGCATCCTCCCCACTACCACCTCCTCTCCGACACATCATCATCATCTTGGGAACGGAACCCGCCCGACAACCACCACCTCCTCCTCTTCCTCCATTACACTACCTTTCTTGTCATATATTTTCTCTTATACTACTACTTGCTTTACTACCGACCGACGACCACACCACCCTCCATTAGAGCGCTCAGCCGCCTTGCTCCTTGACGGACGCAGACCCCCCTTTCCCAGCCCACCGGAGCTGGCGAGCTACACCACCACCACCACCACATTTCCTGCATACATGATAACACCCACGATCCTTATGTTACTTTGAACCACTACACACAAACACACACACCGGATACGACTTCCTTTTTTTGCACGGCTAGCGAGCTTTTGAGCGGATTTCCTATATTGTTATTTTGGCCTGGACCAGGAGTTGAATACAGAGTGCTGTTGTCGAACGGCTACACGGCTTTGTGTTACGGTGGCTACACGTTTCACCCTTGTTGTTGACGACCTGCACCCTATCCTTTCGACGAAATCACCCCATGGCCTGTATGCGAGATGGCTTCCAACAAGAAAGACCTCTCGATAATGGGCGGTATATAACCGTCAAACCTTTGAATCATGGCTCCTTTGGCATGGTCTTCGCGGCCAAGGACACCGTTACCGGACAAGATGTTGCGATCAAATGCATCACCAAGTCTGCTGCCACTACAAACTGCCCTGCTGCCATCAACACGGACGAATACTCGGAAGAACTGAATATCCATTCGTGTCTGCCAGCGCATCCCAACATTGTCAACACCGTCTCCAGCTTCCAAACGGAGAATCACACGTACATGGTCCTCGAGCTCTGCAGCAATGGTGATCTCTACGAGGCCATTCGAATGGGCAAAGGACCTCTTGAAACGGAGCACGTCCGCGATCTCATGCTCCAATTGGTGAGCGCTGTCGAGCACCTGCACAACAATGGGGTGTATCACCGCGACATCAAGCCCGAGAACATCTTTCTCACCTCGGACGCCGCTATGAAGCTCGGAGACTTTGGTCTGGCTACCACTGAGACGTGGTCGACGGAATTCGCTGTGGGATCCGACCGCTACATGGCACCTGAGCAGTATGATGCGGGCGTCTTTGGTTATGGCTACTGCCCTGCCCAGGCTGATGTATGGGCGATTGGTATTGTGCTGCTCAACGTCTTGTTCCAGCGCAATCCCTTTGCAACCCCAACCATCAAGGATCCGCTCTTCGATGACTTTGTTCGCGATCGCCAGAGCTTGTTCGACGTCTTCCCAAACATGTCTCAGGACACCTACAACGTTCTCCGCCATTCCTTGGCAATTGATCCATCGGACAGGTCTCTCACCGCTGTGAGGGAGGCTCTCGAAGCAGTCGTCAGCTTCACGACCGACGACGAGGCTCTGGACGACTTCTGCAACGATCAATCCGATCTGGCTCCTGTGGCTACTGCTGCCCGCGAACCACTTCGCACTCCTTCCGTCACCAGCCCTGTGCTACCCGGCTCTGACTCGTTCCCATGGAGCTCTGCGTTGTTGAGGACACCTCAGAAGCCAACTCGGCAACTTTCCACCATTCACGACGAGGACATGGATCTCTTTCCTGCCTCTGCCAACAACTCTGAATGGCAATACGTCGATGCTGATGAGGCTTCTCTGACGTCGAACGTCGACTCCGGACTGGGATTGTCTTACAAGTCAACCAAGTCCATGAAGTCGATGCACTCGACCACTTCTTCTGTCAAGAAGCCGAGATCAAACTTCGTCGGGTCTCTGCCTATCAGCTTCTCACGTCCAAAGGTCTCTTCTTACGGCTCCAAGAGTGGCTTCTCTAAGAGTTGGAGCGACTTGTGGGACGAAGAGGAGGAGGAGGAAGAGGAGGAAGAAGAGGAAGAAGAGGAAGCAGAAGCTGCCGATGAAGTCCTTCTCGACACCAACGCATCAGTTGAAGAGACTCTTGTGGTCGCTCACCCAGACATGGAGCATGTGACCACTGCGAAGCCGAGCACGCCTCAAATCTCGTACCCTATGGAGGAGGGTCGCGAAAGTGTCACGCCTCGTCAAGCCTTTGCCAACCTTGATGTCAACTCCCGCTCTGGTACTCCGTTGACCGTGATTGATACGACTGCTGATAAGCCGCCGGTCAAGGTGCTTCCCAAGGTCAAGTCGTCTTCCATTTTGGACAGGTGGGCTGCTCTGGGCAACTTTCGCCGCGCTCGGCAGGACACAGCTCCTGTTGCCGCGGCTTCTACTGCCGCCGCCACGCCTCCAAAGATGAAGTACTCGGACGCCTTTGCCAGCTTTACTTCCTTTGGCAGCAGCAAGAAGAACAAGGTTCAAGCTCAATCTCAGCTGGAGCCGGAGCCCAAGCGACAGCGTGAACGCGCGCCATCTTGGCGCCAGGGCAGTCCACAGCGTCTTCGTTCGTCATCCATCAATGGCAGCAAGATTTGGCAGGAAGACAACAACTGGCGTGAGCACAAACACACTCCGCAACCGACCAGGGTGCAACCAATGGCTGTACAACAATCTGGAGATGCACAGCGACGTCTGCCAGAACACAATTTCCTTGACCACGACTTTAACGACGAAATCGATATCGAATGGGTTGGTCAGTTCAGGATGGATATGTAACCATCGGAACCCCACTTGTAGTCTGACTCTGAGCTTCCCCTTTTAACGCTACTTGTCCATTGTTTTTCATTCACACAGCATACTGCAGTTGGGTCGGGATACGGAGTTATTGGAAAGCGTGCACAACGTGGCACAGGTGATTGGCGTTACATGTGAAACTGCAGATGATACCAAAAAATTTCCCTTGGACAAGTAGCGGAGGGTAGGATAGCGGGCTGAGCAGACTCGTATCTGTAGGACTAGTACACTCCACTCCAAAGAGGGAGTGATATATGAACTCCAGGTTGGAACCCAAGACGACATTCGCATTCTCATTTCCACTACTTGATCCTGACAGCCATGTTTGTGTGACTCCTTGTTGTCGCGCTCCACCTGACCGTGCCTGTGCACACCCGCATGTAGACTTGGTTTCATTGGGAGATGGGCAGACTTGCCCGATGAGCCGAAGTTGAAGTAACGTGTGAGAAACACTGGTCACACGATCGTAGTAGGAGGTACTCCTCGTCGTCATCTACAGACTACGCCCGACGCTAAAAAGCAGACACATACATGGCAACTTGATTCCATACCTACCTTACTGTAGTTACTGTAGTTACTGTAGTTACATACCCCACACTTCTCATCATCTCATCTTCCATCCCCAAAAGCCGCCTCCCCCCCTCTCTTCCCTTCTTGGCTCTTTAATTGGCTCAAGAAGAAGAAGACGAAGAAAGGATCTACTACTTCCCTACCTCTACTAAGCTTGACTTCTTGTCCTCTGTTTGTATTAGATAGATAAGGTAGGTAGGTAGGTAGGTATAGTAGGTATATGTACTTTTTTCTTCTTCTTGTTCTTATTGTTTAATAGCTAATCATGTAGGTAATGCGTACATCTCGATATATATACCTCTTTCAATCGTATTACATTTTTTTTTGTCTTCCTCGTTATATCGACTTTACTTCTATCTTACTATATCTTGTTGTTATTTACCTTGATATACTTTGATTTTTTTCGCCCACTGCCTAACGAGTAGGTAGCACCTGTAGAGGAACTTGCTTACCAAAACAAAGACTTTGTTGGACTTTTGATTTTACTAGGTACGTACCCAAAGCTGGCTAAAGGTAGTAGCAAAGAGTACAGGTACCTAAGAAAAGCAAAGTTGGAAGCAGGAGGACTCGAGAAGCCTGAGGGAGATCTCCTGGACCGGGCATTCCGAACGGGTAGGATGGTGACAACCTGGAACATTAATCTACCTGACCTGTAGTCCTGTACCTACCTACCGGTCCTACCTTACAAAGGTAGCTACCTGGGCACGTTTTGGAGTACATGTATACATACATACATACATACATACATACATACATACAACTAGAATGTAGTATGTATTGCATGAGGAAAGATGCTAGGTTTAACCGGTATGCTGCGCGATTACTATACTGATTAGCAGCAGCAGCTTATCACAACCTGAGCTTGGGAGTAGGTATGTACCTACATGTAGTTGGCTCCTGCTAGCCTGCTGCTGCTTGTGCGAGTCGAGACTAGTTACTATGGACTAGGTAGGTCCAGATTGTTGTCAGGTGGCCCCCCTTCCCCCTCTCCCCCCGGGTGCTAGAGGAGGTATGGGGGGAGAGTTTAGACTAGGAAGTGTGTAAGAGCAATTTCAGCAGCTTCCCAAATCTACGATCGAATAAGGTAGTATTGACAATGAGGTCCACATACCGTGACATACATTTGACGTGACGTTGGACTTCGCACTGCAGTTGTAGCACGACCAGGAGAAACATCGTGTAACCGTACTGTATTGTGTGAGGGATTGCTGACTTCCTGCTTGGAATCAGTTGATATAATGATATATGACATATGTTGTAGTCGTTCGTAAGCTGTACTTGGCGCCAGGTCTGTAGACCTAGCGAAGTAACAGGCATGCTGTGTGAGTGATTGAAATGAGTATCTGCAGCTGTATAGGCAGCTGATTCGTGCTGAGCAAACTTGCCATGTCAATCACGTCTTATCGACGTATCTGCTCGGAAGAAGGCGGCTTGGAGCATACATTCTTAATAAAAGCTTAAGAAAGACACGAATCACTGCGTGAACGGCTTCTGAGTGGCTCCAAGTGACTCCTGGTGATGGTCACTCGCATGCGTATTGTAGCATGTCGTGTAGCGACTCAAGCGAGCTGCACAGCAGTATGAGACACAAAATCGATATTGCTGTTGTCAGGAAGCGACCCATCGGAGCAACATCAGGCATGCGGGGTGTTGTTCTCAGTTGACCTTACTGTCAAGATACCACTCTCTCGTTCTGTTACCAAGAGATTCGCTCTGAGTAGGAGAGCATAATTCCTCTCGTTCCAGCACTACGAGCAGCCCAGGCTGAACTTCAGCCACTGGTGCCATCCTGATCCATTGAGACAGTACTGTTTTCTTTTGAATTGCAGTGAGGACGTCAAGCAGATGTAAAGACAGCAGTCGCGTCTGTCCTCTATCTCTCCGATACGGTATAAGCAGGCCACTCAGGGTCAACTATCCAGCTGCCGTGTGCAGGGAAATCTCCTCCGCCGCCCTCGTAAAGCTTATGAAGGCCGTTGGTGACCACCCGCTCGTTCGCCGTGGCTGGCCTGGCGGTCAAGCGCATTCCGATGCCATTCGAACCGCGCCATACGTCCACGCCAATCCGAGCATAACCGATATTCTGCAATGCAACGACAATGGGCGATTTGTCGTCACTCCAGATAGCGCTATAGGAGTCGCCCCCTGGATAGTATATCCTCATATCGATCATCTCCATCTGTTGCTTCGGCGTCGGGCCGAAGGCGAAGCGGAAGAGGTCTTCGAGCTGTTTTTCTGAGTCTGGTACTACATCTCCATGCAGCTTTGCCTGCTTTGGTGCTTGTGCTGGGCCTAGAGATGCCGCACTATCAGAACAGGAGAGGCGCGGCGTGTATATTCCTGCTAAGTGGACACTCTTCGATTGGCGCAGCAGCTGAGGGGTGGTGGTATGAAGGATATGGAGGCCATATGGGTAGCTCACGAAGAGAGAAGTTTCCCTGCGCGTCGGGACGGCGAAGTGGCTTCTGAGCTCTTCTGCAATCTGCCTGTTGAGCAGAGACACTGTGTGATATGCGGTTTGCGTGTGGGCATATGTGGTCTCGGGGGGTTCGGTGTTTGCTGGTATGGTCGCAGGCTTCGTAGCAGAGAGGAGCGTAGGGCAATAATCGGTCTCGACAACAGGCTCGTGTTGCGCGGGGATTCCGGGATGGGGAACGCGTGACTCGCCATAGAGGCGGTAGACGATATCGGGCGGCCAGCCTACGAGCTTTGCAGTGCCGATGGTGATGTTCTTGCAATCCAGGATGGCATATGAGTAGATCTCGAGGCGGAGCTAGAATGTGGCTGCATCAGGGAAGTGTACGTAGAGAGGAGGTACCTAGGTAGGTAAGGTAGTTGCGCGGAGGATGAAGGCAGGCTCACCTCAACGGGCAGTTCCAGAAAGATACATCTGTTCGCCGGGTTTGCCATGATGGCGCTGCTGTTCTTTTTGTCGGTTATTGGTATTCAGGTTGTTGAGGCGATGGCGTTGGTTGCTACTCTACTTACTGTATCTCGTATCGTGGCACGGCAGGATCGAGCAACAACACGACGGGAAGATTGGAAGTTGGAAGATCATATATCACGCGTGCCGGTATAGCCGAAATCCATTACAGGTACATGTACATACTGGACGGTACCAGGAACGTCACGACACGCCAACGTCCATACATGTACCTTCTTCTGAAGCCCATCCATGGATCGTGGCCACAACAGCAGCACATCAGGTGGTCATCACCACCTGGAGTACCTGGGAGTAGGTGGTAGTGCCCGGTGCTTTCCGAGTTTCGATCACCAGCACAAGCAGAGCATTCAGCCAAGCATACAAGCCGACTATGAGGGAGGTAGCTATATGTCCTCGATGTTATTTCATGGGAGGCGATGGCTTCTTCATTCATTCCGGGCCAGCTGACAACACGAGCCTCATGCTGAGCCAGCAGCTGCGGTGTCATTCTATATACAACACCCGACGGACCACGTCCCCATCATCATTATTGCCGCCTGTTTCCTCCTGCTTCCATTTCTGGAATCTCGACGCTGCGTTCTGCGGCAGCCGACCAGATCGGCTTCTCTCCTGCAGGGCGGGCTCTCGAAGTCGAGGATGGTGCCATGTGTCACAAGTCTATTCTCAGCACTCGATACTACCATAGCACGTCAGATGGTTTGACAGCAGCACACATGGCGCAGGGCGGAGCAGCACCACCCCTTTCCGAGTCGGGACGAACGCTTTTCGTTTGGCTGGACGTTGGACAAATGATGCGCACTCGGAATCCAGGCCGCTGCGACGGCGAACGAAGATGGTACCTCTAGGAGGTAGCACGTAGCAGGATAACATCAAGGCATGTACTACGGTCAGTCTGTCCGTCTGTCACGGGCATTATTCAGGAATGTCAGTCCGTGTGTGGCGGCGGCCCGCTGACTTGGCGCGCAATGGCGGCAGTTGCGACGGGCGTAGCTTCCAACTTCCAACTTCCAAGACGCCTCCCTTGTCAATATCGGCAGGCACGACGCGACATGCTTGCACACCTCCACCGCATCCAATGTTTATTGTTGTTGTTCGTTGTTGACCTTCTGCTGCCACACGCGCACGCACGAACGCCCGACCGTGTGCGGACAGGTCACAGCACCCGCCAGAGCAATTTCGCTACCTCATGGCCCGCGCAGAGCGAAACGCCTCGTTTGCGTGTATAGTCCAGTCAGTACAGCGTGGTAGGTCTTGGGGCTTTGCCATCACAATCGCCTCACACACACACTCTCTCTCTTTCTCATCAGCAGCCTCATCTTCCTCCTCCCCCTCCTCCTCCCTCCTCCTCCTCTTCCATCACCACCACCATTACCACCCGACCACCACCGCCGCCGCCGCCACATCAATCACGGCACAAGCCCGTCGACTCAGCCAGTCAGCGAGTTGTCGTGGGCCGGTGGACACAAGAAGGACCTCGTGTTCCCTGCTCATGGAGAAGCGCTGGTAACGCCAACCGGACTACTTGGTGTTACCTTCAACAACGTGCGCCCCGAAGATCGGATAGAAGACTGCCCTGCCCTGCCCTGGACCCCACCCCATCCTATCCTGTTTACTCTACCACGCCCTCCATCGAGAAATTTAACCCTTCCGTTTTGCTCTCCGTTTTCGCGTCTAGACGCCTGCCACTGGACGACCTCTTCTGCTCTCTCCCCTTTCAGCCGACGGCGATGGTGGCCTCGTAAACGACCTGCCGACCTGCATCGAACGCCTTCCTTCCCGTCTGCGTGCATGCATGTCCAACTTGTCATTCTGAGAGCTCAAGTTGCGACGTCGAGCACCAGGCTGGCCTACATACACTTTCACTGTACACCATCTGCCCCCCGAGTCCTCTGATCCCTCCTCCTGTTGGTCAACCACTCTCGTTAAAACACAATGACCATGATCGGCCCCCATCACGTCGACCGATCGTCGTTGATCTTTTATTCTATCGCCAGTCTGGCCGTCATTTCTCAGCTTACCTCGACTGCAATCACAACGACGCTCGCTACATCATCTTTGGTACTCAGCCCAATTTTTCCCTCGGCCATCAGCGCCTCTGTTTTCGAGATATTCGCCCTAGTCACGCTTCTAGTTGCCATTGGCCTTTTCTTGCGTAGGGTTTCTCGAAACCTGATGCTCGCCGCCTGGATTCCCACTGTTCTTTCCGGCCTGATTGGATCTACCCTGGCCATCACTAGCTTATCCTTTGCTCGACGTTTCAAGCCAGACAATGCTCCTAGCGAAGGACCATACGACCAGCACGTGCACAGTCTGGCCGAAGCTGGTATTGCTGTGGCTGTCATCGGCCTAGTACTACAGTTCATCTTTTGGACAATAACCTGGCCCCGACATATGCAACACAGCGTGCTCCCAGAACACGAGCAGCCTCTTTCAACTCAGCAGGTCAAGCCGCGTACCATTCACCTTCGCCTTGGCTCGATCGGTATGGAGCAGCCGTCGTCTTTCTTCGGCGCTCGACAGGGACCTGCTTCGCTAAAGTCAATCGCCTCCTCTCATTTCACTGCCAGTGCGAAATCATCAATCAGAAACTCAGCAACAGAGTCATTGCATCCAATGACATCAAAGACGAGGCTGATCTTGCAGACATCCTTTGGCTCACGAAGCTCCAGAGGCACGGCAGCAGGCATCGGCTCTCCGCCGTCTCGAAGCACTGAGTCGGAGTTTGAGCACTGGGACACTTCCCGTGTGAATCATTCGTTCGAGACAATGAAGAAGCCGAAAATGCCCTGCTTAGAACCGATCCCAGGCAGCCGACCGGCCTCCTCAGCGCGTCCTTTAGATGGACCATTTCCCAGCGTCACAATTCCTCACGAGACTCCAATGCCAATCTACGGGGCTTTCATGTCACCAAAAGCGAACACAGAATCTGAAAATTTCCCAATACAGGATCTTCCACGTCTGCACATTCGGCGAGATAGCACTCCAAGCATTACTAGTCCGACCACCCCCACTGTCGATCAGCATCATATACACCCTCTTTTCAGATCGGAGTCTCCGGCGCCACCGCCACTAACTTCACCTGGAACAGTCATCACCGCATCTCCCTATGCTGGGCAGATATTTACCCCAGAATTTGCTTTGCAAAGCCCCAGACTGCTTGGATCGATGGACGGCTCACGCCCTGCGAGTCCAGCAATGTTGTCATCCAGCCTCAGTCGCCCTGGCAGTAGCAAGAGCTCTCGTACGATCCCAACGTCTCCTTTTGACTTAGGCCACGTGCCACTACCGGATCGTGGTTTCCAAAGGCTGGCGACGACTCATTCCCGACCGGGAACGCCGCTGAGTCCGAATGGCTGATTATTCACGAATGAAACGAAGTAGTACTGGATGTGCACACTTTTGAGTCCATGTCACGGGGCGGCAAAAATTTGGCATAATGAAACGACATGGGAGTCCAGCATTAGACCAGGAGACTGAGCAGGACTCAACATATGCTGAAACATATGGGCTCTCCCATGACTAAAAGCCGCATCTCCCAAAGCCAGCTGGTAGGATGCTGGACGGAATCTGGGATCACAGCACCGCCCATGAATGGCATGATATAAGAGGAGGAATAACATGCTTCGAGCTATGCTCAGCGTTTGTCTGTTCAGGGGGAGGGAAGCATAGGGAATGAAACAGGCGCTTCCAAGCCCGTCGCCCTGGTGTTAGGTTATGAGCACGAACGTCACGGAATACTTGCAATGGAAATAAGTAATGAGCAATCTATCGTATCAGAGCAATGGAAAATTCGAGTAGTGTCTTGTCAGATATGGTACTCCATCTGAGTGCACATTTCGCAAGTGTCATGATCGTGTGCCTGGACACCCACCCAGGAGTTTACAATGTCCGTAATGGCTAGTTCTCGAGAGAAGAATTCTGTTCGTACACGTCTTCTCCTTCAATTTCGCTTTCTGAATACAAGCTTGACCATAGAATCGTCCGACTCGTAGCAAGCACTTATGCTGTCTATCGTGCTGCATCGATCTCTCAAGTAAGGGCTGTGCCTGAGGCTTCGGAATCCACCCGTGCTTTCTGCCAAGTCACGCTAACGCACGCCACCCGACTACATATCATTCACTTATCGCTGCCATTAGTACAGTGAAGAAGTCGACATATAACGGCGTATTCTCTGTTCACCTTGTTACGCTTGCACGACGGATAAGAGTCATGATATATGCTGCCTGGGAGACTCGCGAACGGCACTCTGCTAAAGCATCTCCACCACGACTGTAATCCGACTACGCCACCACGACATTCGTCGTTGGCACAGAACTTACCATCTCGACGGGAACATGAATCCGCTACAGCTGTTAAATCCCAAAGCTTTCGCGAAGGAGAAAGCCAAGTCGGTGAAGAAGACGCCCAACTATGGTACGTGTCATTCTCGTGTCCTCTTCCCAGTCGAGTAATTCGTGAGCTTCACTTGAATCTTCCACGCGCCGCGTGGTGATGCACACGCTCGCCGCTTCACCTCACTTCACCCATTTGCGCGTCGCTCAGGCGGCAGCCGACCGTCAAACTCTATTCTCACTCCTGACCCAACGACGTTTTTTGAAATACCTTCTTACCTGCAACCACCCCCACCACCATCACCATCCATCTCCGCTTCAACCACGAGCAAGCAACAACCCGTCTTGCGCACCATTGTCCTTCACCAACATACTTCTTCCATCTTCACCACCGCCGCTGCCACCCGCGAGACACACGGCAGCATCTTTATCCAGGCTGTGGTGCTCATCGCGTTCCTTTGCCGCCGTCAGAATCCATGATGAATCTCCTCGGCCCCCGCCCCCCCGACACTCACACTGACTTCAACCAACTGTCCATGCCTATCTCTGAACTCACCACGACAGGTCCACAACAAACACGGAAACCTGCGCCTTCTCGGCAGCCTGACTACGACCCAAGATCTCTGCTAGACCCGAGGGCCGTCGCCACTTCGCAAGATGGAGCCAAGAACAACTCGCAATTCAACTCAACAAGCGATGCCGCCGAAGATACCCGATACAGTACTGCGCGCATGATCGAAGATCTCCATGGCGTTCAAGAGCGCGATGCGCCAATGATGAAACGCAAAGCTGTTGCCACTGATCGAGACGGATCCGATGAGGAGCGCAAGAAACAGAAGACCATACGCGCCAACAAAGGTGGTCTTATTAGCGACCACCTTGAGCAGGAGCGTCGCAACATCGGTGCCAGCGCGATTGATCTCACAAACGATGACGCCGACGACGAAGTCATCGAGCAAGGTGTCTCTGTCGTTACTACCTCCAAGACTTTCGAAGACGAGGAGGTGTGTCTGGGAGTGTTTGATACTACTGTCAACGCTCATCGCGTACCGAGCGTTTCGAGCGCTTCCGGCATTCCAAAGTCTCACTGGCCAAACAGTCGCATTACGTACAAGCGAGACGACCCCAAAACAAAGATCATCCATCTAATCGACAATGCCGGCGCACGATTTGGTAGCATGGATATGAGAGCTGCCGTTGCGCTGTCTCCACTCATGGATGGCGAGAACGTCAACCACATGCGTTGCCGCATGTATCTCCTCAATCGCCCGAAAAAGCCCAACGAGTCCTCGGGAATGAGAGTAAGAGTTGATATCGAGAAGCCTCGTGCGCTGACAACCGCTGACCAATTATTTCCAGACATCCCAATCACTCAAGATTACGGTGACTATGTTTTGTCCACGCAAGCTGGCTACCAAGATCGGCATGTGGCTATCGCGACACCAGCTCTTTCTACGCGCACCTCAAGGTTACACCGGCAGAGAGGTCGTCAACCCTCAACTTCCGGTAAACTACGCTCCGGTCGCCAAGGCTGGTGGGTATCAGCCTCAGAGGATGTCAGGAGCGAACCATGTACCCCGTACGACTGAGGAAATCAAGCGTGAGGCCGAGACCATGTTTGATAACTTGGCGAAAGATGAGGATCTTCCAGCTATGGAGAGCAACCCTGAGGTCATCTCCACGCCTTTGATGCCACATCAGAAGCAGGCGTTGGAGTTCCTAATGACTCATGAGCGAGACTACGACGGAGAGGAGATTCCAAGCCACTCACTGTGGAGATCTAAGGTGAAGGATAATGGTCAACCTACTTGGTACCATGTGATCACGGGTCTCGAGATCTATGAGAAGCCAGAGCCTGTTCGAGGCGGCATTCTGGCCGATATGATGGGCCTTGGTAAGACGCTGAGTATTCTGGCGCTCATCGCAGCAACGAAGTCTGACGCAGCTCGATTCCGTCAGGAGCGGCCGGATGACGATGATGTTGATCGCAACGCTCGTGGTACGTTGATCATCTGTCCCAAGTCCGTACTCTCGAACTGGCAAGAACAGATCATTCAGCATACTGTGCCGAAAAGTATTACCGTCTATGCGTACCACGGATCGAACCGTATGCAGGACACCAGTAAGCTGTCTAGGTACGATGTTGTTCTTACATCATACAACACAGCTGCGGCAGAGCTTCAGGATGGCAATCGCGTAAGGAAAGCGCTCAGCAGGCTCAACTGGTTCCGCATCGTGCTCGACGAAGGCCATCAGATCCGGACTCAGACGACAAAGGTCTCCAAGGCTTGCTGTGCTCTGTACGCTCAACGCCGTTGGGCAGTCACTGGCACACCGGTGCAGAATTCCCTCTACGACCTGGGTGCGCTCATCAAATTCTTGCGCATTCAGCCGCTAGACCACCCTCAAACATGGACGCAATATATCATGTCTCCGTTCAAGAATGGAGATACGGGCGTTATCCAGCAATTGCAACTTCTGGTAAGCAGTATTACTCTCCGTCGCGGAAAGAAGACCATCGGTCTTTTGGAGCGCAACGAGGAAATTACTCGCCTTGACTTCAGCGAATCCGAGAAGTTCCTTTACAAGGCTTTTGCAACCACGTGCCGTACACACTTTCACAACATCACAGGAGGTGGCAGTCAGCTTCGTGGGAAAGCGTACGCCCACGTCCTCAAGTCTATTGGTCGTTTGCGCGCCATCTGTGCCCATGGGCGTGAGATGCTCAACGAGGAAGATATGAAAGAGATCGAGGGCGACGACCAGAGCAACGCTATCGTTATCGATGTTGGCGATGAACCGGGATTTGGCGACGAGGATGACTTCACTCCCGACAGCCAAGCCTACAGTCTCTTTAAGGTCATGCAAGACAGCGAGATGGACAAGTGTACACTGTGCAACCGCAAGCTTGGCAAGCAAATTGCCTCGGACGACGTTGTCGATCTCAGCAATGAGAGCGACGCAAGTTCCGATGAGGAAGAGCCTGAAGAAGAGCCAGATCTGCTCGCTTATCTCACGCCGTGTTTCCATCTCATTTGCACGCACTGCAGAGAGCAGTGGGACGAAGCGTGCCAAAAGAGTCTCACGGTGGACAGGCACTACACCTGTCCGTACGATGAGTCGTATCAGCATATTGGCATGAAGCCATTGACTCGACATGGCTACGAAAATCACCTGGACGAAAAGAAGCAGTCGGAGAAACTGCCGACGGCGGCAAAGTGGGACGCGGAAAGCTATAGCGGACCTCACACGAAAGTCAAGGCACTTTTGCACGACCTCGAAGAGTCTGCAATCGAGACCAACGCCCTCCCACCGGGAGAGCCGCCCATCAGGTCTGTCGTCTTCAGTGGATGGACTGCATACCTGGACCTGATTGAATTTGCACTCAAGTCCCGCAACATCGGCTACGCACGCCTGGATGGCTCCATGTCCATCAAGCAGCGCACCCAAGCCATGGACACGTTCAAAACAGATGATCGTGTGGTAGTCATGCTCGTCTCGATCAAGGCCGGTGGTCAGGGCCTCAACTTCACCGCGGCCAACAAGTGCTACGTCATGGAACCTCAATTCAATCCTGGTGTCGAAGCACAGGCCGTCGACCGTGTCCACCGCCTGGGTCAGACTCGTCCAGTCTTCATCAAGCATTTCATCATGAACGATTCGGTCGAAGAGGGAATTTTGAAGCTGCAGAGAAAGAAAGAAGCTTTGGCGCAAATCAGCATGGATAGGAAGAGAAACAAGCTGGAGGAGAACAAGGCGCGTATGGATGACCTCCGAGAACTTTTCAAGTAGGGAAGAAAAGATGGGAGGGAGAGAAGGAAAGAAGTGAAAGAAAAAGCAGACTTTTTTTTTTCTTTTCTTAATATGCTCTTCAGGCTCTACCAGACAGACATGAGCCTACCAGTAGCTCATGAAACCGGAGATATTGGAGTGTTTTCTCTTTTCTTGCGGGTTCGTCATCAATCAGCTATAAATGCTGCACTCGCCTAGCAGCATCTACCTTTACTAGCTGGCTGGCTGGCAGGCAGGTGGAACCTCAGAATGGAAGCAGAACGCACAGAATAGAATGAATGTAATGACAATGACAATTTTCTCCAACCAAAACCAACCCCCCAAAAAAACCCCCCAAAAAAACCCCCAAAAAAATAAACATAATTATCCTACTAGGTCTCTCTCACTCCTTCTTTCCTTTGTTCCTTCCCGTTTCTTTGTCTATCTGTCTGTCCTTTACAATGACCTAAGTCCCTTACCTTATCTTACCTTAGTGACTAGGTAGTAAGTTACCAGACAAGACATATCACTATATCACCTGATAAAGTCAGTCGACTTATATAGGCTCGACTGGAGCGTCAAAAATTGTTTGCGTTGTTACAATACTTCCAAGTACAAGGCAGGTGTGCTTTCGAAAGGGTTTTTTTTTCTTCTCTTGTGCACTGCACTGCAATACATACACTATTAGTTCATGTCAAGCAGGCCACACGAATGAATGATTCGATCCATCTTTATCTTGCATCATTTCCTGTTCTCACAAATCATGCTTCATGAAACCTTCAGCCTCCTCTGCGACCGGCTCAAAAGTACTCGGTACTTCGGCCTCACTCTGGGGCACAGCACTGACTTCAGGCGTAGGCTCGACATCATCCATGTTCAAAAAGTCATCCATGCCTTCCATCCCCTCCATGGCCTCAAAGTTGTTCTCAAACTCATTGGACTCGGTCGTACCGCCTAGGCCTCCAGCATCTTGACCAAATAGCGATGTTGGTTCTGATGGCTGAGCAGATTCGCTGACAGCGCCCGAGCCAGAAGCTTCGGCAGGCTGAGTTTGCTCCTGCTGTTCGGGGTTGGCGTTTTGCTGCTGGGCCCGCTCTGCGCTCACCTGAGGCTGCTGCAACTTCATACTAGCGAACCTGGCCTCTGTCTCTCGTACGCGTTTCCGGAATTGGAGTCTGTCGAGGAACAGCTTCTGACGAGAACGCTCGATTTCGCGACGTTCAGCTTGCAGAAGAGACTCCATTTCGCTAAACTGTTGCAGTTTGAGCTCTAGCTTTTGCAATTGCAGATTCACGGCGGCAGAGACCTGGTTGGTCAGTTGCCGCTCCGTGTGCGAAGCAAGGGCTGCTGATCGCGCAGCAGTCAGACTCAGCGCAGTCGTGGGCAAGTCGTGTGAGCTGGGAGGTTCGCGAGTGGCAAGAGATGTGGTATCGTCAACATCCATGCTGTCCTCGCCCTTCACACTTTCAGCTTGGGTCGCGCTTTCCACTGGCTTGTCCTTTTCTGCACCACTTGTCGAGTGCGTCTCTGCATCGAGCCGTTGCTTCAGCTGTCTTCGCATCTCTTCGACGCTTTTGCCTGCTGCCTTCGCAGTTGTCGCAGGATCAGCCAGCCCCGCTAAGAAGCCCATGACAGACATCACGGGATTGTCAAATTGACTGAAAGGAAGTCGACCACCGGATAGGTATGCCAGATCCTGCATGCCCACGCCATTTGATGCTGGCCCATCTTCGAGATACTTGTCCTCAATCTCGAGCTGCAAAAACTTGAGCACGCACTCCTCCCTTGTCCTTGAGCCCACATGATCTGCAACCTGCTCCCAGCTGTCATCAAACATCTCCAGTCCTTCCAAAAGGAGTAGAAGCTCGGAATCTTTCCATGGCGCTTCTTTGTCGCCTATACTTCGATAGCTCTCGTTCTCAAGTTTTGTGTAATCGGCGGATGTGGTCGAGCTGGGGAAGCGTCCCTCCTGGAAGCACAAGCTGCATAGGTCGTACCGTTGATCTTTGTTGGGTTTCGGCGTGGTGGCTACAGCAGGTGGGTTCTTGGAGTTGTGGTATCGCACTCGTGTGCAATCCTTGCCGCAGGAGTAGCAGAAATACTGCTTGCCATCCTGTTTCAAGCCCTCCTCAATGCTCTTCTCGCCGTTGGCTTCGCTCCCCTCAGTCTTAGCAGGAGTAACGTCCTTGCCCTTGTCATCGTATATATTTCTCCGCACTTCCAGGTTGAGATCGGCTTTGCCTGCTGTTGCGAGCCTGTCGGTACTGGCGTGAGCTTTGCCAGCCGTGACAGTGTTAGCGGCAGGCTGGAGAGGCTGCAGACCCCGAGGAGTATCCGCTGTTATGCGGAAGTGCCCTGTGAATGGTGGGCCAATGTTCGATGGTCGCGTATCCGGATCAATCTGTGCATCTCGTTAGCATGCAAATTCAGAGCTATGCTGCAGTTCGTATACCTGGTAATTGATAAGTCCCCATTGTTCCAAGAAGGAATGAACTCGCATGATGGCGCAAACGTCCCCAGCCAAGTTCCTTCTGCAAGCTGTGACAGTTAGGTACTCGGACGGATTGAGACGATACGTATTGACCATGAAGTCGCGATAGTCCTTGTACACGGCCGGGGTCTTGCTACGATTACGGTTGTTGAAGAATTCTGGCAGCGCTTTGCGCTCCAGATTGTGAATCTCATGCATGTCAAACCACGCGCTGTACGAGGGCAGGATAATGGCGTGGTTCTGGTCGATCAAATGTGATCGCGCAGACTGCTCGGTCACGGCCTTCGTCTGTGCGGGCGCAGGAGTTGCCTCGGGCGCAGCAGCCGCGTCTTTGGTGTCGCCCATCTCCTCGTCCTCCCCAGCCTCTTCAGCGTTCTCAGGCGCAGGCGCGTCCGGCGCGTCCAGCGGGTTGTCTGATACTGGCAGCGCTGCGTCGCCTGATTCAGGCTTCCCGGCTTCCGGTTGTTCTGCTTTGGCAGGCTCTGTGTCCTCTGCCATGGACGTGTCCTGGTCTTGACTCTGCGCGTTTTGCTTGGCGTCCTTCTCGATGGCTGCATTTTCGGCGCGTATGAGCTCATCCGAGGCCTCTCCAGGCGCATTGGCGTCTTCGTTTGCGAACTCGAAATCCATTGCGGCGGTGCGTTGCGCCTGAGCTGAAAGGTAAAGTCGTGGTGCGATCAGCCAACCTCGTCAGCAGGGCACCTTTTTGAATGTCGGCAAAGGCGAAGCCGGTCGCGTAAGTGTGAGAATTGCAATGCTGTGCAGTGCAGAGCGGGAGGGATGGCGTGCGAAATGTTGTTCGTTGTCTTGCGGGCGCGCTTGGGTTGGGTGCACCTTTGAAGCGTGGAGAGGAGAGAACGCGTTGTGTCGGCAGATGCCGCTACCTGTACCTCTGGGATACCTTAGGTAAGGTACCTACTGTTCAACAGAAACTCTAAACATATAACCTGTGCTACCTCCTAGACGAACCGTGCCTTGCTCAACGACTGCATCTCATAATGTTATGCACAACGGAAGTGATAATGGTGCACATATCAGGGTACATACTGGCTGCGGTAGTCACAAATCCTGCTTTGCGCGTTTTTGATTCTCTCAGGTACTCAGGGCTACCCAAAAGTCCCTAGGATATGGCCTTGATCCTTTCGTGCAATGGAATGCAGCGAATGTCTTCAGAGGCACTACATGTATCTGATAAGCTTCTGATTCCATCCCATCATTGTCCAATTTCAAGAAGTCGAGAATCTCCAACCCGGGGCGCTCTTCGTGGAAGAGATCTTCTCATCCTCGGTGTTTGACCGATTCAGTTTCAGCTCTCTCAATCCGCCCGATGGCTGTGAATTCCTGATTGCATATGATGCCGCTGCTACCGCTCCAGGATTAGGAGGCGCAGCAACAGTTTCGACTTGTTCGCTACTCGCGCTACGTTGTCCGTACCACCCGGTCTTCCTTTTCTCAGCAGCCCATGAGCCCCATGAGCTCAGATATGCACCAGCTCGTTGACTCGCAGCGGCCACACTTGCCTGAGCTTGTTGCATATCTGGCTTTTGGAGTCTACTCTGCTGGGCAGCATCATTCTCAGCATTCTGTGCATTGGCCGCCGCTGCAACTCTTGCTTCCTCAGATCGCTTCCTTTGTGCTTCTCTCATCTCCTGGAAATCTGCCGAAAGTTTATTGAATGCAGATGCCACTTGCAAACGTCCATCTGCCAAGCGCTTGCCAACAACCTCTCTCGTCTGGCTGAAGCGTTCGTCGAGATGTAGCTCTGAAATCTGGACAGCCAGTCGACGCTGCACATCTTCGATGGTCAAGCCACCCGCCATGGGATGACGGGGCTCCACGATGTCGAAGAGCTGGCTATCGGTCGTCCTGTTCCATAACTTGTAATTCTCGGATTGTTGCCAGGTTTCCACAAACGTTAGGGAGAAATCTGAGGCGGGATTGCCTTCGATATCCGCGACGAGCAATTTGGTATCACTGTCCTTGTGTGCTGCCATGTATTCGTGATACTTTGTGGCTGACAGGAGTGCTATCAGGTACTCTTCGAATTGAAGTCTGATGAACTCTTCGCTTCCCGCATAGCCGTGGGTGGTAGGCCGACCTGGGTCAAACGCATCCCACGTATCATTTACTGATTGCGTGAGGAAGTCAATCCACCTCCTATCCGCCGTGGTCAACACCAAAGCATGCTTCAGCGCTGGGTTGAGCACTTGCACATTATCCTCGTCTAAGTTGACCAGCAAATCGCAATACTTGTCCTTTTGTTGTAACAGCAGACTATTCGTGCTCCCCACCACATAGCTTTGTGTATTGGCATCCGTGACCATGTCCAGCTGCTGAAGTGGTGTATATGGCCCAAATATGGATCCTTTCCCAAACAATTGCAATGGCAGTCCGATATATGCCAGCAAAGACGCCCGATCGCTTGTGCGGACAGAGTCCGACTTCTGTAAGGTCTCCGCATAATGATCCATGACTGGGTCAGCGCAATCACGCAAGCTACGGACCAAGCCTGGAATCAGCGAGATGAGCGAAAATTGGACCTGACACACCCGTTCGCACTGGGAGCCGAAAAATAAGACCTGTAGTTTACCGTCAGCTTACGGCAGTTTGACAAGGCGAAGGTCTAGTTATTGCCATACCTTCTGCTGCAATAACAAACATTTCAGCATAACCAGAGTCTGCCACTTGAATGTATGCAGAAGCTCCCTCAAGCTAAGGCCAAAGTATTGGTCTCTTTCATCCTCGTTTCTCGCAATATCTTCAACTAGATTCTCTTGAAAGCGCTGCCCGCATTGTCAGCAAAGATACTATGAGCAACTCTTGACACTTGTCACCACTGACCCACCTGCAGTATTTCTAGATCTCTGAAGTCTTTCTGGCCAAACCAGGCTGCCGTGACCGCACTGAGCTTTTCACGCAGCGCACTGAACCCTTCCGGTCGATCGGTGATCACGACTACTGCCTTTTGCACAGCGCTCCGGGTCACTTCCTCGCTCTTCCACGTGAGTGTGCTCGAATCGATCTGGTGCATGCAAGATATGCCAAACACGGAGCTTGGCTCAATGTCCTTCCCTGCAGCAGTGGTACTGCCTTTGTGTACGAGACTGAAATATGAAAACTCCTCCTCGTTCTGATGTGCGCCGTCAGGCAAGGCCATATAAGGTATGAGACCCCAGTCATTCATAGTCACAGGATCTGTGCCATCTTCTACGCCTATCCAGTGCTCGATCTCAGGGCCACGGTGGTGATTGAAGTCCACCACGCAGACCAGAGGCTTGAAATTATCCTCCCGAGATCTTGTAGTACCACTCCTCGAGGTATCCGCCGGTGTAGTTGTAGCCATGGTCGCTAGCCCCGAGGATCGTATTCGCACCACAAGGAGCTGCTCCGAGCCTCGACCCCGCTGGCGGAAGCATGTGAGTCGGAATGTGGAAGAGTATGATGGCGCAGCACTTTGACATGGAGAAGCCGGAGAATTGTGTCTAGTCTATCGAGAACGGCGTAATCTCATGGCTCGGCGGAAGAGGAACTTTATGTCCTCGAGTCACACATGGTGCGACACGTCCAACGGCGTTGCGAGGTGTGGTATCGTACAAGACGTAGGAGGTAGGCGAGTTGCCATATGTTGATATGTACGTCCAGCGCATAACCATCAAGGGTATACCCCATTCGTCGAACTGCAGACGCAGGGTCTTGAGCTCGACGGGCACGGGCGGTGTGCAATGCCAAGTGCGAAGTATCCATTTAGAAGTACCTAGGTAGTGTATGTCTAGGAGGTAAGATACCTACTTACCTACCTTACTACTTAGGTGAAGTACAGTACATTGGGAGGACGAGACACATCCAGAGGACACAGAGGTGACGTGTAGGCGAGGCAGCTCTCTCTTGTTCCACGTGCTACTCAAGCATGGAGATGCTCGGTTTCATGGAGATGGCCCACGTGGGCTTCGGATGTGCTAGATACTTACATACCTAAGGTACCTATGAGCATGTACCTGACCTTCCACGCATACCTACCTACCCAAGGTATGGATCGATCTTCGCCCGTCTGCTGGACACCGGGTGTACGTTGCGCATCTCGAACAACTCGTTCTATCGGGGCTGTCTGCGCTATGAGCTTTTGAGCTTCTCAGTGAGCTCTGGCACCTTTTCGAACAAATCTCCCACCAGTCCCACGTCTGCCACTTGGAAAATGGGTGCATCTGGATCTTTATTGATCGCCGCAATCACTTTCGAGTCTTTCATACCAGCCAAATGTTGGATGGCACCAGATATTCCAGCACACAGATATAACTGTGGTGCAACATTCTTTCCCGTCTGACCAACCTGCAGACTGTTGTCTGCAAACCCAGAGTCCACCGCCGCTCGACTTGCTCCAATGGCAGCACCAAGCGCATCTGCGAGTGGTGGCATAAGCTTCTCAAACTCTTCCTTACTCTTCAACCCTCGCCCACCGCTGACCACCTTCTCCGCAGTGGCCAGATCAGGTCGATCACTCTTAGCCAGGTCTTCAGACACCCATTCTGTAGGGCATTCGGCCTTGGGATCTGTGCCCTCTTCCACCGCAGCACTTCCGCCCTCTGCAGCACCAGACGGGAAGGCCGTGCCTCTCACAGTCACGATCTTGACATTGTCTTCGCTCTGAACCGTCAGGATTGCGTTTCCGGCATAGATGGGTCTGACAAAAGTATCTTCACTTTCAATATCCGTAATGTCACTAATCTGTTGCACATCAAGCAAAGCAGCGACACGAGGCATCAGATTCTTCCCAAATGCTGAATGCCCAGCCACGACATGTGTATAGCCTCCCTTTTTGATATTTTCCACGAGCAGAGGTGCAAAGTTCTCAGGCAGACCTTTATCGTATGCACCGTTATCCACATATATGACCTTTTCTAGTCCATCCACTTTGGAAGCCTCGTCTGCGACCGTCTTGATATTTGAGCCCGCCACGAAGCCGTGTATGCTGCCTCCGAGTTTCTGGGCAGCGGAGATCGAGGCCAGTGATGACATGTTTAGCTTGCCCTCTCGTTGTTCCAGGATTGCGAGAGTCGACGCGAGGCGGCGAAGTGCTTCCCGAGACATTGGTCGCACTGTGGGCACGGCACGCTGTTGCCGGAGACACGTTGCTGCTTGCCGCAGGGCGCCGGTTCGTATAGGAGCGACCATACTGGTGGTGTGAAGTTGTGTACGCTGTGTCTAGAACGGATGGTGTTGTGACTGCATGTGGTGAGTGTTTAATCACAAGAGGCGTCATGCTATAGAACTAGAACTATAGGGAAAGCCGAGGTCGCTGATGGCGCAAAGCCGGCAACATTGACACGTGAATCATGATTGTTGTTCGCATGGGACACATCTCTACCAAACGCTTCTCGCCTTTCCATTTTTTACTCAGGTTCAGATAATTCATAGGGACTAGTAAATAGGCTGGTGGCGCACTCCTGCTTTCTGTACATGCACTTCCTCCGCTGCTGCGTGAACTCCACGTCCACCGCGGGCGCATTCGATTCCATATTCAGATCAATCCTGCTACTGAGCGACGATTGCTGAGATCCGCCGCCCGCATATCACCTGAGCATGATGCTACTAATGAAGGCCAGCTTTGGCCGCCGGCAGGTGTAATATCTCGTCCCGATTCCCGGACGCCTGTGCACCGTCCTATGCCTGTATCGTGGATGTCGTGAGTTTTTTCTATGCAGCTCCGTTTTCCGTGAGGCCGCCTGCAGCAGTCGGATCATTTCCTTGGTCGACATTGTGGTAGTCAAGGATCTCCGAGTACCTGTCACATAAGCGAGTCAGCAGCTATACGACGCATGTTGCATTAAGGACCACAAGCATACATCATGATTTTCCATGTGTCCACGGGCAGATCGGCGTCGTTGAAAGACCAGTCAAACTTCTCTTCCGCCTCTGGTTCGTCGGTAGGATCGTGGTAGGGTGCAAGGTATGGGTCTGCAAGAGCCTCTCCGGCCTTCACACGTTTTCGTGGGTCAAAGACAAGCATACGCTCCAGGAGTTCAATGGCTGGAAATGTTAGCATGCGGCATTGCTCCCCATTGTGGACCTGGGACATGAGCTTACCTTGTGGGTCAGCGTTCTTGAACTTGTTCTTCAGTGGCTGGCGTTCGCGCTTTGGCAGGGATTGCACGAATCTCAAGGTCTAAGGGTACCGTCAGCAAGTCATATCTTAGAACCACAGTCCAGACTACTCACATTCTCGCTGCAGATTGTGGAAATAACATCATCTGGTGGTGTACCCAGGAGCTCAGTGATGATGGAGAATTGGTTGACGTGGTCCTTGCCTGGGAACAAAGGCTTGCCCTCCAACATTTCTGCGAAGATGCAGCCGGCGCTCCAAATATCCACTTCCACATCGTACTTTTGCCATGTGAGCATGATCTCGGGGGCTCTGTAATAACGCGTAGAAACGTAGCCAGTCATCTGTGGGTCTTGAATGCGCGCAAGACCAAAATCGCATATTTTCAGGTCACAATTCTCATTCACGAGAATGTTCGATGGCTTCAGGTCCCGGTGGACGACTCCCGCAGAATGCACGTATTTGAGACCACGCTAACACAGTCAGACCTGATATCGCTCTAGGATATGGGGTGCTCACCAGTATTTGGTACAAAAAGTACTGGATGAACTGCTTCTCCAGAGGTCGTGAGGTAAGCAGCCGGTGCAGGTCCGTTCCAAGCAGTTCGGTCACGAAATAACTGTGAGAGAAGAATAAGCCCAGTTTGTCATCAGGTCCAACTTACCAACGTACATATCCTCCAGAGGTGAGATGAAAATATCGCTGAGGGAGATGACCTGCGCTCAGATCAGTGATTGGCCTTGCCGTAACCCCCGAGGGCGCTGCATACATTTTCGTGCTTCAAATGCTTGAGCAGTTTCAATTCTCGGTACGTCCGCTTCGACAGAACCGGTGTGCTGAAAGGCTTCATTATCTTCTTTACAGCCACGGCCTGTCCTGTAAGCTGATCCTTGGCCGAGCTATGTGCTCGTTAGTCCAGATCTCAACATCGCCGCCCCGTGCAATCTACGCACCATACGAGCCCAAAGGCTCCCATGCCCACTGGCTGCAGATCGGTGTATCTGCGCTCGTCAGTCCTCACTCCCCCGTCTTTGTGTGTTGTTGCCGCGTTGCATCCGCTCTCTTGCCACGAACCTGCTGGTGATCTCGAACGTCGTGCCAAAGATCTGGGCACGTACGAATTCCGCCATCGTGAAGGACGACTTCGCGCTCGCTCGGGCGGTGGAAGGAGGGCGGTGTATTCGAGTATGGGGGTTTGGTGGTAGGGAAACAACAGGTTGAGTTTGATGGTTGGAGGGGCTCGGTCGCGATCGAAGATTTAGTACCGGCTTGCACGTGGCGCTTGTGCTACTTCCACGAAGCAAAACTCTCTACTTCGTCTCCGTTCGCCCTGGAACTTCGAGTCCTGATGTTGGCCTGTTTGTGGCGGTGTGTTGCACGAGATGGATGCAAATGCTGGCCGAGCCACTCGAGACAACGAAACTACCTGGTACGTCGCGGAGTTGATCGACAGCGGGCCGTGAAAGAGATCGAACCTCACGAAAGACAGATGATTCAAGAAGCAGTCGGCTACAGGAGAAAGAACAGAACGAGAAGGAGTTTTCTTGATGAGAATATACACACGAGCATGTTGAGCTTCCAGTCTTCAGCTCATTTTCGTGCGGTCGTCATCGAGACAGGCCATGGCTTCCTGCCAGAGTGAAGCCGAGTGACGGCCTCGACTCCGGCTAGAACTATAGTGTGCTTCAATCTGCTGCAACCAGTAGCAAGCCTTGCTTCGTGCTATCTCAGACGCTCGCCCAGAACTTCAACTTGACGCTCGTGATGTCATGGAAGACCACGCCGATTGTATGCCCATGCGACGTTACCTAACGCTTCACTTTCGTATGGAGGTGAATAGCGAGCATACCTACCTTATGCCTCGTGGTCGTTTGCCTTGCTCTGCGCTTTGCTTCTACCTTAGTATCACGCCGTCTTTAACGAGGACTGCGTTCATGAGCACGTAGAATGTGGGCCACGCTATAGTACCTAAGGTACATGTAGGTACCTAAATGTACTCGGAGAATCAGGATGAAAAATGGCAGAAAATTGATACGAGAATGACTGGATGGCATCCGCGAATCCCTTCGACATTGGACTCATGTGCATCCTGTTCAAACGCCGTACGCGAGCGGTGAGGTGTCTAAAGTCGACAACGCGGGTAGGACTATGTACGGCCAGTGGGGGCTCAAATTCGTCCTCCAGCTCCAAATCGGCCACGCTGCCTGCGACCAATCATCATATGGACACTGGACCGAATCAACCTGGTGTTGTCCATGTATTCGCATTCCGCGACATGGAAGGGCGTGACATGGAGTCCAGCCTGTCCAGGTGGGCTTGGTGGTTGACTCGGCACCTGCTCCACGTTGTGCGATTCCCGTTGCTCACCTCATTGGTTCCCGATAGGCATCTAACACGTGCAGGCCAGGCGCAAGAAGTTAAATCAGCCTTGCGGCAGAGCCGTCTACCCTTACCACTACCACTACGGTGCCTACCTATTAGCCCATTCCAATTCGCAAATGCAGTAAACATGAGCACGTCTTCCAGTGATCGAAGCGGAGAGACAATCTCACGCATGGTCTGCAGGGCAAAGAAGCACTCCGCGTCGGGGCTGGGGATCGGCATCCGCCGAAGAATTGTTACAGGTGCACGCAGTCCTCGGCTGGTCGGGACAAGACAAGTCGACACACAGTAAGACTACGAGGCGGGTAGGCGTATTGCGGCATAGCGATCGGTGCGGCCTGCTGTTTCATTCGCGCAATCTAGAATGTTGGCTGGCCCAGTGTCCTCTCGATGTAGGTGGTGTAGTGGCGTGCATGGAGTAGGTGCAAAACGACATGGGAGAGATTGGATCGAAGCGGTAGGGTAGTCGGATGTATGTATTTGACCAGAGCAGTGTCCTGGAAGTGCTCACAGAAGCTGCATGTCGCTGGCCGGAATAACGTGAGGTCTGCCGAGAGGTGATCCCCACTGGTTATGGACTAAGCCCCAAACTACTAAGTTGTTGGTGGTTCATCATCGTCATGTTTGCAGGAAGCAGGAAGCGGGCGAATTGCTACTGAGAGGTGACTGTATTCTCCGCCAATGTCGTTGTGATTGAGTTGCGCAGCGACAGGCATCCGGGCCATCGAGTGTCCAAAGCGTGACAGCAGAGAGTACCTTGGTCTCGCGGGCACCGCAACCAGCACACCACGGCGACATAGTAAACGTCCAACCACGAGACCAAGACCATAGGACTAGCTGCGGTGTCAGATCGTTGATGTGGGCCGACCTCGAGTTCGTCACTTGAGCCGCTCCGCTCATCCACGTCCTTGCACAATAATCTATTGGAGCTGCACAACCACCGATCTCTGTCGCACCGGGACCACCACCACCGCCGCCTTCTCTACTCGCGCCCAGTGCATCCTCCGCCTCACTTCACCAGCGCGCGGTGTGCGGTTGGCCTCCATTCCACTGCTGCTGCTGCTGCTGCCGCTGCCGCTGCTGCTGCTGCTCGAACTCCGTCGCGGGCAGCCAGCATTCGTACGCAGACACCAGCCACAAAGGGAACAAAGCCACCAGCTTTGAAGCCGTGCGCGCGCCCGCTGGCACATTCCACCCAAGCTCTCGTCTGCAAGCAGTCCGTAGCCGTCGCCGCCGCACGAAACATAAAGCACAACCACCGACAACGACGCACGCCTCCACCAATATACCGGCGCGGGCGCGGCCGGCCATAAGAAGCGGTTTGGCGTTCAATTGGCCAACGCCAGAGCTCATTGGAGCTGTTGGGCTATCCCAACACATCTTGCGAAGCGATGGGTGCGTGTATGTCAAGCGATGTACAAGATGGCGATCAGAAGAAGCGCAGCCAGATGATCGACCGTACTCTAGAGGAGGACTCGAAGAAGCTGCGGCGGGAATGCAAGATCTTGCTGCTAGGTATGGCTATGGTACGGGGGAATGTAGGGACAAGCTGAGCTGACAATGAGCGTAGGGTCCGGTGAAAGCGGGAAAAGCACAATAGTGAAGCAGATGAAGATCATACACCAAAATGGCTACAGTGTTGACGAGCTGGCATTGTACCGGCATACCATATACAAGAACGTGGTGGACTGCGCGAAGGCACTCGTCGGCGCGATGCGGCAATTCGAGATCGAGATCGAGCAACCGGCGAACCGAGAGCTCGCCGACTATGTGATGGAGTATACTGTTGATCCTGACCCGCAACAAGCACTTGACCAGCGAATAGGGGAGGCCATAGCGAGCATATGGAAGGACCCATGCATACCCAAGGTCTTTGACCACCAGAATGAGTTCTACCTCATGGATTCGGCACCATAGTAGGTGCAAATGCTTCCATTCCGTCAGACGACACTAACTGTGTGGCAGCTTCTTCGATGAGGTTGCAAGGATATCCGCTGCAGACTATATACCCACCGAGGCCGATGTGCTGCGAGCTCGAACGAAAACGACCGGTATTTACGAAACACGTTTCCAAATGGGCCAATTGAGCATACACATGTTCGACGTTGGAGGCCAAAGGAGCGAACGCAAAAAATGGATACACTGCTTTGAGAACGTCACATCGATAATATTCTGTGTCGCGCTCAGCGAGTACGATCAAGTGCTGCTAGAAGAAAGCAGCCAAAATCGCATGATGGAGTCGCTTGTGCTCTTCGATTCGGTCGTCAATTCGAGGTGGTTCATGCGCACGTCCATCATTCTGTTTCTGAACAAGGTGGACCTATTCCGAGCGAAGCTGGCCAAATCACCCCTTGGAAGCTACTTTCCTGATTATTCGGGCGGCAACGACGTCAACCGTGCGGCCAAGTATCTCCTATGGAGATTTAACCAGGTCAATCGGGCACATCTAAACCTGTACCCACAGTAAGCCAATGTTCACGCGGAACCAAGAGTAAAGTTTGTGCTAACTCACGTCAGCCTTACACAAGCGACCGATACATCGAACATTCGGCTCGTCTTCGCCGCAGTAAAGGAGACGATACTCCAGAACGCACTGAAAGACTCGGGCATATTATGATAACATACCTACTGCCATGTCCGACATTTGATACGCCATTTACAACCCGACTGATTTGGCACGACGAGGCAGACCACATCTTTTATACGACTATTCCCCTTTTTTTTCAGTGCTATCACCATCTACAGGATATCCCAGCGGGCGTTTGGAGTCAAGTCAGCACAGCTCGAATGCGGCAGAATGTTGGGTAACAAGGGATTTTTGTTCTTGTACTGGGGCCGGCATGTCTGTGGCGTGGCTCACGCTTTGGCTGATGGGGTGGGGATGGGCTCGGAGCCTATCGAGTGGTTGTTTGGTGAGTGTAGATGGGAAAATCTGATCGTTGGCGTAGCGCTTATGTACGCGCCCGCTTCGGATGATATGAACGCTGCACCGATATCTGGAGGCCGTTGTTCGCATCGCGTCTGGTTTGCTATCACTCACAGGCCCACGAGACGCGACATGTTCTGTTACCGTTCACGACTTCTCGCGAGAATAGAGGCTGTCGGTCGGAAGGTGCTGACTGGCAGAGTAATGGAACGGCTTGGGTTCGAGCGCAAAGGGGTTCGACAGGCCTTAATGCTGTTGTGCATGAGTGAGCGAGCGAGCGAGCAAGCATACCTTACCTTCAAGCCTGTGGTTTGGCAGAAATTGCATATGGGCGGTAAGATGTATGCTCAGACGATAGTAGTCCTACGAAATGTTCTTGGCCCTCGAGCTGTTTTCGCCTTTTCGCCATGGCCCATTTGTGATACATGCATGGGTTTCTCCGTCCAGGGCAGTTGTCGCTGTCCCTGTCGGTCCGTGTCGGAATGTAAAAGCCAAGAGTCCGGACACTACAGATTTACAAAATGTACCTGTTGGACGTTCTACTCCCCTTGTGCAAATCATGCATACCTACCTCCTACATCATACATGTTGTACAGATCGTAGCGCATCGTCTCGTGATGTGTCTGTGTCGATGACTGGAGCACGTGTCTTCCATGACCCGACCCTGTGGTGAAGACATGATGCGTCCACGGTTGTTGCCTCGATGCCTCATTCTTTCGCCATGGACCTTCTTGTTTGTGGCTCTGGTCATCACTGCATTGCATCCAACCGGAAGACGCACGGCAAACGAGCACCTGCAACCAAGATCCAGCTTACCACACAAGCGATCTCCCAGCGCAAAGCTCGTGTGCGTACCCGGTACCACGCACGACATACATCACCTACCTGTTCTGAACATCATACTTGACGCTCTCTCTTAGTCGCCCCGCCGAGGTTGCCTCCCGTCACAGCGGTGCAGGACTGGGGCTGCGTCAAGTAACACAAAAGCTGCGGCAGAGCTCCACGAGAGCCGCGAGAAACGGTAAGACAGGACGGCTTCAGCAGACCGCCGAGACGACTTTTTCGAAGTTTTCTTTGCTCAAGGCAAGTTGTTACTACTACTTTACTACTACCTACCACTTCACTTCTGTCGCGTCGCCTATTCCCCTGTTCGCGAGCTTGGGCGGCTTCACCAAGCCTCGAGCCACCTCATGCCTGCTGCCATCTCAAGCGCCCAGCTGGATTAAGGACCTCAACTTCAGCATGGACGTTGCGCTCGAAGCTAACGATGCAACCTTTTCTTCCTCGAAACCTTGGCCGGTGAAGGACGTGGTGTATGTTGCCATTGTGGGAGGCGTCTTTCTGGCAGCCTTGGTCGAATGGTTCCTTTGGTTGATCGCGTTCCTCTATTGCCTGGTCAAGGTCTTCGTCAAGGCCGATGGCAAAACGAAGTGGTCAATCAGGATCTTATCTGCGGTGCTCATGGTCTTCTTTACCTGCATGCGACTCGTCTTTCTGCCGATCATGGTTGTCACTCTTCCTCTGCCCTCGCAAGTCGTTCAATACTTTCCAAGGGAGATGGTCAGCATTCTCCAATGGTTTGCCTTCTGGTCTTTCGCTGGCCTTCTCACAGTGCCTTGGCTGTTCTGTGTATATCAGCTGGTCACACACAACGTCGGCAGAGAGCGAAGAATCAAGACGGTGCTGGACGAGCACTCGGCTCCCAAGGTGGTCATTGTGATGCCGTGCTATGCCGAGAAACCAGAGGTCCTGCTACGTACTGTGGACTCGATTGTGGACTGCGAGTATCCCCCTTCATGTATGCATATCTTTCTATCGTTCGACGGCGACAAGGAGAATGAGCTATTCTTGAAGACGATCGACTGCCTAGGTGTCCCGATAACCCTAGAGCATTACCCAAAGAGCATCGATGTCAAATACCGGCACTGCAGAATCACCGTCTCAAGGTTTCCCCATGGCGGCAAACGCAGCTGCCAGAAGAGAACATACAGGCTCATCGATAAGGTGTACGAGAACTATCTGCGACGGAACGACAACCTGTTTATGCTTTTCATCGACAGCGACTGTATCCTGGACAAATACTGTGTACAAAACTTCATGTACGAAATGAATCTCAAGCCTGGGAGCAAGCACAACATGCTCGCCATGACCGGAGTCATTACCTCCACAACCAAGAGAAACTCGTTGATTACGGTGCTCCAGGACATGGAATACATCCACGGACAGCTCTTCGAACGATCCGTGGAAAGCGGGTGCGGAGCGGTCACCTGCCTTCCAGGTGCACTCACGATCCTGCGCTTCTCTGCATTCCGGCAAATGGCAAAATACTACTTCGCCGAAAAGGCTGAACAGTGTGATGATATGTTTGACTACGGTAAGATGCATCTCGGAGAAGATCGATGGCTCACGCATCTTTTCATGATTGGTGCAACAGAGCGATATCAGATTCAGATGAATACAAGCGCCTTCTGCAAAACAGAAGCAGTCGAGACTTACAAAAGCTTGTTGAAGCAGCGGCGAAGGTGGTTTCTGGGATTCATCACCAACGAAGCATGTATGCTGACCGACCTCCGCCTGTGGAAGCGTTATCCTCTACTGCTTTTGATCCGGCTGGCTCAAAACACCATCCGCACGACAGCCCTGCTGTTCTTCATCATGGTCATCTCCATCATCAGCACGTCTCAAAAGATATCAAACTTGCCAGTCGGCTTCATCGCCGTCTCGTTAGGTCTGAATTGGGTGCTGATGCTGTATTTTGGTGCCAAGCTGGGCAGATACAAGATTATGCTATACCCACTCATGTTCGTGGTGAATCCATTCTTCAATTGGCTCTATATGGTCTATGGCATCTGCACCGCGTATGAACGAACATGGGGAGGACCACGAGCAGACGCTCTGCAGGCGGATGAACAGACGACTCCATCCCAAGCGGTCGCCAACGCACTTGCCAGCGGAGACGAGCTCAACATCAAGCCCGAAACTTTCCGACCCAAAGCAGAGAGCCGGCCACCGTTGATGCCTTCAGAGTCCCTAGATGGACGCTTTGCACCTGCTGAGCAAATGCCTGGCGGCTTCTATAGACAGGGCAACAACCACAACGCCACCGCTCTACGCTCTGATATGACTCCGCGAGAGCAAGAAGCAGTTTCATCCAGCGACAGGCGTCGGGATCAGTCACAGGACTCCTACTCATCTGAATGGAGTTCACGAGACTCACGATACTCGGTTCCGATGCCACGGCGCGTGGAAAGCATTGTGGGACCTGAGATCACGGCCGCGTATCACGCTCGACAAGCGACGCAACGACCAGCGGGCGGGGCTTTCTTTGAGACGGGACAGTTCGAGACAGAAGCAGAGGTGCGGCGCGAGCTGGAAAAGCCATCTTCCAGCATGGGAGAAGCGCGTCGTACAGCCAATCGGCCACATTCTGTGGAGAGTACCAGATCTGATATGTCGGAACATTCGGTAGACATGCACTTTGCACCGGTGCAGCGCCGAACACCTCCACCTCCCGTGCCAAGTTCGGCGCCAAACCCACCACAACCGGGGGTGAAAGCTCCCACGCGCGCCGAGGAAGCTTCGTCTCGTCGCAGCCACTCTCCAGTTGGTTTAGCAGTGCCAGCGTCGGCACATCCATCACGGACGGGCCGATCAGGCAGTGTGACACGAATCGGGAAAAGTCCTCTGACGCGCAAGAGCTATACTCGGCTGGCAACGGACGATGCGGGATCTACGGCTGGGTCTGCTACCGATGTTGTGGTGACAGTGCCTACTCGATCGTCGTTTGATGAGGAATGGTCCAGAAGAGGACGACGACGCAGGAGCAGCATTGGCGTTGATGGCCGGCGACGGCTTAGCAAGCAGCCTCGAGAGAGTCGATCGTCGAGTAGAGCTTGAGACCCGCGGGAGTTGGGTTTGTTTATAAAGGTGGGTGGGCACAGAGGAATCGGAGGGAGGGAGGGAGACGGAGACTTTGCTGCACTCGTCACTAACCTGAGCGCATACAGCATACGCGCCACACGGCTTCGAGGGCACCAATGGCTCTGTTTATACCTTAGGAGGTGCTGTACCAGTCAGTAGCTTTGTAGGTGAAATCACCACAGTACATCTCAGCTGCCTTGTTTATCGTGACTAAGCCAGCCCAATTGTTCCAGGTTGAATACATCCATGTAGGTACGACAAGGGCCGTTTGCGGCCCCTGTAGCAGCCTGGCACGTCATCTTGTCCACGAAGCTGACACCTCGTCGCATGCAGGCGCAATGGCAATGTAAGATAGGAGTTACCTTACCCGAATGATAGGTACAGACATCCCGAAGTCCGGAGTGAGGACTAAGGAAAGGCACTGGGCACGCGCGAGTGGCGCGACGCGTCGAAGTAGATGCCCCCCTAGGAAGTAAGAGGTACCAGAACTGGGCTCGGTTCGACCCCGAAAGCTTAACCGCGTAACTTAGCGCTAGTGGTGGTGTGCTTGGCATTGGCCTCCCATGCGGTACGACTTCACCTCGCTCGTCCAGCTCAGCATGAGGAACGGATAGTGCTTGAGCATACCTACCTGTGTAGGTACCTGCTATACTCTGCAGGTGCACTCTGCAGGTTCCGTGTCGCACACAATGAAATGGACCGCATTTGTGGACATTTCTTTGTGCGCTCGACACCCCATGCGGCCTCCATGCCCGCCCGCCTTTCACACGATGACGGAACCGGCCACGCACGGCAGGAGCGTTGGTCTCCATTCGAGATGGCATTGCGTGCATACATCATGATGTATCCGGTAGGTTAGATACGATAAGGTACATAAGTTACAGGTAGGAAAGGAGTGCCAAGAACGACAGGAGTGTAGGACTACCTTAAGGTGCCTATACCGATGAGAGTGGCTACAGTAGGTCAGGGAGACGGTCTCGAGGGAAGGCTGGAAGGAGCTCACGTCCTGTCCCGAGTGGTTGTTCCTGCCGCCGCTGATTCGAAGCTGCCACTGAAAGAGTGAATTGACCGTAACCGACCTGCAGCACCCCGACCGCACCTGCCTTACGCGCGGTGTCCCTCTCCGCACGCAGTGGCACCTGCCTGTCGCAAGATCGCAATTCCCACCTCAAGCCACTCGGAGCGTCGCTCATGCACCTACCTTACACCTGCACATGTTCATGGCGCACGCGTACCTAGCCTTCCACCCCCCTTCCTCCACCCCCTTCCACTCATCCCGTCGACAACATTGTATGGCCTTGGAGGATCCTTGAAGTCATTCGCTTGGAAGCAATGGCACCGTCTCAATCCCACCGACTGACGAAGCATCACCTACAACCGACGCTGAGAGAGCCCCAACGCAGCTTCGACGGCGGCACACACGAGAGACACACCCAGCAGGCCGGCCGCTCTGCTACCAGTCTCAATGCTCAGGCGTCGGCACAGTCTCTGCGCGAAGCATCGCGGTCGAGCTCACGCGACGGGTCGAAACATGGTCCACCACAGTCACTAGCCTCAACAGCGCACCTGGATATCCCTCGACCAGAGCTACCACGGCAGTACTCCAGCACCCTTTCGCCGCATGCGCCTCCCATACCTTCTCCGCTGGGTCCAATGGCCGCGGTCTCCAGCTCGACATCAGCTGCTCGTAAGACCGGCGATGATGGAAGATCCAGCTCTGGTGGACTCTCAATACCACCACGGAGGAGTCAACGTGCTGCTGACAATGATGAGGCCATACCAGCTGGTGCTCAGACGCCTTCACGAAGCTTTCTGCGACCGGAAGATGCATCCTATCATGAATCGCGTTCAATGTCGCTACAGTCAACGCCAAAGACCGTGCAAGATCTCGGTTCGGATTACACTCGCTACTTCAATCCATTCGCTACGCGATCGAATTCAGCGAATACATCTCAGCAAAATCTGTCGGAAGCAGCCATATCGTCAACGCGATTACCAATTTTCCACTCGTCTCCCAATTTAGCCCCCTCAGAAGCAGCATCTTCGGCACATCTTTGCAATCGCCTCTCATTGCATTCCAACCCGTTCAAGGATGACAAGCGCAAGTCTTCTTCAACCGGTTCACTACCGGATTCTGCTCCCGGTACGCCTACGCCACAAGACACTGATTCTCAGGACAACGAGCACACTGTCTTGAATGCTGCAGTAGTACAGCCGCGAGCTGCTACGCCAAAGTTTATCCGCAACGCAGATCCAGAGAAGGCTGCCTTCATGCCACAGTACATCGATGATCGTCTGGGGGCACCCTACATTCTCTACATGGATGAGAAGGAAGATGATGATGACATGCACATGCCCGCTTGGGATGACGACCGCAAGTACAGGCCGAAATTTCGAGAACGATTTGCGAAGGAAAACATCGTCAATACCATTGGCATCGTCTTTCTGCTCATTGGACTTTGCACCATCTTCATAGTATTGCCTGTCATATCTATCACGGGCACCGCCCTCATTCCATACAACAATGATACTCCCCTGGACCAAATGCCAGGTCATGGCAAGCCAGATCCGTGGACACATGTCAATGACAACGATTACCCACTGCTCGCAAATATCAGGACCGGCCTCGTTGATCCTGATACACCAAGCTCTGCCATGACGCGAAAGAGCATCAAGGGAGATGAGCTGAAGCTTGTCTTCAGTGACGAGTTCAACAAGAGAAACAGGACATTCTACGAGGGCGATGATCCGTATTGGTTCGCGCCCGATATCTGGTACCACGCTACAAACGACTTGGAGTGGTATGATCCGGATGCCGTCAATACAGGTGAGTTCTTGCCACGGCCAACACCCATATCGAGTACTAATATTGTCGCAGGCGACGGGACTTTACAGATCCAGCTCGATGCGTTCGCCAATCACAACCTACAGTACAGGTCAGGCATGTTAAACTCGTGGAACCAGCTGTGCTTCAAGGGTGGCGTATTCGAGGTATCCGTTAGTCTACCTGGACCTGCTGGCATCCACGGTCTATGGCCTGGAGCCTGGACAATGGGCAACCTCGGACGGCCAGGCTACCTCGCAACGACAGATGGCATGTGGCCATACACGTACAACGACTGCGACTCAGGCATCACTCCGAATCAGTCCATGACTGATGGGACAAGTTACCTACCGGGACAGCGATTGCCAAACTGTGTCTGCCAGAACGAAGACCATCCGTCACCAGGCACTGGCCGCGGCGCACCTGAGATTGATATCATCGAGGCAAGTGCAGACTGGGCTGGCAAAGGCTTTGGTGTTGCTACTCAATCGTATCAAGTGGCGCCATTTGACATCTTCTATGAGCCAAACTATGAGTTCATGGAGATCCCCAACTACAATTTCAGTTACGTCAACTCATATACCGGTGGGCCGTTCCAGCAGGCGGTCTCCACCACTACCATGTTGAACAACGACTGGTACGATGGCAAGGCTTATCAAAAGTACGCGTTCGAGTACCAGCCTGGTAGCGGTAAGAACGCTCACGTCACCTGGTTTGTTGGAGACGACGAGATGATGAGATTTGACGCACGCGCCATTGGCCCGAATGGGAACATTCAACAGCGACTCATCGCCGAGGAGCCTTTGTCGATGATCTTGAATCTCGGCTTTTCTCACAGTTGGGTTGACATCGACCAGGCGAATCTTAGGTTCCCAACCACGATGCGGATCGACTATGTTCGGTGGTACCAAAACGAGGCGGATGCTGGCCACGAGGTGACATGTGATCCTCAAGGGTACCCAACGACTGAGTACATCGCCCGCCACCCAGAAGCGTACAAGAATCCCAACTATACGTTGTGGTCAGATGCTGGCTACCAATGGCCGAAGAATACACTGATGCACGGCTGCAGTGCATAGGCTTTGTTCATGATTGGAAACCATGCTCGGCATCATCAATGTGCATACCGCATGTGCATCAGACATCACTATATCCGGAGAGTGTTCATTCAGGGAGAACAGCACACAGCTTTACGATTTGGGGTCTCAGACAGCACAGAGCAGGTATCGATGAGTAAAGGTTCTGGCAAGGTGTTTGAGCTGAGCGGCACTGCGTATGGGCGTTGTGTTGGGCACGGCGGCAATGAGCACGATGCAAGCTTATGTGTATGAACAGTACAGCACATGTCCGTAAGAGACAGTCGTCGATTCCAAGTGTAGTAGTAGATCCACGAAACTGTTAGATATCAGCCGCTGTTGATGGCCTGAATGGAGCGACGATGGCCTCGCAATTGATCGTGATGGCAGCATCGACTCGAGGACAATTTCAGATTACTGACATTGAACAATGAAAAATCCATGGGATACTCAAAAGTCACAGCTGATGGCGAGTTTGTACAAGTTGGGCAAGGTTATGTAACGTTGTATAACACATTTTGTGCAACGTGGGATAATTACCTACCTACATTAGGTAACTTCGCTTAGGTATCCAAGGATCTCATCAGCCTCTCCCTAACTAACCCCACAAACAACAGGGAAAGGGGTGATTTCTTTTGGTTCGGCAAACAATACGTATAGTATATACCTACTTATTACTCCATGCCAACATTATTACTACTACCAGTACTGTTCACTCGCTCGTGGGTATAACTCTTTTCTACTACTTTTGGGGAGGGAATTTCTGTCGTCTTTCTAAATCCTTATTTTTGGGGGGCTTTTGTTTTGTTTTTTTTTTTTCGATTTTTTCGATTTTTTTTTGGTCCGAGATCGATAAGATAGATGATGGGTAATTATTGGTCTTCTTCGAGTGGAGTTCCACGGCGGCGGCAGCAGCAGCAGCGATGGAAGAATAATCATTCTGATCATTGTCGGTATGGTGGCGGTGGTGGTGAGGAGGGGGAGGGGGGAATGCAGGAGGAGGAGGATGATGATGATGATGAAGATGGTCTCCCTCGAACGGAAGAAGAATTACGGAAAAAGTATTTTGGTGGTGGTGGTGGTGGTGGTGATGATGACAAGGGGCATAATGACGAGAAGACAAGAGGGAATGCATCTATCCCTTGTGCTCCTCCTCCTGCTCCTTCTCCTCCTCTCAGAAAAGCAGAAATCCACTGCGGATACATGCTACCCACACTACTCTCTCTGGCACAGCAGGCGCAGCAACAGCAACAACAGCAACAACAAAACCCAAGCCCAAACCCCACCAAAAACCAGAACCAAAAATCTCCACCACCTCCTCCTCCTCATATCCTCCAAATCCTCGACATCGGCTGCGGATCAGGAGAAATCACTCTCGATTTCGCAGAAATGTGTCCTTTTGCCCACGTCACAGGGATTGATGTTTCCGGCGCCGTGCTCAATTCCGCTCGGGCATATGCCGAAGTTCGCGGCGTGACGAATGTGGAATTTGTGCAGATGAGCGTGTTTTCGATGCCGGTGGAGTGGGCGGGGAGATTTCATGTTGTACATACGCATCAGGCTGTGGCGCATTTTGGGGGAGGGGGAGGAGGAGGAGGAAGAGGAGGAGACGATGAAGATGAAGAAGATGATGAAGATTATGATGGTGGTGGTGGTCGTGGTGATAAAATGGTGCAAAGAGGAATTCGAGAAATGATTCGCGTGGCGAGGAGAAGTGGTGGAGTAGTGTGTATGCGCGAAGGAAATTTACAAAGCGCAAGATTTCATCCCGAGTATCCGCTATTGGAAGAATGTTTCCGGGTGATTATTGCAGTGCACGAAGCCGGTGGAGGCGCGGCGGATGCGGGAAGGCAATTGAAGCGTTGGAGTAAACATTTCCGAGGGGAGACGAAGATGTTGTTGGCAACACAGAGCGTTTCGAGGTATGATACTCTTGAGGGACGCAGAGGTTATGGTGGGCATTGGCCTGCTCGATGCTCGCGGGGGATTTTTGCGCAGAGAGCGATGGAGCTGCGGGGCGTATCCAGTCAGAGGTTGGACGAGTATGCGTTGGCCTGGAAGGAGTGGATGGAGGACGAGAAGGGCATGTTTGCGATGATGCATGGCGAGGTGATTCTCGAAGTCACTTGAGAACGGGATTGTTCATCCTATCACACCTTACCTACTCATCTTCTACGGTTCTCGACTCACGCTTGTCAACCAGATCGCATGAACTGGACTATCTACAGGGGCTACTACCACATCAACACAAGATGATTACTCAACCACTTGGAACAGTAATTTGCTACACAATTTGGGACACAGCTGGTAGACCCAGGGGCATAGGCTGGGTCTATCCTTTTTCGAGATCACATGGCTCCTGCTAGCAATTGGACTCTTGATGAAGCAGCCAGTAGTACAAGTGCAAGTGCAAGTGGAGGGGAGGGGAGGGGAGGGGAAGGGAGGGGATTCGGCAACGAGATGCATGTCGTCAAGGCTAGGCAGTGTTTCAAGTCCATCAAGTCGAATGCAGTGCGAAGGACACACGGTCAAAAGGAGCTCGATACGATGATGAGTTGCCCGTGCGGATCGACGATCGAAGCTGTCGTGTGTCCTGCAATACGGGCCACTGACCTGGTTTGGGATAGTTGCAGTTCATCTGTTCTCGACTCCGACGGAGGTGAGATCTATGGCACTTCAAACTTGCGAGGTCAATTGTCTTGACGCATGGATTTGGCAGCAGTGCTACTTTGATGAGTGCCACTCGAGCAGCGACAATGTAATGATATGGTCAGCTGGCTGTTGTATGTAGCCCATTTCTTTCCAATTTTAGCCCCGAAGGTCCCTGTACAAAAGTGAAGCTTTTCCAATGTCATATCCACCAACACCACGCTGAAATACTCGATCAAAACCATACAACTATCGCAACTCCTGCTGCTTCTGAAATGCCAGGTCCATCAGCCTCTTGCTCAATAGGCTTTCGTTGCCATTTTTACCACTTCTCCTCTCCCTGCTCCTGTCGCGCTCAAAGACGAAAGGATCATCCAGTCGAGGCATACTGCGCGTCATCTCATCTCCTTGTGTGGAAGTGGGTGACATGGGCGATCGCGTGCCCTGTGAGCCAGAGTCAACGTCCATATTGTCACTGAAGCTACGACTAGCAGGCCGTGACTGCAAAGTTGGCAGCGTTGTAAAGTGACGCGGAAGTGTAGGCGTGGGCGCATCGTATTGCTGTTGTGTCAGATGCTCGCTTGTTGGCATGGATTGTGCGAAGTCAGTCGAAGAAGACCATCTGCAGCCAGCAATTGCAGGATCAAGCGCACTGCGCCTTCTTAATTCGTCCTTCGCAGGCGTAGTAGTGGTGCTTCCCGGCTTTGCCTCTTTTCCTGGTTTGTAGCTAGAGAATCTGGGCTCTGGCAGCTGAACCTCGCTGAGGAGCTTCTCCTTGCCATCAGGCACTCGATTGGCAAACACCACTCGAACTGACTTGTACAAGAAGTATCTTCCTTTGGAAGGACAGCAAATATGCAGGTGGATCAAGTATCGGAGCACGGGTTTGTCATTGACATCTCCAGTAGGATTGAGAGACGCTTCAGGCCGGTCCGTACCATAGTTGGTACGCGAGCTTAGAGGCATATCAATGATCGGTCCTGCGGAATAGCTGCGTTGGCGTATGAAGGTCTTTTGGCCAGCTTCCATGTCCGACAAATCATATGGCACAAGGAATAGCTTGACTGCAGTCTTGTTGGGATTCTTGAGTACAATCTGAAGCTGACCTTGCTGCGGTATACGATAGCTGCCACCAGGTGGGGCCTTGGGAGAGCCAGAGCGGCGCTTCTGTTTTGTGCGCCTGCGACGTCTTGTTGCATCTGAGCCTGATCCGCCCGGCGAATTCGCTCGACTTCCTGCGTCGCTGTTTGTCGTTGCTCGCATTCTGTCTCTGCGTCTATCGCGCACCTGCTCATTGTTCGGCAGGTTGTTTTCAAGATCCACCAGGCCCACGTAAGGACTAGGCTGATCGAGTGCCGGTGTCTTGGACGCCCCGCCGTAGCTGTAGAACACAGCAGGGAATGGAATCTGTACATGAGGCGGGCATCTAAGATTCGGCTTACATTCGCCTTTCCCAAGTACTCCAATCTGAGCCACAAAATTGAGTGGCTTGGAAGGCGTGGTGGACATACGACCTCGAAGGATGGATTCTTCATATGAACCTACCAGGGGAGCATGGTGAAGTGGCGAGTCTGTGATGGACGGCCGTCGCTGACCTGCCACAGGTGACTGACTTGTGAATGGAGACGATGGATTCACAGAACGTCTAGGCTGATGGGCCTGATAGGGGAAGGTCTTCTCTGGGCGCAGTGCTGGCGCAATACGTGCTGTCGTGGGGTAATCAAGTGACGATTGCAAGTGGTGAAAGGATCTTGGCGAGAATGTATGTCGACGGCTTTTGTCTGGGCTTCGCGAATGATTACGAAGTGGTGGTTCTGGCGTATCAGGCCGCGAGGACTGCACAAGCGGGCTGGTAGGAGGCTTATAGACGAAGCTCGCAGCAAGTGAAGCATTCGAAACTGTACGAGGTCGCTCGGGACGAGGTATTGGTATAGATGAAGTCTCGGCATGCGTTGCGCGCTTGTCTTTGTGGGACTGTCTATATGTTGCGGGAAATGCTGGATGCCACGGCACGACTGGTGAAGTCGATAGTACACACTGCTGTTCTTGACTAAGCGTAGTGCGGCCCCCAAATCGATCAGGAGTTGTCTGCTCCCTGAAGTCACCACGGTGCAATGCTGATCTCGGTCTTTCGATTTTCAGCCCTGCCGCCTGATTGTCCTGCTGTATTTCGGGTGACTGTGGTTTGGCATCCTGAACTGCTGGCGGTCCCTGGAACGGTACAGGCGACTTCCACTTCCCCTCCAGTCCATTCGACGTCGGTCTTTCTAGCTCAGGTGACGCTGGTCTGGCTTCTTTGCTCTTGATCTTCGCGAGACGGCTGTACTCGCTTGAGGGGGGCTTCTCCAGCTCAGGAGACGACGGCCTCGACCCACTCTTGATCCTCCTAATGAGCTCCTGCCTATCTATCATGCTCGTCTTCACCCCGTTGGCCGGTGTTCGTGGTCGTCCGGTGTAATATGGATTGTAGATTGTTGGACTCGACCTGCCCGTCTCTGGGCTCACCGCCCTCGATTTCGTCGGACTGTTCGCTTCGTGCTCATTGTGGCCAGTGCTGGACTGTTGGCCAAAAGCTGTCTGAGAGCCGGGATAACCGTTATTGACTGCCATTACTTGCTCGAAGCCACGAATCTGGCCTCGAGCCCTGTCGAATTGCCCCAGGGACAGGAGCGGTAGCAGTTGCGAGTGATGACCGACGTACCCAGGAGACGACGGGTGGCTACTCTGCTGTCTGTTCTGAGAGGATTTCCGTCTTTCTCAACAAAGTGGGACGAACAAGGAAGACGTCCGAAGTGAACAGCGTAATATACCTGTTTCAGGTGCACGGCACCCTGGTGGACTCGGTGGAGGCAGCACAGACGCGGCTTCGGGGTTTATGACTGTATCACCAGTGTGCGAAGGGTGGGGCGACGGCTGTTATTTCACTCTTCAGAAGAAGGTTGAAAGAAGAGGAGCAGCCGACTCCGCTCTCGTCCTCTCGAGAGGAGGAGTCACCGTGCAAAGGACGAGTGACCAGCACCACGATTGACGTCGGGACGTCCGGTGCGTCTGATCACCCGACACGCTTTATCGTTATCGTCAGCCGTTGCTCCCGTTGTGGAGAGGACTAGCATAGTTCTAGTAGTTCTAACCTTGAATTGGATATTTTCTACGACGTTGGAACGGCAAGGCAAGACAAAGACAACAATATTGCCACATAATACTACAGAAGATGTCTGAAAAGAGAAAACGCGATGGCGACGACCGTGGCGGCGAGAAGAAACTACACAAGAAGGGTTTTCAAGTGGGCCCTGCAAACCTGCCCGATGGCACCCACAGGCGGAAAGGTGAGTTAAAAACACATGCGCGATACGTCCGACGGGTCGGAGATGTTGTGTAGAAATGGCTTACAATTTGAGCAGTGCAAAAGATCAAGGCCGACTTGATTGGCAAGGCGAAGATTTGGAAAGATTACGAGAAGCTGAAGAAGCATGGGAAAGTGCCTGAGAAAGAGGAGAGCATACCCATTCCCGCGTCAATGGCAGCAGAACTCGAGCAGGGAAGGGGTGAAGACGAGCCTACGGTCGCGCCGCATCCGGACCGCCAAATTCTTATGGATAAGGACGAAGAGCTAGAGCCAGAGCCGTCGCAGCGACGAGAGCGCAAACCTCGAGAGAGACGATCAAAGGAAGCGCCGTTCAGGAAGGAGTACGAGCAGGCGCAGCAACGCAAAGCAGAGGCCGAACAGAGGCGAAAAGAGCGTGAAGAAGGGCAGCGTCAAAGGGAGAGGAAGATTGCAGAGCGCGAGAAGTTCCGAAAGCAGATGGCAAAGGCTAGGACGGGAGGCAAGAATGGACAAAGAAAGCTGGGTCGCGAGAGTCAGCCGTTGCTAGACAAAGTGAGGAGAATGATGAGTGAGACGTGAGAGATGCCGTTGGTCGGGCGATTTGCGCAACGAAATAATCAAGGCTCCAAAAGCTGTGCGACTGCTACGCTAAAGGGACAGCACGAGCAGTCATCACTCTCGTCTTCACTGCTATAGTGCTAAAAGCAAGCCGGTGACCGAGCCTGGGTCTCATAGCGGCGACTGCTGGATAAGCAGATTTCATGGGTGTGCGAAGATCGAGCCCAGGGCCGCGCAGTCCAGCTTGTCGTAGGCGCAACTGCTTTGGTAGCGAAAAGTTGCCTGTACGACGCACACGACGTGCCGAGGGTGGCTCACAGGCCTCGATCTTGTAACCACAAGGTATATTATCAGAATGCAAGTTGACAGCAACACATCCACCTGCATGTAGTGAGTAATTTTAGTGGCGAATCCCCCCTCACATGTGCAGCCATTATACTTAAAAGGGTACTCGATACCCGCTCATTGACCCAGGTCCTCTCCTCCATACTGTTCAATACCCATCGTTGCTGCGATTGCTGTCCGAACGCGCTTCTGAGTTGCCTTGCCAGCCTCACGAATTGTCGTACACTCCGAGCACGCAACGTCGCTCTCACCCTTACCCTTCTTGGCCTTGGCGCACCCGGTGCAAATAGACCAAGTCACCTTGATGAGCTCAAGCACAGATGGAAGATTCGAGCGGCCTTGCCTGAATTCGTGGAGTGCTGTCATCATAATCTTGCAATCCGCGGCCAGCTGTTTCACAGACCAAAGGTGAGGCCCCCCTGCAAATAGGTCGTCAAATTCACGGTATGAGATGTTGATGGTCCGCAGCCCATTCACGTCCTTTAGTTGGAGGAACATCCCACGCGCCTTTGTCTTCTGATAGGCATGCGCAAAAAACGCAATGTGACGAATATGAACTCGGATGTCTCCCAGGCGCGACAAAAAGAGCTGGCACGTATTGAACTTGTCAAATCTGAAAGTGTTGCCACCGTACATGGCAGTGGAGGCTTCTTGTCGGATCTGCCTGTTCACTTGCATAACACCGATGTTGTTCGTAGTTCCATGTTGGAATTTCCGCGTCTCTGGATTCCAGAAGCCAAGGTCACGTCTGAAAGCAAGCTGGTAGCTGACAGCATGCCGTGGCGCGCCTTTGGGTTTGTAAGTAGTGATGTCTATGGGTCCGGGATCCAGCAGCAGTTCGTCATAGATCATGCGGCGAATATCAAGAGGCAACTCTAGGAGCTGGAAGTATTTCGTGTAAGGTTTGAGGACCAAGACATGACTGCCACGGAGTGGCCCGTCAGTAATCGTGAGCTTGAACGGACCGGTCAGTGAGATAATAAGAGATTCTAGAGTGTCTGCTGTCCATACCGGCTCAAGTTCAAAAGCATAACTGTCATGAATAGTGACAGAATGCGAAAATCCCCCAGTCTCTGTATTATACTGTAATGCTGTCAGGCCGATTCCAGACATTCTCACTGTGCAGACCTACCTACCTTTGACATTTGCGCAAAGTGGCCGCCAGAGGTTGGGACCGTCGATGTGACCCATGGAGCGAAGCCGGGCGCACTGCGAGTGTCTGTGATGTCTTCGGCGGCCTCTGTAGGTCTCGTTTGCTGCTCAGCCCCAGACATGTTGTTGAACTGGTGGGAGGATGGCATGATATCCTTGCCGTTGGGAGGTTGAGGTAGAAGGGCAGACATATTGGAAGCGGTTCGACACACATGTACTACCTAATCCTTCGGGAGTCAGCGTTGTGGAGCAGGCAGTCATTTTCACGCGTGCGGTACGCGTCTGAGGAAGTTGCATTTGAGGAGCCGCGTCTTAAAGAAGTCGCATTCGAGGAGACGCGCCTTGAGGAAGGCGTCGAGCGCAATGTCGACTCGCCTCCACTTCCCGTTACCGCTCTCTATCCAATATTGAATTTCTCCTTCAGCCACTTCTTCACCTGCTCATTCCCGCCTGTGCCCACCTTGCTACCCAAGCTCGTGACTTGCAACCCATCGAGACTTCTCGCCCGACTCAACGCCACGTACTCCTGACCTTCCTCGAAGGATCGCCCGAGGTCCACGATCACCTTGTTCAAAGTCATGCCTTGGCTCTTGTGGATTGTCATCGCCCACGCCGCTGTGAAGATGAAGACGTCAGTACATGTAACTCGAGCCATGGCCATCATGTCATATGAGCTGTGCTCGTTCACGGACTCCACTGGGCCCATCCCACGCGGACTTACCTAATAGAGGAATCTGGGTCCTGGCCATGAGCGTGTATGGCTTTTCATCTCCGAATTCGTTCACTTGACAGTCGGCATAGATCGTGCGCCGGATGCCGTTATCAAATTCGACGATCGGCCACCTCTTTTCCTGATTGCATGGCTGCAGGATGAAGTCTTTGATCTGTCCTTCTCGCAGAGATGCATACTCACCACGAAGCTCGCCTTGCACAACCGTCTGGCTTGGCTCTGGGGAGGCGTCTCTACCGCGTCGGGGCTTCCTACTCCCTCCACTCCGTGAGGACGAAGCCACACTGTCGCCCTCGCGTAAGGCGGCCTTTGGCAGCTTGGATTCGGCATACGGCTCAAATCCGATGACCCGGCCTTGAGATCCGTTGACTAGCCCATTCGCAATGTCCAGATTGACGAGTAGTACGACAAGCATGTTCGCTTTGAAGGAAACCAAATTTTCGAGGCGATGTTCCCGAAGAGCTTCCAGTGAGTTGTCTACTGGCGACCGTCTGCCTTTCTCGCGAAGATTGCCGTGCTCTTCATTCCAGCGGAAGTAGTCAAGACATCTGTAATCACGTTTCGCAGTGTTCAATCTGTTGAACTCAGTTTGGTTGATGCGCCGCACTTCTTCGCGAGTTGGAAACAGCTTGACCGCATTCTTGACATCGCAGGGATGGTTCAACAGCAGCTGACGATCCACATTGCTAAGTGGTACCCCAATTCGTAGCTTCTGTAGGATTCCAATAAAGACTGAATCGCTTTGTCGATGGATGTTGGTCAGATTCACCTAAAGAGCGGCAGAACGTGGTCAGCAATTGTCTCAGACACGCTAGGGGATTTGTGCGGCGAGTTTCTCACATGCTTGAATTCGCACTCTTCCCAAGCCTTGCTTCGAAAAGCCCACTTATCGTCATCGTTGCAATCTCCATGCTGTGGACAGCGGTACAAAGTCTCTCCATTGTCGCCAATTATGCGATTCTGCTCACGACCACAAATCATGCAATACTGGAATGGCTTAACCGGAGGCAGTTGGCAGAAGTCGCCAGTCACGACCAACTGAACACCACCGAAAGGCTTGTCGCTGCCTCGCGCTGCTTTCATGATATGATTTAGCCTTGCGAGCAGATGATTCTCCACCATACTAATCTCGTCGATAACGAGAACATCAGTGCTTCGGAATCTCTTCGAAACGAACTTTCCATGAGCCGCGGTAATCAGATCTTTCAGCGGCTTCTTCATATGACCTGGAGTCCAGCCTGCGAAGGTCCAAGTCGTAGATCCGTTGATATCTAGTGCAGCCTTGCCAGTCGGAGCTACGATCTTCACAGTCTTGCCTCTGTCCCGTAGGCATGCTGTGAAGGCTTTCAGTACAGTCGACTTGCCACAGCCGGCGCTACCAGTATAGAAGACGTTGTGCCCAGCTACAATCAGGTCAACAACTTCCTGCTGCTCCCGACAAAGCACAGGCTCCCCTTGGACAGGTAGCGGCGGCACTGCTGGCTGATATGTAGCCGGCTGCGCTATTATCTGGGGCGACGAACTCGATGTCAGGTTGACGGCTGCCCGTGTTGCCAGCGGTTTGTCCGAGCAGGGGCGTGCTACTTCAAGGGGCTCCGTAGACCTCGACTTCAGCTTGGTGAGATTCGCTTTCGGGGCGATTGTTGGGCATGGTTTGAGCGGCGGCAGATCAAACACCTCGAGGACATCATAATGATGCAATTGTGCTTCGAAGACTGTCTCAGCAGCACTAAGCCTCAGTCCTTCAAAGTGTAGACATACTGCTTGGCCAGTGGGAATGCCGAACTCGTTCTTTGCAACCGTGGCTATGCTCTTCATGCTCGTGTTCTGGACTCGTCAGCGTGGCCTTCTTCATCGTGGGCTTCTTCAAAGCCACTCGCACATTGACTTACTGGCGGTACCTCCAGCCCGCAATTGGGCTTCCTATCCCTTTGAAGTATGAGCTTCACAGTGCCGAGTGCACTGAGATCCACCTTCATGGTTTGCCCGGGAAGATGATTAGCCATTCTTGTATTTTTGTTCCGGGATGGGGAGTACGTTCGACGCATCTTAACTCGCTTTCTATCGTGTGGAGCATCCTCATCGATGGAAGCTGCGGTCGTTGTGACTGCTGATGGAAGCGGCGGCGCACGCCGGGGTGCCTTTCGGGCGGTTGTTGTTCTCTTAAGAGGCATTAGGTCATCATCGCGAGTCTTTTTCGCACGTATCGCCGCAATACGTGATTCAAGGGCATCAGCTTCCCCTTGTAGTGTCTCTTCATCGTCCGAATCTCGTTGCGTTTGAGTCGCCGGAACCTGAGCGGTCGATACCGAGTTCTTTCTTTTCCGTTTGTTGCTCTGCATGGGAGACGTGCTGGAACGGGACCATTTATTGCGCGAAGCCTCTCGAAGTGGGATCCTTGGTGGTGCATAGCCTGACGTTGGCGCTGCGCTGTTTCCGACCGGCATCGCGTTTCGGATTCTTGCCACCTGCGCCAAGGGCTGTCGGTTCAGCATCTGCTGAAGTTTCTCGATATGATGGAGGTTGATTTCCATGCGGAGCGCAGTGGCCTGCTCATAGATAGTCCTGGACACAAGCCGTGTTTGTAGGCCACTACTCGCCGCGTCCCGTGCTTGGATGGATTCTCGCGCAGACAAGTCCGTCAGCAACCAACGTAATTGCTCATCGTATCCCACGAAAGGGCTTCTTTGGGAAAGCTGGTGACCTTCCTGTACGAAAAGATCCTGATCGTTCAGGGCAACACCACAAACCTGTGCCAGCTGTGTGAAGAGAGTGAAGCGCAAAAAATCATCAACGCCGTGCTCGACACACCATTGCAGGATGGCTGTTTGATCTTGACTTAAGATCCGACGACACGAGGCGCCTTGGGGTGTCAGCCATCTGGTTCTCGAGCCATCGAAGATCGCTATGCAGTCGGTTGTTGGCTGCTGGACATAACCGAGCATCGCAAAATCTCGTGGCGGTGGAGTCGGCACGCGAAGACGCACGCGTTTTATGTAGGCGCGGAGAGGCTCCGTTGCTCAATGGTAGGTGTCGATGCAGCCTGTTAAAAGATTCGACGGAACGATGCTCGAGTCTTCTGCTATTAGTAAAGCTATAAAGAATCCTGTCCTTTGGTGAAGTAGTGCCGATGTCGATGTTAATGTCGATGTCGATAGCGATGTCGATGTCGATGTCGATGTTAAAGTCGATGTCGATGTCGATGTCGATGTTGATGTCGATGTTGATGTCGATATTGATGTCGATGTGCACATAATCCAATGTGTGTTGCGAGGATAGTTGAGGATGTCCGCAAGTACGTTGTAACGCGTGGGGGATACGCGTCTCGGGAGAGCTAAATGCCAAGCCCCAGCGCATTGGCCACCATATGTTGGTCTGAGACTTTGAGACTCTGAGATTTATATCTTCAGACCTCCGGCTAGTCCACAATAAGAAGATCTGCTTAAATTCACTCAACAAGGGTCAACCTTGACCGAAAACACTCACCTCAGCCATGAATGACGGCCCCTGATCGTGCTTATTCAATCCGGAGGGAGCTTGGTCTAAAGTACATACATTGCCCTCAAAGTGAATGGGCTACAAGAATATCTACACGTCACACGCTGGTATTAATTACCTCCTCTCTGTAGCGCAAATCGCATCCCCTCTTTACTGGCTCGTCAAGTGATCAACAGCCTGCAGTTCAAGTCAGCAGTAGCCACAGACGTTCACGACAATGGATGTTTGGCACTTACTCTGTTAATGTCATAATCAAATTCTTCCAACGCAGCCAGAGCCTGTCCTCTTGGGTATCCCATACCTGTCAATCTCTTCAAAATTGGATCATCATGCTCGGTGCCAGGCGTCAAAGCACCGCCTCGATTCGGAACACTTTTGGGAGGCTGTGCAGCAATTGAGCCTGGCGGGAACGATGGTTTCGAAGCATGTGGCGGCGTTGCAGTAGCGGTTTGTGTCACGTTCGCACTTTCGCCCCATGGATCACTGGGGTTGAGAGTCGTGTCAATCTGCTTGCTGTTATCCAACCCCGAGAATATCGCATCCCAATCATGCTGTCCATTCTGTGGGCTCTGGTGAATACTGGAGCTGCTGCTCGTGACTGCGGGGTTGTCGAATGCTGACCGAGAGGATTGGTGGTCAGCAAAACCATTCGAGGACGCGCTTCCGCCCTGTAGGTTACGATCGGCAACTACCGGCGTTTGTTGAGATGAAGCCATGGTGGTGGTCATACTTGTCGCGGGTGAGTCAAATGTCGGGCTGAACTCGTCGCCTACTCCATTGAAACCAAACTCGAAATCTCCCCCAGTCTTATCAGCCTCTTTAGCTTCGGCAAGATCGTCGAAGTCATCGAAGTCGTCGAATGCGCCCTTTGTAGCTGAGGCTGTAGTGGGCACCGAGCTCGTAGCTACGCTTGGGAATGGATTGGCATCGCTTGATGTGGCAGGTGGCGTCTGTAAATGCCCTTGCTTGCTAGACTCTGGTGCTACTTCGACTGCTGATGCCACGGTCTGTGATGGCCCATGCGCCTGTGAAATGCTCGTCGGGTCTTCTCGGGAGGGTAACAATCCATCAAATTCTGATGGCAGCTGGTTCTTCTCGGCCTGTTCGCCGTGTCCACCGTGTGAGACTTTGTTGCTAACTTCCTGCACAGGGGACGAGTCCTGAGCGTTGGGGGCTGGAGGATAGGTACTTGATAATGGATTCGGGAAAGACGCAGCCGAGAGTGCTGCTGCCGACGTAGAAGGATCTTCCCCAAGGCTTCGGCCCCCTGTTGGCGGTGCATGAGATCTCGGCGGCGAAGCGGCTGTGAAATCGTCATCGAAACCTCGGGAGTCTTCATCGTCACTGCTATCACTCTCGCTGTAGTCACGTTCGAGTGTACGGACCGGTGGAAACTCAGAGCGACCAGCGCCGGCCCCTGGTGCGGTCGCCACCGATGCACTAGGCACTGCGAAAGGATCATCGTGTTCCGCGTCTTTGGACTTCTGGCCGTCACCGAATCCATCGAATGCCGAGTCAAAGTCGTCTTTTGCAGCAGCCGGGGTGACTGCGCGTGACGCAAGCGGTGTCTCATCCACCGGAAACGCACCAGGGACGCCCTCTGTTGCCGCTGTCTCCGTGGTCGGATCCTCTGGGAAAGCTCCAGATGGACGCAAAGAGGTAGCGCCAGATTGAGGAAACACATCTCTAAGGGTACTAGTATCACCGGCTCTGCTTGGCGGCGGTAAGACTTTGGTAGAGTCGTTGTCCATTTCTTTGCTCTTGTCCTCGGGCGGGACGATCGGTAGCTGAGAGGCCGAGAACTGCCGATCTTGAGGGGGCGGTGGTGGCTCATGTACAACGGGGCTCTCATTCGCCTTCTCAGACAGAGGAGGCGTGGCTGCAGGTGTATGCTGGCCTACCGAAGACACGCTCTGTACTGAATCTGACATTCCAGTAGCCGCTGCGGCACCCAGCGCAGCACCACCGGCAACACCGCCTACGGCTGGGAGCGTACGAGCGACGAAGCTGGTCGCAGGAGGAGTGCCTGTTCTACTGCTCGCTTGTCCTTGTGGTGCAAAGGCGCCAGGAGGTCCAAACAGTGCGTCAAATGCGCTCGGCGTGGGTCCAGTGCCAGTCGCTTGCGGACTCAGGGCACGCTGCTCGCCACCTTCATTGCTCGACTTCCTAAAGAAAGGGTTGTTCGCGCTAAGAGTGCTAGCTGGACTTGCCATGCCTGGGCTGACATAGCCCGATCCCAGACCGGACGCTGGAGCTTCTACAGGCTGTGCTCGTGCGAGCTCATCTCGTTCTGCCGCCTCGCGCTCGAGGGTCGATTTCTCAGACATAGCCTGGTCCCGTGCGCCCTCGCTCGTGGCAAGCTGCTTTTTGTTAATGCTTACCATGCCCTTTTGCTGTCTTGCTTCGAGCTTCAGCTTTTCAATCTCCGGCTTCAACCTTGTCACTTCAGCGTTCACCTGCGACAGGCGCTGCTTGAGACTGGCATTCTCTTGCTGATCGGCTTGGAGCTGCTGCGAAACAGTCTGATGCTGTGTATGTAGATCTTGGTAATTGCCTTCGAGAAGCGCTAGCTCCTGGCTTAGCTTCTTGGTAGAATCTCGGGACGTGGCGAGTTGTGCTTCCAGTTCCTTAACAGCGCGCACTTCTTGCTCGAATTGGGCTCTAAACTGCTGTAGTCGCAGCTCAAGATCACGTTTCTGTGAGCTTGTCTGGTTCAGCTCAGCTTGCGCAACACTCTTCTTCGTCTGAGTCTGCTCCATCTGTCCCCGAAGATTGCCGATCTGGTTGCTCATATTCGCCAGCTCGGTAGTCTCATGTGTGATCTTACTGGACTCAGCAGCGTGAGCATCATTATCACCGAGCAAGTCATCGTTGGCAGAAGGTGGAGGAGGCGCACGTTGGGTTGACCCAAATGAACCACCAGTATTTTGCTGTGCCAGAGTAGCGCCGAAAGCAGACGAAGGAATGAAAGGCTTGAATATGCCAGCCGGTCCCGTCGACTGCGGCTGGAATCGTGCTGGACTACTGGGAGTAGCAGGAGATCCTCCAGCGAATGGATCTCGTGCTGCAGAAGCCCCGGTCCCCTGTGGCTGTAGCGCGGGTGCCTGAGGCAATTGAGGTTGAGCTGGCTCGTCCAACCCAAAGAGGTCATCAGCAGCAGACTTCGGCATGGTAGACTTCTGAGCTGCATTATCAAAGGCTGGAGCGGTGGACTGAGGTTGCTGCTGCTGTGCTCTCATGCTTGGGGGTACAAGCCCTGGTGGCAAGAAGGCTGGCAGCGGGGGTGCATTTGGTGCCCGCTGCTGCCTTATCAAATACATAGCGACCGCAAACTCGTCCTTGGTGAGCTGACCCTCACTCTTGATATCTGACAGATCCCAGATCTGAGCAAGAGATTCTTCGGAAAGTCCAGAATTGGAGAAGAAAGAAACAGCCTGGTCTCCATTGATGATCCCTCGTCCCACAGTATCAATCGTGCTGAAGAACTGGTCGAATTTGGCTTTGTCTGCAGGCGTAATCAGCCACGGCTGGCCGGTCGTCTGCGCGGGGATCGGCGGAGGGGTGGTATAGTTCGGCGGGCGTGCTAAGGGGCTCTGGGCACGCGCGGGCCCGGCGGCCTGTCCGGTGAGCTGTCTCGGGATAGGGGTTGGGCCAGTGCCTGTCCGACTTCCTCTTCGCGCCGCAGCTTCGTATAAGCCCTGTGGAAGTGTAGCTGGCAATGCTGCCATGGAGCGCGTCTTCATACTTGTCAAGAGATGCATTGCCACGATGAACTCCGCCTGATCCAGTGCTCCCCTTTGCTGACGATCCGCAAGCATCCATATGCGCCCCAGTGTCTCGTTTGGCAAACCAGCTCTTTCAAATATCGCCTTTGCAGTTCCTCCATCAAGTAACCCATTCTGTGTTCCCGAGTGCTCGAACAGCGCGGTGTATTGCTGCACCTTCGCAGGATCGAGCGGAGGCACGCGGATAGGAGCTGAGCCGGACAGTTGAGGTTGTATCGGATTCGCTGGGAAGCCTGCTATCGCTGGATTCGGTGCAGCTGCTACTGTTGGCGTACCACTGACGCCGGGTATCTGCAATCCCTCGAACTTGGGCACAGGGCCAGCCTTGAAGGCCAGCTCATTGCTCGGCTGTTTCCCAGCTTGGTAGTGTCCGATCAATCTCAAGACCATGCAGAAGCCTGGTTTCGACAAGAAGCCGCGGTTCTCCGTATCTGCGATCTGCCATATCTCGCCGAGGACGTCGGGTGAGACTTTGGTGCGCTCGAAGAAGTTGACGGCGTTCTCGCCCGTGACGACGCCCAGCTGGTCCTTGTCGGCTTGGTTGAAGAGGAAGGCAAACGCGCGTTTCTCTTCAGGACTGAGATTCAGGATGGAGTGATCTAAACAGTCTGCGGTTAGTGTGTGTTGAAGCTGCCGTAGCTCGTCCCGTGCATGGTGTACCGGACTCTGATGACATGGTGCGCGCTCATCCAAAGCAGAAGCGTGAGAGTGAGCGGTGGCTGGGCACGTCGATGTCTAGGCTAGACAATGGTAAGGGGACGGGAGCAGGGCAGAAGAATGGTGGGTCAGGTATGGTACAGATGGGGATGCACGTGGACGAGGAGTGGATGGCTGGCCCAGTTCAGCGTGGTTGGAACTAGGTATATGTACGGAGGCCCAAAGTGGCCAGCCGCTACACGTTACCCCCGGCTTTCTTTGGCTTCATTTTCCTACTACTTCTACCCTTCTACCTACTATACACTACCACATACACTCGCTATACGCTCGCCGCCTACCTCGCCGTTACCGCCGTATCCGTCGCTACCTACTAATATACCTCGGACGTACGTACCTAGAGGACTACGCGCTATAGACTATAATAACTATTAGGTCTATATCGCTGCGTAGCTCGCGGAAGGTGTCTTATAGAGGTAGATTATCGCTAATCTATACTAGTAGTTCGGTATTTCTATTATAGAGCGTATATTCGAACGACGGCTATAAGTCTAGGGCCTTACTATAGCCGCTATACCTTTATATCGTCGATAGTACGATATCTTCGACGAAGACGATAGCTTACGTATATATATAGCGTATACCTATACTAAGCTACGACTTACAGATAGCGAGGTAGTTACGATTCTAGCGATTAATAGCTAGAAAATTAGTATAAGGATATATCGGCGTATACGTAAAGAGCTAGAGTTTAGGAAGCAGATACTAGTAGTAGAGCAAGTATATACTAAAGAGTTAATCGCTATAGTACTCGCAGACGAGCTCGCTAAGTTAGAGGTAGAGGTATATAGTAGGAGGAACCTATATATATATCTACGTTTAGAGATAAATATAATTAGGAGGTATATAGGCACTCGCCGTCTGCTCGCTTACTAAATCGCTATCGGCTAACCTGCTTAAGGACCGTATCTACCGTATTATTAAATTGCTTAATCCCGATAGTATTTAGCAGCGATACGAGAAGGCTAGAGAGCACTATAGTACTATTATTATACCTAGGCCGTTAGCGGCAATTTTAATAGATACGTACTATAAGTTCGAGTACTAGGGTATTTAGATATATAGCGTAATCGACGTGTATACGCGGTATATAGAGTAGATTTACGTCGGAATTACTAGTAGATCGGCCGTTTCGGTACTCGCTTAGTATATCGCGACACTACGCTATAGTAGATACGTACCGGTAATTATATACTCGGATCGTAGAGGTAAGACTATTCTAGCCGCCGACGTATACTATATAGTACGTTATACCGCTTACGACGTCGAGAATACTAAGCGTAGTACTCGCGGCGAGGCCTCGTTACTACTACTACGATTCGGTAAATACTTCCGATATAGTATAAGTAAGATGAATTAGCGTATCGAGGTATAGTAGAATTAGTAGGCTAAGGCGCTAAATAGATAGCGCGCGTACTTCTATAGCTTAAATACTACGAACGAATTTGACCTAGAGTTATTAGGCGATCGTATTGCCTTCCTAGCGATCTATACTACGATTCTCCGTAAGATAGTAGTAGGATTCGTAAAGGTATAGAATCACTACAAGATTCGGAGGCAAAACAATCGGCTATATTCGATTCTAGGCATTCCTTACGTATTACGGCATTATCTAGAGCTCTATAGCGCTACGTAGTAAGGTATACGTATACCTAAGGAGGTTCTATAGACGCTCGAAGGGATACTAGAAGGGTTTAGTATATATACTCGCTCTACTCGTAGCCTGCTCGCTAACTTAATACTATAGACCTCGAGGCCTTTCTTCCCGCCGATACCTACGAATAGTATAAAGCGAGCCTCCTCCCCTATAGCTTCGCGCTACCTATTAGTAGTACGTCGTACAACGTAGCGACCGGCGACCGTACGTACCGTACGGCCTATATTACCCTATATAGCCTAGTAAATAACTATATTAGCTTAGAACAATAGCTAATACTCGGTATACTTCTAAAGCTATTAGTAGTAAGAGATTAGATACCTACGCGCTAGACGGCGGAAGCATTTAGAGATACTAGTAACGCGCTAATCGCGAACGAGGATTCAGGTACTATCGAGTTCTATAATAATCTATAGGCTATAGGGCTAGTATCTCCCCTACGAGTATAACTACGAGCTAAGCGAGCTAAGCCCTCTAGGGTATATATTACGGTACGTACTATTATTTGAATTCTTTTCTATATATATATATATACACTCTCTCTCTCTACCGACCTATTTACTATAGCCGACAACCTACCTAGCCTCTAGGCTAAATACTGTCTAGTCGTACCGTCGATTAGATATAGCGTTATATTCTATAAGTTCAATTTCTGCTCTTAGTACTATTAGCTTAATCTAAACCCTCTACGTACTAAATTCGTACGCGAACTATTACGCGTACTAGAAAGTAGCCGTCCGGTTACTAGATAGCCGCCGCCGCCGCCGCCGCTATAGCCGTAGCCGTTGCAATCGTAGTAGCTAGTGCCCGCGTACTAAGTAAAGGTTAGTCGCCTTGAAACGATCTATATAGCGAGTACTTAGCAACGGTTAATAGGGTTTCTAGATATTCGCGAGGATTCTGTAGTACGCGAATACCGTACGTAACGAGGCTAATATCGCGTTTAGGGCTAAGGCCGCTATAGCCGTCGTACCGTACGCCGGTACGCTACCGCCGACTATATATTAGTAGTATACGCCGGCCCTACCGTCGTCGCGGTTAAATCCGCTACCTCCGGCTATCTCGTTTAGTATTAGCGTTACGGTATATATATAGCGAGTTACTATACGAGCTCTAAAGAATAACGACAAGTAGAAGTACTACGATCCGGTTGCCTATACCGACCTCTATAACTATTAGACGGATCGCGATCGAGTAGCTAATAGCGCTAAGAAGCTATTAATAGAATTTATACTCGCGCGATTCGAGCTAACTAAGTTACCTATATAGCCTATTACGGCTATTAAAGACTTCTACAACGTATTCTTTGTACGATTATTCTATCTAGAGACTAATAAGCCGAACTATATATTATCTGCGAGTATCGTAAGTACCGACGTCCTCGAGTCTATAGAGGTATTTAAAATACCGCTACCTAGCAGATCTACTATATATACCTACGAAGCTATTATCGTCGTTTAGCAGTACAAACAACTAAGGCAAAAGCGTAAGAATAGGGAGGGTACTATAGTATTACGCGCGACACTATTACGCGCGATACTAGTAGCGAGCGTAGCGAGTAGCCGTATAACGCCCGTAGTATTAGAAGTCCTCGAGAGTATCGAATAGCTCTACGCCGATAAGTACGACGACGACGGCGAGGATAACAACGAGCTTAGCGAGGCCGACGACGACGACGACAGCGTACTAATTATTAAGAAAGAGAAGGTATTATAGACAGAGAGCGTAACTAACGCCCGTAAGCTACCTAAGTTTGTCGAAATCGACGGTAATACCGATATAGACAACGCTTATATTAAGAAAGAGAAGGTATTATAGATAGAGAGCGTAACTAACGCCCGTAAGCTACTTAAGTTCGTCGACTTAGAAGCGACGCTAGTAGCGAGCGCGACGAGTAGTACTACCGGTACGGCGATACTAGTAGCGAGCGCGACGAGTAGTACTACCGCTACGCCTACGGCTAAGCGATATAAGCTAGTAGTTCTAATCGGAGAGAGGGTAATAACTAGAGCGCTAAGCAAGAAATGAATCGCCGCGCTCGCTATTAGTATCGATAGATATAAGCCCGTAGGGCCTCCGGGGCCTAACGCTACGGCGGTTACTATTACTACCGCCGGCGCCGCCCGGTATTACTTATATAGAGCGTAGATACGAGTAGAAAAGACTAATTTTTATAGCTATCTACTACTATCGACTTATATCTACGACGGTATACCTATATTGTAGAGTTTGCGTAGGGTCGGCGGACGATCCGATTAGTCGGGTATACCCGGCGCTAGCTTATATTCGCTAACTCGCTATAGAAACGCTATAGATTGCGCGTAGCCTACCTAACTCGCTATACTTGCTACGGTATATCGCTGCTATATATATAAATAGGTAGGTAGGTATATATATACCTATCTACTAATTATTCGTACGCGGAATCGTAGTCGATTCTAGTATCGATACTCTACCCTACGGCTATACCGCTATAGCTATATTATAGACTATATACCGGAGCTCGTCGACGTATAGTATAAGCTACTCTACCTAATCCTCTAATTTGCCTATCCTATTTTGAATAGTCCCTACTATAGCCTATAGGCTATCGACCGTAGCCTATAGCGCTTTAATAGTAGCCTCTAGCTAGGCGATTCGCTACGAATCGCTAGGGGAATCGTTAACGGGTATTCCGGCCTAATAGCCTAACTTAGTATATCGCTTATAGTAGGTATAGATAATACTATTCTTTGCGTCTACCTTATACGGCGCGTCGCGCGGACCGTAAGTATACTAGTAATACGGATTTAGCGTATTAATACCCTCTATAGTCTCTATAATTCGGCTAGCTTAGTTGAACTTCTATAGGTTATTTTTCGCGACCTTCTTCTTCGTCGCGTCGTTGCCTACGGCCTCGTCTAACTAGTCCTACTATCTTTCGACTAAGCAGAACTAGAAGTTACTAGAGTCTATAGTAGTAGGCCGGTACGGGTATAGATCGGGGGTATATACGGCCCTATATATAGCGAGTTAGCAGAGATTCTAGTAGAGATTTAGTAGCGAGTAAGGCTAGCCTACCTAGTATCGTCCTCCTTATCCTCCTTATCCTCCTCCTTATCCTCCGAGGTATCCTCGGTATCGGTATCCTTGTCTATAGCGTCGCTATTATTTATCGCAGATATATTTCTACTAAGCGCTACTAAAGCAGTAGATACGAGGAATCTACGGTATATTAGTAACGTACGAGTTTACGCGCTGTATAATAACGTACTAAGGTTCGAATAATATAGTTATCTACGTCTACGGCAGTAGAGGAGAGAGAGTAGATATATTATAGTAGTAGATTCTTTCTTCGAGTTGCTATAGCGACGGCTTTGTTATATAGGTAACTTATTATTAAGACGACGGATCCGGCGACAAAGAGAGAGGTAAGGTAGCGATAGATACGGCGGTAACGGCGAGGTAGGCAGCGAGCGTGTAGCGAGTGTATATAGTGGTGTATAGTAGGTAGAAGGGTGGAAGTAGTAGGAAGATGAAGCCAAAGAAAGCCGGGGGTAACGTATAGCGGCTGGCCACTTTGGGCTTCCGTCTACATGTAGCACAGACGTCTGGAGCTCGAGCCAAGTCGGAGCTCGACTCGCCCGCGTCATCGTCGAGGCGTCGTGTACAACATGTTCATCTCCCATCTTCATCTTCCCATCGTGCATGTACATTGTTCTCATATTCAGTAGCCATCATCATGATCATCATGATCACCATCATCACTATTACCGCCGGGCTCTGTGGGAAACTTTGCACGCATCTCCTGGGCCGAGAGACGATGATAGCAGGAGTACCATGAATGTCGAAGCTGGAGCCGATCATCCCCGAAACAGCGTCTACAGGTACCATTCATAAAGCTGCAAATCATGCTCCATGCCAAGCGAATATTGAAGTCGCCTCCAATACATGTATGCGACACCTCAGCTACCATCAAGAAGAAGCCCAGGGTGGAACGAGAGCATCAGCGTAAGGCTACAATCAAACTGAAGACGGAGCTCATTGAGCTGGATTGATTCCTTGGGGTGCATTTGTCTGCTTCCATGGACGGGTTGAAGAACTCTCCATCAAATCAGATATCTAGGTAGTTCACAACCTAGTCGCTAGTATTGCTGTGGCTGCTGGTACTGTTCACATCACACAAAGCTCCCTTGCATCATCAATACTCCATCAACCTCAACTTCTTGCCCACTCCCCTTCTCTGCGCCGCCTTCTCGCTGGGGCGCTCACCAGCTTGGGCGTCCTTCGCCTTGAGCGCTTGGAGAAGCATACCGGCATCGAAGAAGCCATCTGCATTATCACATCAGTTACGCAGCCAATTAAATCCGAGTGGTAGCACTTACATCCACCCAAGTCGTCATCATCACTGACAAGTGCGCTGTCGATCTCTGGCGTCTTGGTGTTACCATCAACCATACGTCCTCTACTCTTCAGCCTCTGGCCCGCCTTGGGCCGAAGGTTCTCAGCCTCTCGTGCCCTACTCGCATTCTTATCGGTCGTCGTGCCTCTGCGATGGGTCTGTCGTAGCAACTTGCGAATCTCAAGGAAGTAGCTCTCCAGGGCGGCAATGTATCGCCGAGTCTGACGATGCTTGCTGCTCGCGCACACTGAGATGGAGTTATCCTTGATGATGTAGCCAATACCGAAACCATCGCCGGAAGTCGGCCCGAAACCAAAATGGCGGAGGGAAGGATTGCCGCAGTTCGATGTCGACAGAATCGTGTTGTTGATCTTATCCCAGCCCGGATCGGCGAAAATGGCTGGCATGGTGGGCTGCTCACGCGGTTGAGAAGGAGATGTACTATAGTCATGGCTTGAACGACTGCTTCGCTTGGGTGATGCCGCAATACTGGGCTCGCCTCGATCGGAAGTGGGAGAGCTGTAGCCATTCATACTGGCCCCTTCGTCATCAGATAGGACGTCCATATCGCCATCGACTTGTCGTTGCCACAAGCACATGAGAGCATAGAGATGCCGATCGAAGCCTTGAGCTTTCGCACAGTCCTTTGTGGCAGCCGAGTGCTTTTCGCAAGCTTTCTTTAATGCTTCCACTTTTTTGATGGGGGGATTCTCAGCCCAGAATGTGCGCATGAAGTCCACGCTCTCTTGGGTGACAGATCTGATGGCTTCTGTTCGGCCATGGAAGTATGCTTTCGTCATCGCTGGCTCATATACACTTTCGATCCGGCCATACATGCCGTAGTATGCTGCTTGGAACGCCATCTGTACAAAGGCATCGGGAGAGAAGCCCATTGAAGTGATGAAATTCTTACCGTACTGTTCGAATTCTAATGTCTGAAACTCATTTTGATTGATCAAGTCGGCCAGACGGGTCTCTGCAAAGCGGAGAGCAATACTGATTTCGGGCACCATATCCCATTCGAGCTTGTGGGGTGTGGTGTTGACATCGCCAAAACTCTGGGGATCCCGTTTTGCAGGGTCTGGTGAGCTCGACGCCCATAGGGAAGGTGCTTGACCGTTGATGGTGCGTGCGAATCGCAGGATCGTGTCGGTATACACATCTGACGCGAAGCGGAGCACAGTATGACCATCGACACCAGTATGCTCGAAGTTGATCCCAGCGCTTCCATTCTTGCAGACAATGATTTGCAACTTGTCGTACCATCTGTTTGTGCAGGTCCCGACCTGCACACCTCGCTCGACTTGATTTGTGCCGCACAACATGTTCATGCATAAGTCAGCGCTGTTGTTGGGCTCAGTGTAATCCAGACACAGGATGAACAGTGCCGAATCGACAATATTGAGACAATCGGCATTGTTGGAACCCTCGTCTTTGCTGATGAGCTCTCGCATGCTTGACCAGATCTTGCGGTTTTCAGTGCTCAGCACCCCCACTGCGCCCTTTGCCGACTCGCTGATTGGCGTTTGCTCCGCGTCATCGTGAATGACCTGCAAATTTATGCTCACGTCTTTCTCCGTCATGATGAGGTCGTGGTTGTCGTCCAACACATCGAACCAGTAGAACTGTCCTCGACAGAGCACGACAATGTGCTTGGCATGTGGGTCCTGGCCGATCTGGCATCCATTCTCAGTAGGAATACGAGCGGTACCAAAGAGACGCGAGTATTGGTACATGTCCAGCGGCTGGCCCCGCACAGTGTCCGGTGGCAACTCCTCTTTACGAACTGCACGCACAAATGAGAGCGAGGAGACCACTAGCGAGGCTGCACGAGTGACCTGATTGTTCCTGGCAGGAGTCGGGTCGTCTTCTAGCAAGAAGAATGGATTCAGGTTAAGCACTACAGGGTTATCGTAGTTGAGGTAGCTGTCGTACCAAAACTGTTCAATGTAGTTGCTCTTATCTTTGGCGTAATCCTTGAGCTTCTCCTGAAGCTGTGGGCCATCAGAGCGGAGGAACTCCTGGATCGCGGCTTCGGTGTTGTGGTGCTCACGTGCAGTCTGCAGAGGGTCCAGAGAGGCGACGTACTTCTTGCATGTTGATTCGAGATCCGGGATAGGAAGCTTTGGTAACTTGTCTTGGGCCGCGAACGTGATGCCTGGCTTCGACTGCGGGTTCTTGTCGTTGGCCAAAGGAGCTTGCTCTTCCTTGGAGTAGGCCTGCGTTGCATCTTTGGCGTTTTCGTGTGATCGCTCCGCCATTGTTGCAGAATCTCTTCTTTTACTTTCGCTGATTCGTTCGTCTATGGACGGATAGGTGGGAGCTGGAGGCATTATGAGTGTAAGCGTTGAGCGGTTCAGAAACAAAGTGAAGAGACAAGCGTAGCTATGGACAGGCCACGCAAGGAGGTTCGAAAGAAGTAGTGACAGTCCTGATGGTAGTAGCCCGGCATCGAAGACAGCTTAGCACGATACCGTTGTGTTCAGCAACGATGTCGCAGAGGTGGCAAGATGTCGGGCGGTAGAGCGAAGACAGAGGTGTAGGTGTAGTAGATATCATCGCACATGGATTGCATGGCCGTACAGCCGAGAGCTCGGTAGTTCACCCAAAGTGACGGCACGCGCTACTTTACTGACCTCCTTGAGTGGCGGCTTCCCCGGGGCCAGGGTGAGGAGGGTGGAGAAAGCGCCCGTGGGGCACTGGGGCAGTCCGCTGGGGCGGAGAGCGGTGCCTGGAGCGGGAGCGGACTGAAGGAGATCGAAATCGTCGGGAGCTCGCGCTAGAGCTAGCGTGCAGGAGGCAGTTCAGTAAGCAATTTGGCGAGCAGCGGGCGTGTTAGTTGCGACTGTTGCGGGCAGCCGATGGGGACATGGGTTGCTGGGAGGAAGCACAAAGTAGTAGGTAGTAAAAAGTAGTAAGTGAGGTAGTGCTTGACCAACAGAACAACACCCTGAGGAGACGTCCCGAAGAGGAACAACAGAAGTGCATGTGAGTGCGCTTATATCCTCACCTCGCCGCACCGCACATGCGCTCCCGAAGGTACCTCCTAGTAGACGGTGGCTCGTCGTTGTATGGCCCATTGCTCCAGCCCAGTCATCACATCACATACCCGAGTCCCAAGGCAAAAAATGACGTTGGTGCGTGGTGAGGAAGATTTCAGGCTTAAGCGTGTGAGCGGACGAACGGGCGGCTCCCAAATGGGAAATTCGAGCGCCAAGCCAGATGGGAGAAATGGAACCTGGTGGTGGTGGGGTGGGAACAGGACGAGACGGGACGGAACGGGAACGGGAACGGAATGGATGCCTGAACACCACCACGCGCACACCTGAACACTTTACCCGGTACCCTTGTTGCACTCATAGCACGTCCAGTCGTGCGGCGGCCATGTGGAAACGCAAATGTCCAACCTGCTGACGGTGTTGCCCGCCTTTGACGTCGCCCCCTACGCGCACATCCTCCCGTCGCTGGAACGCGCTCTGATCTCGACCGCGGACCTCATCGCCCTTGACGCCTTCGATGTCGCGAAGCGCGCCCAGGTCCCTCCTGGCGAGGTCAAAAAGCTAGCCGAGGCCGCTCTACACGCCCTGCACGCCGACACGTCTTCCGACATCGATGGAGCAGGTGGCGGGTCGTGGAATGGCTTCGAAACCGGCCAGGACCTTCTCGACCGGTGGACGACCATCAGTACTCTCGATGACCGTCTGGATGTGTCACTCGGCGGAGGCATCGCCCGAGGTCACTTGACGGAGATCGTAGGCGAGAGGTGAGAGGCTGCTCGTTCATGTAAGTCCCACGACTGTTTCTGACTCTCCCGCCAGCGCTGCTGGGAAAACACAATTTCTCCTGACTCTCCTGCTTGCCGGCCAGCTCCGGTGTGAGCACAATGATGAGCGAGCTCACGGGACTTCAGTATTGTACATCTCAACAGAAGCGCCCCTACAGACCACACGTTTGTCGCAGATTCTCAGGACACATCCCAAGCTGGCTGCTTTGGACGATAAAAGTCGCCCTTCTCTGAGCAAGGTGCACAGCACACACATCCACGATCTCGAAGCGCAAGACCACATCATTCGATACCAAGTTCCCGTGGCTATCAAGAAGCACGACGTTGGTCTACTCGTGATCGACTCAATCGCGGCTAATTACCGTGCTGAATTCGACAGAGGTGGCCAGGGCAAGCGTAGCTCCGACTCCATGGCCAAGCGCAGCGCACAGCTGATACAGACCGGTTCTCATCTGCGAAAGCTTGCTCGAGCCCACAACATCGCAGTCGTGGTGGCAAACCAAGTTGCTGATCGTTTCATTCCCGAGCCAATGCTTCATGCTCGAACTCAGTCGACGCAGAACTCACGACCCAGCACGCCGTCTCGAGTTACGAATTCACATATCGAATTGAGCGCGGCTCAAGCGTCATCCACAGGTCTGCTGTCTACCGATGACCCCCTCAGCCTCGATCATCAGCAGCGCTTCTTCACAGGCTGGGGCGATGGGCAACCTGTCACGAACATGAAGACTCCGAGTCTGGGCCTGACATGGACTAATCAGCTCTCAGCACGCATTGCTCTCCTCAAACAGCCGATTTACGAAGAGAAAATGTATGCTCCCGGTGATGAGCGGAACGTAATTGGGTGGCACAGATCATGCAAGGCTGTTTTCAGTCCGTGGTGTCCGGAGGGTAACACCCCTTTTGAGATATGGGAAGGAGGCATCCGCAGTGTCAGTATGTCGGATGAAGCTCACGAGGAATGACCATTAAACTTCAAAGTCGAGATCTTGCAAGCGAGCGAACATGTTCTTATCACACTATTAAAATTCAACCTCATTATCACAGCGCACATTCAGCTGCATTCGTTCTCTAATCCGTGAAAGCAAGGAGTCTTCAGCGTACGTGACATCTTTTAATCGAGTTAACCAGACGTGATCCTCTGCCAATGCCGCTTGGAAGTCCGAGCAGACGGGCCACTGCCAGTAAACACGTCCATATGCGACCAGACTCCACGGCATTTGCCGCGAACTCGGCCCGGTACCTGACATTCTTGGCCATGGGTGGACCGATCGGTATACAAGGTACACGTGAACAGGTATTCTTGATAACGTCTCCCTTCACCCGTCAGCCTCTGAATTATCAAGGAAACGCGAACAATTGCACTCACAATCACCATGATCTCGTTTCTAAGAGCTCCACACCCGCCAAAGACGACACAGGCCCACCAAGAAATCACCACCTACGAAAATGGCACTTCTTCAGTCCAGTACCATCCGAGAGGCTCGAAGTACATGATGACACATACGCTTCCACCGAGCGACCCCAAAGAAGGTCCTTCCATTGTGCAGCCGCCATTTCATTATCACATCTATCAAACGGAGACTTTCAACGTAGTGGAAGGCGAAGCACATCTATTCTTCGGGCTCGATCCCCTCCCTTCTGCCGTGTTGAGCGCAAAAGGACCATCGGCGATGGCAGTGTTGGGACCCATGCGGTACCATCGATTTGAGAATGCCAGCAAGACGGAGCCCCTCAAGATTAACATCCAGCTCGATCCCGAAGACTACGAGAACGAAAGTCGCTTTTTCCGAAACTTCTTTGGATACCTCAGTGACTGCAAGCAAGCAGGACAGTCTCCGTCGATTTTTCAGCTTTTTGTCTTTTTGTGGAGCGCAGACACGCCGCTCGCGATTCCGATGCCGTTTGGGCTGGAATCTCTGGGCGTATACCTCTCGTGGCTGCTGATGATTGTGGTGGCATACATTGGGTACTATGGATTGGGGTACAAGACCAGCTATCCCGAGTACTATGACGAGAAGAAGAGCAGATGAGCAGACAGAAGGGAGCAGACAGAAGGGTCCGTCTTGTTGGCGGCGCTGTATATCTAATTCTGTCGTGCTATTTTTGGGCTCTCGCCAAGCAGAATCATCATTGGCCGGCAACCGAGTTGTGGTGAAACCATCGCCGACTCCTCATCCTTCGACTGACATGAACCACCGCTTCTCACGGCATTTTCTGTATTGACTTCCTCTCTCCCTCTCTGTATCTCTGTCTCAGTATATTACTACCCCTTTTCATTTCCCAATAACTGCCCATCCGTGATGCCAGACTTCTCCTCTCAGGAATACTGGAACGCCCGGTTCTCCAAGGACCCGCACACCTTCGACTGGCTGGTTCCAGCAAAAGTTTTGCATGATATCGCAGCCGAAGTCATCGACAAGACTTCTCTGGAGGAACCCCGAATCCTCCACATCGGATGTGGTACTGCCGAATCGCATACCCTCCGATCGCTCGTCCAGAATCCGAAACATGTCTTGAACGTAGATTACTCCGAGGCAGCAGTGCAAGCTGCGTCGAAACGAGAACAGGAACTGCTCGCGAGTGCACACATTGAGAGTCTGTTAGCGCCTCCCGACAGTTCCTCGGCCAAGCATGACAGCGTGCAAGACCCCGAACCGGAGCCTCCGATGCGTTGGTCCTGCAAGAATTTACTCTCTCTCCATTCCGCTCTCTCGATGTTACATGCGCAGCAAGCCGAGGGGAAGCTCTTCGATCTTGTACTGGACAAAAGCACGAGCGACTCCATCTCTTGCGGACAAGATGTCTCACTCAGCCTACCTTATCCTCTGAGCATCAATGGCTGGGCTCGCAGAGTATTGGGCACAGGGACCGGCCAATTACGAGAAGTCCACCCTCTCCACGTTCTCGCCGTACATCTCGCAGCCCTCACCAAACCCGGAACAGGTCGCTGGATCGTCATCTCGTATTCCGAAGAGAGATTTCCCTTTTTGCCACCCTTTCCGACCACGTTGGCGAATGGCATGCTGTCGGATGATGTGATTCAAGCGGGTTTCACGCATCCGCATCAGCTCTGGAGGTTAGAGGCCAAGGAGCAAATTAATCTGGAAGAGAACAATGAGACATTGGCCGAGAGGAAGAAGAGGCTGTCTGCAGGATATGTTCATCGACCTCGTGTGTGTCACTGGCTTTACATTATGAGGAGAACGGACGCATTTGTGATTGATTGAATGAATGAATGAATGAAAGATTTTGAACTGCCATCGATTTTTCCCTACCTGGGAGTCAGTTCTGTTGAACTTGTATCTATATGCAAATATCTGGAGTTCCAATCTGGACGGGTGGGTGGCCGAGACCCTATCTCGAGGACAAAAGTTGAAATGAGAATGACGATGGATGGATGGGGTTCTTGAGCACATATAAGCTGAAGTCGCAATGACAGCTGCGGAGTGCAGTCGCGCGCGTCTTGCCATCTGGATATGTCTGGGGCGACGACGACTACAACTGTGCCCTGGCAGATCCCTATCCTCATGGACAGCCACCACCGGGTTATTTCGATATCAGCTCTCAGGCCTGGTCAACTTTTGCCGAAAAGTCCCCAATCGGAGCAAGAGTACGGCTGTGATGTTAGCCCCGTTCAAGCTCGGGCACTACTTGGCAGACAGATGTTGTTATGAAAACCTTACCACTCGGCGTGAGGCACGTCAGCAGATGCAGTGGACATTTCGTTCCAGTATAGCGATGAAGCAAATGGGAGAAAAAAAGAAAAGTCAGAGACCTTTTAATACTCAATATCATAGTAGTGATTCCAAATCACAATCCGAACGATATCAAGTGTACGAAAACCCTCAATTTCAGAGCAGCAGCGTTGCTACAGTACCAGGTCATGTAGTCCTCAAAATACCACTATATGACCAATTCTTCTTCTCCTTCTTCTGCTAAACCCCCGCCCCCTCCCCCTCTTCCTCTACTTCTCCATCTACTTCCCCGCCATCTTCACCGCCTTCTCCTCCAAAACCTTCTTCACAGCCGGCCTCTCCACAAGTCTCCGATGCCACTCCCAACACACGGGAAACTCCCTCTTCCAGCCCTCCTCCACAAACTCCTCGCCCATCAAAAACCCCAACATAGAATTCCACGGCACAAACATCAAATCCGCATACGAGACTTGCTTCCCCACCAAATACGGCTGATTCGTTTTTTTCAAATGCGCATCAATAACTCCCAAGATGCGTCGGATTTCGTTGCTGTAGCGTTCAATGGCTGATGTCATGTGGAGGTCGGAGTGGAAATGTGTGAACCAGGCTTTTTGCCCGAAATAGGGGCCTTGGCCGGACATTTGGAAGTCGCGCCAGGAGATTTGGAGATATTTTGTTGTGGGGGGTGACGTGGGGCGGAGGGTGTGGTTGGGGTCGTAGGTGTCGAGGAGGTAGTCGATGATGGCTCCGGACTAGTGGGTTTATTGTTAGGTTTGGTTGGGAGGTGTGAGAGAGGGAGTTATTGTAAGATGAAAGCACGCTCATGGATTGAGGACTTTTCTTTCTTTTCATTCGCAAGAAAGGCAAGTAAAAACACCAAAGAAGTGCCAGATTCTTTTCTGACGTGACTTACCTCGAACAATGTAATACTCGTATTAGGATCCTCGAGCGCGGGAAGTCTGCCATTAGGGTTGGCAGAGATAAAAGGTTCTTGCTTCAGGACGCTGAAATCGAGGAATTCCTGATGATATGGAACGCCGAGTTCTTCGAGAATGATGGCGACTTTCCAAGGGTTGGGGCCCTTTTTTTGTTTTCAATCACATCAGTCTCCACGTTTGCCTGACCGGGGACAATGAAGTTGTGGTTTATTCATACCTGGACGTGGCCGTATAACTTCAATGGCTTCGTCATTTTTTGAGGAGGGGTGGTGGTGGTATGGTTGAATGACTTGGATAGGTATGGAAGGATATTCCGAGATGGACTTTTTTGCAATCGGCTACCTCCACGAGGAGCTATCGTTGCTACTATGTATGTCACCACGGATGATCTCCATCTGGAGAGTTCGACTATACATCATCAGCCCCATCCTAAAATTGTTGTGATTGCATGGCAGACAGGTCTTGGCCCGATTGAGTCGTAGTGTTTCTCAGGTACCAATGTCTCTGGTCTAATCATATCAAAGAAGTTGCACGTAGAGTACCTCCTACCGCTAACTGGCAAAACGTTCAAAGCTAGCGGGGTAGATGGATAGATCATTACCAGGCCATTGGGTGCGGTTCCGAGGTTGTGGACATGTGAGGTGAGGTGTATTGATCTCTGGGACTGTCGCAAACGGTACATGTAGGCTGTAGCTGGCCAAGTCAACGGCCAACAGCTACATGTATATCGTTGATCGATGGAGGAATATGTTCCTTGCTGCTGCCATGCAGGACTGAGCTTCTTCACGTATGTCTGCTCAGTCTACGCACCATCGATCACATCTATCCTGGCATCAAGATTCTGTATCATCGATGGTAGGGTCTGATCCCACATCTTGGGCTTCATGTGACTTCTATTGCGCAGTCGCCGCCCACGCTGCCTTCAAGTTAATGAAGCCCGGCACAAATCCGCTCAAGCCCATCATCGTCTCGTCAATAGGACTGCTCTCCGCAGACCCATCGTACATTCCCCAGTGTATCGCGTTCGGGAACCAGCCCATGTTCGCATACAGTTGTGTCCACCATTTCGCTTCCAACTCGGCGCTCTGCACATTCACCTTCTTGTTGTCTTCATCATCTACCTGCTCTGCTCCAAATTCCTCATTATATCGCAACTGTCGCACGCGCGCCAGTCTCGCAAACTCCAACACCACATCCGCCAGCCAGAATTGGCTGCTCACCGTCCACCACCTCGCTTCCCGCGATGTGCATCTCTCGGACCTCAACACCCCCTTCTTCACCAGATACGCTCCATTCTCATACGCCTGAAACCCTATACACGAGAAAATCCGCGCCCAGGAAATCACCTTCAGTGCAGGATCTCGACTGGGCTTCTGCCACGTCTGCTTCGCCCACACATAGATATCAATTAAGCCTCGCAGCCTCCAAAACGTGCGCACATCATCGATTGCCGACCCGAGACTCTTCACGGCGACACACGTCTCTGTGAGGCGCAGATGGGGCGGCTCGATGGTCGCGACCAGCGTTTCACCGGGAAGCATCGTTTTGGAAGCATTTTGCGCGATGCGTTCGGCGAGGACGGTGTATTTTCGCGCCAGCAGTCGCGTCAGTTGGGCATGGACAAAGGCGAGCGTGTAGTATGCGGTGCAGAGGAGGGAGTCGCGGCCGGAGGTGGTGGATAAGAGGCGCGAGAGGTGGGTTAGGAAGGAATCGCTGCGGAGAGAGGTATAGACGAGGAGATGCTTGAGCTTTTGGACGGATGACATGGTGGTGGTGGTGAATGAAGGTGTGTGTGACGAAGGTGGCAGAGAGAGTTGGTACCTCGTACTGTCTACAGAAGCTTGTGGAGGGTAGAATGATGATGCGAATTGGAAAGGGTGTTGTCCTTGCCCAGGCCTGGTCTACACCAACAGGAAGAACTACTTCACCTGACACTGGCTGACAGCTCATATCTTGTGAAAGTGGATCCCTCCCCGAAATTCCAACAACCTCGGCAGGGTCAGCGACCAATCGTGATTGATGTGCAGTTCCATCCCTGGCAGCCTGGCTCGTCTCGTTCTGCCTCCTGCTCTCCTCTAATAATGATGATGAAACTGCAGACGACGAGATAGTCTGATCATGTCGATCGATATCTGTAGGTAGCATCTTGACAAGCATAGGTAAGAACAATAGCGTACCACAGCATGATTTTACCAGAGCTCCAATGCTACCTCGTAGTGCTGTACAGCAGATCCTGTTATGCACGGCCCACTGAGTCACATCGAGAGACCTGAGCTTGTGGATAGGAGAGACCTGAGCTTGCTGGTGGATAGGAGAAAGGAGAGAGGAGAGAGCAGGAGAGAAAGGAGAGAGCAGGAGTGAAAGGAGAGAACAGGAGAGAAAGGAGAGAGAGATGAGAGATTCTATTATCATCTGTGCTGCAGCCAGCAAGCCAGCCCCTCATGCAGCTGAAACGCAAGGTCGTCGTACTGTAATCTGTATCATTACGTCTTTCTCACTTCTACATGTACCTACCTGTACTACAGAACTACTGTATTCCGCCAAGTGCAATCAACAACAACAACAACGACAACGACAACGACATCGACATCGACAACAACATCAACAACGACAACGACATCGCACCTCACTCACATCAAAGCAACCATGGACAAACTCTCGGCAGAAGAGAAGCAGCACTATCGAGATGCCTTTTCCGTCTTTGTACGCATCTCCTTCTCCTTCTCCTTCTTCTTCTTCTTCTTCTCCTTCCACGTGAGCCCGCTAACACATTTTTGGTGGCGGTGTCTTTCCAGGACAAAAATGGCGATGGTATGCGATGACCACCTACCCGACCCTCCAATCCTCTTCTTCTTGCACACACACACACACAAGACTGACTGACTGACGGTGCCTTCAATAACGAAAAAACAGGCGAAATCTCTGCCGCCGAGCTCGGCGATGTCATGCGCTCTCTGGGTTTGAAACCCACCGATGGAGAGCTCCAAGACATGTTACACGAAGTCGACTCGGATAACTCGGGAACAATTGATATCAACGGTATGTTTTTTCTACAACCCCTCATATGTGGTTGGACTTGGAGTATTCTTGTCACAAATTCAAGAAATTTACATCTTCACTCACTCAATCAAATAATGTTATTTTCTCGCAGAATTCCTGGCTCTCATGTCTCATGTGGGCTCTGCGCAAGACACGGAAGATGAATTGCGCAACGCGTTTCACGTCTTCGATAAGGATGGTTCGGGAACTATTTCCGCTTCGGAGATGCGTGAGGTGTTGAAGACGCTGGGAGAGGATCTTTCCGAGAAGGAGATTAATGAGATTATGAGTGCGGCTGATACGGATGGGGATAAGAGCATTGATTGTGAGTTGTTTTTTTTTTCTCTTTCTTTTCTTTACTCGACAGCTTCTGCGATTCTGAACATGCTATGGAATAAGTCATTTGGTGATGTTTCATGCAGCTGACAATTGGTTCATAGTCGAGGAGTTCAAGAAGATCATGCAGGATCCTAAGCTGTCATAATTGGGAGGGAGAAAAAAGTAGGCGGAGCTACTCTGTTTCTCTCTCAAGAAGATCGAAACTGGCGTTCTACTGGTATTGCATTCTCATTGCCTCCATTTCCCCATCACACACAGAGAGAGGGGGAAGGGAGAGAGAGAGAAAGAAAGACTTTCGGCAAGTCTTACAAGTCAAATCAGATATTCTAGATACCCAACCCATCTATCGACTGCAGACCAAAAAAACCAACCGCCACTCTGTATCCCTAAAACTGCAGCGTATCATCAAAATTTCCCCAATGATCCACCTAAACCACGATAGATAGGTAGATATCGGCGTATGACCATCATCATCATCGTCACCACCACCTGCTGCTGCTGCTGCCTCTCCCCTGCTATCCAATACCTCGGTAAATCTCGCATATCCCTTCAAAAAGTTGCTACGAGAAAAGGATACCCAACAAATAGCAATAGCAGATTCGGATGGGATTGCCAATCTAGTATCAAAGACCATGACCCTCACAGATCTGCTGAGCTGGTGGTCTACTCTGTCACCCTCATTCCCTTCCCCCCCCCCCTTTTTTTATTATTTTTTCGATGCACCTCTCACGCTAGAAGAAAAGAGGAGAACTCATCAGGAGAAGAAAAAGAGAAAGATGTAAAAAATAGAAAACAACCAAATCGGCAACAAGAAAATCTTGGATTCTTGTATAGGTACCTTAGGTACTTGAATGAAATTCTACATCTAAATCTCTACACTTCCCTCCCCGCCCCCTTTTCAACAACAACAAACAAACAAAAAAGGAGCGTCAACAACAAACATCTAGCTGAAGCTGTGTAAAATTTAATGCTGTTTTTTTACTCCCTCTCCCTCTCTGCCTCCTCCACCTTCATCAACAACATGTCGCCCGCGAGCTTACAACTACCGACCAACCTATCTATCTGTGTACCTTCGAAACCCCTCTCTCCCACCCACGAGAACTCTCCCTTCTGCCCAAAAGCATCCATCTCAAATGCTCAAACTCAAGCGCGAAATCCACGAGCATAGCTACGCTTCGTAGCACCGCTGGTGTTTGTCGAAGGAGAGCCCGCTCCCGCGTACAGAGCCGGACCGGGCATTTCGTAGGTGACGGGCGAAGTGTAAATGTTGGTGACAATTCCGGGGTCGGTGGAAGTGTATAGGGCGGTGCCGAGGGTGCCTTCGGGAGTGGCAGAGCCGGAGCTGGTGACGACGATGTTGAGACCTGTGAAATGGAAAAAAGGAAGGTTGGGGTTAGTTGGCTGTTTGTTGTTTTCTCTTTTGACGGGGAAAAAAACTTACATTGTGGGTAGGATTGAGCACCGTTCTCCTGGCCAGCAGAGTGCAAGGCAATAATCTCGTGGCGAATGATGTAGTTGCCCGGTGCGATATCGGATGGAATGGCCACCGTCGAGGTGAGGTTGTTGGCTATACACACACACATGTTGGTCAGGATCGTGATTTCTGCGCCGGGGGGAAGGGGAAAAAGGGGGAAAAAATCATCTGCACATACCCATCATGTCATCGCTGGCCCAGACGCCCGGAGCAGTGGTACCATCATTCAGACCATCGGCCTGAATTTTGACGAAGCTGAGATCGGCCTTTGCAACATCGGCGAACTCGCCAGCAACAGGTGCGAGGTAGGTGATGACAGGACCATGGTGGGATTCAGGCCAAGTGTTCCTGCAAAGTGGGAGAGGAGAGTCAGCAAAGTGTCTCGCAGAAGCGTTGTGGCAGATTGTTCCATTGGGTTCCCTCTTACCACTGGAAATCGATGCTGGAGCCAGCAGCAACTGGGATGCTGCTCAAGCCGGGAGTAGCATTCTTGTGGCTATTCAATCTGTTAGCACGCTGCCAGTTGCTCCACCGGGAGGGAGTCAGTGATTAGGTACCAGATGACATCGGGTCCCCCAAAAGATGCGGGCTCAACGAAACCATTGTCCTGGTTGTTGGCATACCAGCCAGCAGTCTCTGGCTTGGCAGCTTGGTAAATCCACGATGGTGAGGTGCCCGAGTACCATTGACCGCCAGAAACGACGCCAGACACGTAGCCGTGGGCCGAAACGAGGGCAGGAGCTGCTGCAGCGGTGAAAGCTGCAATCTGAGCGAAGGAAGGCATTGTTGGTCGAAGTGGTGAGATATTGATTTCTTGGATATGAGGGAGCAAATCAGCAAGCTGATGTAATGAATGTGAGCTCTGGTCTACAGGCTACGGGGTGAACGAAAGACTGGGAAGATGTTGCCGATGGGAGTGTGTGTGTGTGTGTGTTGCGAGTACAGCAGAATACCAGAGGCTATATATACACTGTTCTTGAGCGCGAGTCCAGCAGTGTCCAGATGGACACCGCTACCTCATTCGTTGCGCTTCAGTTTAACAGCAGCAATAGACAAAGGCGGCAGCTGAAGCGTGGTTGCATTGCGCGGACCCATTATTCCACCGATAGAGCTTGCACGAATGCCCTTGGGCCCAAGAGTCGCTACGTTGTCGCGTGGTTGAATGACCGACAGGTGTAACGTGAAGACTGTGCCAAGCCTGAGGTGGCATATCGATTGGAAGTGCTGGATTGTGGTTTTACCGAGCTCCGCAGGTTGATTAAGCTCGCTTGCAGACTGTAGATCTGAGACATGCAGAAATTTGGAAGAGTATACTGTTGCAGCAAAGGTGGGATCACATGTAAAGTGTCGCTCTGTTTCCTGTGCCAGGGAGAATAGCGACAGACTTGGTGTGTCACACAGCATTGCTTGACTGCTTCATTGCGATATTTGCTGGTATTCATGCACACTGGGTCAAATGAAAAAAAAAACCCCCCATCAATGTGCCAATTTCTGGTGCATGGACGATGCTATCGCTCCGGAAGCTCTTCGTCTCATTCCTAGATTATTCAGAGTCAGAAACGCACAAGATTCTTCTACCACTTTTCTACTTAGCCTCCAAGGTCTTCAACGCACCGGTCCAGGCCAGGCGGAAGGAAGACCGATCTGGAACCATCAAGACTTCCAGAGAGCAATGGCGCAGCCTTAGGCGTCCACGTGAGCTGGCCGTCCCTACGACGCTCTTTCGCCGAAAATAGAATATGTTGCGGCGGGTAACAGACAGAAGAGACGGGGCACATTGGCCTACACGCTACCTGACGAGCTCTTGCGGAGAATTGTCGCAGGTTAGGTAGCTTCCGATTGCCCAGTAATGCGTATCTTCCCCATCTCTTTCTGGCCCTTTTCGTCGGTACTGTTCAGCCATCAAATCATGTGTGGCTCAGTGTGTTAGGGAAAGACAGGGATTATTCGGGGACCATTTTCCGTTTGTATGGCCAATAGCGGCGCACTCTCCGCATGCCGAGAAGGCAAATCCCCATGGCGCCCCAATCGCCTCGACAAGCCCATCCACCCGTCGTCAATAGTCACGCTTGGTCCTCTCACATGGCATCCAGTGGCCGGTTGAATCCTCCCACTCTGTTCATGTATTGTCTGTATTCAGACTTCTTGACTTTGTGCACGGCATAATTTTTATCGTTTCCAGGAACCTTGGTGTTCTTCGTGGTCCTAAAGTCCCGAAACCCCATGATCCGTTGCATCTCAGATTCCGAGTCTTCGTCTTCTGAGGCCTGCTCCATCTTCACGTCTTTCGACTCTTCCTTAATCACCGCGTTCGGCGCACCTCTAGGCCCCATGCCATTGGACTTAATGTCTGCTGGCTCACGCCTCAATCTCTCGTCTGGTCCGCCTCGTGGTCCTCGCGGTGGGGCTGGGCCATGGTTGTCGCGGCTGCGCTGCAAGTCGCGGTCTCGATCTGATCGTCCAGGAGGGCCATTGCGAGCCGAGGGGCCCCGTGGCGGCGAGCGGTCTCTCCGCCAGTCATCTCTGCGGTCGCGCCGTGGTGGTGAGCGGGATCGGTCTTGCTCTGTAAGGCTGTTAGTCGCGACACTGCCCAAGTTTCACTCGACGGGACTGACCGTATCGAGGTTTGTGGTTGCGGTGGTCGTCGCGCGCGGGTCGGCGATCATCGCGTCGGTCACGGCGGTCCGACATGGCGAGGTGTGGTGAATGCGACAGAGTGGAAGAAGGCAGTGGTGGTTGTGGCAGAAACACTTGGAGGTACCATGAGTTTACAGGGTTAACTTTCACACGTGAATTCTAGCGGAAGCAGCCGGCGGGGCCGAGGCTGCTCCACTTGAGCCGCCTCCACCTCCTACCACAAGATCAATACCGTGCGTACCTCTTATGACTGTAGATACCTCCTAGCAGGTACGGGCTCTGAGTCGTACAGGATCACAGCATTGCCTTTCTGAGATAATCCAACGTATATAACCCGTATGAGTGGGTAATGTAGGTATAAGCACTCGTAATGTATAGCGACAAGCCGAGTCTCGACTCTCCCGTTCATCTCTACAACCAACACGTCCCGTACCTCTATACTACAGCATACAGAATCACTTCGGTATATGTAATCGCTATGGAACGCCAAATCGTGCTCCGCTGGGCCACGCGACAAGACATCGCTGCCATCACCGACATCCTCGTGGAAAACTTCATGCACTTCGAGCTGTACGACCACATTGCACCCACACGCCGACAGCACCCGGACGAGTACCGTCGTTTCGTATCACACCGCGTGAAGCTCTTTTACGCCAAGTCAGAAGCACGGTATATGGTCGCCGAAGCAAGCTTACCCACCACGAATGGAGTGCAGCAGACTGCCATTGTCGGCTTTGCTACGTGGGAGGCACTCGGCAGCGAGAATCTTCTGGCGGAGCAGTGGCGACATCTGTCGTCGGGCTGGACTGCGAAGCTCGAGAGAAGTCTGGTCAGCCTGGACCTGCAGTACTACCGCTACTGTCTCGATCGCATTGTGGACTACGACGCTTTGGACGGGATCGTGAACAAGCTGCATAGCACCTACGAGCATCGGGACGGGCTACAGAACTGTCTCCATTTGCAGTTCTTGATGGTCGATCCTGGATGGCAGAGAGGACGAGGCATAGGTCGAAAGTTGCTGCAATGGGGAATCGATGTCGCGAAGGAACGCGGACTGCCGGTCGTGATCGAAAGTAGTCTTGTGGGCTATGACTTTTATCTCAAGCATGGATTCCGTTTGCTGGAATATGTGCGTGTTGGAACTGTCTCGGACAAAGCATATGATGCGCCCATCGTGGTATATGATCCGAGAGAGAAGCCATAGAGTGGAGCACGTTTCGCAGTTTTGCATGGGAATGATTATTTTCCCCGAGACGGCCACGGACGCTGCATCTGTTAGCCGCAAGTCTACCTACCTCCTGGGCATCGTCTGTTCGTCATTGATGATGTGGAAGATCAATTTCTGGACTTAGGTAGCTCCCACCGTAAGAGCAGCCTAATCTCCAGTTTCGGTACGGGAGTCATGCGTCCAGCCTGAGGCTTCAAGTTGACTTCTCTACGGATGTCATTCGGTGCCACTCCAAAACCAAGAAGATGTTTTTCTTGTGTCGCAACAATGCCATTATGCCAACATCCAGACGCCAGGATTACCAACCACGCTCACCGGTGGAGTCACCGATCGACCAATGAAAGCTCATGCTCCCCTCCCCTGCTCCAGTAAGCGCAGCTGCCAAGAAGGTCATGTCTTAGAGTACATACTCAGGCCATGTTCGACCTCGCTCTTCGAAGCTGAACTTGCACTCGCAACCTCCATTGAAACAATTCAGCGGACAAGGGAACGAGCCCCGTCCATCACACTGTCAAAGATGGGTGTCTACGAAGAACAAGAATTCACCTACGACAGTGAGCAGAAGAAGATCTTCTACTTGGCAGCAGGTCCCAAGGATGGCCCATTGATCGTGTTTGTGCATGGTCAGTCAGCATAGCTTCCCGCCTCAGGGACATGATGTTGACGATGTGTGGTTTCTAGGCTGGCCTGCCATTGCGAAGACTTGGAAGTCCCAGATAGATACCTTCTCGGCCTTGGGCTTCAGAGTAGTTGCTCCAGACATGCCCGGTCAGGCTCGCTGAGTTGCGAAAGCCGCTCGCACTTGGTACTAATGCTGCTTCTCAGGCTACGGTCGTTCGAGTGCACGGAAAATCAAGGAAGACTACTCTCTGGAGCAGCTCAATATCGGCATGGCAGCTCTGCTTGATCACCTGGGCAGGGATGCCGCTATTTGGGTGGGCCACGATTGGGGTTGCGGTGCCGTGAGTCAAATCTGTCCTCAAAAATGAACATCTCATTGCCATGGCTGACTCCAACACCAGGTATGGAGTTTCGCCGAGCATTACCCGGAGAGGGTGATAGCAGCAGCAGGTCTCGCAGTGCCCGCTGTAACGATCGAAAAAGGCCTCGATGAACTCATCAAGCACGTGAACCGAGACATCTACCCCGTCGACAAATTCCCCTACGGCCAATGGTCCTACCAGAAATTCTACGAAGAGAATTTCGACAAAGCCACCCACTTCTTCGACGCCGATCCCGCCGCCATCATTCGCGTGCTCTACGCCAAAGGCAAACCCGAAAACCTCACCAAACCCGCCATCACCGCATCCGTCACAGCCGACGGAGGCTGGTTCGGAGGTGCAGACCAGCCCGACCCGAGATTCAAACACATCCCCATCGAAGCCCTCTGCATCGACGAAGAAACCTACACGGACCTTGTCGAAGCCATGCAACGCACCACCTTTTACGGCGCAGATGCCTGGTATGCCAACCACTCGCGCAACCTGGAATACTACACGCAAGATGCCAAACACCAGGGTTACTTACACATGCCGACATTATTCATCGGAGCGCGCTACGACACGGTGTGCGAAGTATACCATTCCTCGCTCGCGGAGGCCCAGAGGAAATTTTGCACGAATTTGACTGAGGCGCATATTGAATGCGGACATTGGTTGCCGCAGGAAAAACCCCAGGAGGTGAATGCGGTGATTGCCAGGTGGATTCTGCAAGAGGTGGAGACGCAGTGGCCTGGGTTTTGGACGAGGGGGTGGACGAATGTGAAGTCGAAAGTAGTCTAAAGAAGGTACCTTACCTACTACCTTACCTACCTTAGGTAGATGGACACACTGTCTGATAAATGTGGAATTGGCGGCAAGAAAGACAGGAAACAAGGAAAAAAAAGAAAAGGCGTGATGATCTCCTAGTACCTCCTATCGTCATCGTCGTCGTCTTCTTCAAGAAAAAGGCTATTCATGTCCGCTCCCGTCCTTCCTCCACCCTCGAACTCAATCAAGCACATGCATCCATCAGATAAGATCATCTACATACCTACCTACATACCCTATACATCACATCGCAACCATACCTTACCTACCTACATGTATTTACCTACTCAAAAGCCTCCAATTCAAATCCCATACAAATCCAAACTACTATCATCCAAACACAACGATGATACACCACCACCACCACCACCACCACCAGCGAACCCTTCCAAAAGAATTCCCATCCCTCCATTTTCTAACTCATCTCCCATCGGCGTGAAGATGTTATTATTATGATTATTGTTATTATGATTATACATTTCATCGAGCATACTTCTTCCCATCCCATTTGTGTTGATGCCAAAATTTCTCGAAGAAGAGGCATACTGAGGCCCGCCACCGCCGCCGCTGCCCATTGAAAGTTCCCATAAACGGTGTTGTTGTTGGTCATCTAGGAGAGTTTCTGGAAGGAGGTGGTTTCTTTCATAGAGGTTTTCGGTAGCATTACTACTACCACCAGCAGTGTGAAGTGCAAGGTCGTTTAGGTCGTGGAGGACACGTAGTTCATCGAGACCATCATCATCAGCAGCAGCAGCAGCAGCAGCCGAGAAGACTCCTCCCCCTCTACCAGCGCCGAGTCCGCGGGCAGACAGAAAAGTAGTACGTCTGTCGTTGTTATTATAAGAACCAATGGTGCCGAGTCCAGCAGTTTCGAATCCTGCTCCTCCTCCTCTGAGGATACCACCCCCACCAACACCATCAGTAGATCTCGATCGAAAATGAACACCCAACCCACCACCAGATCGTCGCTGGCCCAATCCAACACGACCACGATATCCCCCACCAATTTCCCCTCTTCCCATTTCAAATCGCACAATCATCATCGCCCTCTCCATCATCTCCGCCACTAATCTCCCTCTCCTCCCATACCGTCTCAAACTCTCCGGCAAATCCGGTCGGACTTCACAAACCCTTCTCAGACACTCGACACGCTGCAGTTCCGACATTCTCGCGCGTAAAATGGCATTGCACCACTGTCCGATGGTGGCCGAAGTTTCCGTGGAGACGATGTGAGAGGCGTGGCGGAGGAAGAAGGTGTAGAGGACGTGGCCGATGCGGAGATTCTGGTTCGTAAAGGAGACTTCGGCGAGGGCGCGGAAGAGGTGGTTGCTGCGGCGGTGGAGGAAAATGGTTTGATGGGGATGTTGATGGTGGGATGTCGTTTGAGAGGAAGATGATTGTTGTTGGTCGAGGAGCATGAGACGTTGGAGCTGTTGGAGCCAGAGGTGGGTGAGGGAGTCATTGTGGAATGTATTGCTGCTGCTGTTGCTGCTGGCGGCCAGGGAGGAGGATGATGATCGAGATGATTCTCGGATTGTCACATAGTACACTTCTCGGATATCTTCTTCTCTCAAAGGATTGAAGCGACAGCGAGGATATATCTCGGGACACTCTGCGACGAAACGTTCAATCAGGATATCTTCATCGCAACGTCGCCGTTCTTGCTCATGGTATAGCACTGGGAGGTGTTCGGCGAGACTTCGTGGTCGGATCGACAGAATGGACTGGCGGTTGTCAGAGGAGTGATGTCCATGCCACTGCTCTCTTCGAATCTGGCCATGGCTGTGCACCAAAGCCCGAATGTCCATGGAAGTCGGGAACATGATGATACCGAATTCGTGAAGGTATCTTGTGTGTGTGTGTGTGTAAGAGAGGGAGAGAAAGAGAGAAAGAACGAGAAAAGCACTTTGCCCTCCAAGTCTGGCATCATATGGCGGTCAGTGTGAGTCCAAGCCAAGCCGAGCGGAAAAAAGCACATGCAAGCACAACATACGGTAGACCGCATAAAGTGCCGTCACAGGTAGACCATGTGAGTAGCTTAAGCTGATATTGCGATTCGGCCATGACATGATTAAGCGAGTTGTGTTCGTGGTTGCGTAACCAAATGTATATGTAGCAAACAAATGTTGGCGCCGGGGGGATCCGATGGTGCAGCCCCGATGGTGGAAGTATGTAGTGTTGATTCACGAAGAAAGTGTATAGATATGAAGATACCTATGAGCTGTTGTCGCGGGTGTAGTGGTTCGAGAGTCATGATACTAGGGGCCCGCTGGGAGCGTGAAGGACAAGCCGGCCTCTGCAGTGGAAGTCGTATACATGTCGGTGGTGAGTGACTTGAAGTTGAGCATAGTGACAGCTTACAGCCAGACCATATTCTTGGATCGGGCCTTGATTGGTGCTCCTCGAAGAGTTATGTACCTGGAGAAGACCTCGTTGTAGTCCTATCCGCCTTTCCTCCCCCTGATTTGCCCTCTCTCTCTCTCTCTCTCTCTCTCTCTCTCTCTCTCTTGCAACACTTCAAGTCTCGGCTTGCACAGCTACGCATCATGTGTGGTCTCACCAGCGCCACCGTATCTGTTCTTCTTCCTCTGCTATATCCTCCGCCATCACCCCCTTCATCGAGTTTATGATGACTCTTCACTACCCAGACAGGGCCAGATAGATAGAGCTATCATTTTGGCCATCCATCTTCATGCGCAGTGAAAAAAAACGATGTATTTCGTTCCAGGCGCTTGTTGCAGTTGTGATGTTGTTTTGGTAGGCGAGCGGAGAGCTATGGGATGGCGATCGACTTTGCTGCCTGTGAGTGACATTGCCTGGTCTCAGGATGCGAACGAGGAGCATGTGGAGCCGAAGAGCGCGGAGTGGACGCCAGAACCAATGCATTGCAAGTACGTCCAACTCCTACGTGGCGGCGGCGTCGATGGTGATGTAGATTGGTTTTCCGCAGAGTCGGATCATCCTTTCGGTGACTTGACCTTTCCCCTGGTCGTGATATTCGGCAGCAGCGTGGGCATTTTGGCATCTCTCACGGCACTCTGTGCCTGAGCGACAGCATCGCCCAGCAAGACACGAATGGCAGTCTCTAATCTGCGGTCCTGCTTGCGGCGCATGTACAGGATGACGATCCACAGGATAATGCCATCGGCCACGAAGAGCTGGAGAGCCCACCAGCTCAGGCGCAACACCCATCCCCACCAGCTGTGTTTGCGCTGATAGTTGAGAAAGCGTCTGGTTTCTAGCTGTTCGCGCAATGCTGCCACTTCGGTGGTCAGCTTGATCAAGGAAGACTCGATGCGCTTCCGCCAGCGGTTGTCCGAGGCAGAGGAGGTTGGTGGTGGCGCGCGAGCGCGAAAGCGATTGTGGGGAGACGAGTCGACGTCTCCAGCAGACTCGGATGCGGCATGGTGGTGTAGGTCAGCGTCGTCGATTTGGGAGACTGGCGCATCCACAAAATCCTCTACCTCCTCCTCCCCGTCCTCTGCCTCTTCTTCCTCGCCGTTTCCCTGCGCCAGCATTCCTCTCTCATCCTCATCGACTTCGGACTGTGGTGCCAGCATCTTGAGGCCCTTGATAGAATGGCCCGAGTGCATGTAGTCTCGGCGCTCAATGGTCTGCAAGGGCGACGAGTGCTCGGAGCTCGAGTGCTGCGAGTTGTTTTTGATCTGATCCCACACAAACTCCAGCTCTTCCACCAGCTCTCTCGCTTCCGGAGTGGTCGAGGCATACAGTCGCATAGTCGCAATCAGCGTTTCAATGTATCGTCTCTTGGCCTCTGTTCGACCCAGGCCCTCATTTGCCTTCCAGGCATCCCACTTCTCTTGCTCTTTCTTGAGTGTTTCGGGCGTGCATCCGGCGACGGATGATGAGAATGAGGATGATGCTGTCGGTCGATCGGAGATGCGAGACACATCGCCCTCCATGCTCTGTTTGTACAGGCCATACAGCGCCAGTCGGTCGCTCGAGGGCGGCTTCTGCGATCCAGGGCGGATCTTGTTGACGGTGTTGAGGGCATGGCCAAACACGCGGTCGACCGAGTCGGCCATGGTGGTCCTCAAGTACCTCTAGGACTGAGTGTGTGCTGGCACCGGAGTCATCAACAACAGAGACATGTAGCATGTATGCTCTGTCGAGACATGTCACATGCAGACAGGCATCTCCGCCATTTCTCGGTCAAACATGATCTGACAAACTCACTTGAACATGTGCTGATGTCTCGCAATGTACCGAGGAGGTTGATAGAGTTCAATCAAGACTGAAAGAGGTCTAGTTCTACATATTTAGTCTCCCGTCGCCACCTCCTCCTCCGCCGAGTCAGCCCTCTCCTTACCGTCTAGGAGGTATGGCCGTTGAGAACAAACCAAGTGCCAAGCCCCGCCAACATGCTCCCAGCGTAGCACTGCCTATGCTGGGAAGAGGATTGTGTAGAGATACAGTACATGTACCTGGTAGGTAGGTAACAAAGCAAGCCGTGGGGGGGACACTCATATCCTACCAATGACGGAGACATATTTGACCGCTTCAGTGCAATACATACCTAGTACCTACATAGGAGGTATGTGAAGGTACCTTTCCATCACAGCGACACGTAGAAACAAAGTCCCAACGACGAGCACGAGACTGCGGAAAAGAAAGGCATATCCGCCTTAAAAGAAGTCATGCTGTATCATCCTACCTCCACGTGGATGAGATACCTCCTAGTACGGTCGTGGATGATGCACCGGCCAAGCCTCTCTCATTCTCGCCGAACGAATGCCAGGCCGGCTTTGCATCACTCGACGGCTCGACGGCTCCGACGTAGTACTTTGATGCAGCCACTCCACGTCCGACTTCGCTGTTGACCTCTTCTCAGCCAATAATGCCTACACTATCCAGTATCCACCAGTGTTCTCCCGCTCGGCGGACAGAGAAAAAAAAAATGCAATCAACACTAGTAGGATATGCGTCTCTGCCTTCTGCCCGCTGGGAGGGCTGATCGACGTCCACGGCCAACTATCATCCCTTACCTCCCTCACTTTACCTGATTGCTGGAGAGCGATTAGCGATAATAGGATGTGGTCCGTCGATCCTTTCATACCTCCATCCTTTCCTTTCCTTTCCTTCACATACCATTCTGTGGGAATTTATTTCCTTTCACTCTACCCTTTGACCATATGAGGTGTACAGCTCACCTAGTTCCATCATGGAGAAGAGCACAAACCAGAAGCAGCATCCTACCGAGGTCGTCGAGGAACAAGAGCCTGAAATCAAGCCCGAATCGATCAAGGACGACTCTGACTCGCACTCCGATCATGATCATGAATACCACAACGAGACCAAGAAGGAGGCCAAGCACGAGACCAGCTATACAGTCACAGCCACTGCAACAGACGTCGAGAGCCAACGACACAGTATCCAGCTTCACCAAACCCCATCTCATGTTTCCACCCACGATCCACCCGCCATACACGACCAACACTACGAAGCCGGCGATGAAATCTACTCCAGGTTCTCCAAATGGCGCAAAGTCTCCATTGTTGCCATTCTCAGCTTCTCGTCCTTCCTGGCACCCATCTCATCCACCTCCATCCTCGCTGCCTCTCCCGAAGTCGTCTCCACCTACCACACGACCGGCACCATCTTCAACATTTCCAACGCACTGTACATGCTCTTCATGGGTCTGAGTCCCCTCGTCTGGGGTCCACTGGGCCAAACATATGGCAGGAAATGGACCCTGGTATGGGCTGCTGTGACCTTTACCGCCTTCTCGGCCGGATCTGCACTGGCCCCGAATCTCGCTTCGTACTTTGTATTTCGCATGCTCACGGCCTTTCAAGGCACGGCATTCCTCATCATCGGAGGCACCGCCATTGGAGACATCTACCGACCCGTGGAGAGAGGAACGGCCTACTCCTGGTTCATGAGTGGAACCCTCATCGGACCCGCGTTTGGTCCCTTCATCGGCGGCATCATCGTCACCTTTGTGTCCTGGCGCGACGTTTTCTGGCTCCAAACCGCCCTCGCAGCCCTCTCCACCATCCTCATCATCTTCTTCCTCCCCGAAACAATTCACAAGAAACGCTCCGACGACATCAAATCTCTCCCTACCACGCAACAGATCTCTCACATCTGGCACTGGATCAACCCGGCCCGCGTCGTCATCCTCTTCAAATATCCCAACCTCGTCATCATCGCCATTGCCTCCTCCTCTCTCGTCTGGAACATGTACTCCCTCCTCACACCGATCCGCTACGTCCTCAACCCGCGCTTCCACCTCACCACCCCCTTGCAATCCGGCCTCTTCTACATCGCTCCCGGCTGCGGATATCTCACCGGAACATTTTTCGGAGGTCGCTGGGCAGACGCCATGGTGCGCCGATACATGAAACTCCGCGGCGGCCACCGCATCCCCGAAGATCGACTCCATTCCTGTTTACCCGCCATGGGCCTCGTAATTCCCGCGTGTATGCTCGTCTACGGCTGGACGATAGAAAAATCCGTCGGAGGAATTGCCGTACCGGTGATAGCCATGTTCTTGCAAGGTGTCGCGCAATTATTTTGTTTTCCGAGTTTGAATACTTATTGCTTGGATGTCATGCAGTCGCGGAGTAGTGAAGTTGTGGCGGGAAATTATTTTATTCGTTATTTGTTTGGTGCTGTCGGTTCCGCTGTTGTGTTGCCGATTATACAGGCTATTGGGGTTGGGTGGTTTAGTACCATTTCGGCGCTGTTTGTCGCTGTCGGTGCGTTGGGGACGTGGGCGGTGGCGGTTTGGGGGAAGGATTGGAGAGAGAGGGTCGATAGGGGGAAGGAGGGGGGTGATGATTAGATTTTTTCTTTTGAGATCTGCTACCTCCTTGGTTGGGGAAAAAGCAATGGTGGCGTTGGAAGTGTCTTTTTTATTTTTTTTTCCTGTTACTGAGCCGAAATAGATACCCTGAGTGAGCCTTTGTATGTAGTTTTGAGATGAGATAGAGAGCATGACTGATAAAATCATCATCATCATCATCATCATCATCATCATCATAACCGTCATTAGATACCTACAGCTCTTCCTCCAGATCGTACATGACTCCATTCCATCTTCCTTTTGTCTCCCCATCATTGTAAAGGCTCCATCAGCGTCCGCAAATCCTTCAATCTCCAATCGTCCACCACCGTCTCCCAATCATCCCTCAACAATCCATACGTCTCATTATCATAACCCTCCGGTTTCCTCGGATTCAGCGCCCAATACCCCCAATCAGCATCCGTCTCCTTCAACACCCTCATCAAATTCTCCCAATAATGATGATCAGCCTCATTCCCCGCCTGCGGAGCCCCAAACTCCCCCACCCACACGGGCGCCACATTCTCGTGTAACAAAAATCCCCAATTCTGCTTCATATCCTCTGCAAAAGACGCATATGGCCGTTTTCCATACGGCACACTCGGAATATGACCCCATCCCGACCACGAATACACATGCGAACTATACACGACTCGATGCGGGATGGAAAGTTCCACAGGTCTCTTCTTCGCTCCCGAACAATCATTTGCAGAAGAAACTCCTTCGACAAACATTAACCAGTCCGGTTGGAGAGTTAATAATGCCTCACTCGCTTCTTCTGCTGCTGAAGCCCATGAAGACCAGGGCATTGTGCCCCAAATTCCTCGAGGCTCGTTCCGTAAATCTGCGCCGATGACGAATGGGTTGGAGATGAAGGGTGCCATGATTGTGACCCAGTGCGCGATCCAGGAGGAGGTGGTTTGCCGGATTTTGCATATGGGGCCGTACTGGGAGTTTTTCCAGCTCGAGTCGCAGAGATTGAGGCCGTCGCACCAGTGTGCGTTGGTGATGTGGTTGTTCGGGATGACGATGAGGCCCGCGTTGGTGAGGGATTGGATGCATGCGTTGAAGACGTCGAGGGCTCGTGGACCTGTTGCTCCTGCTTCTGCTGATGATGATGATGATGATGCTTTTCTTCGCAAATCTTCTCCATGATTGGATTCGACAGGAAAGCTAGTATTGTCCTTGTCGTAGTCGTTTTCGTCGAGAAGATCCAAATTTGCAGAAATGTACTGGAGTGGAATCACAGGATTTTCCATCACCATTTGATCAGAATAAGGGAAGCGAACGGAATTGAAACCCATTTTCTTAATCGTCGCAGCGATTTCATCTCGATGTCGAAAATCTAGTCCTCCCGGTACAAAGTAGATATCACTCGCACCGTACCAATTAATCGAGGCCAATTTGACCCTGTGGCCGTTGGCGTCGACAATCTGTCTTCCTGCCGTCCGTAAGGGCGGGGCGAAGAAGGGTTTTGTGCTGGTGGTGATGTTGCGGACATGCTGCAGGGGGATGTGAGACACGGGGGTCTCTGCTGAGGATATGAAATGTAAGCTATAGTAGAATACAAGAATGGAGAGCACGGTCGATGCGAGAATTGTCCTGTGGCGGAGCATGGTTGTGGTTGACCCACAGGGTTCGAGGTTGGAGTCGACGACGATAGAGATGACGACGATACGTAAAGAAGGGGACGAATAGAAGAAGAAGCAGAAGCAGAAGAAGAAGAAGAAGAACCGGATGAGGAAGAAGATGATGATTATGCGAAATGCATACTAGATAGAGAGCGGCACCAGGCAACTGATATAGAAGTGTGGTAGGTACCTGTAGGTACTGTAGGTAGGAGGGAGGTACAAATGTAACAGCGAATGGGAGGCAATCGGTGTCGTTGCTCCGTAGGATCCGCGAGAGTCCGGTCATCCTCCGACTGATGACTGATGATTGTCTGACCATTGCCAAGAGATACATTGTGTGTGTGTGCATAGGTAGAAAAGGATGTTGGTTGGGAAGAAACATGGGGGAGATGTACCACTTAAAAAAAATAAAAAAATAAAAAAATAAAAATAAAAGAGAGCCACACGATCACTTACCATGATGGATGGTGTTGGTGGCTACAGGTACACATGCAGAGTGTAATGTTAATTCCACTGTAGCATAGGTATCGTTGCCGGACATTGTACTGCTATAGTGCTTCTTCTTCTTCTTCTTCTTCTTCTTCTTCTTCTTCTTCTTCTTCTTCTTCTTCTTCTCCAAGACTAGGCCTGCGGAACAAAACAAGCTGCGAGTATCGATAGGGGTACCTCACGGCCAACAAACGCCCCTGATTGTATTGTGCGAATGGGAGAGGAATCCAGCGCGCAAAGAGTCAAGGACGACGTTGCGGCAGTCCCCAAGACCCGATGTCCGAAGTACTCCTCCGTCTGTCCGAGATATGCAAATATAGATTATATCACGTGAATTCGTCTACTTGCCTGAGGCACACACAGGGAGTCAGGGGGTGGAAAGTGAAGAAGTTTTGCTTGGCATTCAGGATAGTTTTCAACTTTTCATCGATTCTGTATTTCACTTTTGTCACTCGACAATGAAGGACTCTGATCTTCTGACTGATCATGATCATGGTCAGAAGGCTGGTCTGATGTACTCGTCGTCTCTTTCGGATCCTGCTCTGCCTCTGTTACTGCTTTCTCAGCTGCAGAGGGAACAGTGGCCACTTGCTCCTCCTTTCGTATCAGACCTTTGTCCGTGATGAGAGCAGACAGCAGGAAAGCAATTCCCGCAACGGGCAGGCAAAAGATGAAGACCGCTCGACTCGCATCGGCGTATGCATCTGCAATCGCATTCCTGTCCAACTCGGAATATTTGCTCAAATCGGGTGCCGCAAAGGTACTTTCCGCAATCGACTGGAGTCTCGTGGGTAGAGATGCCTTGAGAACGTTGGACAAGATCGCAGAGGAGACTGCCAACCCTACCGCGCCACCGGAGCTGCGAAGAAAGTTACGATTGGATGTGACGACTGCCCGCTGTGCTTTGGGGCAATGAGCTTGCAGTGCTACCAGCGTGGGCTGAAAGGTCAATCCAATACCAAACCCGGTGAAGACCAGAAACAGACTGACGAGGCCGAGGTGTATTGTTCTGTTGGCGAGGATGAGCAGTCCCGATCCCAGAGTGTATGCACCGAACCCGACCCAGATGAGTTCTCCGTATCGATTGAAATGTGACATGTACTGTCCGCCTAGGATGGAAGAGCACGATTGCGTCAACACCATGGGGAGCTGATAGCAGGCTGCCAGGAGAGCGCTCTTCCCGCGAACGTTTTGAAAGTACCTGTATCATCATGTCAGTGCCTTGTTTCGAGAGGAATCATACATGGCGGACACTCACAGTGGCAAAAAGTACAAGTAGCTGTAATATGCCATGCCCAGTAAGAAACTCTGCGCGAGCATGGCACTCACAGACACAGTCTTGAACATTCCCAGAGGCATCATGGGCAGCTTCGCCCATTTCCACTCGACCAGCAGAAAGGCAATCAAACATACACCCCCGACCACAAAAAACGCAATCACTTCAGGCGAATCCCACGGCGTGCCCGCATGTCCGCCGGACGAGGTGGGAATCAGCAACAAAATCACCGCAGCAGCCCCCAAAAACAAGCCCAACACATCGATCCTCGCCACCGTCTCTTTCCAATTCAACTTGGGCATGTTCGTCGGCAACCACATCCAACTCGCCGCAAACGCCACCAACGACAACGGAGCCAGCAAATAAAACAGTCCTCTCCACGTCGCATGCACCGCAAACGCCGCCGCAATCAACGGACCCGCCGCATTCCCCGCTCCGACCATGAATCCCAAAATCCCCTGATACTTGCCCCTTTCTCGCAACGTCACCACATCCGACACAATCATCATACTCAAACTCGCAATGCCCCCATTCGCCACCCCCGCCAACGCGCGAAAGACATACAACATGGTCGCATTCACCGCCAGGCCGCACGCGAGATCACTCAATGCCAAGAGTACCAGAGCGGACAAGAGGACGGTTTTGCGTCCAAAGAGATCCGAGAGTCGGCCGTAGAGGACTTGGAAGACGGTGTTGGCGATGAGAGCGGATGTGCCTGCCCAGGAAATTGTGGATTGCGCGTGTAGGTCTTGTGCGATGGAGGGGAGGAGGACGCTGATGCCGTTTTGGTCGATGAAGCAGACTATTAAAGACAAGGACATGATGCTGAAGACGAAGATGAGTTGGCGTTTGGGGAGGACTGGAAGGGGGTTTGGGAGGTTAGTCTGTTTTTTCCTTTTCCTTTTTCTTTGGTGGTGAATTGCGAGGCAATGAAAAATATTGGAAAAATGATCCTCCGAAGGTAAAGGTAAGTACTCACTATTAGTTTGATCATGAAGCTGCGCTTCTGCCGCAGCTTGTTTTGCAGACACCATCTTCTTTTTTTTCCTCTCTTTTCCCTTGCTCTAACCAAACACCGCCACCACTACACCCGACCCCTTTGCTGGATAACGATTGCCCGGGCGGCGAGAAAAATTTTCTCCCCAAAAAACACACTTCTTGCGAGATGTTGTCGAATAGCACCGCAATCCCGTGAGATGGCCCAAAACGAATAAGATGGAATCGAATCCAATGCCAGTAGTAAGATATCCTCTTCAGTACATACAATACATCTAGATACCCATCACCTCGGAACCTCTCGGTGAGTAACAGGTATTTCATATGCATGTACCTCTTATATACTTTCAATCACATCACACACAAAAAGACCAATAAAGATAGATAGGTACTCAAAAAGCGCCCACGTGCAAAGCAACACGTGGTGGTGTGTAGTAGTAGTAGTGGTGTGCTAGAGGTAAGGTAGGAGGCAAGGTACGGTACCTACAGGCAGGCAGCAGCTAGCTAGCCTATCGTTTTTTCAAGACGAATCACGATTTTTGTTTGATTGTCCCGGAACCGCAGTTTTGCCTTGGGGGGAGCTACTGTAGAATGTAGAGGTAGAACTAGTGTGGTTTCGGAGATGGAAGAAAAAAGGAAACAAACTGGCGTTCTGGCTTTCTAGCCTCGCTTTTAGGAGAGAGTGGATTGTGAGAGCAAGAGTGAGAGTGAAGTGGTATGTTGTTACCTACTTGTACTGTACATACAAATTCAAGGATAAGGTATAGGTAAGGTATGTATAAATGTTGCAGGGAGATATAAAAAATGAGGATTTCAAACCGGGCAACACAACTGCGGACAAGGGTAAAGAAGAAGGAGGGAAATTGACAAGGTCAGCCTTCAGGTATCTTGTAATAATGCTTGACAGCTTGTCAGATAGGCCAGCCAGTTTTACCTTCTATAGGTAGGTAGCTTTGTATAGGTAAGGTACTGTATATGTCAGGATTGTCAGCCTCGCTTGCATTTGAAAAAAAAGGTACAGTCAGGTACCGTTATACCGTAAGCGAGGGGAGCAACTACAGTACCTACCATACATCATTAAGATTTTTTTAAGGTTCTGTGGCCGAGAAGTTTACATCTTTGCAAGTGAAGAAGTACAATGTACCTAGGTATGTGGTTATCAATTACAATATTATCGACCTTACTTTAAGTCTGAGGTACACCTCTTTTGCAACAACTACGATAATCTTGCCTTTTTGCTCGGTGATTTTTCAATTTCTCGTACGCTGCTAGGAGCATCTGCCATCCTCGAATGCGAATTTCGAGTCAATCACGGGCTGGAAGCAGCGGCTTAGCCTACAAGAAGTGTTGGCTTGCTGTGATACCATTCCTCTATCTGCTGTCATTTGGGCGCCTGAGGTTGTGGATGGCAGGTCTATTGTATTAAGGTAATACCTACCAGGTAACCACATGTACCGCCAATCGATCAATGAAGAATGAGAGAAGAACTGGCACGGGCATCGGATATTACTTCCCTCCGCTCCCCGTTTCTTGGCCGCAATACCATGTCCTATTGTATTTATTGTACCTTTGTTTTGTCGCCTTCACCACTTCACCTTGCACTACTGCCCGCCACCGATCAACCGCACCCGGGACATCACTGCGTCGTCGACTTCATCAAGATCAAGTTGCTCCTACCAAAGGATATCGCCCCCAAACTGCATATGCGTCGGCCCTAGAGCTCCCGGGAAGATGGCCACCGGTGCGATGGCTGCAACACACGTGTCACTACCCCATCAGAGACATCTAGTTCTGGCAGATGGCAATTCCTGAGTCCTGCGACAGCCTGCGTGTGCTGGACGAGGCCTGCCCCTACAAACAAGATGCTCCCTCTACCGCGGCACTTTAGTGAAGCGGTCGTGAAGTTAGTCTGCTCCGCACGCCACTATTTAGGAGTTGAACCTTCAACAGAAGCTTCGTTCTAGAATGCGGAGAAGACCTTCATGGCAGCCTATGAGAAGGCGAACAGGTCATCGAGGTCAGCCACAGTCCGTTGCTAAGATTAAGGCTTCGATTCTAGTCAGACCACACGTCTTCAAGCTTGCAATCAACGTGACTGGAGAGCACCAGATCAATTGCTGCGTGCAGACGCCACGAGGAGTCCTGTGGCTGCTATACAGACAGAGCGAATCAGTGCTTCAAGCATGACGAGCTAGAGAGGCATTTCATCTTGCTGGTATCTGCTTTCAGGGGCATCTCGCCCGTGCCGCTCTGCTGCCGTTGATGTATACATACCACAACGGCCACACCTTGGGGATGCGCTCGCTCACTGTGCGGAACTTGCCATTTGAAGAGGTCAGATGGCTTTTGCAAGCTACAGACTCCTCACGCTTGTAGTGTTGCCCTCTCACTATGAGTGCTATGGCCTCGGACGCTGCTACTCGAGCATGCGTCTGGTGAGTAGCTCGTAACTCAGCGGGTATAGATAGATGGACACGCGCGCCCTCTTCTGCTTGATCTGACCAACTCGCTCAATATGGCCTCTCTGCTGGGCTTCACGGCATCGCTAGCTTGCTTATTCTCATATGCCCTCGCAACACCTCTTGCAGGCCGAGCATCAACGCCAATATCTCAAATCACGCCCTCCCAGTGGCAGGCACTCAATTCTACCGTCAGTGGAAGACTGCAAACCGCCACACCGGTAGCCAAGCCTTGTTATAGCTACTATAATGGAGTCTTTACAACGCCCGACTTGCAGCAATGCAAGGCAGTGCAGGATGGGTATACCACTGAAGACAGTATAGTGGCCAACTTTGGCGGCTATCAATATGTCAGTGTTCACCGCAACGGCGACAACAAGCAGAGACTAATACTTGCGTAGCCGAATTGGGCTAGTTGTCAAGCCAAAGGTCAAAGCTGCGGTCTCGATTTCACAGCGCCCCAAAACCCAGCCTACTATGCTCCGCCAGCAAACTGCTTCCAAGGCAGTGTAGCATCTTATTACATCAACGTGCAAGCAGTGTCGGACATTCAAGCTGCCTTGAAATTTGCCAACCAATATGGGATACCTCTTGTCGTCAAGAACTCTGGCCATGACTTCAAGGGCCGCAGCTCAGCACCCAACTCACTCGCATTATGGACACACAACATCCAGCCACCTATCGCGCTCACTCGAGGCTTCACTCCCGATGGCTGCAGTGCACCAGTCGCAGATGCCGTCACATTCGGCGCAGGACAAGGATTTGCTGGCGTCTATGAGTTTGCTGAAGCCAACGACATTACCGTTGTGGGTGGCTCCTCGCGGACTGTAGGTCCGGCAGGGGGCTGGATTTCCGGAGGCGGCCACAGCGCGTTGTCAAACACTCTGGGACTCGGCGTGGACAATGTTCTGCAGATTAGGACAGTACTACCCAACGGTACTTACATCACCGCCAACCGATGTCAGAACCAGGACATTTTCTTTGCCCTGCGCGGAGGAGGAGGAAACACTTTCGGTGTCAACTGGGAAATGACTACCACCGCGCACCCCAAGGTCAGTCCTCATATGCCGCAAGAGACTTGATGAAGTATGTACTCACATATCGCTTGCGCAGATGCAACTCGAAGTTGCGTATATTACCTTCGCTGGCACCAATGCCTCCAGCATCCGACGATTCATCGACATCTGCACCCAGCTCGGAGACCGATGGGCCACAGACGGCTGGGGAGGCTACATCGCCCCGGGTGCTGTGACCTCTCTGGTCTCTGGCATGATCATGATGACGCCCAAGCTCACTCATGACCAGGCCATAGCCTCGATGAAACCACTGACAGACTACGTCGCCTCGCTGGGCAACGTCGCCACGCACAATAGCGTCACCACCGAGCCATCATACTACACGGCCTACCAGAAATATATCGCCCCCAACCAAGAAAAAGTCGGAGTCGGCATCGCCATGGGCAGCAAATTTGTCCCTCGCAGCATGCTTCAATCCTCGGCCGGACAGCAAAAAGTGGCAGATGCCATTGAGAAGTCTTCCAGCATGGTGATACCCGTCACCGGTCAAGGTGGCGTAGATTACCGATCCCTCACCTATGGAAGCCCCTTTCAAATTCTCGTCACCGCACCAAGCAGTTACCAGACAGACGGCTCCTCATCAGTGACACCCGCGTGGTACGGAGCCAATGGAGCAGCGTGGCATGTGTGTCTTGGTCAGGGCATAACCAACGACGCGTCCGCAGATACCATCACAGCTGCGTTCCGCAACGCGAATCAGGCGACTCAGGTCCTGAGAGACGCTGTGGGGTCACCTGGTGCGTATTTGAATGAAGCAGACACCTTTGAGCCGGACCCGGTGAGCACGTATTGGGGCAGTGATAATTATAACAAGTTGTTGGCGTTGAAGAAGCAGTTGGATCCGAACAATGTTTTGACGTGTTGGCAGTGTATTGGCTGGGACAGTAGTGATGCGAGATATGGATGCTATCCTCGGATTTAGAGTATGTAGTTGTGGCATACATGTATAGAGACGCCGAGGTCGGGTGAAGTCGCTCTGACGGATGCTCGTCCCGAGCTCAAACTAATGTTCCAAGCTTTCCCTTCCATAGTCCATTGAACCACCGAACTTTTGTTTTTTGATACCCAGCATATCGTCACCACCCACAGTCGCCATGTTCGCAGCACGAAAGGTCTCACAGTCCGTCCTGGGCGCAGCCGTCCAGCGCCGCGCATTCTCTGCCACCGCCAGCAATGTGAGTACACTGTCGTCGTCCTCGGAAGTCCTCGAGCCCAGACAAAAAGACAGATCATCCGCCCGCCCGCCCAGGCACACACACCAGACGCGCGCGCAAGCAACGGCAATGGACACTGACATGAGACGTGCGAATATAGGCATCGAAGGTCGTCGTCCTCGGAGCCGCCGGTGGTATCGGCCAGCCGCTCTCCCTCCTCTTGAAGCTCAACCCACGCGTGAGCGAGCTGGGCCTCTACGATGTTCGCATGGCACCAGGTGTCGCCGCCGACGTGGGCCACATCAACACTAAGAGCACAGTGAGGACATGTCAAAATGGGTCTTGATGGGAAGTACAATAGCTGATGGTTCAAGGTTGTTGGCTACGAGGCCGGCGCGGCCGGGTTGGCTGCTGCCCTCAAGGGCGCACAGATTGTGGTCATTCCCGCTGGTGTCCCACGCAAGCCAGGCATGACCCGTGATGGTACGGACAAGATGGCAGATTATGCGCTGGGGCACATGAACTGACGCAGCATGCTCTAGACCTGTTCAACACCAATGCATCGATTGTGCGCGACCTCGCAAAGGCTGCCGCCGAGAACTGCCCCGATGCCCACATGCTCATCATCTCCAACCCGGTCAACAGCACTGTTCCCATCTGCGCCGAGGTCTTCAAGTCCAAGAACGTCTACAACCCCAAGAAGCTCTTTGGTGTCACCACTCTCGATGTCGTCCGTGCCTCGCGATTCATCTCCCAGATCAAGAACACCGACCCCGCCACGGAGAACATCACCGTCGTGGGTGGACACTCTGGCGAGACGATTGTTCCCCTCCTCAGCCAGTCCGGCTATGAGCTGAAGGGCGAGGAGCGCGACGCATACGTCAAGCGCGTGCAGTTCGGCGGTGATGAGGTCGTCAAGGCCAAGGACGGTGCCGGATCTGCCACCCTTTCCATGGCTATGGCTGGTGCTCGCTTCACCGAGTCCCTGCTCAAGGCCGCTCAGGGCGAGAAGGGCGTTGTCGAGCCCACATACGTCGACTCGCCTCTCTACAAGGACCAGGGCGTAACCTACTTCGCATCCAACGTCACCCTCGGACCCAACGGTGTTGAGGAGGTGCACCCAGTCGGCAAGGTTACAGAACACGAGCAGGGTCTCCTCGAGAAGTGCTTGAAGGACCTCAAGACCAACATTGAGAAGGGAGAGAAGTGGGTCAAGGAGAACCCATAGATGATTCATGGCACAGCATGAATGGAGACCGACGTCCAAATCGAGAAAGAGAAGCGGCGCCCAGTGGTGCGCTCGATGCTGGAGACAAGTTGAGATGCCTAGAGCTTCACAGCCTGCTGTAGATTTACTGTATCCCCCCAAAATTCTCGAGTAGTGTTTACATTCACCGCTCTGTGACTTGATTTGACTACTTGTTGAGTTATTCTACTGCCTTGACGGTCGATGCCTGTCTAGTATGTATTGATCAGAGATGCAGTCTCTCCAAGCGCCGTGAGTAACCGAAAAGATCGGCGACATACCTCCTAGTCCTGCGAGAATCCGATGCTTGTGTGCTTTTTTTTCTTTTGTTGGTTTCCACAACAACACGTCAGCAGGACATGTGAGGCGGCCCCCCCACCGATCTTGAGGTTCAGCTATACCATCTCTGACGAAGCCGCTGGAACTACAGTATGCACGACCTAGAAGAGGTAGGGTAGGTATCCGAGACATGACATTATTGCCGAATGAAGTCCGGACTGCGGCGACGCAATAGCTCGGCACAGGGGAGGGTACCAAGGTCCATCACGTACCCTGGTTCCTGATTGTGGATAGCCGTGGGCGTGAGCGTGGAGAGGAGCCGTGTAAGTCGACTTTCCACGCTGTACCTCCCTTTTCATGATATAGGGGAATACCTGAATCTCAGGTACATGTAGGTATGCTTTGATTATTCATATTTTGGCCAAGTCTTCTTGTATCATTCATGTGAGAGAGACATACTACTAGTCCAAGGTACCTCCCAAGGTCTGTAGTGTAGCACCCCTGGTCACCGGAGCAGGTTAGAAGGAAAGCAGAAGCTTTTGTACTTGAGCCGAGGTCTATTGTGACCAAGGCCCCCGGCATACGAGACACAGCTCCAGACCAACAAAAAGTCCAGAGGAACTCATTCTCACAGCATTCATACCTACGTTACTTGTACGGTTAGGTTGTACCTATCCTCTGGAACTCCAAGCCTTCAACTTCATCTTCATTCACTCCTTTCCTTGTGCCTCTATTTTCCTCCCCAAGGCTGTGCCATGTTCGCGGCAGTTGCCCGACGACGAGGCTTATATATTGCTCCCAAGACCACCACTGGCACACTCTACCGAGGGATCTCACCTGTCCCAGGCTTGCAGGTAGGTTGCATATCTGCATGCAGACAGACGCGTTTCGACTCGAGGAAGATATATATGTACCTATGACTGATCTCTTTCCTATTCCAGACATTCAATATGGCGCAACAACAGACGCGGAAGCAGAGCAATCTGCCAGCAGGTATGTCTTTCCGTGGTCGAGCAAACAACAACTGGTTGGGGGCTGGATGGTGGGCTGACTGTGGTGTACGATTAGGGTATCAAGAGGACCACAGCAAAGGTGCCATGCTCCGATTCGAGGAGTCTCTGCCACGGTTACCAGTACCGACGCTCGAGGAGACGGCGAAGCGATACCTCAAATCCGTCCACCCGCTCCTGACCCCCACGGAATATGAAAACACCAAGATGGCCGTAGACGCGTTTGTGAAGCCTGGTGCGGTGGGACATACGCTACAAGAGAGGTTGAAGGCGCGTGCTGCAGACCCCAAGGTCAAGAACTGGCTTTCGGAGTGGTGGAATAATGCTGCATACCTGGGCTATCGCGACCCCATTATCCCCTACGTCTCGTACTTCTACAGCCACCGCGACGACCGGAAACGAAGGGACCCGGCGAAGCGTGCCGCAGCCATCTCCGTTGCCGCTCTGGAGTTCAAGAAGCAGGTGGACGACGGCACCCTCGAGCCCGAGTACATGAAGAAGCTTCCCATGGCCATGAGCTCGTACATTTACATGTTCAATTGCTGCCGCAGGCCTGCAAAGCCAGCAGACTATCCGGTCAAGTTCGATGCTCAGCAGAACCAGCACATCCTGGTCATTCGCAAGAACTCCTTCTTCAAGGTCCCACACACCCACAATGGTCAGGATCTGAGCGCCAAGGAGCTGGAACACCAGTTTCGACGAGTATACGAGACTGCTGAAAAGGGTCCCGCGATTGGTGTGATGACGACGGAGAATCGTGATAATTGGACTGATATGCGCGAGCGTTTGATCAAGGCCAGTCCCGGCAACAAGGCCGTTCTCGAGGCTATCGAAGGCGCTGCATTCGTCGTCTGCCTCGATGACGCCAAACCCATCACCTTGCACGAGCGTGCACGCCAGTACTGGCACGGCGATGGGAGCAACAGGTGGTTCGATAAGCCCGTGCAATTCATCGTCAACGACAATGGCACTTCGGGATTCAATGGCGAGCACAGCATGATGGATGGCACACCGACTCATCGACTCAACGATACCATTATGCACTGGATCTTCAATGACAAGCTGGACTTTGAGAACCCTCAATTCCGATCAGACATTCCCGACCCAGCACCTCTCAAATTCCAGCTCTCCAGCGAGGTGTACGCCGACGTCGCGACCGCACAGGAACACCACATCAATCTCATGAGCCAACATGAACTGCGCGTGGAGGCCTTCCAAGGCTATGGAAAGGGATTGATGAAGAAGTTCAAGTGCTCGCCCGACGCGTACGTGCAGATGATCATCCAGCTCGGCTACTACAAGTTCTACGGCAAGAATCGTCCCACATACGAGTCCGCAGCCACGAGACGCTTCCAGGAGGGCCGTACGGAGACATGCAGATCGGTTTCTGACGAGTCTGTTGCCTTCTGCAACGCCATGCAGAGCCCCTCGAGCACGAACGAAGAGTGCCGTGATCTATTCCGAAAGGCCATTGCCGCGCATGGCGAGTACATCTCGGCCGCATCTGATGGAAAGGGCGTCGACAGACATCTGTTCGGTCTGAAGAAGTTGTTGCAAGAGGGAGAGGATGTTCCGGAAATCTTCAAGGACCCTGCATTTACATACAGCAGCTCATGGTTCATCTCCTCGAGCCAGCTGTCTTCGGAGTATTACAATGGGTATGGATGGAGTCAAGTCATTGACGATGGTTGGGGGTGAGTACTGAGTGAAATTATTGCCACGACTATGCTGCTTTTCTAGCGAGGCGGATGCTGACTGATTTATTCTTTTCGCAGAATGGCATACATGATCAACGAGAACAGCGTCCAGTTCAACATTGTCAGCAAGAGCCTCGGCGCCGAGCGCATGGCGTTCTTCCTCAATGAGGCTGCGCAGGACATCCGGGCGATCTTGGAGAGTGAGGGAACCAGCGCCAAGGCGAGGTTGTAGATGATGATTCAAGAGGAAGAGAAAGCAAGTGAGCGAGGGTATTGTCATACTGTACAGCAAGCAGCATTCGATGTGATGCGGACCACGAGAGCGTGGTTGGATAAAGAAATCTCCTCCAGAGGCGACCATGTGTCTCTGTGATGCACGTCAGCTCGAGAGTAGACTAGACCTGATGCCCCGTGAGGCACATGTTATAGTATAGGTAGGCTAGCTGGCCGGGGAGAAAAAAAGGCTTGATTGTCTTTCTGTCTGTCTGTCTGTAGGTTAGCCGCCCGCCTCCTTTTCCCATTCTTCGGACAAGACACTATTTCCCTTGTTACCTCAGGTATATAACAAAAACAACATGGACAGTAGAATTGACACAAAGTAAGTAGTACAAGGATACAAGGATACCCATAGCCATAGGTTACATGTACATACATAGGTACATAAGGTAGGTACCTATCCCAACCCTCCCTTACAGTTTACCTATGGCTATGCCATCTCTTGGCATTTCCCTTTTTTTTTCTCTTTTCTTTGTTACCGTTTGAGAGCTATGCATACAGCATATTTATTAATTATAACAACAACAACAACAACAAAGAGAACGTAGGACACAAGCCCTCGGTCCCTCCTCTATAAAGTCTGTAGAGCTACAAAAAAGGTAAGCGAATTACGTAGAGGTTTTGGTTTGTTTGTTTATTTATTTAGATTTTTCTTTTCTAGAAAAGGGAAAGTGGCACCCCAAAGGTGTTCCGCTTTTTCTAGAACCTAGGAGAAAAGGGAAAGGAAGGGAAAGGAAGGGAAAGGAATAAATAGTATTGTATAATTCGTAGAGACGACGTCGCCGGCGTTCTCGAGATGCAAAACGCCCTGCAGGACCTCTCCTCTCCCCAACTCCGCCGTCTCTCACTCCGCCGTCTCTCACTTCGCCGACGCGCAGCTATTCGCCAACACCTGCAACGTGCAGAAAGCGGAGCTCACATGGAGCTCGCAGCGGGACTCGTGTGCTAAATCTCCACGGCCTTTTTATTTTCTATTTTTTCATTTGGCACGGCGTTGCGGAAATGAATCAGGTAGGTAGCTGGATAGGTTGTTGCAAGCAAGCAAGCCAGCCACGAGAGGCAAACCAGTCTGGTGATTAGATTAATAGTATAGTGCACTACCACGGCAAGTTTTTTTCAAACACGGCAGCGGGGGCAACTCTCTAAAGCAAAAAAGTCTCAGAATGGAAAACGTCGAATCGATCGAAAAGACTAGGATTTGTTTCCTCTATAGTTCAAACAACTGCCCGGTTGCACACTTATAAGTGTTCCTTCGATTGTCCTTCCCCCGTTACTACCAGGAACCTATCAGACGAGATGAGCTGGGGTGAGCTTTTGACGGCTCATCCTCCTCAACAATCATGGTTCATAGCAGGTATCTCGCTCCCTGATCTCTCCGCATCTGGCTGGTTCGCCCACAGCTCCACTCCGCTCGTCTAGGAGGAGCATCTTCCGGGACATATGTGGATGCGTGGGCAAGAGTCGAAGAAGAGACCCGAGGACGGGGCAGTAACGTAGACGGAGACTAGTGGCGACCGGAAGGTCCGAAAATACCCCCCTTTTTTTTTCTTTTTTTTTTATCCAAGTTTTTGTGTCCTTCTCGCGCCCATCTTCCAATGTCTCCATTCGTCTGTCCCTGTACATGATAGCTGATTGTACCGGCGGTTATAAAATGGGAATTCGAGATCCCTGAGGAGCAATGAGACTGTATGGGAGTGGTTGTACTGGTGGACATGGGGTTTCAGTCCTATGCTTGGTTCTTCACACGCCATTCGCGCCTGGTCTAGATGCTCGATGGACTACACCAAAGCTGAGCACTATACACGCCATTGATCGCATGAGGAACCTGCATCTCCCACCATTGTACAGCTCTCAAAATTAGACATGACGGGTGTTGTTCTGCACTCTTAGAAGGCTGCTGGGGACGGAGCCCAGCTCTTCCCCATGATCTGCCTTTCGTCCTTGCTGGTTCACCGGTCGTTTGCGCTTTCGGTTTGGAGAAAGCTCCAGTAGTGCCGGTCGTTGCACAATTTCACTCCGTTCAAAGTCGATAATCATGAGCTGCCCTGTCTTGTCATTATACACCATATTCCTGGGCTCTGCATCCTGGTGCAGCACTTGCAGGGCTTCGATAGCTTCGTACGCCTGCCTAATTTGTTTGTCACACGATGGCTGGATCGATGCGAACTGTTCGTCCTGAACCCTCAGCTGTGCGAGAGAGGTTCCCGCCCAGCTCAGGAGCAGGATGTGTTTCAGCTCCACCCCATCGTAGTGGTAGGGCATTTGAAGCTCCACAGTGCCACAGCACACCGGCACGTATCGTCCCTGCAGTCTCCGCAGTCGATCATACACGGCTGCCTCGTGCTTGAGGCGGGTTTTGTCATGATGAACCATTGCTTTGGCCACCAAGGTATAGCCTCCCACATTCAAATGAACTTTCAGCAATGCCCCTCGGGAGCCGTGCACGAACAGAGGGCAACAATTTGCAGCACTACCGCGATCAGTAGCAAGCTGGTGACGGACGTGTCGAAGGAACACATCCTTCAACATGTGCTTCGCACCGTGTTTGAGATGTTTGCGAGCATTGGGACAAGATCGGTCGATTGCGAGCCCTCGGCAGAGACCAAGGAGGCATCGGTGAGAACAATACGCTCGATCCTGGATGCGAGTGCGATTCCGGCCTTGCGAAGGTCCCTCCTGGTGTCCGCGGGTTCCCGCGTGCCTTGTTGCCGCGTTTCGTGACGTCCGCGAACGCGTTTGTACTCCGGGACTAGGGCTTGGAGGGTCTTCGGCACCATCGCTCTCGGAGTCATCGCTTCTGGATGTCGAATGAGTCACCTGTTCGCCACATTGACTGCGGAGACGGATAGGTGAGCGCCGCATGCCTTTGCGCCACTCGCGGGTTCGATATTCAGAGGCTTCCTTGGATTGGCGCTCTGTCTCGGGGATCGTCGCAAGAACATCGACAAATTCAACCTTCCATCTCTTCCGCCTCGCTTTCGCGTCGTCGACCCATGCTTGACTAGGTGGCTCTTCCGATAGCGCTTGCTGAATAAACGCGAATACCTGGGAGACAGCCGTCCTTTGTAGGCGACTCTCTACGTCCACCTCATAGTCTTTCTTCGGTATGTTCACACTAAAGTAAACAGTGGTAGGGTCATCCGGGATACGCAGGAAAATGTATGCCTCTCCCGTGCAGACATATCCATAGCGTACACATTTATCGATCATATACGAAAATAACTGTGTAATCACCGCAGCCAGAAGGCGCCTGCAGAGGAGAACAAAGCTATTGCCCTCATCTTGGCCGATTACGTCCCGCTCAGGCTGGATTTCGGACTGGAGTCCCGTACAGATCTCTTCGATCGTAAGCTTGTGCGGCGCTTTGTATTCCATTGCGATCAATGGCCGGACGCTTCCGTCCTCTCGCCACAGTACGCAGAATTGATCGGCCCGCGTGTTTCTCGGTTGCTGGCCACTCGTGCCCCGGATGGCCAATCCCCCCATCGTGTCACTCAGCGTGGACATTTCCGCTTCCCGAAAGCTCGCCGGGTTCTCGAACGATATCTGGCCATGTCCTAGTAAGCTCGGCGCTAGCTCATAATTACGCATCAGCGCGTTGTACATCTCTTTGACCATGTTGTCGACTGTAAGCCGTTGCAAGAATCGCAGATCGTCTTCGGACCCGATTGGGTCAATAGCAGCCTCGATAGACTTGCACGCGGCTATCGATGGGTAGAGGGCCGTGTGCCATAGTTCATCAATATCGCCCAGAAGGGTCCAGGTACGCTGTTGTCTTTCGCCAAAGTCGTCCCAGAGAGCGATGGTTTGGGGGAAGAGCCTCGAAGCCGGGTCGGTGGTAAAGCCACGGGTGGCGGATCCAGGATCGTCAACGGGGCGTATCTTCTTGCAGAAGGTATGGCAGCTTTCGAGAAAATGGGCCAGGTTCTGTTCCCCAGCCACTTGTTCCGCAAGTTCGCGTCGACGCTGCTCTTCCTCTCGTAGCCGCTGCTCTTCCTGTTGTCTACGCTCTGCAACTTCCTGCTTGCGCTGCGCTTCCGCAAGCTCCGCCCTCAGCCTAGCGATCTCTCTAGCGGTCTCGTCGGCCATTGTTCGTGTGTCGTGTGTGTTGTGTGTGTTGTGTGTGTTGTGTGTGTGTTGTTGGCTTGACAGTAAGAGACGTCAGGTAAGTAAACAAATGCGCAAGCTTTCGGCCGCAGCCGCCGCCGCCAGTACTCACTGGTGCTAGTGCCCGGTGCTAGTGGTGGTTGATTGCCGGAGCCGAGTCTGCGCCGAAGTGGTGGTTGTCTGGAATGATGGAGGAGGTACTGTCAACAACAGCAGTCCGACTCAATTCCGATCGTATTTAATACTACACGTAGCTGCGCTTGCCTGGTCAGGGCCACAATAGAAGGCAGGCTGAGTACTACGGTTACCACAGCAACGACCTCCGCGACGAAAGAGAGTCTGTAATGAGTGGTGGGTTGGTTGGCACGTGATGTTCTTGTCATACCCTCCATCGATCTATCTCAGTCCATACGTGTCCACGAAGACGGGGAACCACAAAAGGTAAAGGGGTAGTGGTAGGTGGGTTGCTCGCTTGCCAATGAGTGGACGTTCCATCGCTTTGTTCGTTTTGTTCCTTCACATCCCAGACTAATAAGCTAACCTACCTAGGTAGAGTAATAGAAGCGTCTCCACGAAGACGGCGCACTGTGAGTGGTGGGCGATAGATTTCGCGAAAGCGCAAAGAAAAAAGACGGCGATGGGATCTTCGGCAGGGATATTTGTTTTGGTGGTGTTGTTTTAGTGCTACGATCAAGTTACGGAGGTACAGTTACTACAGTAGGAGGTAGTAGTTCGGCAATGTATGGTCCATCACAAGAATAAAGGGGCACGCGCGTGAGGGTCGCTTTCTGTTTTGGTGGAGGGGAAACGTGCTCTTTATGGGTCAGAAATGGGTGGATGGATGGGTGTGGGTGGGTAAGGTGGTAGGAGGCAGGTAGGTGGTACTCCTCTTCTCCTCTTCCTCTTCTCTATCCTCCTGCTATGTTTGTCTCTATCTCCGATCTTTTTGCTCGGATCTCCCTCTCTCGCTTCTTTTTTTCTTTTTCGCTTCCCTGTCTCACTCACTCACTCACTCACTCAACATTTTCGACATACGACTATTTACGACCTTATAGACAGTACTCTTCCACCCCCAGGGCATCAGTACCATCGTCATGGTCAAACAAGATCTTGCACTCCACGAGACGAGACTGAACGAAACAAGTCCAAATTCCACAACACGGCAGAAACTAAAATCACACTTCCAAAAATGGTGGTGGGCATACCTCCTCATCTTCATCCTTCTCGTGCTCATCATAATCCTACCAATGTATGTCTTCTCTCTCCCTCCCCCCCTTTGTAACATTTCCCAGCAACAAACGATTAATCACTTTCCATCTCCAAAAAACCAACTAACAATCGAATGATTTGAACCCTCGAGAGAATACAGCGTCTACGTCGGATATCCCACCATCGCCCAACAAGGCATCAATTCCTCCCAACTCTTGCTCTCCCAAGCTACCCTTTCCAATCCTTCTCCAGAAGCCTTCGATCTCGATCTCTACGCCATATTACTCACCGACTCGAAATTTCATCCTTCTCTCGACTCTTTCAACGCCTCTCTGCACGTCAGTCATGATGAGAACAAAAATGATGATGACGCTCCTCCTTTTGCGTACATTAATGTGCCTGCGATGAAAGCGAAGAATCAGACGTTGGTGCATCTCTCGCAGCGGGTGAGGATTGCGGATCAGGAAGAGTTTGCCAGGTTTTGTATGTTGACGTTGGGGAGGGAGGTGTTTACCATTGGGTTGAGGGGGAAAGGAGGGTTGAAATTGGGCGGGTTACCGAGGACGAAGGTGGAATATCGTCAGCCTGTGGAGTGGAAAGGTGAGAGATTTCTTTTCTTTTCTTTTTCTTTTTTTCTTTTTCTTTTCTTTTTCTTTTCTTTTCTTTTCTTTTCTTTTTCTTTTCTTTTCTTTTCTTTTCTTTTTCTTTTCTTTTCTTTTCTTTTTCTTTTCTTTTCTTTTCCTTTTTTTTTCTTTCCAAATCCTGGAATCCCCTCTTCCTTCTTTCGTTCTTCTCGCGTACCTACCCTACCCTATCCTATCCTTCGAAGAAAACAAATCAACTCCGAGCGAAAAAAACAATCCATCAACACACATCGCCCCCCGAACCTCCTTCCATACATCAAAACGCTAACTTCTTCCCTCTCCCTCCCCCCTCCCAGGCCTCAACTCCCTCACAAACCTCACAATCCCCTCTTTCCAACTCAACCTCAACTCCTCCTCCTCCTCCTCCTCCTCCTCCTCCCCTCCGCCCAACGTCAACGACAACAAAAACTTCAACTCCAACGCCACAATCTCCCTCCCCAACCCCTCCCCTCTAACCCTCAGCATCGGAAGCGCCACCTTCGACGTCCTCGTCAACAACATGTCCATTGCCACCGCCACCACGGCCTCGTCCAATCTGACTCTCAATCCAGGAGAAAATTTATTCGGAGTAAATGTGCAAAGTAATTTATCTGCTGTGACGACATTGTTGGCTTTGCCCGCGTTTCGATGTGGTGTGTTGCCGGTGGAGATTCGGGGGATTAATAGTACGACTACTGTTACGACGACGACGACGACGACGACGGAAGATGAGGGGCAGGTATTGTTGCCGTATTTTACGGCGGCGTTGAGAAAGAGTGCGGTGAAGACGAGTTTGGATTTGGGTCCGGCGTTGAGGAGGGAGGGGTTACAGGCCGTGTTGACGGGGGATTGTGTGGGATGATAGAAGACATATAATTGACTTTTGTGCCTCATTCAATCAGGCGGGCCTGACTCGACATTGCCTTGGCAATTTCATACCGAAAAATACTACTTGAGCAACTCGTCGGGGAGTCGTGATACATGCGATGCCACCTGTTCTGCTGGTAGAGCTACCCAACTGGCCCAGCTGTAGGTACATTCTGCTTTCCTGTTGTTTCTCCTGCAAGCAAAGCACTCCAAGTCTCACGTGAATCCGTTTCTGGGCGCTCCTGCTAATGTAGCCTCATCTTCCTGTATATCATATCAGTAACCTGCTTTGATGTTTCGTTTGGATGTCAACGTACCTCTAAGAATTCCGTGGCCAAAATCAACCTGCTCAGCTCGTCTGCTACTTTGGTAGCCTGCCCACGCGCAGCTTGCTTGAAGATCGCCTGAACGGTATAGCGGTGCTGCTGCAAGAAGGCCGTACCTGGCTGCGGACCTTTGCTGACCACAGCAGCAACAATCACCCGTAGCACATCAGCAAGAATCGAGTAGAACTCTTCCAGTGCGGCCGGGTTGTCAATGTCCAGGCCTAGGTCGGGATCCGTACTGAACAATTTACTCTCATCCACCGCATTGAAGAAGCCAGAGTTGAGCACCAACTGCGCGCCATCTGCAGTTTGGCACAGCCGCAGCAATAATGCAAGTGCCGTGTGGAAGTATGCTAGTGTGGCGGCCGTTTCGTCTGCAGCATGGAATGCAGCAGAGACACTGCCAATACTCATGTCAATGAGGACGGGAATGAAATTGAGCTTGAGTAATGCCCTGAGCATGGGCGTGATGAGCTTAAGTCCTTGGCGCAGGGAGATCAGGCCATCCAGGAAGAGTAGCGCAGAGACACGAGTGATGCCGCGTCCAGAGAACGCATCCTCCGTAACTACAGTGAGCAGTCGATCGCCCGCGTTCTGTACAAGTTGTAGCAGCTGCTTGGCGCTCGCCACCACAGTTTTGGATGACCACGTGCCAAGAACAGCACAACATGTCCGATAAGCCACATCTCGCAGTGCTGCATCGGTGCTGCTGTCTGTCAAGACTTTTAGCGAAATACGGAATATGGTGAGTAGGCGCTCGCTGGCAACATTGGCGGCCTGCTGAGATGCATCTCTCGAAGCTGGGCTGATTGCATATGTGAACGTCAGGACCAGCTTGGCCAAAAGTCCGGCAGCTTCCAGGTCGTCGCCTAAGCTCTTCTCGTACTTGGGCAGCACAAGAAGTAAGCCCTGCAGCGATAGAGGGAGAGTGGCAGCATCATCCAGACCGCCTTTGGTGATTACAAGCGACAGCAGTTCAGTCCATGCTTCAAGCGCGGTAATACGAGCAGCGTGGATAGCCCGCCAGTTGTTCTGGCTCGTCAACGATGCGAGGATAGCTGCTATTTCATCAGAAGCTCCATCCATATCAGTTTGGTTGCCAATTGTACCATTCTCTGTGAGCTCCCTCTTCCGCAAGATCAACAACTCGTGAGCCAGGTTGAGGTCAAATGCCGTCAGCGTGTCAGGATCATTCTTGGTACAGCTTGACAAGTCAATGTCGCCAAAGAACATGCATTTGGAATAGTTTGGCTCGAGAGCAGGTGCAGTCTCCAAGTCGAAAAAGTCGAAGAGCTCAAATATCGAAGCCGTTGGCAATTCTTCGCCGGTGGGCAGCTTGATGGATCCCAACAGGCTACTCACGATTCTTTCCTGCACAGAAAAGGCCTTTTGTTCGGCAGCAACGCGCAGATCAAATGCTGCAAATTCGAAGAATGACGCGCGAATGTGCATGAAATTGCGTATTGCAACGGCTGCTGTATCCAATAGCGCGCCAGGCTCGATTGTGGCCAGACTATCCCAAACTGAGTGCACGGTGACTGGGATTTCCGAGCGAGATAGAGCAGCCAGGAAGTCCATCGAACGCAGCTCGGGCTGAATGATGCGCGCTGTCAGTGGAGAGGTCGCCAACTTCAAAATCAGTTCCAGGCATCCGCGCTTGACGTCCAGGAGCCATGACCGGAAGCCCGTCTCACCGCTAGCGACAGGTAGGTTCACAGCGCAAGTGGCAATTGCATGGAACAGCGATTTCCCAGATGCGAAGACACTTCGCGCAGGCACATCCACGGCACGCTCATAGCAGTGGAATCCAAGCAGACAGTGCGCCAGACATGGCTTACCGTTTGCTGTGTCTAGACTGGCACGCATGGAGTCGAGCACAGCTTTGGCTTTGACCATCTTGGCGGGAACTCCATCAGTCTCCAGATCCCATTCTAACAATTCGAACATCGGCTGCAGACCGACTGTCAGGTCCTCGCCTATAGGGGCGAGGAGGCCGATCAGACGACTGCTCCCGCTAGACCGTGCGACGCCAGTCTCGCGGCTCTCACATAACTTTCGAGATGACCCGATTTGCTGGAGGAGAGCTGTGCATTCGAGACTGATGTCGACGTGTTTGCTCGCTGTGAACTGAGCAACGTCGGCCACAGCGTCGAGATGGCAGAGAAAGGCGTCGTCGATAGAAGTGAGCGTCGAGCTGGTCACGGGTTGAGCTTTGGAAGTTGCTTCAGCCATCAATGGTCGCACGACGTCAAAGTAGATCGGCTGCAGCTTCCATGCTAGGCGCAAGACCTGTAGTCCCTTGAATACTGCGCGAACGAGTGGCGAGCCAGATTCGGCATGATCCAGAGTATCCAGGTTTTGCTGGATCGTGGCGAAGATGGATCCCACGACTGCTTTGTCGAAAAGCCACTCCATGACACGAGCGAATGGATGGAGACGGACATATGTAGCCAAAGATTTCGTTTCCATAGCAGACTCGACCCCGACAGTGGTAGTGTTTGCCAAGAGAACTAGATCTTCGTTGAAGCTCGACAGACACTGGTGGACAAAATGCAGACATTCGTATCGCACAAAGTCAAGTAAGCTGGATTCACCATCCATCGGCATGCGAGGCACTTTGCGGGCAAGGACAGCATCCATGACGAAGTCGACGTATATGTCCATTCCGGCATGTCGATGAGGTACTCCCAGGGTCTCCGGGAATGGCAGGCTGTCAATGGGGAGATCGAGAGTGCTGGGAAACGGTGATATTAACGCGTTCAACAGTGTCAAGAGGGATGCGCCCGCTTCTGCGTTGTTTGCGTACGCCTGTAGGTACTGTTTAGCTGGGTACTGCACCCGTGGCTGTACTCGTGGAAGATTAGACCCATCGAGACCGCCACTCGATATCCAGCTGTCCAGAAGAACCCACATGCCGTTCCGTACCTCGGGTACCTTGTCTGTCAGAAGAGCTGCGAGTAGGTCGAGACAGCACGCTCGCACACGTGATATAGTCGCGGTGCGTGCTAGTTGGAACATCACCTCTCCGAGGTGGAAAGGCTGATCCTTAAGCAGCCAATTCCTCGCGTCCGGGCTCGTGCGACATATGTGAGAGGCCAGACCGAGATACGAGTCTAGCATGATACCGGTCTCTGGTTCTTCGAAGTTGTCCTCGACAGTGCTAGAGTTCTGGCCTGGCGCAGGAATAGGGGCCGGACGGTTGCGTAGGCCAGACGCATATAGTTCAAGCTCGCTGAAAATCTGTGTCCAGCTCACCGCGTACGTCTTGCGCAGCTTACCGGAAGCCATGGCGACATCCTCCAGTAGAAAGCGATGCGCCTGGTCCGCAGACTTGTCGTCGGAGGCTATTGAGCGCAGGAGCTGGCAAAATGCAGCCACCCGGGGCGTGGGAAGCCTCACAGATACCCATCGCAAGAAGCCATATAGATTGCTTTCCTTGTCTGCCCAAAAGTCGTGCGCCGCGTCCGTGTCGTCTTGGTATGCACAGGCCATGATGACCATGAAGCGCTCCAAGTCCAACTCCGAGTGTGCGGGCCCAGTCCCTGACAGTGAAAGCAGATTGCGTCGCATCTCGTCCTCGTCTAATTTCAGCTTTCGAAGGCAGTCAGGCATATGCGTTACAAATGCATCAGTGAACGCTTGCAATTCACGCATGGTCAAGGCTGAGAAGTCGTTGGAAGCGCGAGGCATCTCTACCACGGTGACGGCGCCGTCAACGAGAAAATCCACGATTCCCGTTCGAGCTGGGTCATACCATGCCACCGGCTTGAGGAACGCAGCAGCTGCAAGCATGAAGTGAAACGCCTTGGCTTCTAGCGCATCAAAGAACAGTTTCGCGCGAGCATCCTCGTCAGCCTTGGCCTCAGCGGCACTCTGACGAAGGCCATTCGAGGGGCCCGCAAACCTAGCACTGTACTCGGCCAACCAGCAGACTGTTGCCGCAGCCCGAAGCATTGGCTGCTTCCATTGTAACTGCGAGTTGCCCGCGGCGAATAACCTGTGGAGATCGTGTGCTGTTTCTCCACCTGTAAGACCCTCTGAGCCCATCTGTGATGCGCCGCTGATCAGTATTGGCAAGTAATGGATTGTGATGTCGATTTCAGTTTCCAGAGTGGACGCTTTGCTCAAGAAGATACGATAATCTTCCGGTTGCACGAAGTTGCCCCTGAGCAAGTAGCACATGATGGCAGCGAGTGATTCGTGTTGCCTCGTCAACAGAAATCTTTGGGCACGAAGAGCATCTCCTACGTCTCCAGACGCATGCTGGCCTGTCACGACGAGCTTGTCCTTGTATTCCGCCATTTTTTTGAGAAACCCTTCCACATCGGTCAAGCCATCTACACAGCTACGCCAGTAGGCAGCTGGATCTGGTCGCCTGTCTTCGTTGCCCTTTTGGCCTCGCCCTTCGACAATCTTCCTTCCAATCTCTGAAAAAGCGTCCGAATAGTCCTCATCAGGGGCGACATCTGAGTCGATCCCTAGCTGAAGCAGTAGACGCATGCAGTCCAGCAATGTTGCACGCTGCTCGTGGAAGCGCACCATTGCGCGTAATGGCAGCGATGGGTCTGTCTCGCAGCTTTCGACCTGCGACAATATGCAGAGCGTCGCCGCCTCCAGTTCATCCAGGTCCAGCTCATCCGCCACGGCTATTGCTGCCTCCCGGAACGCATCCTGCACGCGATATGTGACGTCCCCAATGGTGAGATTCGACTCCGTAGCGTGGGCCGCCGAACCGGCGCCCTGTTTGATTATGGCACGACTGGCATCATTCTTCTTCGTCCGCCTCAACAGCTCTTCCAGATCCTTGACACTGGCGTCCAGCTGTTCCGACAGTCGCTCGATGTTTTTGATCTGCGAATCGGTGGTCGCTACGAGGTCTCGCTGCAGGATCTGTAGGCGTAGCAGCGGATCCTCGGTAGCCATACCGCTGGAGGTGGCGGCGGCGGTGATGGAGGTGGTGGTGGGATCGAAGGTGGCTGCAGTCAGGCAGAGAGAGGGAGGGAAAGCAAAGCGAAAGCGAAAGCTGTGCAGAGTCGCCGCGTGAAGATGTCGAACGCGTTTTGCGGTCGGCGTCTATAGCTAGCTAGGTAGGTAGCTCTACAGGGATCATGCCGGACAGAAGTCGAGGTATTTTGACAGCGGCCGTCTTGAACTTTCCATTCACTTCGGATGCAGCCACATTCACAGGACATCACCGGCTGTACTACCAAACCAACCGCCGACGACCTACTCACCCACTCCGAATTACCATCCACGCTCGCTACATATCACACTCAACCACTGTCATTACTCCTTTCTTTCCCTCAGACAGACGTTCCAGCGATCTTCCTTTTTCCCCCAAGGTCGCACGAACATCAATGCCTCCCCGCGACCATTAACCTTTGGGGCCTCTCGAGGCTTCAGTGGCTTTCAAGATGGCCGAAGTGACTCTTAAAGATGCACTGGGTACGCGTTATGCTGGTCTAGACGGGTTCTGCTAACCTCCCGATAGAGAATATACGACTCAGTGCTGCCACCAAACGCAGGGCTGGCCTCAATGATTTGCAGCATATTCTTCGTCACAATCGGAACAGAATTCAAGTGAAACTGAAAGACGATGACTTCCAGCCGATCTTCGAAGCTCTTTTCGGAGTCGCCAATGATGGACAGCCGCCCTTTATCAATGCACGAACTACAAGCACTCGAGCCACTGCTGCAAACCGTCTATCTGATGTTGCAGGAGGATTACGGCAGACAGTCGAGGCGGGCGTTCGTGTCTTGAAGTCAAAGACCGTGAAATGGGTGCTTGATCATATCATCAGTAGCATGTTCATGTCAAATGAAGACCTTTGCGAACCTCTTGCACTGGACTATGCAAAGACAATGCGGCTCATTCTCGACTTCCAACCGCATGTGGAGCAGCTACAAGTCTTTGAGTGGGAAGAGATCGCATCTTTTTGCAGTAAATTCCTGGAAAAGGCTCTTGAGGAAGCCGCGGAAGAGAACGGCGCCATTCATGAGCACACGGCGTCTTCCGGTGGTGTGAGAAATGGGGTCAGTCACCGCTCCTCGCGCTCAACCTTCCGCGAATCCGCAGGATCTCAAGGGCAACGGTCAATCATAAGGCCTGTCGCTGAAGAGATGGTCGCATGCCTTCGTCTACTGACCGCAGCACCTAATGCGCCCAAGGGGGAAACAGCGACCACCCGCATATGGATCATTATTGATTGTCTAAAGACATCTGCGATCTCTCCGAGCGCGCATAGCAACGCTTTTGGGGCGATCAACAACATCCTGTACTGGATGAGAACAGAGGGCACTCGCGCCACACAGAAAGCAACTAGTCAGCTTCTTCGCCTGGTCCGGCATTCTTGGTCTTCCAAGTCAGCGGCTACTGGTCAGATGCTGATAACAGTGCTGCTTCTACGGCCATATATTTCGCATGCTATGAGAGATGCTGGAGCCGTCGCGATGCATCCCGAGCTCTGCGGCCTACTGCACACTCTGGAGCACGAGTATGCTAGCAGACTCGAACGGGAACGTAACGAGCTCAAGCTCGAAGATCTCAGACTGGAAGTTAATCGAGGATCCTTGGGTAAGGGGCAACTAGCAACGGTACTCTTCACGCTCCGGTGCACCGGTCGGACAGGCGAAATGAACTGGTTATTGGTCAACATTCTCGCTTTTCTCAAAAGTGTCCTGATCAGTGCCGAACAGCAGAAGCCCGAATCTGACGACGAGCCTGATGCCACTACCAAGGATATCAATCGCCGACCCAGGAAGCGTCTGCGGCTCTCCAATCAATTGTCCGCACTTCTCGATGCCACAACGCGAGGTACAGCACGAGAACGCATCTGCGCACTTCAGACCGTGACTTTTCTGGCTCAGCTTCAGCCACTCTCCAACCAGCAACTACTCGGGATTGCAGACAGTCTTACGCTCAGCTGCAGTGACGACAATGTCAACATCTGCTCTTGGGCTTTCCTCGCCGTTGCAAGCTGTGCCGCACAGAGGGCAGCGTCAGACGCTAAGCTGACGGAGTTGTGGACCACTTTATGGCAGCTGGGCGTACGGTCGCTTGGTAATAGCTCAACATGTCGCGCAGCCGCGTACGCACTGTCTATAATGCTCGCCGCGCGTCTGACTGTGCAAACCCAAAGCTCTGAGCTTGTTCATATGGTCACGCATACTATGGATCTTGGCGGACCAAGCCAATTGTCGGAGTCTGTGGCATTACTGCTTTCCATCACCATGCGAATGTCGCAGCAGCTCAATCCGGCAATGGCCACGGCGACAGCAGAGAGCATTGTCGGATGGCTTGCCAAGAATTTCAAGCCCAGTGACATCGAAGACAAGCACAACACATTCAGCTCTACTATGTACGAGGCTTCCGACATCATTTCGCTAACAGCTGCTTGCCTGGGTCGGTCTATACACACGCTCAACGCTCACGGGTTGCCAGTGTGGGAGGCGCCTGCTCGAGCGTGGCTATTCTGTGAGGACGAGGCGGCCGCGGTATCGTACTTACTACTCAATCCGCCCGTTCAATCTATCCTTAGTGATGTTTTGGCCTCGTATCCACTTGACGCTCTTACGTCTGGCCAGCAATCAAGGACATCCACGGAAGCTTTGGTTCTCAGCTCCTTTACTTCTGAGCTGACCCGGTGCAAGGTTGCGTGGCAGGACCGCACACGTGCGCCCAGTAGTGATGCCTTTGCTATGCTCTGCAAAGCGTACATGGTCACTACGTGTATCGCCATGTGCATATCTTTCAAAGATATCACACGGCAGACACAGCTTCAGGAGCTCAGCCTAGAAATGCTGAAGACAATGAGCACATTCGTCGCTTCAACTCGCTGCGATGCGGACAACCTGGAAACTTTTATCGGTATTTCATCTGCTGTATGCTCTGGTATCACAGCGCACACTGGCGCAGAGTTGGACGTCCGCTCACCATGCCAGCTAGCGATGTGTCAAACTGTCAACGAAGGCTTGACAAAACGACTTGAGGGCGACCAAGATGATTTTGATGACGATGCAATGGACTTCGATGGCACTTCCGAATCACAACACAGCCGAGGCAGTGCATTGTCTGCAAATGTCGTCGATATACTGACTGATCAGGATGCAAGTTACAGTAAAACTGCTCTGAGACAAAATGTGCATCTATACGCAGTCGCTGTCTTGGCTCTGGAAGCCTACCAAGGTCATGATGGCGGCACGGAGCTGCCGTCGACTAGAGTCGTGGAATTTGTCCTATCCTTAAGCGACAACGACCTTCTCTCCTGCCGAGATATGATCACTAAATTACCCATGGTTGGTCTGGTTTTCTCCGCGGACGACACCGATCGCCTGCTTGGGTATTTCATGGAAGAAATGCTGCGTAAGTATCCATACAAGATGTCCGAGGTCGCGCTAGGTTTCGTGCTTGATGTGATGGTCGGCCTGGTCGATATATGGACTGATGACACTCTGGATGCATTGTACAATCTGGGCCTAGACACGTACGAGTGGTTCGCCAAACGCGCTCTGTCGGACGACTTTTTCTCTCCAAATGTACAGCAGCGACTTGCGGGCTTGCTCCTGCAATTGTGCCAACTGAAGCCAGATTATGGCCGGACCACCGATGCTGGCACTCCAAGGACTTGCTGCTTCAAACTGTTGAGAAAGCTGCCGATTTCGGTGCAACATCAGCTCGCTGATCGTATACCTATCATGTTTGGCAAACTGGTCTTGTCTGAACACGACAAGATGTTTCTGGACCTGGAAGCAAATTTGCCATCCGACCCCGAGTGGCCGGAAGGCATGGCCATTCGCTTGCTGCATCTGTCGAAGCTTGCTGCATCTTGGCGTTCGCTTCTGCGTCGATGCACGTGGCTGATGTTTGATGCCGCCGGACGTGCCAAGGACTGTGAAGCTTATGCCCGGCAGTGCATCGAAGAATTGGCTACCTCACTACGACTCGAGAGCCCACGACAGCTCTTCTCACTCTTTGCCTCGCAGCTGCTATTCACATGGATGGAGTACAAGAATAGCATTGCCAAGCTGCCGTGGGAAGCGTTTCACTTTACCTCGTTATACGAGCTTCTCAGACTCCACCGGGCTGAGATCACGGCACAGCTAGTCCTGAAACAGGACGATGTTGGCCTTGAACTTGTGCAAAAGGCTGTAAAGAAGATGCCTCGGGACGTTATTAAGGATGCCTACGCAAAATGTGTCGCATACTGTATGAGCCAAGACGTGATAACTCGTGGACTTCAGAATGATAGAAATGCGTTCGAAAACCGCCTGCGAGACGCTATTGGAGGTAGCGAAGAGCACAAGAAACTGATCAAGCAACACCTGCCAACGATAGCCGGTTATATGTTCCTCGCGACGGAGCAAGATGCGAGACTGGATGATTGGCTGGTCAAACACCCAGGCTATGATGGGACATTGGCAGCTCTCCAGGTTATGATGAGGTATACGAGGAAAGAAGATGAGCTTCCGCCTGCGCTTCAACCTTCTTACAAAGGCACCTACCTGATCGATCAGCTGGCAAGATTAGGGAGACGCGCCGGAAAGGACCCACGTGATTTGTGGGATGCGTCATCCTTTGTCCTGACTGCGCGCATGCTGCTGGACGCCATAGACCTGTCCCTAGGCTCTATGCAATGCTGCCGCATGATCAGACGGGTGATGATCCTTGTGGCCATTGCAGGTGAGATAGCGCTTGTTGGCTTAAGTCCTAAGATGCTCGTACATTCGGTTCGTCCATTTCTCAACGATGGCATCTGTGCCAACGATGCGATTGGTCTTTTGCAGTTCATCTTTGACAGTGGTCGAGAGTCCCTACGAACAGACTTACAGTTCACAACGGGTGCTATAGTACTGGTAATCCTGCAGATGAGGAAGCATTCGAAAGAGCGACATGAGAGTACTACGCAGGAGAGTCAGCATTCCGGTACTGTGCAAGTGATGGCCCAATTTCAGACATGGCTCGTCCAATACCTCGCTGAGCTTACAACAGATGTGGGTGGCTCTGTTTACACGGCACTCACTCAAGCGCTGGGACAACTTCAGCTGCCTGGCAATGCTGATGCTCAGAGTGCGGAGAGCTCGTTATTACTTTTCCTGCTCGATCAATGGACTGCCAACCAACCGCTCTGCCCGAGAGAGGACACTGTCGAAGCTCTACAGCTTCTTTCTGAAGAATTCATCGTGCCTAGCACGCCGTCAGACGACTGCTTAGGAGATGACACGAGTGCCGTGCGATACTCACAGCCCATCTGGGAGGCCTTGCAGACGGTCAGTTTTGACGACGGCTTCACCACGTGGGCCGCTTGTGTACTTGGGCGAGCATATGCTGCCACAGGCCTGCGACCGAATCCCAATGGCCTCGGGAAATTATTATCCACTGCAGCCATTGCCGATCCCGATGACGCTTTGCTTGGATCACAGTGCGCCATAATCAATCGCGTTGCCAGATTAGTTTTCTCTCGAGATCGCACGCAGGCAGGTCTAGCGGAGTATACGCTACGCATGGTACAAGAGACCTTCAGTCGTTTCTCGGAGCCAGATGGCGCACTCCAATTCCAAAGCATGATGCCACCCGAACTTTACTCTGCTGTGTGTTCAGGGTCATATGGATACCAGCCTACATCGGCAGTCTTGCTTCGCGCACCAGGAAATGTGAACGAAGACCGCACGTTCCAGCAGGTGTTTACTGTGTCAAACAGCGAACCACTTGAGACCTGGGCCAAAAGCTTGGCTGTAGCTTTGTCCTTGTGGGCGGACAAGGATGCAATATTGTGTTCGCTTGCGCCGCTGTTCCAAAGCGTTCGTGGGCTGGCAGTCGAACTACTTCCTCCGCTGCTCCACGTGCTGCTTGCAAACGGCTACGACAAAGTCTCCTGCGCCCTTGCGGACGCCACTGACAAGCACATGTCCGCTGAAGATGCCACACTTGTACCAAAGCAACAGTTCTTCCTAAAAGTCCTTCTCTATCTTCGAGGACAGCGATATCCTGGTGAAACTACGCGGGTCGACCGTCTCAAATGGCTGAATATCGACTACATGAATGCCGCTCAAGCTGCAGCACGATGCGGAATGCCCACTGCGGGACTTTTATTGGCAGAATGTGCTAGCCCTCCACCCACGCAGGAAAGCCGCAGAACTTCCAAGCGTGCCTCTATGGCTACAGAGTCCGTCCCGGCCCAGATACCTTCCAACCTGCTGCTCTCAGTGTACAAGCAAATAGAAGAGCCGGATTCCTTTTATGGCGTGCCACAGGAAGCATCCCTAGGATCTGTGCTGGAGCGACTGAATCATGAGGGCGATGGGTTTCGGAGTATGATGTTCCGCTCCGCGCAACTCGACAGTCAAATGCGTCGAACACATCGTCTGGCTGAGCACGATGCCGTGGGCATGGTGCAATCCTTATCAAGCCTAAATTTCAATAGCTTGGCCTTTGCACTGATGGCTCAGGGCCTTGGCAATACCGCAGAATGTAACGAACACATGCTTAGGACGGCACGAAGCCTACAACAGTGGGATATTACGCCTTCTGAAGAATGCAGCGAGTCATCGGCGAGCTTTGGTCTGTTGCAAGAGCTCAGCAGATCTAGCGAGGTGTCGCAAGTTCACGAGAAATCAAGAGCTGCTATCCTCGGATTCGCAAAAGACAGCATTACCAATGGGCGGCACAACATTCCCTCACATGAATGGTATGCGAATCTTGCGATGCTGACCGAGATCATGGAAGTCGTCACCGCCGTCGAAGATCGCGATCTGTCGTCCCGCTGGAATGTCTTCGAAAGTCGACACCAATGGATGCACATGGCCAGATATGACGACGCGAAGCCTTTCCTCTCCTCCAGACAAACTTTGTTCAGTGTCTTGAGCCAGAACCTTCCTCTACAGAGGAGCATGCATGTCACGTTAAAGCAGTGTCGGACCCTTGAGGTTGAGGCGCTGCTAGCCTTCTCCCGGATCTCGAGGGAGCACTCGAGATTGCAAGAGGCATTGACCGCTACGACTAATATGAACGACATTGTTATAGTCTGTAGCGCAGTAGGTCTCAAGATCGACTGTGCGGTGAAGTTGGAGACAGCCTCGGTTCTGTGGGATACCGGCGAAGCCAGCATGTCAGTGAAAATTCTCGTCGAGCTGGGCCAGAAAGAGAATGAGCTTTCCAGACAAGACATCCATATTGGGCGCGCGGGACTTCTTGCGCAGCTGGGTCATGAGTCTGCTGCAGCGCGCTTGGAGAAACCGGAGCAAATCCTGAGCCAGTACTTAAAGCCTGCTCTTCACGCTGCTGGCAAGAGCAGAGACAAGTCAGAGATTGGCAAGGTATACTATGAGTTTGCAACGTTCTGTGACCAAGAGCTGCAGAATCCAAGCACGATCGAGAACCTTGCACGAGTCGCCAAGATGCGTCAGGCCAAGGAAGAAGAGGTTGAAGCCTACAAACAAGCCTTACGCAAAAAGACGGATCCCGAAGCCAGACACATGATGGCGAAGAACTTGAGAGAGGCCACAAACTGGTTGGAAATTGACACTGCAGAGGACAAACGCTTGCGGAGGAGTCGCAGCGACTACGTCAACTTGAGCTTACAGAACTACTTGCAAGCTCTTCAGGCATCGGATGAGCATGATATATGTGTCTTGCGATTCTTTGCGTTGTGGCTCGAGAATACTGATAGCGCTGACAAAGGCTCTGATGCTGCAGTGAGCAAATACCTGCCAATGGTGCCCAGCTGGAAGTTCGTTCGCCTCATGAACCAGCTGATGTCACGTTTAGACAGCTCCGGGACATCCTTTCAGGTAGCTCTGGCAGATCTGCTGCAGCGTATCTTCACTGAGCATCCGTACCACAGCTTGCACCATCTGTACGGGACTACACACGGGAAAGAGTCCAGAGATCCGGCGACCGTATCGCGCTACCAGGCTGCTAAGGTTCTGATCAACAACCTCATGAACGGTCCGAGTGCTACTCGTATGCAGGAGGTTTTCAAGGCGGATCAGCTGTATAAGATACTAGCGGACAACAAGCCAGAAAGGATGCCAGCCCACAGCAATAAGATTCACGTCAACAATTTCCGACAAGCTTACAAAGTCTATCGCGACGTGCCTGTTCTGAAGGTACCACCTGCCACGATCACAATATCGCTGAGGCCGGGGGGAGAATATCAGGATGTGCCGCACGTGACAAAGTTTGATTCTACAGTGTCCATCATGAATGGACTGAGTGCTCCGAAGATGATGAAACTCTGGGCATCTGACGGGAAGTGCTACAAGGAACTTTACAAGAGTGGTGACGATGATCTGCGACAAGATGCGATCATGGAACAGGTTTTCGAGGAAGTCAGCAAAATGCTTCGCAACCACAAGGCCACTCGACAAAGAGACTTGAAGCTGCGTACGTACAAAGTCATTCCACTGTCGAGCGGGTCCGGCATCATTGAATTTGTGCCCAACTCAATACCGATCAACGAATTCCTGGTGTCCGCGCACGAGAAATATTATCCAAAAGATCTGCATAATAGAAAGGCGCGCGAGATGACAAGCAAGGCGTGTAATGGAGGGCACGGTACTACAGCAGAGCGTCTCGCTACGTACAAGAGCATCTGCGAGAGACTACATCCTGTGATGCGTCACTTCTTTCTCGAGCGATTCAATGATCCAGACGAATGGTTCGCAAAGCGTACTGCATACTCGCGGACAACAGCCAGCATATCAATCATGGGCCACATTATCGGATTGGGTGACAGGCATTGCAGCAACATCCTGCTGGACGAGCAGACGGGCGAGATCGTGCACATCGATCTCGGAGTGGCATTCGAAGCGGGAAGAGTCTTACCCATCCCAGAACTTGTACCGTTCAGGCTCACTCGCGACATTGTCGATGGTATGGGGGCAACCGGGATCGAAGGTGTATTCCGACGTTGCTGCGAGTTCACTTTGGATGCCGTGCGAGAGGACAAGGACAGTATCATGACACTTCTCAATGTATTGCGCTATGATCCGTTGCATAATTGGACGATATCGCCACTCCGAGCCAAACGAATGCAAGAAGCGCAGTCAGAGATGTCTCGGACGGGCAATGGAGGAGCTGAGCAACAATCGTCGCGGAGAAAGGAGCAAGAGGCAGGAGAAGCCGACCGAGCACTCTCGGTGGTGGAGAAGAAGCTGTCCAAGACTTTGAGCACAGCCGCAGCTGTGAACGAGTTGATACAGCAGGCCACAGATGAAACTCATCTGGCGACTCTGTTTCAGGGCTGGGCAGCTTGGTTTTAAAGCGTGCGTGAACAGAAGGAAAAGGGGGAGTTTGTTTTGTTTGCAGGCATAGCGAGCATAGAGATACCCACATCATGGATGGCGTTTGAGCGCGGTTGCGTAGAGCGATAGATTGTTGATCACTTACTGTACAGCATAAATTTACAAATGCACGATACAGGTACACGACTCTATATGTTGTCCCCCCCTAGGAGGTAAGTTCCTCTCTCATGCCGGAGACTTGGCTTTCCTCGTGACGTGAAGTGGGGGAATCGATATCCACAAACACAGAACAATCACTCTGAGCCCACTGTGGATTAACATTTGTGAATCATATTGTTTTGATATGAGTCTACGTTCCAACCTCACCTTTCGAGCTGCTCTCCACCTACCGACCTATGTACTTCACTTCACCAACCATCACGTCGACCAGAGTGCAAACACAAGCACGAGCTGTTGAACAATTGGCGAGCGACTAGTGACCTTGAGAGAAATGCTCCAACTTCAGTAAGTCTTGCTAGCACAATGTCTGATCCAGCGGCAGCGGCAGCGGCAGCACCAGCGGTGGCGGCACCAGCAGCGGCAGTGACACCTGCAGAGCTGAAGAAGAGAGCAAAAGCGGAGAAACAGGCTCGGAGAGCAGCAGAGAAAGAGGCCAAGGGAATCAGTGCTGGAGGACCGCAGACTGCCCAGCAGCAACAGCAACAGTCGCAGTCGCAGCATGGCGGACAGAAAGCAGAGAGGCAGGACAGACAAGTGAGCGTACAACAGGCACCAGCGCAAGGACAGCTGCCGGCTTGCGCGACATGTGCCGCACAAAGCGCACTCCAGGAGGCCGCGGCGGCGGCAGAGAAGGAAAAAAAAGCTGAGAGCAAGAATGTCGAACTGTGCAGCCACCTATACGCGCACCCACGACGACAAAATGTTGATGGCGCTTCGAAAGACGTACTGCCCGTCATCCTTGCGCTCGGCTTCCAATTCAGCAGCTATGAAATCACGGGCAGCACTGCACGCTGCGTTGCGATGCTCAATGCGTTCAAAGAGGCGATTCAGCAGTACACCACTCCTAAGGGGACATCTCTCGCCCGACACATGACCGCGCACCACCTCTCACCACAAATTGAATACCTCAAATCTTGCCGGCCCCTTTCAGAATCCATGGGAAACTCCATTAGATGGCTCAAGAAGCTGATCGTCGAAGTGGACCCAAGCACTCCGGAACAGGAGGCTAAAGATCATCTGTGTGCGTCCATCGACAATTTCATACAGGAGCGTATCGAAGTCACGGATCAAGCCATTGCAACTACGGCTTCACAACAGATCGAGGACGGCGCAGTGGTGCTCACATACGCCAAAAGCTCGATTGTTGAAAAGACGATTCTGCTCGCTCACGCTAGTGGCGTCAAATTTAGTGTGGTTTGCATCGACTCACGTCCACTATACGAAGGCAAGAAGCTCGCGACTTCACTTATGCAGGCTGGTTTAAAGGTCGAATATACCGCTTTCCACGGACTCGCAAACGCCATGACACATGCATCAGTCGTCCTCCTGGGCGCACACAGTATGCTGTCAAATGGTCGCCTTCAGTCTCGAATAGGAACCGCAGCCGTTGCCATGACTGCACACCAGTTGGATGTCCCTGTCGTCGTATGCTGTGAGTCAGTCAAGTTTAGTGGCAAAGTGGCACTGGACAGCATTGCCTCGAACGAGGTCGCCCCAGCTGAAGAGCTTCTACCGCCACCGATCACGTCTACCATCCACGGAGTCGATGACGAAGAGACCAAGTCGAAGACACTCGATGACTGGAAGGAGATACCAAACTTGCAGATCTTGAATCTGATGTATGATACTACGCCAGCCGACTTCATCGACATGGTCATTTGCGAGTACGGCAGCGTACCACCAAGCTCCGTGCCGGTAGTCCACCGATTGGCCAACGAGGGCGAATAGTATTTCCCTCGGAAGGTGATTGTGGAGAGAATACCACGCGAGAAAGAGGCTCTGGACCAACGTATGAGAAATGCGAACCTGATCGGTCCTGCCAGAGAAGCGAGCGTTGACATCTTTGCTCGCTATGCGGAGCACGTGCGCGCTGGCTTCTAGAAGAAACAGCGCCGGAGAGAGATTCCCGCAGCAAAGGCCAATGCCGTAGTCGCACTGCGAACAAAGTGCCGATTCGCTCCTGACTTATCTTCGGGTACAATGCGCGCGTATGGGCCGTACGAAGTACACGACTACGAACAAAGAGACATGAAAGGCATCAGGTTGACCAGTTGATAGTCAACAACGCAACACTGAACATGCTGGGCGATGCCGTTGCCGGCTTCAAATGCTCCATCCTGTTTCTCTCGTATCTTCATTATTCGTTGGACCAACCTGTGTCACCTTACCGCCATACGCCTCGCTATGCATGCTCACACTCTAGAACCGGGCCAAGCCAACAACACTCTTGTGCCCCCAGGGCAAAAGCAAAAGTCCTCCACATCCTCCTCGCCGAGTAGACTCTCCATGTTTGGCAGTGTACGCCTGTGATGTCCAGTCCCGAAAGTTGGTGCTGAAGAAGGCTGATCGTTGCGCTACGGTCCGCGAGCACAGTTTTGCAATATTACTCATCATAAGACGCCGCCCTCGATTGGCATCATGTGCGGACCGCCAAATGCCACGCTTTCAGTTTGCGAGAACTGCAGCGAGTTGAAACCCACATCCACAGCACTATCAATCTGGTGGAGCGTCGCCGGCCGATGGTCGAAACGTGGTGGCATCTGAATGGTTCCGGGCGCTTTGGTTTTCTTCACACGTGTTTGTATGGCCGTAGGTGAGCCCTGTGTCGAGCGCACTGCCAGAGCTTCCCAGCAATGTGCAGCCGTCTGACTGTGTAATGACATCTCCAGAAGAAGTCCCTTGGCAATGCCGCTAGCGTGTAAGGCTTCGTGCACCCACGGACTTTCCCTGCCACTGCCGAGCTCAAATACCAGAAGAGTGGTGGCTGCAATGACCAGAACGTCGACAGTTAAGAAATACGCTTCGTCGAGTCGAAGTTGCTTGTGCAGCAGTTCTGCCACCTGGATTGCGTGCAACGCCGCGTTGACGGCCTTGAGTCCGAGCGTATAAGGTGGCGAGTTGATCTCCACGGTAGGCATCGTGAGATAGTGCGCAAAAGGAGAGTACAGGAGCAGTTGTGCATAGTCGTATGCATACGCCAGATATAGCTGCGATCTGGTGAGGTGAAGGGTCAGTGTGCTAACGTTTCCAGAATTATGTATGAGGAAGATGGGGACTAACCGGGTCATATGGTCAGCGGCTTGCAACGGCAACGGACAATTCCGAGCCCACTCCTCCAGTTCAGCACCTGCTTCTTGGATGGCTTGCTGAGAGATCGAGTATGCGCCTAGACCCGCGGATCTTCTCGCCGTGGCAGTGTTGTGCACGGCTGTGATTCCGCGGCTCAGAGTACACATCATCTCCATATGTTCATTACTCGCTACCAATCCCGATTCGGACCCCATCGAAGACATACTAGGATAAAAGTCCTGCTCGTCACATTCGAATCCGACCGTCCTCGGCACGCCAAGCGCAATCGACGTGTATGCGTCAAAGACGTTCAGCGCCGACCAGACCCTCCGTCTCAACACGCTTTCGTCTTTGGGAAACCCAGGGGTATCCTCGTGTAGACCAAGTCGCAAAGCAGCGCTCGCGGCAGCGGCAAGATACGAATGCGTCCGTCCCAGCGCCGAAGCGGCTTTCAAAAACAGCGCCAGACACAACACTGTTTGAATGGCCGACAGATTGCGATCACAGTGACTCAGCGGCACGAGTTCCTGCGCAGCAGCAAAGTACGCAATGCCCTGAACTCGACGTGTTTCCGCTAATACAGTCGTAGAGTGGTCGAAACGTTGACCGAGGGCCAGCACGGAGTAGACCAGACCCAATTCTTCCTTGTCACCAAAGTCTCGGCCAAAAGTGTTGGTATCGTAGAGTCGATAGATGGTAGTCTCGATCTGGGATCTCTCCACAAAGGGCCACAGATGAAATGCTTCGCCAAACGCAATTTCCACCAATTTCAATGCCTCGTCCTTGGCCGGTGGGAGTAACGTATTACTGCTCATTGGACCCGCGAGAAGATTGTCAATGGAATGAGAGCTGTCCAGCGCTTGAACGACTTTCAAAGACGAGTCTTGCGGCAACGTCGGTGCCGTGCCGGTGTGGTTGATGAAATTGATGAGTTGGCGAAGGATATCGAATCCAAACGGTTTCCCTCGTGGCTCCGTGGTGATGGTCTCGATATACTTGGTGGGCATCATCATCATCTCATCGACCGACGACGACGACGACGCCATCATCGTATCTGTGCGTCTCATCGACGCCATCTTCTTCGTGGTTCCACTACTACTATCACTACCACCACCACCACCACCACTACTACTACTACTACTACCACCGGTAAGATGATGTTTCAAGAAGCTGCTGCTGCTGCTGTACGAATCGGCGGAAATTGTCGACAGTCGTTCTCGCGATCCAATCGAAAGTCTGTCTGGGTTGCTCAGAGATGGAGATGTTTGTGTTGTCATGGTTTCGTCCGTGTCGTTGTTACTCTGTTCGGATCCGCACGAGGAATGTCGGAGTCGGTCTTGTAGCGCTTCAATCTTTTGTTCGAGATGCGCGATGTAAGCGGGTCCTGGGTAATGTACATGTACATTGTTAGTTGTTGTTGTCGGGAGAAGAAGGGGAAGGAGAAGAAGAAGAAAATCTCCCAATGGAGATCTCTTTTTATACAAAAGAGAGACAAGAGGTAAAGTTTAAGGGTAGATAGTTGCACACATACCACGCGATTGCTTCACCTGATGTCCAAACGAGCATTGTAACCTGTTTATCTCGTATTTTTCATCTTCCCAGTCAGTTAAGGCACTCCATTGGCAATAATGACAACAACAACAACAACAAGAAAAGAAAAATCAAATCAAATCAGAGACAAAAGAATAGAAAAGGGAGCTTCACCCACCCAATCGTGCTACAGGCCGAACAATTCATTAAACCATCGCAACGGGATTTCCGTCTTCGACATTGATCGCACTAGAACACAAAATGGAAAAACCAAAAACAGCTTGCCCCGTTAGCCGACTCGTTCTTCTTGATGATGAATGATAAATGAATGATGAAGAGGAAGCATGCTGTTCCCCCTCTCAATGATGAATTGTTCATCTATTGAGAAGAGAGAGAGAGAGATGGAGAGAGAAAACAACGTACTGCTCGCGCGGCTCTTTTTCGCTGCATTTTATCGCCTAGTGACGACGAGGGAGAAGATGAGGAGGAGGAGGAGGAAGGCATTACTGCCGGCTGGAGCTTGACTATTCCTGGCATGCGGATTGTGGAGGATGAAGGGTCGTCATGGAACATGGAGAGCATCGTCGTTGTCGTTGTCGTCGTCGTCGGCGTCGGCAGCGTCGTCTTCTAGTAGGTGGGGAAGGTATTGCGAGTGATAGAGGGGTTGAGGGACTGTGATTGATGTGATTTTGGTTGTCGTGGTTGTTGTCGTGATAATGATGATATTGGATGAGCAGGGTCGAGAGCTTAATATGAGGATGATGACGATGAAGTTCGATTTCTCCTCTAGTGATATGTACGTCCTGGCGATTTGCGATAGCTTGCGAGGTGGTTTAGACTTTCTGTCGGGTGCACCAATGGAGTTGGTTCGACCGGGTTACTTGCATGCATGAGAGAAAAGGGTAGTTAGGTTAGGTTAGGTGGAAAAGGGCTAGGGGCTTGCTGGGTGTTGCTCCGATCCCTAGGTACAGGTACAGGTACAAGTACAGGTGGAGAGGGATAGGGTGACGGTGAGGGAGGGAGGGAGGGAGGAAGGGAGCGAGTGAGGGAGGGAGGGAGTGAGGGAGGGAGGGAGAGATCGAGAGAGAGAGACAAAATAGGCACTGCTGCTGACAGGGAGAGGGTAATTATCCCCTGTACTTTTGTTCCTTCGTTCGTGTCCGTTGGTGAACTACTCCAGTAGTGTAGTGAGGGATGTTTCTGCAGCTATGTCATCGACAATGATTTTCCAACACCACCACCACCACTACCACCACCACCCACCATCCATCGCCATTCGCCATTCGCCAATGGGTTGTTCTCGTATCCTCGTAGGAGGTAGACCCGAAGCGGGCTGACAAGAGAGTAAGTGGTGCTTCTTGGGGGACCCGCTCGCATGCAGCAGTGCACACGTTGAAGGCCTGTCTGTCTTCTGCACGTTTGGGGTCAGCCATGTTCGTTTCTTGGGACATCCTGATATAGACCATGATCATAATCATGACAATAATGTGCCGCTGTTGCTGCTGCTGCTGCTGCTGCTGCTGCTGCAGCAAAACCCCAAGGGCTTGGTCTCAAACCAATTTTGCAAACATTATCATTCTTGGATTCATGGGAGTCTGTCTGATTGCTCTTCATTTTTTTTCCATCTTTCCACGCATGTGCGATACAAAGTAGTAGTCGCTCAGCAGCTACCTGAACATGCAAGTGAGCCTTCGGCTGCAACATGCGCCTCTTTGTTCCGGGGTTTGTTCCGAAGATGATACATAGGAATGGGTTATGCAAGTGCCTACTAGGGTGAACCGGCTAGTCCGGACGCGATGGATATAGTCAAAAAGTATGTACACAGTATATATACTACTCTTGCGCTTATAATAGCGCTATCGGATATACTGATACTGTATACTAGATAGTATCCAACTATATACACTAGCTAGATTTCTAGATAAAGAAGATATAAATTACTTTTAAGCAATTCTAGACTATAGATACTATTTCTTATATATTTAGTAGATTAGAATAGTAAAGAAGGCCTAAACATCTATAGTTAGAATAGATCGAGCCTACTCTAATTCTTTGTAAAGCGATAGTAGTAGATAGCGTTATAATAGCTATAACCTTATACCTTAGCTACTATTTGCGTATCCTTAACAAACTTAAAGTTTATATTAAGATAGCTTAATTTGCGTACTCCTAACTATACTCTATAGAGCCTAGATTAGCTACCTTTACTTTACTTTAGAGCTAGCTATACTTTATTCTAGAATCCGGAGGTTGCTATATAAAATATATCTATATAATTAAGAATTCCTATTTATCTAGTTAGTAACTTGCTATTTAAATATAGTAGTATCTATATATATATATATATATTATCACCGTAAAGCCCTCTCTCCTACTACCGTCCTCGGGTAGACGATCGGATAGGCCCGGCTTATAGTAGGTCGTAGCGTAGCTCCGTAGTAAAAGGGATAGGATAGGTAGAGGTCCGGAAGGACGCGGGAATGCCTATAGGTAGTAGGAAAGGTAATATTAGAAGACAAAACGCACTATAGGGTAACGACATTAATTATAGTAGAGTAGGTATCCGTACGTCTACGTCCTAATTATCTCTATCCTGTCCTCCGTTACGAAAAAGAAGAAAAGCACCCTATATAGCTACCCGCCGGGAGTAGTATAGCCCTCCCGGGCCGCCCGGCTCTCGGCTCTACCCTAACGCCCTATATAAAAAGGAATACGCCTAGCCGCTTAACAATATATATACTATTCAAATAGCTTATTTAAATATATATATTAGGATAAGAGTACTCTATATAACAGCTTCAATAGCTTATATCGAAAAATACAATCTATTTATAGATTGCTACATAACATTAAATGATTTCAAGCTCGACTGCCTATACCCGGTCCAACATCGTACGCTAGCTACATATAGAGTAACTAACTGTAAGCAGGAATCCGCAAAACATGCCGTAGATGCAGCCGATCGCCTATCAAACTAAGAAAAAACCGTCATCAGCGACGACGTTCTTTGGAACTTCAGCCGACCTCGATTGTCGACAAGTCTCACACACAGCTCATCAACTTGTGCGAGAGAGAGAAAGAGTTTGCTAGTCTCCTCGGGAGGTTTGCTTCCCTTGCCGATCCTTGCAAAGACGCGGGTGTATTCTTTATATGTTCCTAGGGGGTTGGTTGGTTGGTTGGAGCGACTAGGAGGTAATCAGCCCATTCGCCAAATAGATAGGTCCATGTATCTTGTTTGTCTATCTATCGATTACATTCATGCATACCTACATTCATTCATCCACCGTCTTTTTAGTTCTAGATCGATAAGACCGTCTATTTTATGTTCAACAACAACATCAACAACAGATGGAAAGGGGCAGTTGGATAATAGACAAGAACCAGCAGCCGATACCTAGTGATACAGTACGTCCGTCTGCAAGGCATGGATAAACACACACACAAAAAAACAGGGAGAGTCTGATGAACAAACAACAAGCAAGCAACCCTAACACGCCGTGCGTGCAACGTGCGTGGATGTGAGAAACCGACGGATGCATCCGTCCCAAAGGCGAACAGACTGGTGCATACCAAGAAAAGACCCTCCCCCATGCCCATGCACACACGCCCTGTCGGAAAAGGTTGGTCCGGAGACATCGCCGAATGCTCGAGCGCCAGCCTCCCCTTCCCCTGTCTCTTCTCTCTCTCCCTCTCTCTCTCTCTCCTTGCCTTGCTACAGTATGCTTGGTAATGTAGAAGGTCACTCACTCCCCATCGTGTACGTAGGTATACGGTACGTACATTTACAATTACAGTACAGAGATACAACCCAACCCAATTCCATCCCCCAAGAAATCCTATATGCTACATCCCTACGGTACAGTACCTCCGTAGGCAAGTGTCTTTTTTGTTTGTAAAAAATCTTGGCCTCATCATCACCAATCATCATCAACCATCATCAATCATCATCAATTCTAGACCGCGGTCTAAAGACTACAGGTACCTAATCTAATGTATATGTTGCCCCGCGGAGCAAGAAATGCGAAAATCTGTACTAGACAGTACCTCCTACATAATTATTGCATACCTACTAGTTATTGCATACCTACTAGGTACGTTAGTTAGTTAGTTACCTAGTAGCCTTTGCCTCTATCTCGGTCCCGAACACATGTCGTAGGGCGTACGTTGCGTGCATGCGCCGCGAGAAATTTCTCGTCTAAGGTAGAAACATACAGTACCCGACGACATGGGAAAGTACATACATGACCGTATAGTGCAGTAGGACTAGACCAGGTTCAGGGGTAATAAAGAGTGAGTGAGTGAGTGAGTGAGAGTGCAATCAGTACAGTACAGTATACATACATACCGACTGATACCAGTATACATGTTGGGAATGGGTTCAAACAAAAACCCCCGTTTCCAGGCTAGCTAGGATATCAGCATTGCCCATAAAGGTACATCGTACATGTATGTCTATGCCGATCTGATATAGATATGGACGTGGTTGTGGCCAAGCCTCTGGTCTCCTCCCATCAGCCCAGTTTTAGTATACAGCTTGAAAACTCTCCGACTCTCTTCTCTCTTTCTCGCTTGCTTTTTCTTTCTTGCAACTCAAGTTCCGCGGGGATTATATGTTGGCAGTGTCACATAAAGGATCAAGGATTTTTCGATCGATAGGTAGACATGAGCTCTGACTGTGCCCGTCATTTTTCGTACTCCTGCATTGATTCACAGTACTTACCTAGGTATGTATGTATCACAGCAGTCGGCGGTTGCGAGTAGGTACAGTAGTGATGAAACCGATGGCGGGTACAGTACATGTATCGGGCACATGCTACATACTGGTACCTACCTACCCTGGACGATTAAGCAACGATGTAGCAGGGCTGTCCAACATGCCCCCAGCTGCCACACACACATACACAGCATGGTGAGGAGTTATTACATAGTTCATCGCACATGATGTAGTGTTGCAAGTCTGCAAGTATCTTTTGAGTGGATGATTGCACTTGCATCACACATGGAAACAATCGTTTTTGACTAATACCTATGTCTGACTCCGCCGCCTCTCAGAATGGATTTCTGCGGTAGGTATATAGGTAGGCACGCGTCTTTTGGCGGTGAGCTTCATGCTCCTCATCCTCCTCATACTTACTGGCTGAAGCTGAGAGAAAATGATATCAATTGGCTACCTACCTTAGGCACCTAGCAATCGTTTGGACTGCTCACTCAACGGTATCCTATTTGCTCTACAGATTGACAGAGAGCCGGTCATCAATGGGCGATAAAGTGTCAGTCAGCATTCGAGTGGTCTGATCAGTTCCAGCAGACTGGCAGCAGTGACATTTCTTTGCTGTCCTCTTCGGTAAGTACATACCTTGTGCTATGATCCCGAATCAGACGCGCGGCCCTGCCGCATCGCTGTCAATTTTCCGAAGGATGACACTACTTACTGGCATCGGTCCTGGATCGAGTTAAAGTTCAGGTTGTATGATGCCCGGTGTCACAGCAAAGCTAGACCAGCATGGGCCTGGGGATAGTCTGTACGGGTGGGTGTCAAATGGAGCATGCTGTCCACACCGGGGCACGTTCGATCAACGCGCGATAATACAGACTTCTGATGTAGCCCTCCGATCGCCCTATACCACTGGTTCTGTCTCGCATCCGTAGCTAGCACGGGCAGCGACAGCCAATAGACCTGGTTTACGAATTGTCATCAGTGCTGTTACAGTGTTGATTGTGCCCTGTGTTATAGGCTCCAGTTGAGAACAATATAGTAATAACTTGCTGTCTTGCAATCGGCCTTTCTTTCTATCCCGAGGAGCTGCGATAACGAATTGAGCCAACATTGCGTCCTTTGGGTATGTCAAGCATCTCTCGTGGCTCGAGCCTCGAGGCTGGAGTCGGCTAGAGCCTAGATGCACTCTCGCCAGGGAATATCGCATGGAGAATGATGGGGATGATCCTATTGGTCCTCAGGTCGCCCATGAGTGCGAACACGCTCCGAGGAAGAGGACCTGGAGTCGGTATCACTAGAGCAGGTCAGGTGTAACCTGTTCCGATGTTGTCGGGCGACTACTCGCAAGAGATCCATGAGCAAGGCAATGAGCTATGCTGGGCCGACAATCACAGCGTTCACGGCGGATCCAAGTTGAGAGAGAGAGAGAGAGAGAGAGAGAGAGAGGAGGCATCAGTACAATGAGAGTATGAGGGTCATGACAAGCACATTCGCAGACCATTATACTTCTGGCCATGGAATTATCCTGCCGTAGTCGTGATATTTAGTGCTGTACTCTATGCATACGGCGATGGAAGCTGTAGAAGAGAGGCTCCTTGTCCTTTTATGCGCCGCCTTGGTCTTTGATGATACCGCGATTGAGCTGTACCTGTGCCAGAATCTTGTCGGCCCCCTTCTCGACCAGCATCTTTGCAACATCAAAGCCAAACTCGTTGGCTTGCTCGTGCGTAAGGACTCTGCGACGGGTCTCGATCTCGGCAGCTTCCTGGCCATCAAGACTGACGACAATTGCGCGCATCACGAGCTCGTCGCTCAGCTCGTCCTCTAGCGCTTTCGTGCCTCCAATGTTGGTGGCTGCGCCGCTTGCCTTATCATAGGTCTCAGCGGGCTTGATACCAACACCCGCGTGCTGATCATGCATCCGACTCTTGGAGACCCACTCCGTCTCAACTCCGATGGGAACAGAGCATCCCCCTTCCAATGTACGCATGAGCGCTCGTTCCACGAGAGCTTGCCTCCACGATTGGTCGTCGCCAATGCGGGAAAGCAACTCTGCTGTGCGCGTGTCGTCGGAGCGAATCTCGATCCCGAGCGCACCCTGACCAACAGCGTGAAGCATGCCGCCATTGTCTTTTGACAAGTAACTGCCAATGCGGTGGCTCAGACCTAAGCGCTCGAGGCCAGCTACGGCAATGCATATAGCTGAATAATCTGAGCTCGGATCGTCCAGCTTCGCCAATCGCGTTCCGATGTTTCCTCTGACATCTTGGAACTGTAGCTGAGGATAGAAGCGCTTGAGCTGCGCCGTTCTCCTCAGACTCGACGTGCCGACTACTGCGCCTTCTGGCAGATCTTTCAACGACTTGACCTTGTCCACAAGGGTGGGTTTCAAGACAAGGGCATCGCGTGCATCCTCACGCTTGGTCACGCACCCGAGACTCAGGCCCACAGGTAATTGCGTGGGCATGTCCTTCAGGCTGTGCACAATGAGGTCGAGTGACCCGTCCTCGAGCAAGACTTCGAGCTCTTGCGTCCACAGGGCCTTCTCGTTGAACTTGTGCAGGGCAGTCTTCTGATTGTTGTCGCCCGTGGTGCTCATGGCGTGGATCTCGAAGTGGTGCTCCGGCCATGCCTCCCGCAATGCCTTGACCACTTCATCTGCTTGTTTCCGTGCCAATATGGACCGCCGCGTACCGACGTGGAAGGTCTGCGTGTTTGCCGTCTCTTGTCTCGCTCGGATGACAATGTGCGAGTTGTCATCGGCAGGAGGTGCCGTGACCGTCGTGTTCGTCGCTTCTGTGGCCATTGGGAGGTGTGTGTACGGGCGTGTTGGGTAGGTGTAGGTGTGTGTGCGTATGAACTACGAGCTCAGATTCTGATGTTTAGGCATGTACCTACTACCTGCAATGTCGTTATCACCCTCCGCTCGCTCCCAACGTCCAGTCAATTAACTTTCTGAGGCGGCCTCGGCATGTGTGATGCTCCTTCAACGAACGGTGCAGTATTTCTCTGGGTGCAAGGTGCAAACCTGTCGAAAGGCTCGAGTTCTCGCGGAACCTGAACATTTTTACCTGGTATTGCGTCAATGTGTGCCCCTCGTCTGGCTCTCCCACTCCCGTCTGCAGGAACATCGGCCCCCCCTGGGATGAGCTTCACGCGCGCACCCGCGCGAGAATACTTCTGAAACCGCTTTTCGACATGAATAGCGCTCGTGCAAGGTATAGCCACATCTCCTGTTCCACTCTGATATCACATAGGAGGTAGATCTACACTTTCATATAATCCAGGAGGTAGCCCTTTGTCTGTGAAGACAACGAGCCTGCTTCCATATCTGTGTCCACACCCCTTTGTTCAGCTGACAACGACCATCTCAGCCCTCTGCCATTCCATACCTACCTATCCTCTCACATCTTCCTTCCTGGCGGGACCCTGACTGTATCCATACCACCTGTCCACCCATTTTCAACCTGTCACGCACCAACAAGATGGCGGCCCCAACGCGCCTTCGGATGTCTGGCCTCCCAGGGATTGATGCGGAAGAACAGGCTGCAAATAGCTCGCCAGCGCGTGGAGCAGAGATGGCCAATTTCTTGCGCGCTCGTCTGAATCGCAGCACCAACAGAGAGAGCAGACAACCAGGAGAAGCACCACCCCCAGCGCTAGTACACGGCTGGGATTTCTGGCACGACCGACAAGAGCGATCGGTGACTGACTCCAAGCCGCCGGCAGAGGATGCAAGCAAGTACGAAGAACGCCTCGAACCACTCGCATCGATAACAGACGTTAAACAGTTCTGGTCTGTACTCAACAACTTCGACATCACTCGACTAGCGCTCCGAGACAGCATACATCTCTTCCACCGAGGCGTGAAACCCGTATGGGAAGACCCTCGGAACGCCAAAGGAGGGAGTTGGACATTCCGCGTGCCGAAAGCTGTTGCGGCGCAGTTCTGGCAAGAGATATGCATGATGGCGATTGGAGAGCAACTGCAAGAGGCAGTCCAGGCGGACCAACTAGACAAAGCCAGTTTTCGAGACGATATTTGTGGCGTCAGTTTGAGCGTGAGATTCAACAGCATGTTGATCCAGATATGGAATCGCGATGCAGAGCACCAGACCGGCGTGGACAGCATTGTTCAGACAGTAGTCCATGGTCTCAGTCCGGAACTGAAGCCAAAGGATGGGAGTTACTACTACAAGAGGCACAATGAACATGCAGGATTTGCTCAAACGGAGGAGAAAAAATCGGCGTCCAGTGGGAACAATGCATCGCATGCAAGTTCTGTGAGCACAACTGGTATACAGTCGATCAATGCGATCGCTCAGGGGCAGTGAGGCAGTCACTTGATGGTGGGAACTCCGTTATTGGACGTTCGCTATGATATGAACGGGTCTATCGATCGCAGAAGCTCCTGGTAGCTCTCGAGTGCAGCTCATCTCATCAGGCGGGCTGAATGAAGGCATGTATAGAGACGGTGGCTGCCTCCTAGCATAGCAGCGTCCTACATAGGCCCGCTGACAACGAGTGACGAGGGTGATGTGTCTGTTGCAGACATATATCGCAGAATCGTCAAGCAGGAAGCCTAGTTCAGCAGTGTCAGTGTCAGTTCATCATGCAAATGCGAGAATCGAAGATACAGGTAGCACACATGTATCAACCGTATTGCATCAGGGACCTCTTTTGGATTATCAGCCTGTCCGCTGTGTGTTGCATCATGTTCATCCCGAGTCATCCACCTCGGTGGCGGTTGGTGATTACGTAAGTTTTTCGCATAGGAACTTCAAGTCGCGTGTGACGACGCGTCTCTACAACACCGACCTACGTGCGGTTTGCCAGCAATGGCGGCTCTTCCAGATTCAGGTATAACCACTGCAACACACCATTCACTTGTCTTTCTTGCTACGACATTCAACACACTTGCTGACATGGATGACAACGCAGACCAATTGCCACTCCAAGGTGTAGTGCTGTGTTGCACTTCCTTGGCTCAAGATGTCCGAGTACGTACTACGACAAGCACGCGGAACCAATACTCTGCCGCTGGTCCTCACGCTGACCTGTCGAGACAGACTCATATCGCGGACATGGCCACTCACATGGGAGCGATCCACTTGTTAGACCTCACAGCGGATGTGACGCATCTCCTGGTGGGCAGCATTACTACGCCCAAATATCGATACGTCGCCAAAGAACGCCCGGACATCAAGGTCCTGACGCCCGATTTCATTCCTCGACTACGCGAAGCATGGATCCAAGGTGGTGAGGTAGATGTACAGAAGTATGAGGCGGAGTGCAAGGTCAAGACATTCGCGGGACTCGAAATGTGCCTCACAGGCTTCAACGATACGACGCAGAGGACCGAGATGCAGCGGACGTGTCAAGAGCAGGGTGCCAAGTGGAGCGCGGATCTTACCAGACACGTCACGCATCTGATAGCTGCGAAGCCCGAAGGAGCCAAATATACGCATGCGAAGCAGTGGGGCATCACTGTGGTCAGCTTGAAGTGGTACGAAGACAGCTTGATGAGGGGCATGGCAGTCGACGAGAGCTACTACGCCTGTGAAATACCCCGAGAAGAGCAAGGTGTTGGCGCATTCCGGATAGTGCCAAAGACGACGAGTCTGGGGAAGAGAGCAAGGGAGGACAGCCAAGGTGCTAGGCCGACAGGGGAGTCAACACGCAAGAAGCTGCGCAAAAGCGCCAGTATGCGACTCAGCGAACAGAGTCAGGATTTGTGGCAGAGCATATCTCAACATGAGATTCAAGTGGACAACACTGTGGTCGATGCGTGGACCGACTCCAACAGTGAAAGCCAATCACTACGAGACAGCAATGGACCTAGAATGAGTGTGCGACACTCCGATACCACCGAACTCATGGAGCGACACGATCCCAAGGAATCTCAAGGGCTATTCTCTGGGCACTTTGTCCTCATCCACGGCTTCGATGCAACAAAGACGCAAAAGCTGCGCCTGGTTCTGGCGGCAAATGGCGCTACAGTGGTCAGCACTCCCTCGGACCTGGAACATGCCTCTGAGCAGCCATTCTTTCGGTCGCGATGTCTCCTCATGCCCCATGCCCAGCCCACTGAGCTGCCCATCGTGTCGCCTGGGACGATGCTCGTAACAGAGTGGTGGGTGGAACGATGCCTCCACTTCAAGCAGCAGATCCATCCAGACCAAGACTCGCTCAGCCAGCCACTGCAAGACAAGCGGATTGCCGACTTTGCTGGTCTTGTCATCTCGTCTACTGGTTTCAACAGCGTGGACCTTCGTATGTCTGCCGAAACCATCAATCTAATGGGAGGAACTTATGAGGAGCAGCTGACCCCGTCGACTTCTGTACTGGTCTGCGCCTCCGTCACCATGAAAAAAGAAAAGGCCTACTATGCGTCAAAGTATAAAATTCCTGTCGTACGCCCAGAGTGGCTATGGGAGTCTTTGAAGTCGCGGAGTAAGCTTCCAACAGAGCTCTATAGCGTCGACTTGTCTCGGTATGACTTCAGCCAATTCACTACTCAGTCTGCGAACACTCCGGCAGCCAGCGATCGAGCTTCCGCACGAGGTATAGGAAGTGCAGTCAACAGGTAAGCTTACTTGTGGACTTTGCCGCTTAGTCAATATGGCCCGAGCTGACGTGGCTCGCAGGGGTGAAGAAGTTGTGCATCCCAAGCGCCTATCCAAAACGCGCAGACGTCAGCAGACTCCTTCCTTGATGCTGAAGCCAGCGGCAACTGGACACACCGCACCTGCAAAGTCGAGACCACCTCCATGTCCATTCGTGCTCGAGGATGAGGATGACGGTGACGATGACGAGGCAACGCCCGCAGTGTCGAATCGCGATTCGCGGGACAAGACGACTGCACAAGCATCAGATCCTCTGCGTGAGCTATGTTCCAATGCCTCGCAAGGCTCTCGTCAGATTGACGGTCCTACTAAGGACAGTCAGACACTCGACAACGCTGAGTCTCATTCATCACCACAGTCGCCACAGCGCAGTAGGAGTCCCGCAAAGGAGGCGCAGAAGCTGGCTTCAGACCTCTGCGCTCTGGTCCGTCGTCGCGATGGTTCTGGCCAGGACGCTACGACCGAGCGTCCAAGGCGCAAGCAGCGAACTCTGGGGCGAAATCTGAGCGGTACATCCATGACGCATCTAACAGCGCAACAGAAGTCAATGTCTGGTTCTCCTGCAATCATGGAAGAGGGGTGCGAAGCGGATGGATTCGCGCCGTCGCGTGAACCGGTTGCACCACCTGGTACGCAGCTGGAATACGGCGAGGGCAGTGGGAAAACAGTCTCCAGCATGGGCACTCTGAAGGATAGCGAGGACATGAAGAGGTCTCTTTGCACAGGCGCTGCAGCAGCAGCAGGCGGCCGTACGAAGTCACGAGCCAGGACCAAGATGTGAGCGAAGTGCCTTGTGAATGGATCTGCAATTATTTCCAATTTCTATTACTGCGTTCAAGCGATTGTTGCATACTAGCGGGCCTATCGGGTATTGGAATGAGAGACGACAGATGTTACGATGCAGTCGATGGAAGCGATCGAAGGCATCGGAAATCCGAAAAAAAGCGGATACAATACCTTATCTAGATGGGGTGAGCAGCCAAGAAAGAGTAATTCCCGGCTCCCATCGTGCGATCTGGTGTTGTCACTTGTGTGTGTGTGTGTGTGTTAAACTGTGTTTCACCATAAATGTTGAAATCTGCCACACATATCCAAACTTCCGCCCGATCTGGGACCTGTCGCGTGGGATGTTGTTTTAGAGACGGGATTGATTGATTGATGACCGCCCCAATTCCCGTCACCCGGGACACACTTTTATTTCACTGACTCTTTGTTTATTTCTTTTTTTGGGTTTGTTTGTTTTGATTTATTATTAAAAACGTAGAGCTACTATGTATGGAAACATCGCGTGGTATCTCTAACAATTACACCTGACATCTGTGACAAGATATTTCTATCGAGATTACATACATGTACCTTGAAGGTAAGTGCCTGCCTCTGTCACTTATCGTTTTCTTTAGTTGGGAGTCTAAGGTATGTAGGGTAGGCAGGTCTGATTTACGATTTATGATATTTTTACATTAGGTACGACACGACGTTTTGCAATTCCCGAAAAGAGAGTTGCCTTGCCTTGCCTGTCCATCTGTCTGCCTAGATTACGGGTAAGGTATAAATGGCAAAAGGTAGCATTAGGCGCCAGTATAGGACAGGTAGGTACCTGACCTTGGAAAGGCAACGCCGTATAGAGACAGATCTAGGTAGGTAAGGTAGGTAGGTGTAGGTTAGCTAGCGAGTTACGTGTAGATGGAATCAAAGGGCGAGCGAGAGGCCTGTTAGCCTGGAATTCCTTGATTTGTGGGTTTCTCTACCTATGCGATACGATACGATACGATATGTGTGATACGGTCTAGATGGCCGAGGATGAAAGATGCAGGTATCCGATGATGATGATGATGATGATGATGGTGAACATCTGAAGAGATCGAACTTCGCTGAATCGGGTTGTTGCTTCTATGGATGCAATTCTTGAAGCTTGATGGAATACATTTCAAGTTTTCAAGGTACTTGAAAGTAAGTGAGGTACAGGTACCTGAATTGTCTGCCAACAACAACCATATTTGGATTGTGGAGGGTACCTTACCCGGCAAGGTACACAAAAACAAAAACAAAAAACAAACAAACTTCTCGTCTCGAGGTACATACATCATGTCAGGCATGTACAGTATGAGAGCAAAAAGCCTGTATCCTGTCCCAAACGTCACGTCATCAACGTTGTTTTTGTTTTTGTTTTTCTTCTTCTTCATCAAGCTTCAAGCTTTTTGATGCCGTACGTGCGTACCTCCTACGTCTTCAAAGAGTCGGGTGGACAACTCTATCATCCAGGTACCTTGAATCGAACACCCTTCGAGACAGACCAGGTGTTTACAGGTACGTACCCGACGGTTACGGTACCTCCCCGTATGCGCGCGCACCTACCTCCTCCTCCCTCTCCTCCTCCTCCTCCTCTCCTGTCCTGTCCAGGTCTCGGGTGTGTGAGTCTGTGAAATGAGACGAGACGTTGTTCCAGTTTATTTCCTGGAACTTAATATAGTAGGGCTGGCTATACATAGATACCTACCTTGGGTAGCGTTGCACACGCGGTGCTGTAATGAAGAGGGCTGCGACAGAACAAAGGAACTACATACATGTAAATACCCCAATACGGAGTGTGCCCAATATTATGGGCGCCACACACGAATGTGTTATGTCGGCTGTGATGAGCCTAATCTATCGATACCTGATAATGGTTGTCAACCCCCCAATCTAGTCGGGATGACGCTCCACAGACAATAACACAACCTGGGTCTTGGTTATCCTGGCTTCCAGCTTGCTCGCTAGATAAAGTGGGCGTGCAGAATCGCTGCTCATCCCGGTAGGTAGGTACACCAGGTATGGATGGAGATCCTCAAAGGTAGGGCGTGCGTGCCTGTTCTTGGGGGCGTCAACTCTTAACTACAGTAGATTGGGCTCAAAGCCTACGAGTACCTAAATCATACAAGGAGAAATTGTTCTGTGACCTATTACTACCTTAGGTAAGTAGGTCGGCACTAATAAATATTCATGTAGATAGCGAGATGGGAGGATTGGGCTTGGTGAGAATACGGACAGCGAATAATGGTCCGTCCCCTCTCTTATCCAAGTCGCAGTCGCAGTCGCAGTCCGAGTGCCGAGTGCCTGAGGGAGGGCTGATGAAGCCTGCAACCTGTCACCCGATTCCTGAAGGATGTGCCTCGTACCCGAGAGAGCGGTGCGGGAGATGCTCTCACCTCCCATGGCATGGCGGTAACCTTATATCCTTCGGAGGACGTCAGCGCCGTTTCTTGGCGAGTTGTGTACATACCTTGTACTGTGCTGCACATGCATGCTCAGTGAACAATATTTTGAGACGCGCGTAGTGATTCACCCTCTCAGTATGGGCGGCACCGTAGCGGCTGGGGGTCCAAGGTACTGGGAAGCATGAGAATTATTTGTCGTCGCGCCGTTTTAGAAGGGAGCGGCGCTTCGGGGGCCCAGAGATTCACTAAGGTACGACTCCTGGTTGAGCGAGCATGTACATCTGTGGGGGAGCAGGAAAGCTTGTCAAAGGCAAATTCGTTGTAGCACAGCACAAGACAGGACAGGCACATGGCCACAGGCACACAGCACAAATGGCAGACAGCATGAGGTGCCGCTTTGCCCGCCCGTTTGTCATGGCCGAGTCCCCAAGCGTCGATGATTGACCCCGTCGTACATATGTGGCAGTCTGCTACTGCTGCATCCGACCATAGCCATACTGGACCTCCAGCATTCGTTTGCATTCTTGCAGTATTCGCGGCGAGTGAGGCGCTGCTGGTTGACTGGTGCTCCAAGAAGTCTTGTGCTGCTAGTTCGCCAAGCACAGTCTCAAGGGATCCCGTGAGAGTGTGATGAGAGGGAGAGGGAGAGAGAGGGGAGGGAATCCTTGTCGCACATCACGACATTCTGGGTACAGTAGTGCAGGATCCCTCGAGGGTCAGGCTGAGTGGTCAGAGTCAGAGTGTCGCTGTCAGCCTGTTGTCAGGTAGGTAAGTAGGTAGGTAGGCATCTGCGCCTGGCCGGCTGGCCCCTCACGGATGCACGAACGGCGAGGCGGAAGACGAAGAGTAGCTAGGAGGTAAGAGGGAGGTGAATCCGCGTCCGATGTTTGTAGCCGCGGATGTAAGTGAATTACATTCGTGCGATAGATAATGTACCTATTAGTTACCTAGGTAGGTGCTGCTCGGCGCGCGAGGGCCGTTCGTGCATGTGAGCGATGGTGAGGTGCAGCAGCACTGCAGTGAGGCACCACCACCAAAGCACCACTGAGTAGTAGAGTACCTCCTAGCATGAAGCATCTCACCCAAGACGTGAAGATCCGCAGATGCCGGCCGGTATTGGCTCAGAAATAGCGCTGCCGATTCTTTCCAGATGACGCATCGTTCTAGACTGCCACTCACCACCACGCAATGCTCTAATCATCATCATCATCATCATAATGGCCCTTCATGTCAGCCGCCATCTCGCGCTCGCGGAGTTGGATGAAACCAAAGCAACCTTCCGTCGCTGACACCTCACCTCCCACTGCTATCACCTTCACGCCCACCACCACCACCCCCCCGGAGGACGCCACCCACGCACGCTCACCCAAGGACACTCTGGCATCAAGCACACCTCATACCGATTTGCTCCCGCGGAAACGGCGCCACAGCGCAGGACAAGTACTCTAGTACCCGGGCTGCCCCATCCCAGGATTGGGAGAGCGCTGCTGGAGCTTCGCGCCGACCGGGCTGTTTGGCACCTCTTGTGCTGCTACCGCCTCACCTGCGTGTGCTGTCAGGCTTCAACGAGGCTTCGGATGAAATCCGCGCCTGTTTCGATATATGCACTTGGGTCTTGCAAGGGTGTGCCTAGCACGTCTCCCTTGAGACACCCGCCTGATCTCATCACTCTCAAAACAGGACATTATTCATTACAGTACCTACTCTGTTGTCCACCACGGACTCGCATGTCTGACGTGCAGGCCTTTCTCAGATATACACATCAGGCTTCATTTCTTCCGACAGGCCTGCTTCGCATTGCCCCCCAGTTGGCACAAAGCTACTTGTGAAGCGAACCTACTACCTCCATGCTGGAAACTCATTTTGAAACTGCACGAACCTTTGTATAGTTCTACTGTACATACCACCTCCCGGACTCCGATCGTTTTTGTGTGGCCGATCGCATTATTGAAGCAACCATCCCTAATATCGTAAGTAACACGAAACCTCCCTGTCCGGCTCCTTTGCGTCCGCAGACCCATGACGCACCGTGTGACCGAGCAAAAAGCTCGCCTTGGTTGTAGAAGACCACTGTCGCATGGATGGCTATGGAGCGCGCCTTGATATGCTGCAGCACATGCCCGGTTGGCATGCTCATGATTAGTTGCTGACGCAGAGCACGCATTTTCTTGCCATTACTGCGTTGGTACCTGTTGTCCGGAACACATTGTACTGACCTCGAGGTTCACAATGGCAGCATCTTACCGCTCATCGACATACGGCCTTCTCTACTACGACCCTGCTAAACATCACAACGAATCGAGCAAGCCCCAGCGGGTATATCGACCTCGACGAGTAGGCCCAGGACGAGTCTGCATAAAGCTGATCGATCCGAAGAGAGACAGGGACGGTTTACATGTTCGCACCCCGATCCTCGCACAAGACACCACTCCTCTCAAGCGGGAGTCCATCAACCTCAAGCTGGCGTCCACACGGGAGAACGCCAGGCGATTTCTCAAATCTGTCATCTCGACTACGCCAGCGAGCACCACTCAGTCAGAACAGAAGAAGGATAACTCGTGGAAGAGGCGCTCGTGGTCGCCTGCGAACCGCTCCAACAGCCAGCAGTCGAGCGAGGCTGGTGTGGGAACGGGCGAAGCACTTGGGAGCCTCACGGGTGCGGCTCGTCCGGCAGAAGGAGTCCCAGGCACACAACCAGCAGAGAGTGGCGCAGGTACCGTCTTGCCGACGTCTGCCATGCGAAGCAATTTCCGACATTCGATAGGCGGTCCCGTCAATGCTCATCTGCAGCGGTCTCGGATGAGTAGCTCGGCACAGAATGGCTCGACGCCCTCGTTACAGTCTTTCTCCAGCAGCGGCCACGATTCCACATCCTCGCCTCGAGTGCGGTCGACCAACATTGGCAATACCGTCATTCCGAACCTCAACCTCGATGACGAAAAGCCCATTGCATCGGGTAATGGTGTGGCTGTGGGCATCCATCTGGCAGAGCCCGTGCTGTTCTTGCAAGGCTTCGAGAACTCCGATAACCAGCCGGGCAACACTGCGATGCTCAGAGGTGGTCTTCATTTGCGCGTGTCTAAAAGTGCCAAGATCAAAGGCATCACTCTCAAGTTCAAAGGCACTGCGATCACGAAATGGCCCGAGGGCATTCCGCCCAAGAAGGTCGAGTTTGAAGAGCGAGACACCATCATGTCGCATACGTGGCCCTTCTTCAATGCTCAATTTGAGAATGCGGAAAAAGGCACGAACGCGGACCATGTACAGCTGTTCAAGGACACTGCCTCGACAGTCACGCGATTGGATCCTCTGGGACGTTCTGCCGAAAACCATTCCTCGCTGACGTTGAACTCGCGCGAGGCCAAGAAACTGGCACTTTCCGTGAATCAGTCGCGAAGTTTTGGCAAAGGGGAGACTCCTGGTGGCCCTACCGTCGCAACCAAAGGATACCGGACGTTCCTCCCAGGTGACTATGTCTACAACTTTGAGATGCCCATCGACAGCCGGCTGCCCGAGACCATCGACGTCGAGCTGGGGACGGTGAAGTACGAACTAGAGGCGGTCATTGAACGTGCTGGGGCGTTTCGATCCAACCTGGTCGGCAACAAGGAAGTCACAATCATCCGAGCTCCCGCTGAAGGCTCTCTGGAATGTGTCGAGCCCATCGCCATCAGCCGGAATTGGGAAGATCAGCTACATTATGATATTGTCATTTCGGGAAAGAGCTTTCCATTGGGCACGCAGGTCCCCATCGCGTTCAAGCTGACGCCGCTGGCGAAGGTGCAATGTCATCGCATCAAAGTTCTCGTGACCGAGAACATAGAGTACTTTTGCTCCAATAAGCGCGTTCACCGCATGGAGCCCACGCGCAAAGTACAACTGTTCGAGAAGCGTGCTGATAGCGCGCCCACAAGCACCTTTCCAGGCAGCACCATGCGCGTGACATCGGGAGGCGGCATCCCGCACAACCAACGAGCGGCAGCGGCACGTGGCGAAGACGTGACCCCAATCGACAACACCAACCTGCTCGGAAACCTCGACACTGATGCGGCGATTGGGCCGACCGAGATGGAGTTCAACGTGCAATTGCCGAGTTGTCACACGATGAAGGAGCGAGATCGGACGCAGCGATTACACTTTGACACCACCTACCAGAACATCCAGGTGCATCACTGGATCAAGATCGTCATGCGCTTGTCCAAGCCCGATGTGAATGATCCCACGAAGCGGAGACACTTTGAGATTTCCATCGATTCTCCCTTCCATATCCTCTCGTGTCGCGCCACGCAGCAGAACACTTCCCTCCCGGCATATACTTCTCCGGAATCGGGGCCGCTGAGCACCACGCTGACCGAGTGCGGCTGTCCTGGCGCAGCGCAGCGAAGGAACTCGCCGCCCAACCTTGCGCTCCATGCACTCAATACACAGCAGTTTTCGCTTCGAAACTCGTTAGATTCCATGTCTCCCGGTCTGACGAGACCGCCGACGGTCCACGCGCGCGATGCGCACATCGGGCGACCGCAAACGATTGATCGTCCCATTCACTTGCTGCGAGCGCCCTCGTTCAATCCGCCTCCCTTCTCGGAAGAAGAACCTCCACCACCTCTGATCACGCCGCCGCCGCAGTACGACAGCATCGCCAGTCCCACTTCCGGACTTGCCGATTACTTTGCTCGTCTGGGCGACGCATACGATGACGATGACAGCAGCGGCGAGGACGACTCCCGCCCTGGGCGCGTGAATGTGCCTCTGACGCCTGGTGGGCGTATCAATCGATCGGTGGACCTGGGCAGGGGCTGGAATCCATTGGCAACACAAATGCCGCTAGCCTTGCCGAGACGTCGGATGCTGTAGCTGTCATTGTGCGTCTTTGTCTCACAGGGAGAAAAGACGCGATTTATTGGGCGATTTTGTTTTTCTCGCAGGGGCTATTAGAAAATTTTTGCAGCGTTGAAGCATGTCATTTTTGGGAGAATTCTTTTCTTCTTTCCCTTCATATCAGATTATCGTCGAGTCGGATAAATGGGAGATTCCGAGCCAGCATTTTGCATGCATTTCCCGACAAAGGAGGGGGGAATCAATATCATGTTTTTTTTTCTCTTATTCCATCTCTATCATCGTTGCTATTTTATTATTTTAAACATGAATAATATCTTACGCTATCCTATCTACCTCCTAAGTTCTAACCTGTAACTCTTCATCTGCATGTTGATGTGGATACTCTCTTATTTTCTTATCATTTTGCCCAAATCGTCGATGATGAATGAGTATCAGTAATTTAGGTACATCGGTAAGGTACCTATAGGTAGGTAGGCAGGCGGGTAGTCTCACGAGTATCCATATACAAGGGCAAGGATCAAACGCGAGTGAATCCGCATGTATCACTATCTAACACTAATATCTCTTCTGGTTCCTGCAGACCTGCGTCGTGGTGGTGATGGTGATGGTGGTGGTAGTGGTAGTGGTACAGCAGAACGGGAGCGACTCACGCGAGGGCTGAAAAGGAAGGGAGGAGGGGGAGGCGTTTTTTTTGTCAGGGCAAGGGCAAAAAAAGGCAAGGGCAGGAGTTTTTTCTTTTCTTTTTCTCTGAATACCTGTAAATGTGATCAATTCAATCTATTATCTGGATCATCCCGATGGCGGATGGCCCATGGGGCTTTGGGGGCGTGTGCGCCTCTGACTCAGCTGCATGCGTCGCCGCTGTGTTTTTTGACGTTTCGTGCAAGGGTTCTTTTTTAGTTTCTACGGAGTATGCGCCGTACTACATGTAGGCGGGAGGTAGTACTGTAGTGTAGTGTAGGTTACCTTTACGACTAGTCGATATTCGATATTTCCGGCGGTGGTTGTACGGGAATACTACCTACTGAATGGCGGCTTGCAGTATTCTATTTCTCGACATGCGGTGATTTGGATTGATAAGGTCAGGTAGGGACTTTTCTGCTATGAGACATGTGTCTGCTCGGGAGGCAGGGTTGATTTTGTGTATATCATCAGAACCAGAACTAGAACCAGAATAAGGAGGAGGGGAAGAAGAAGAAGAAGGGGAAGGGGAAGGAGGAGGAGAAAAGGGAGAAGAGGAAGAAGAAGAGCAAGAAGAGGAAGAAGATCTAGACGAGAATTCATCGTCGATGGTGGCCGCTAGTACACCATATCAATACTTCCTCTTCTCCAGCTACACGTAACACATCACATGTCTGCTGCGGCCTGCGGCGCCGAGAACGATTTCGGTTGGCTGCCGGCGGCGAGGGTGTGCTCTTCTTCTCTGCTGGCTCGCCTGTCGAGGAGTTGGGAGGCGGGGGCACAGTAAGGTAGTAGGGAGGGAGCGTAGGAGGTAGGCAGGGTGGCATCGTGATCGGGATGAAGTCCTTGTTCTAGAAAATATAGAAAAATAATGATGAATATTCGCGGCTGACGCCCTTCGGCCCGGGAACAAACATGATCGGGTGTGCTGCCTTGCCTTGCCTTCCCTCCCTTGCCTTTGCCTGCTCCTCCCTCCACCTCCACTTCCACCTCCGCCTCTTCCTACTTACCTACTTCGAGACGATGCGCTATAAGGCAAGCCCTCTTTGATCTGCTGCCCAGGCAGAGGCTCCCTTCCTTTTTCTCTCCCCACATACTACCTCTACCCACCCTACTGTACTATTAGGTACTGTAGCACTACTACAATTCCTCTTCACCGGCGCACTCAGCATGTCCACCAAGCGATCTTGCAACGACGCCGACCTGCTGCTTCCCATCTGTAGCACCCAGACCGCCGCGAAGCGCAACAAAAAGTTGTCACCGCCCCCCAAGCTCTCCAACAACAGTAGTGAAGCGTCCATGGCTTCCACGCTCTTCAGCGACGGTGCTGCCTCTGACGTGACTGTCGCGAGTAGTGTCAGCTCGGTCGATGGCCCAACCACCAACACTGAGCCAGAAGAAGGCACCGAACGAGCCTCGAGCACCGCCAGCGACGACTCCACCAGCGAAGACAGCTCGACCATGGACGACGAAGCCGATGCCGAATATGAGGAGGACGACGAGGAGCTGGAGCCGGTGCGCGTCACATCCCTTCCTCGGCCCAACAGAATCGCCGTCGAAATGGGCAAGCCACAGATCGATCCCGACGTCGTTATGGCCTATGCAAAGGAGCTGGAGAGCAGACTACATGCCTTCCTCCCAAAGCTGCGCCAGGCGAATAGCGAGCTGGCTGAAGAGAGCGCAAAGCTCAACATGGAGCAAGTGGACGAGAGCAAACAGCACATCGAGATGAACTTGGACTTGGGAGTGCTGGAGCAGAAACCGATCAAGCACGAGAGGATGTCTGAGGGTATACGATTACCGAGTAGAGCTGCGGCCCCTACTCGGGACGAATCGCAAATACTGTCACCAAACATGACGGTTTCAGCCTTGCTCCATGGTCGCAAAGATCATGCGCAAGACATCAAGGTGGAAGTCATGGACACTCCCGACGCGGGCTGATGAGGATGAGCTTGAAACATTGCTACAATATCATCTCATACTGCGAATGCTGTAATGCTCCTCTGACAGAGCCATGGCAAACGCTTCTCACGACACGCGATTCCGCCTAGGCATGGGGAAGCTCTTCTGTGAGTCTGAAGACAAGAATTCAGTCCGACTCCCACGCAGCTTGTAAACCGCAGCCTCGCAAAGCAGAGGAATTCGAGCTTCTGGGGTACGTCATGGCCGCTGCAACTCATGCGCAAGTTCGGTCAAGTCTGGACGGAGAAGCGTACTCGTTGTGGCGCACGAGTCTAGGTAGCGACGGTCTTACGAAGGGAAAATCCATAGGAGAATGCAAATGACTCGAGCATGTGCCGGAAACTAAACCTCTGTTGAATCCCAAAGCTCGCGCGCTGATCGGTCTCCAAGGATCCTCATCTCGCCCAGGAGGTATAGGGGCGACCTGAATCCTGTATACTACACCGTCGGGCATAAGGGCTGTAAGAATATCTGAACATGCTTGACCACACGTTGCAGAGAGAAACTTAAGTATATTTTGGCTGATGAGGCAAACGCGAAAGAATGAAAAAAGAAAGAAAAAAATATGTACTTTCTTATCTGGTTTCCACTAGTTCTACTCCATGAGCAGGTGGGGGGCTTCCTGCATCAGGACTTTGCTTTGGCCTGCAGATCATATGAACTCTCATTTACACCTCACTCTACTGGGCATGTACGAAGTGCAGCCGTCTGCTGTCAAGAATGCTGCCGTCACTTTGCTAGGTACTGGGAGGAGAGAGAGAGAGAGAGAGAGCAGGGAGGGACTGTGTTTCTGTCATCAGTTTCTGAAAGGATTTCTCACGTGCCTTAGGTACCTAGCGGTATGTGCATGGAGGAGTCCAGTGAGACTTCCGACATTGAAATCTTCAAATTTGCATTGATTATTGCATGCACAACAACTACTTGTATCGTCAATCTTCATGTCTGAAACGTCGTACCATAGGATCTTTGCCTGGTACATCGATGATCATATTTCCTTTTTGTCCCGCCTTGCAACGCCACGCTAACATTCATATAATGAATAAAAAAACAGTGCTTCGATAGCGTATTCAAATCTCAAGAGCTGCTAGGTTGCGAGTTCTTGTTCAACGAAAGGTGGCCCGGAGCATGTTCGCTATGCTTACCAAGCTCCTCCTCCGACTTGCCTCCCGGCAGATCAGCTGTGGATATCTGTCTTTGCTCTCCATTCGAGACAGTAGTGGGAGAACTGACCGGGCCTGTCCCGTGGCCGTCGGGTCTTTGATTGACCCAGAGAGGTTTCTGATCTGATGTTCCGTCTGTAGAAGATGTGATCTCGTCACGGACACTGTTTTGTGTGGGTGCTGTTCTGGTATTGGTGTTGAATGATGCCCCGGTTGTCTCGTTACGTACGCTGTCTTGCGTCGGCGCGGTTCTTTTGTTGGTCGTGCCGCTGTCCATGGACTTGCTGACATCTGCAGCGGTAGTGGTGTTGGTGTTCAACGCCTTTCCATCAGGTCCGACACTTTGCACAGTATCGAGCTCATTTTTGACGTTGTTCTCGTCGCTAGTGGTACCAGTCTTGATACTGCTAGCGCGACTGACGTCTGCGCTGTCTGCATCCGCTTTTCGCAGGCCTAGGTTCTTCTCAAAGTCATTCGAGAGCTCATCTGTGCCACCCTGCCAGTTTGCGGGTCGTGCTTGCGGAATGTTGTCTGTAGACTCCGACGGCTCTGTGACTGTTACTGCAGGCTTGCCCTCGACATTGACGGCCTTCCAGACGACTTGGATCTTATCAAAGCACTTGGTACCCTTTCGTGATGAGCCTTTGATGCCATCCATAGCGTCAAAGTCGATGGTAAAGACACCGCTATCATCCGGTTTGCCGTCCTGTTCAGGTCCATTACCTTCAAAGAACGTGTTGAACCACACGTGAGCCACTGAAGTGACCATGGTGAAGCCACCGTACTTGCTCTTATTCCTTCTCTCAAAGTCCAGGTTGATGTCTGAGCTTGGCAAGACGATCCTCTCACTCGGCTTGAACACCACATCACCACCCGTTTGATCAACTTGGTCTGATCCGCTCTCCTCGACGACCTGTTCTGCATTTTCGGCGTCTTTGATCTGTTTCGCAGTGTCTGCAGCGTCTTCGGCCTTCTTCTTGCCCATCAGCTCCAAGGCCACATCTGCGAACCCTGTGTCCTTCCGAATTGCACCTCGGACCATTGTTCTCTCCTCTTTGCGGAAGGTGTGAAAGCTCTTGATTACCTTGCCCTCATCCACATAACCTTCCACAGCAATCTTCACGCCATCTCTCAAGCCCCAGACGTGCAGCTCCACAATCTCGGTAGGCCGATCGAGGTACGGCTTCTTGCCCGTCTGGGTCCAGCGCTCGACATAGGTCAACGTCCGCACCTGACTGGGTATGCTGATACCCACGCCGAAGCCCGGTCGCATTCTTCGATCGGTGAAGGTCTTCATGGCATCCTCTCTCGTCCAGCCCTCCTCACTGATCAAGTACGAGCAGGAGATGGTCCCGCTCCGTCCCTTTCCCGCTTTACAATGCACCACGGCTACTCTCTTGTCGTTTCCCTTCAGCCACTGCTTCATGCTGCCCATGATCAGCGGCACAAGGGCAAAAGGCGGCGGATGGTGGTCCGGCCATGGATAATGTCGTATTCGGCCATAGACTTCTTCATCCGGATAGCCCGTCCCCTCTGCGCGGAACTCCCAGATGGCCCAGTTGTCTCTGTGTTTGGAGTCGAGGAATTTGACGAGGTCTTTGAGGGGGTTGCGATAGGCGAGTTGGGGATATGTGCCCGAGGGACCGGATGTCGCGACGATGTAGTCCGTGACATAGCACAAATCGAGGCCCGCTTCGTCGTGGCGCGCTCGTGGAGACGCTACGATTTGGCGGAGAATATCCATGGTATGGCATATGGCGGAGCTTGACCGTCACTCTGGCTACATCATATCCGTACATGTGGTACTACTTGTATGCAGGAACATGTTTACCTAAGCATCTTACAGGGTCGACGATGACGTCAATTCATCTTGGCATGGAGGTGTACCTTTAGTAGTGTTTCTCCGATACATGTAGGACTACGACTTCACGTCAACATCTTCTTGATATTGGTCAGTCACTATCTGTCGAGCACTCACTGCAGAAGATACACGCAAAAAGTCCTCAGCTCCAGCGTTGAACGATACTCTGGAGCATCATCATCGCAGTGTCACACGCATCGTATACCTGAAGCATCGAGAGAAGACCGTCTTCGTCGAAAACATTAAGTTTCTCATGGAATCATCTCCATATATGTAGTGGGCTAAGAGCTGAGCATAAAACTGAGGACAAATGTCAAATCAGTCCTTAGTCCTTGTGCATGCTACGAGGTTAGGTGGAGGAGTGTTCGATTTGTTTTCGGACAGGTCCACCAAGGAAGTACGGGTACACAATCCAGCCATGCCTCGACGTGCATGCTGAAGCAGCTATGTCATTCAGTATCCAAGCCTTGTGCAAGAGTTGCCTCTGTGTGTCGGTCGAGACAGGTTCATCGTTGCAAGTAAGCTACAGGTATGCAACGTGTTTGACGCACGATTCAACACGAACTCAGTAGGAAGAAAGTAGTATCTCGATTGATGCGTAGAAACGGAATATGAGTGTGGGACTTCGCTGAGAGGGTATTCCGAGGACGAGGGGCAAGGGCGGACACATCGTCCAAATGATGATGCGTGTTGGCCGGTTCCGTTGAAGCTGCTTCAGGAATCGCGATGGAGTAACGAGCGCGTTATTGATTCAAATCAAAAGAAATTGCTGAATAGCATGAGGTCTAATCCATAGCCGCTTAGTCCCCAAAAGTCAGTGTTCATATTGACAGTGATTATTCCAAGCAATAAGTCTCCCTACTCGCCCGGTGGCCGCAACACAAGACCTGTCATGGTCCATTCCGGAGGCATTTCAAACGCGTACCCTTCCTAACCTGATCCCAAAAGTCGACAGATTCCTTGCGGAGGATAGCCCATGTCCTGCGCGGCCATTCTGATATGCGTCTATGCGCACGCAGGCTCGCTGCATAACGTCAGCGAGAGATCTCTTCGTCTTCGACATTAACGCATATAGGTCGCATCGTGTAGCCCTTCTTTGCTCCATCGCATTTCTGGGGAACGCAGGGAATGAGGATTGAGAAGTGCTGGCAGCTCGAGTAGTTTTATAGTGGTGAAGTTCACAGAACTTTCTGCCTCAGGCCAGAATCAGATAGGCGACATTCGAAAATCTGCCACGTCTCACCAAGAAGAAATCCAAACATTCACTCATCACACATTCCACGTTCCTGCTTACAGTTAAGAGGCACAACCTACCCAGCTTCACCATGCAACCATAATACAGTCACCACCATGTCTGCGCTCTACAACTCCGCTCTCCGCCAGTCCAAGTCTCTACGCTCCTCCCTTGACAGCCTCGCCGCCAACACCTCGCCCAACTCTGCCGCCCTTCAAGGCCAAATCACCACTCTATTGACGAGCTTCACACGAACCTTGGATGACTATCAGAAATCACTTGATAGTGAACTCATTCCCGACAAGCGCGAAAAGGGTCTCGAACGCATCTCCAATTTCCGCGCAGATCTCCTCGAATTCAAAAGCAGATATGCCGAGCTAAAAGCGGAACGAGAACAACAAGCACACGTGGAGCAACGCAGCGAATTATTTGGACAACGGCGAGGCTATGCAGGAGGAGGGAGCGAAACACCCGAAAATCCCTACTCGGACAAGAACGTAGCAGCAGCAGGGAAAGGACCTGGGCTAGGAGAGAATGTGAATCCTCTGTTCCGCACCTCTAACCCCAATTTCACCCCGGGAGCGCAAGGTGTCAATAGCTACAGCTCCTATCAGTCGCCCTACGGTCTCGGCGCCGATCAAAGTCGCGAGCATCACGCGTTGAAGGAGAATTCATTTTTCAACTCCGCCAATACTACTCTGGATGAGTATTTGGAACGTGGAAGAGCTGTTCTGGGAGACTTGGGTGATCAGAGAGAGATGCTCAAGGGAACACAAAGGAAACTCTATGATATTGGAACTACGTTGGGGATTTCTGGCGATACCATTCGCATGGTGAATCGAAGGGCCAAACAGGATAAGTGGATCTTCTGGGGAGGCGTGGTCATCTTCATCATATTTGTGTACTTTGTGTTGAAGTGGCTGAGATGAAGCACCCTAGGGCAAGGCAAGGCAAGGCGCAAGGCACAGCACGAGTGAGTGAGTGATGAACAATCCTTTTTTTTTCTGTTTAGCGAGGCGTTCGGACGATACACCCACCTACTTACTCCAACCTGCATGGATGGAGAGATGCACATGCTGGTGGGAAAAACAGCACCGGAAGGATTATAGCACAGCAGCAATGTGACCCACAGACTGTTGCCCTTTTTTTTCAGGCCTCCATTTTTCCATTTGTTTTTTGTTTTCCCTTACTATCTATCGTCTTCCGTTCTCCGCGCGGGCCCAGCATCCCATCAAGCATATGCGTAATTCTCCCTACAATGAGAATCTCACGTCTACCGAGGATGCAAGATGAATGAAGTTGCTTTTCCTTTTTTTCCGATTCAGCCCCATCGTCGAGTTGGCTAGCTATCTTTGCTCTCTCTCTCATTATTGACACTTGGGGTCGAGTCGATTAGGATACAAAACTGCTTGTAATTATCTAAGGCCAATGTCACCTACCTACCTAGGTATGAATCCCATCGAGTCTCGCGCGAAGTAGACGATTCGTGATTGTAACAGCGATGATAACAATCCCAAATTCGACAATTCTACCCTTCCTAGCCTTCCTTGCGACGCCTCTTCTTCTTCTCCAACGCTCTGCGCATCTGGTGAAGTCGAATTTTTCGCTGTTCCAACTCCACCTGGCGCATTTCGAGATTGATGTCTTCCGCATCCATGTCCTCATCCTCCTTCCCCTCTGCCGAACGTACCACCGAGGAGGCAGCTCCAACTGGTGTGGTGGCTATCTTGGCTACTCCGGCGCCTTCTCGTTGAGCTGGTGTGCAGGCTTGCGCTTCTGGTTGCGCTTCTTCCTCCAACTTGGAAGCGGGCAAGGTCTCCTCGTCGTCCTGATCTTCCTCGTTCGAGGGGTTGAAAAGTGCTTGCTTGGCAGAGACCGCAGCAACTTTTGCAGCAGGTTTCGTCGTTTCTAGTCTCTGCCTTTCACGATTCATCTCTTCTATCGCTTTAGCCGTCGGATGCGTTGGAAGACCTGAGTAAACCTGCTCGAAGGATTTGTACTGTTCTACCGCAAGCTTGAATAACTCGTCGCCGACATGTAGTAATCGGTGTTCAGGTGGCCGGTAAGGATACTGGCAGTCTTTGCCTCCAACTTCTATTGCTCTTCCATTCGAGTTTGTGAGTTCTGCCGCGTAGAATTGGAACTTTGGAGACGGCTTGAGATTCCCGTAGTGTCGTTCAAATGTCATGGCCAGAACATCCATGATCAGGCCTCGACGTGCGCGTCGCTCGGGCTGTCCTATATTGTTGCTCCATTTCCAGAATGCCTGTCCAATCATCTGGGCGTTGCCTTCGAGAAGTTCCAAGTCGTCGTAAGTTTGGCCTGGAACCTTCGTGCCGCGATTCACGCCATTGTAGTCCACTAAAGGCACGAGACCCGGTCTCGGCGTGGGCTGGAAGAAAACCAAGCCATCATCCTCCGAATCTCGCAGAACACACAACCGCCCGTCCTTGGCGATAAGGACCGTCCCTCTGGCCGTCTTGTCTGGCATTGCTGCTCCTGATGTGCGGAGTTCGGATGGAGTAACGGCAGCTGCAGCTGTGTAGAGAGATTAGCCCTGAACTTCAGCTGATGAGAAGGTTCGTGGCCCCATCAAACGATTCACCTTGGTGCAAAAAGGCGCTCTGCTGAATGTCGACAAAGCGCTGGAAGCGGCGGCGGCGTGGAGAGACGGTTCAGTGTAGCGCGAAAAAGTGCTGTGCTGAATGTTGACAAAGTGAAGGAAGCTGCGACCGCGTGGTGAGACTGAGCTTCACCTCACAACAAAGTTGGCGTCCCAGGTAAGAATCACACGGCTCTGCCCGCCCGCATCGCGATAGCAACCGACCACAGACCACTGCATACACACAGCGTTCAAAAGCAATCAGCGCCGGTGGATGGATGAGAAAGAAAAGCGACATCAGCCTCGAAATGGGAGAAACAAACTAGAAGATTCCATCCAGCCAACGTACGTCGTCTTCTTCTACTCTTGTCATACATATACCTATCCATCCACGAGTCCAACTTCTCAAAGCCTCAGAGGCTGATCCAAATCCATCTGCACACCCACTGAGAGTTGAGGCACCTGCTTATACTGACTGCCTCTCAAATTCGCTCGAGTGGCCTGCAAAGTTTGGATATACGTCGGATCACGATTGTGCTTCATAGTCTCCAGGAAAGCCCAGGTCATGGCGCCACAGTTGCGACCCGCAATATACGCATCGGCGCTCGTCTCCTCGTCTCGACAGCCGCTGTACATGGTGACGAATTTCTGCTCTCGACTCCAATCTCTCCCGGTATTATCGGATTCCAGCCCCGCGGGGCCGTGGTGTTGATGTCGGAAGCCTTGGAAGAAGTTATTTGCATCTCCGAGCATTTGCTTCGCAGCGGCTACGCTGTTCAATCCGTACCGTCCTTCGAGAAGGTTGTCTGCTTCCATCACCAAGTTCAGTCCGGCTTTGACGTTGTTCATGATGGAGATTTTTCCATCATCGTCTGTCCGGTAGACGTACGGGAGCTCGACTGCCGAGCCGCTGTGGCAGCAGTCCAGGACGACGAATAGTGTGCTGTTGGGCGGCAGTGCACTTACTAGCACCTGATGAAGAGTAGCGCTGTTGATTTGTCCTGCCCTCTCAAAGTCCACGGGACAGATGGTATCGTCGTAACCAGTCGAACGATTGTCGTCCCGTTCTTGACCACCGTGTCCGGAGTAATGGAGAAAGTTCATGGTGCCCGGTTTCGAAACCAGCCAGCTCATTGCACGAAGCATGTTGTCGCGTGATGGATATGCAGGACCACTTAGATCGTCACGAAGAACGACCTGATTCTCTTTCTCATAGCCACGATATCTGAGAAACTCGGCCATGTTCTCGGCATCGGAATGGCATCCTCGCAATTCGTGCTTGCTGCCCGTGTAGTTGATCCCGATGAGGAGAGACTTTTTGATTGGTTCTTGGTTCATTCTGACAACTGTCACGGGAGGTGGCCCAGGTGATGGAGACGTGATCGTGAATCCCTAAAATCTCTTCTAGGTGAATGTTGAAACAGACTTTGTATGCCACGTCACACCAGATCCAATGGCCCAGACTGTTTCCGTCACAGCCGCTATTTCCATCAGTGCAAATGTAAGCTTTCGATCTAGCCTCCATTCTTCAGAAGCGTGAAAGCTTACTCCAACCTTGTTTCGACCAGTCTGTCATCCTCGTTACCTCGTATTTTCTGATTCACGTGATGTTTTTCGTATGCTTGTACTCGAAATCTTCCAGCCGTCTTCCAAAGAGTGCTGATGTCCCATCGCCGCTTCGATGCTCCAGAAATTGACGGCTGCCATTCTGTATTTTGTGCTCTTGTGCGGTCGACGGCGTAGGCTTTGGCTCGTTATGCAGCAAGTATGATCAGATCGCCCGCGAGAGCGTCACACACTTCCTCAACGAAGACCTCTTCGTCGAAGACGCCTAGCATGCCTCGCCACCACGTCACTGTAATAGTCAGATCACCGCCTTTCGCACTCGCGATGTTGAAGTTGAGAGGCGGACCAGTGCCGTTCGCGGATTGCGAGAACAGCATCTGCTCCATGATCCACTCAGACGGACCTGAGCTGGCGTCGGCGCGATCAAACACACCAAGGTTGCTGACCTCGAAGGATGTATCGGAAGGATGACTCGCGGTCTTGAGTGTCCATTTCCGGAAGTTGGAAAGATAGCGCAGAAGGCCGACAGGCTGATCTAAAAGCGTCTTCGATGCGGCGTTCAGGCGAGAAGTCATTCTGCTGATGTCCTGCCAGTTGAACTCGGACAACCCGTGGGAGTGGTAATCTGCATCGATCGAGATGGTTTCGGTGATTTCAGAGACATAGTTCGCCATCTTACCTTCGCCGACTCCCAGAGCTAGGCGCAGATTCACAGGAGTGGTTGCCCGGAATGAGAGGGCCGTCTGACCTCGCTTGTGTAATCTGCGAGAAAGGCATCGTGCCACAAGGAAGTTGAGTAAGCCCGTGAGTCGCGCGTTCCTCGAGCGACATGTCGCCACCACGGTTTTCGTGACACTCCCGGGAACAGAGACCACTCGCACTGCAGTAGGGAGGATGTCGCTATCTTCGGAGAGACGTGGTCGTGTCGAGGCACCGAACCATGAATTCGTGAGCCTTGCCGTCTCGATGCCAAGCATTCTGGTGAAGGGTTTGGGCAGATACTCTTCCAACACAGGACGAAGGAGGAAGCACCAGGATATACTAAGGTGTCCGGCCTTCTCGAGAGCCGGCAGAGGTGTGCAATGTCTTGCTATGGGTAGGATGTTGCCATCGTCCATGTCGCTCGCAGGCAGATCTCGCAATGCGCCGAGGAAAGCATGGTGAAAGGCATATCCGGACATGCCATCCGTCAGGGTGTGCGAAGAGACAAATGCCAGGTGAAAGGTGGTACCCAGGCGGATCAGGTGGGCTCGCCATTGCGGCAGATTGTCGTATTCTGTGACAGGCTGGTTAAGGAGGCGCTCGAGGACATGTTGTCGCAGTCCAGGGCTGTCGGAGGTGCTCTCCGAGAAGTAGAGATGCTGACTAAGGTCGACGGTGGCCGGTCTGACCAGGTGGAATTTCTCCGTTTCGGCATAGCGAATGCTCGTAGACAGCGCGGGATGCTCAATCACGCAGCGCTTGAGGGCGCGAACGGCATCGCTGGGCGTGACTGGCGCTGGCCCGCTGTATGTTCCGATGGTGATGATGTTGTTGTACAGGCCAAGATACTCGCGAACGGCGCATCTCTTCTCGTTGAATCCTGCGCAGTAAGGGGCATCAGCTGATGTGTCTCGCGAAGTGAAGGGAGGGGAGGGTCCCGCACGAACCAGCCGGTCGTATGACATCCATGACACTGTACCTGAGGCGCCGGCTCGCGCGCGTTTTAACTGTTCGTCGTAAAACTAGTTCGAGTCCCCACGTGAGACTTCTTAAAGCACCATCTGTGAACAACTGTATGTTAATCATGAACAGTGCGATGCTCCAAATTGGTCCGTGGACTCGCTCAATTTGCGAGGCGACCTTCATTGGCTCGGCAGGATCCCTGCACTCAGGAGGCGTTCACTGTGCAATTTCGGGGTTGGATCGAACGACGACGACGACGCTTTCTTGATGACCTGAATGGATTTATCGATCAGGTACCTCCTACTGCGTCCCCAAGTTAGGTAGTTCACAGGGTGTATGATATATACGTCAATCAAGTGAGAGCGTTGTCTCCGATACTGCAAGACCTGAAACTACCACACTTCTACAGTTCTGATGGAAATGTTCGTAGTTGGATCTACTTCGTGGCTAGTCAATGCAAAGACACGCTTGCATAACAGTATAGGTTTGGGTGCTTGCTTGACTGCCTGACTGACGAGTAGGAAGTAATTTCGTCGATTAGTTTGTCGAGCACCTTTGGAGAAGCACTTATACACTGCTACGTCTGGTATTCACAAAACCAGATAGTTAGGTCATGCACCCAATGGGGAACCCCATTCCCATTCCCATACCGCCCATGCCTCCCATTCCCATACCACCCATGCCTCCCATTCCCATACCGCTCATACCGCCCATACCGCCCATGCCGCCCATACCGATGCCGCCCATGCCGCCCATACCCATTCCCAGTCCCGGCATGCCGAATACCGTGTTCATGTTCATACCGCTCATGGCATTACCTGCAAAGCCCATGTCAGCACTGAACCTGCCGACCTAGTCCGATGTGACAAGCACTCGGCGCCGAGCCGAGACATGCATCCCAGCTGGGGACAAGCAAGGTACCGAGCTTACCTCTCTTCCTCTTGCCCTTCTTCATAGCCCTGTAGTACACCGCAAATGGGTCGTCTTCATCGGCGTCCGCGTCCCACACTCCATCGTCGTCGTCATCATCATCATTCATGCCAAGCCCACCTGACATGAATTCGTTCAGGCCACCGCTGACACCAAACATCAAGGGGTTCATGCTGCCGATGCCTCCCATGCCCCCTCGGCCAGCACTCATCATCATGCCCGGCCACATCCCGCCGCCCATGCCCATACCCATCATACTATTACAGTCCATCCCATTCATGCCTCCACCCCCAGGCGCCGAGAACCCACCTCCCATCATGGGATTGTGGAATGCCCATTGACCGAGTGGAAATGGAGGTTTGGGATTGGGATACTGGCCTGCACCAAAAGGGCTCTGCTGACTTCCATGACGGCCCATACCACTTCCCAGCCAGTTCATCTGGTGCACTGGATACGGGCCTTCGGCACCAAAGGGAGAGGCGCCTTGATAACGGAGCGGATTAGCATTTGTACGAGTGACAGAGATGAATGATGTGAGGCGAGCCTACCGAAGCCCATACTCCTGCGGCCTAAAGTGGGCATGCCACATTGTTGCATCATGGCGGCCGCCAGGAGAGGGTGGATATCTTGCGTGTTCATGCCATGAGTCATGATACCAATCCGAGATCGTATATATCGGAAGATGAATGTCGTAGGGTGATGAGACAAGAAATTGGGAAGGGTGTCAGATACAGACGTGCAGCTGGAAAGTGATGGAAGCCGGATATCCAGACTTATATCACAAAATGACGCGGAGACGGTCGATTGTGCAGTCGTCAAGAGAGACGCCGCTTGCTTCTGGAGTACCACTTCCTAGGACAACCAATCGTGCAAACCCGCCCACCCTCGCACGAAGCACAAGTTGTGCCTCGTTGTTTCTGCAGACCCACAACTGGGCACGAGAATCGGCTCTTCTGGTGAGATGCCTCAAGCCAGAAAACCCTCACGCATGCACCTCCTTGAATACCGAGTGAGGTTCGTACCTAGCAGCGAGTCTAGCCGGGAGCCAAAAGAATGCCTGTCAGTCATCTAACGCTTGTCCCCTTCGTGGCATCAACAATGGTGTGAAGATTGCAATAGAGTAGATCGATTCATCACACTGTAAACACTTATTGTCGATCGAGTACGACATTAGACCCGTATGCGTTGGTCGTGTTGAAAACGGATCGCACGTGTACGATAGTCTCCGTGGGGGAGCTGACATGTCAAACGCGAGCCTAGAAAAGCATCTGCGTTGTACAACAGCAGCATAGCAAACATCCAGTCTAGAGAGATTCGTTGCGTCGCCGGAGTGCTGCACGTGACGTCAAGTTCTTGCCCAATCGAGTCGATCAGATATCGTTTGCGCGGCCGTACAGTTCTTTCGCTTTTGGTGGAAATCGACAGGTGCAACAGCGGCTGGCCATAACACTAATAACAGCAGTCGAATAGTGAGTAATCTTGCCGTGACATTCAAACATCAAGTCTGCAAGCGGCGGGTAGTCTTTACCTTCTGCAGGAGACCGAAGGACTCGCGTGAAACTCAACTTGATAACACAGATGCAAGTCAAATGTGAGACTCTGTAAGGCATGGATCCGTCAAGCTGGTGACGACGAATGAACGCTGTCGAACATCCCGAGCGCGAGGAGCGGCCAGCCGCAGGTCAGCTGCGGGTTCAGATGTGCTCGAGCCGCAAACGTGTTCTACCATATGGGGTGACGAGTATACCGAGATGAAGCAACACGCACCGTCACAATGCAGTGCGGCTCGTTGTGCGCGTGCTCGTTGTCAGTAACGCGCGTGGGGGAAATATGTGTACATACCTAGGTACCTTAGGTACAGGTTGGTAGGTTAGTACCTTACCTGGTAGAAAAGTCAGCACAGTACGTCTGCCAAGGTCAGGATATGGATGAGCTACAGTTGCAGTCGAACGGGTACCACAGGCCTCTTGCTCTAATTCAGCTTTATTGTGCTTGATCCCGAGTGAAAGTCGAAGAGCTCGACTTCTATTGTTCTATTGGTCGACATAATCGAGACCACAGCATAGAGGATGTTTCGAAAGCCCGCTCTCGACATCGTTTTGCTCGCCTGAGGACTTATATGTACCTAGCCCTCGGTGAGGTGGTAATGGCGACGACCTGTTTCTGACACTTGACTGGTCGTCACAGTGTGCGCTGCCAGCTTCCAGCGGCGTTGTACGAACAGTGACATACCTTAGGGAGGGAGAGAGATGCGACTCCAAGGTTACCACCGGGTGACTGCAGATTTCCACACACCAGCAGCAGAGGACAGAGGTGTAACTCGAAGCACGCTTCCGTGCCTCAGGTGTCGACGAGATGTTCCGTTCCCGCTAAAGAGAGCCAAGCATAAGCCAAGCACGAGAGAAGGCTGACACTGCACTGTGCCACTGTGGGCAGCAGTGGCAGCTGGGGCAGTGCGACGGGAGCAGTCGATCGGTGTCTTTCTGTCCCGGAGGCGTGTGGCAGCTGCAGGAGCAACAGCTCTCTGAAGGAGGTACCTCCAAGGTACCTTACGCTGACTGCTCGCGACAGCTACACGTCTACCTAGGTACTGTAGAACTGCATGTAGTAGGTAGGTATGTGCGAGCATGTATTATTGTGTCGCGTGGGCAGAATTAGTAGTGCCTTACCTAGCTGGAAGGGGTTGGTAGTCTACGGTGTCTCGGTAAGGTAAGGTAGGTAGGTATTGGCATGAAAATGCAATAGATGTACGTGTAGGTAGGGGACATACACCCGTCGCAGCATTCATCGCGTGCACAGGGGCTGGTTGGTGTTAGATGCAGGCACTGTGTGTTTGTTTACTGCGCTGTCGCCGTGGTGGTGTTGGTGATGGTGGTGGTGGTGGTGGTGGTGGTGGTGGTGGTGATGATGATGATACTGTCCGAGTGTCCGTCGCCTTCCAGCCTCCAATTGCTGGGTGTACCTAAGGTAGTTCTAGTGTACCGCTAGCGGAATGGTCGAATTTGATAATTGACACTTCATCATCACCACGCGACCTTCTTCACTCTTCACCACGTCTACTGCAGTCTTCAGCAAGCGAACCCATCGAACTCAGCCCCAACAACGACAGCAGCTGCCATCCAACTGTATAACCGCCTGTCCTGCTCATACCAGGATCATTTTTCTCTCGAATCGTCGATCTCGCAAGATCACGAAACTATCACCCTCACCCTCTCCCGTCTCTCGTGTGCAGCATCTGCTCTTCGGAACATCATCCAATGGCTCCGCCCTCTTTCGCATCAGCCGCCGCTGGCAATGGCACCCTCAACAGCAATCACTCCACACGCGACGCTGCGAGCGAACGGTAAGTGGTGATGCACGTCGGAAGTGCTGCAGGAGCGGATCGCACCACGCGACAGATCGCCAGAATGGGTGGATGAGACTAGAAAGCGTGCGCAAGCACGATACAAGATGGATTCTAAGCTGATATCGACCTGTGCGTACAGATTACACCGAACGAACGGCGCGACGCAGACCTTCCGGCGACCTTCAGGTGCGACCAATGGCCTCCCTTCCACAACACAGCCTCCCGGCTCCATCGCGCAACCTCCTCGCTATGTTCCTCCCTTCCGCACCAATGGCTCGGGAGACAGTAAGAGATACACCAAGGAAGACATGTACGCGATCTTTGAGCAGCAGCAGAGCAAGGAGGGTGGACTCAGTGACGGACTGTCTGCGCATCTGGTGGGTGGCTGGCAGCCCGATATCCCCAATGGCTCTTCTGCATCGTGGGGCAGAAACGATAGCCTTCGCGATGCGCCGCCTGGCCCTGAAATGGCCTGGGACAGAGAGGGCACTGGAGAACCGCTTGGACTTTCAGACATGGATGATGACGAGCGCGAGGTGGGTCAAGGCGAGAAGAGTACACCCGAGGAAGGTTCGCTAACAGAACTCTAGCTCTTCGCCACCTCTGTGAATACCCCCATCAAGCCTGCTAACAAAGATGGCCAGCAGGTCAATGGTGGCCAAGGACGAAAAATCAGCATCTCTAACGGTGTCACTACTCCCGGCGCGTTTGGGCTCCCTTCACCGAGCGTGGCTCGAGGTGGTGGACGACGCCGGGAGGCAAGTGAGTCATATCCATTCCCTCAAGGTGTCTCGTCTCCAGGAGGTCATGTCGATCAACGGGCTCCTTCGCCGCCCGCGGCGCTTCTACGGCGCAGAACTGAACAGAATCTCATGAAAGTTGATGACAAGGATGGCGATGAGAAAGGCGTGTCTTCGCCATACGGCACTGTGAGACGTAACCCCACTGGACCTCTTTCTGCTGGATTTGCTCCCCCGTCTTCCCCTTGGTCTACCGGCCCAGGGCCTCAAAGTGCAGGCTTCGCTCCCATGGGCTCCTTTGGGAGCTTTGGAATGGGCAGTAATGCCGCGCAGCAAGCTGCGTCTGGCACTAAGGCAGGCGTAGGTTTGGCTGGCGGAAGGTCTGAAAGCCGATTCAAGAGTGTTCTGGGCAAGGACAGTGGTGAGGACGGCGGCGGGAGGACCCTTGAAGCTAAACCTAGCATATCTGGACTGGCCCGGGTGAATGAGAACGACGCATGGCGTGCACAAGAACGTACCGAGCACGGAAACGACTCTCTGGACGAAGCTGAAGAGAACCTGCCCACTGGAAGTGCTGCGCTAGCTGCAGACGAAGACGCGAGTCCTCCTCACCCCAGGCAAGGATACCAGAGCTTTGGCACGCCCAGTCGCCAGGGCGCCCAAGGAGATATCGGTTTCGGAGCGTTTGGAATGACTTCTGACAACACGCACGGTTTTGGCCCGGGCTATGCTGCGCGCGAAGGATTCCAGCAGACACCAGCGCACCAGCGCATAGGATTGCAACACGCCGGTGGCCACGAACCGATGAGCCCGACCGATACTAATCCGTACAAGTCCCCTGACCAGCACGGAGGTGATCGCATGGGCGAGTCGAACGGACATGAGAACAGTGATGTTCTCAACAGTCACCTCCCTGGGCTCGGCCAGTTCGGCAACGACTCAGCGCAACAGCAGCTTGGCGGTTTGGGCGGACTTGCGGGATTGCCGAACCTGGGACGAACACATGGCCAAGGTCCAGCAAGCGACAGGAGCCAGACATCCAGCGTTGGTCCGCAGCGTGTCTTCTCTGGTGGTTTGAGTGGACTCGGTCAGCTGGGGACTCTTCCCGGCGCTTCGGCTTGGCCAGTCTCGCAAGGGGGATTAGGTACTCCTGGAAGGCAGACGTCCGGCCTGACAAACGCGTTTGGGGGAGGCATCTTCTCCAATCCACTGGCCGATATGCAATCGTCTGGGCTGGCAGGACTGGGCGGGTTTGGCCCGCAGGGCGTGCCGTATGGCGGCAGTCGAATGGCTAGCATGTTCCCATCCCAAATGCAAGATCAGTTGCGCCACAGTGAAGGTCATCATGATCGCGAGGGTAGCCACGACCGGCCGGTTCAGCCATTTGGTGGAATGGGTGATTTGAGCAGGTCAGCTGAAAGCCCGTTTGCAAACCAAGGCTTTAACGACAATCAGACTGGCAAACTCCAACACGATTCGGCCGATCTTCACCATCAACAGAGCCAACAACATTTGCACGAACAGTCTCAGCAACAAGCCCTCAACCAGCCCCTAGGCAGCTCGGCTTCGAACCAGCCTCCAGCACCACAGCAGCGCACAATGGTCATGCCTGATCGCATGCGATGGATCTATCGGGACCCTCAAGGTCAAACGCAGGGACCGTGGTCGGGCTTGGAGATGCATGATTGGTACAAGGCAGGCTTCTTCTCTCCTGAACTCTTGGTCAAGAAGTACGAGGATCAGGACTACGAACCGCTGGCTCAGCTTATCAGGCGCATTGGCAACTCTCGTGAGCCATTCCTTGTGCCGCAAATAGGAATTCCACATGGATCGGCCACTCAGACGGGGCCAAATGCATGGGCTGGCGCAATTGGAGGTGCTGCTGGCGTCGGTGGTGGTAGTGCTGCGCCGGGAAATGCCCAGCCTCCTTTCGCATCGAGCTTCCCTAGCTTTGGCACGACTTTAACGGCCGAGCAACAGAACGCGCTCGAGCGTAGGAAACAAGAAGAGCAGTATCTGATGGCTCGACAGAAAGAGCACCTTGCGCAAGCCCAAATTCAGCAACGCATGCAGCTTGGAGGACCTCACGGTGGCATGGGCCTTCCTAGTCAGCTTCATCATCACAGCAGTGCGCACAGTCTGCAATCGCAACCAAGCTTCGGGAGCATTCAAAGTCCGCCAAACTACCAACAAAGCCCTAGTCAGGGCCCAACAACAGGCGCTCCCAGCGCCCAAGGTTTCTTCGACAACACGTTCCATCGACCGGCAGGCAGTGCACTCGGCGCAGTGGGCGCGCCTTCGCTGGGCCACATTCGCGAGGAAGAAATCCCAGGCATTATGGATCGCCTGAGTATGACAGAGAACCGCCAACAACCTGGTCAGTTTGGTGCACCAGGACAGCCGTTCGCCGGCCAGCAGCAACCACCAGAGCAGCATGAGGGCAAGATCCAGCAGATGTACGAAGACCGCGCGAGACTACAACAAGAACAGGCCGAGCGCGATGGCAAACAAGACGCAAACGAGAATGAGCAAGCTCAAGCAACACAGGCACGTCTGGAGCAATTCCAGCAGCTTCAAGGTCAAGCTCTGCAGCAGTCGGCAAAACAAGCTCGTGCTCAGGCAACAGCACAGCACGTCCAGGCCGTTGACGAGTCCGCCGCCACAGAGAGCAGTGTTGGCTCACCAATAGCGCAAGCACGCGCATCACACCATCAGCCTCAGGAGCCTCTGTCTCTCACGGAGCAGGTGCAGAAGGCCGCTTCAGCCAAACAATCTCCTGCTCCACAGCAGCCTGGTCTGCCGCAGCCGTTCCCTCCTGCGCCTTCGCAGTCTCCACTTCCAGCCCCAGCTGCGCAACGTGCTGGTCGGCAGAGTGTGGCAGATCAGTTGCAGAGCGAGTCGCGTGGTCCCTCTCAATCGCCCTCTGTTGATACTCCTAGCGCCACCGTCGCACCGTGGGCCAAAGAACCAGCCGAAGCACCCAAAGGTCCCTCCTTGCGTGAGATCCAAGAAGCAGAAGCCAAGCAGGCTGAACAGGCGGAGGCCCTTGCCATCGCTGCTCGTCGTGCCGCTTTCCAGAAGGAGATGGAGGCACAGGCACAAGTCGTTGCCCCTGCTCCTGGGATCCCAATGTCAGCTACATGGGGCGCTCCATCCCCTGCTACGCCTACTGGCGGAGCTCCCGCGGCCTGGGCCAAGACTGCTCAGAAGCCAAGTGGTTCATCAGCTTCCAAGACACTCGCGCAGATTCAGAAGGAAGAGGAGTCACGCAAGCGCAGGAATGCTGCCCAAGCACAGCAACAAGCTGCTTTGGCTAACGCCATGTCCGTTGTCTCTGCGCCAGCTGGTGGCAAGAGCTACGCGAACCTCGCCAGTAAGGTCAACGCCCAGCTGCCGCAAATCAGCACTGGCAGCAGTGCCTGGACTACCGTCGGTGCTAGTGGCAAAGTCAAGACTCCAGCGCCCGTTATCCCCAGTGTACGTACTGCCAGCTCCAGTACTGTACCTACCGTGCTGCCCGCAGTCGTAGCGTCGAGGAGGCAACCTGCCAGAAGCACAACGGCGGGAGCAGCTGCTGTCAACGCTCAAGATGAGTTCAAGAAGTGGGCCATCAACGACCTTCGTCCTGACCTAGCCAAGGGCATCAGTGGTAAGTTGTTCCTCCGCTTCTCGTTGCCCTTCTAGAAGTATGCTAACCCGATCATAGTGGAGGAGTTCGTCTCCAGCCTCATGAGTCTTCCTCCCGACAATGATATCATCACCGAAGCTGTTCACGCAGTGTCCTCTACGATCGATTCTCGCCACTTCGCCGAGGAGTTCATCCGTCGCAAGCGTCTCGCTGACAAGGGTCTCGTCGATACTGCTGTGCCCAAGAGCGCTAGTCCCGCGAATGGCGCGAGTGGCTGGAGTGAAGTCGCCAAGAAGACTACCGGCAAGGAAACACCAAAGGACGACCTCAGCGGCTTTGCTGTCAAGCAGACCAAGAAGAGAGGTGGACGTAAGTAGATTGTGCCACTCTCAGGGATCCATCCAATGGAGCGAGTGTAGCTGGAGGAGGGGCATATTGCGAAAACAAGTGGTGGGCTTAGATGAGGCTGAACAGCTGTGAGATGGATACGATGGTATGCACAATCATTATCTGTTGGGAGGCAAACGCATGCGTATTGCACGAGCGGCCTAGCAGCACCATCATTATCAGGTACCATTGAAGCAAGCAACCATTCGCTATTCATCTCGATAATTGTTTGTTCAAGTTGTTCTCATGCTTTCTGTCAGCTCCTTATACTGCTTTTCGACGTTGCCTCTATGCTTGACACTCGATAGCTTGTTGAATTGGTTGGGTTGAGCGGGACCGAATGTAGGAGGTAGGTATGTCGCGTAGCGTCAAGCAGATAAGCTTTACCCTGCGCGACCCAGGACATAGGAGGTAGGACATCACAGTTATTCGACGAACAAGAGTCTCCTTCCCTAGGGGCTTAGTGTCACAGTATCGTCAGTCCGGGACACATAGTATGTCATCTTGTTATCGAATGTGGTGGGTACATGAATAATGTATTCACCTGCTGCTGCTGCTGCTGCTGCTGCTGCTGCTGCTGCTGCTGCTGCTGCTGCAGGAGAGCCAGGAGTGACGTCCGAAGGGAAGCGGAACGAGAACGACGCGTCCCACAAGCGCATCTCTTTCTGCAGTTGAATCTGGCTTCCTTGTCGACTTTCACATGAGGAATCCACCATGACCGCTGCCTTCGCCTCTGACTATCCGGCAGACAATCATGTCCTCTCTTCACCTTCTCCTTCACCCTCATCTTCACCGTCGCCTTCCCTTACCCCGAGTCGCCTCCGCCCTCCACGATGATTAATTCCTCACCCGCAGAGTATGTCTTCATTCGCATCTGCATCGTGGGACTGGGAGCCATCGCTCCCCTGAGTGTCGTATGCACCGTCTACTCCCTCCTCGTTCCATTCCTGGGCAATGACTGGGCATTCCCGGCAATCCCACTGCCACTGCGAATCTACTTCGCCGTAGAGACGTCCTTCTGGCTAGTGGTGCAATTGCCGCTGTACCGGATTGTACAGAACAAAGCAGACCATCCCCCGATACTGTCAGAGCCAGACCGGCATCAACTCTTTGAACGCATCACGAAAGATGTCAGTGCGACAGAGCTCGAAAGACATCTCAGCTGGTGGTGCAGATGCGCCAAGAGCGACGACATTGGGCGCGAGGCGATCAAAGATTGGCTGGCATGGGCGTTCTTCGAGGGGAGGCTGCACGTGAAAGGCGCGGAAGACGAGCTGGAAGAGTACACCACGCGCTTTGAGCAATTGCTGGGAAAGACGTTCGCACACGGCTACGGCAAGGCAAACCCGGTCCGCCTGACTCTCGACAAGATCGAGTTACACGGGTACAGGAGTCTCACCTGGTACTTTTGCGTAGGATTCGTGGACTTCCTGACCTTTGTCCGTCTCTGCCGCGATGGCTATCATCATCACCGCTTGCCTGTGAAGAGCTTCTTGGGCCTCTTTCCGTTTCGACCTGTGGCTCTGACCGCGCGCCACACCACGCCCGCACGACATCTCACCTACTGGCATCGACCTCACACTGCCAAGAACCGCTTGCCTGTGGTGTTCATTCACGGAATCGGGATTGGCTTGTATCCCTATGTTAACTTTCTCGATGACCTGATCCAGCATATTGAGGATGGGCACCACGATCCAGCCGATGGTCACGTCGGCATTCTTGCGTTAGAGATCATGCCCGTCTCTTTCCGCCTGACCCACTCGGCCTTGAGCAAAGAGGAGATGTGCAAAGAAATCAACACGATCCTGGAGCGACATGGGTGGGACAATTGCGTCTTGATAGGACATTCTTACGGTACCGTCATCGCTACTCATGTCTTGCACGATCAAGTCCTGCAGCCGAAGATTGCTTCGGTCCTGCTCATCGACCCAGTCTGCTTCCTCCTACACAACCCAGACGTGGCTTACAACTTCACCGTCCGAAAGCCAACACACGCCAACGAGTGGCAACTCTGGTACTTTGCTTCACAAGATCCTGGAGTAGCACATACCCTGGGCCGACGCTTCTTCTGGTCAGAGAACGTGCTCTGGCTAGACGATCTGCTTCCCCTGATGAAGACTACCGGACTGAGGGTCACAGTCAGCTTAGCAGGCCGCGACTTGATCGTGGACACGGAAGCGGTCGGACGATATCTTGTAGGCGGTAAACCTGCCAAATATGGAACCTTTGAAGAGGACTGGAAGTTCAAAGAGTGGAAAGGCGAGGGGCTTGAAGTCATTTGGAACGAAGATCAAGATCATGCCCAAGTTTTCGATTCCAAGTCGAAGCGAGCGAAGCTTGTAGCGGTTGTGAGAAAGTATTGTGAGATTACTAGATGAGCGACAGGACAGGGCGGGTAACAATTGGTACAACAGGACGCTACGTTTGGACTGGATAGACAAGATATATTTTAAATACCTAGATGCATGAACGAAGAGCCTTTGCTCACGAAATCGGTGGCAAACACGTGCAAGGCTCTCAGCCGATCTAGTTTGTGTCTACTGCATTCACTGTCTTCTTCGCCTTCATCTGCCTGTCCATCAATCACGGTTCAAGCAAATCCAATAGATCCAAACTTGCACCGTGCTAGCGCGTCTTGACAGCCTTTCTGAGTGACCGGGAAGCCGGTACGATGCGTCTGCTGATATGAGCGATGCAAATCATGAAGTTAGGTACTATTGCTTCAAACAGCGCTCGTTCCCGTCTAGGATGCGGATGCTAGGCTTTTGCCAAGCTTCATCATTTCAACTTCACTCATTTGGTAAGACAAGTTCATGGCTTCGGCCGCTGAGCCCAGCTTGCCGCCTTGTGGTGTCTCATGGTCCTCACAGCATTGCAGCAGTGCGAGGAATTCATCCTTGAACCCTTGAAGTTCTCAGGGAGTTGCCTCCTTTTGTGGCCGACTTGGAAAAAGTATGCATCTGCTTCTGGCGCTGAACGTGCGAATTGCTCTGACGCCAAAGTCTGTCGCGTGTTCAACAGCTGCGGTGGCAGTAGGACTGCCCGAGAAGATGCTACAGCTATCTGTCGTGTCGTTCGATGAAGTGGTCGCCTGGGAATGAAGTCTGCCATATTGCTAGAGCACGCCGTCTCGGGAAGGTCAGTATTGCGCTCCACCCACCGTGCTCTGAAGTCGGCACGAGCAGATGTCAGAGTGATGGCTGGAGTCTTCAATCTCGATCACGGCCAATTTCCCCTCCGCCATGCTCACGCTGGTACTCGAGCTTTTTCTCCTCTTGCTTGCGCCAGTGGCTGCCTTCTTCGTAGTCTTTGCCAATGCCGAGCGCCTTGCGCAGCTTCTCACTCTCGTCAATCTTTGCACGCGCGAGCTCATGGACCTGGTGCGACTTGAGGCCCTTTGCATTCGGTCCACGACCATTCTGCTCCTTTCCTAGCTTCTTTCGCAGAGCATCGCACTGGTCATCAATCTCGTCCTCATCGACACTGACAAGTGTCAGTCACACTTTCGCCGCAGACTCCGAGGCAGCGCTTACCCTTCGTCTTCCAGCTTGTCCCGTAGCTGGAAGACCTTGACTTCAATCTCGCGCTTCTGCTCGTGCTCCAGTATTTCCTTGTCTGGCTGGCGTTGGCGATGGCGGATGGAGTCGATGTCGGTGGGATATGGCTTCACATCGTCGCGTGGGCGGAGGTTGGCTGAGTTACGCTGGACGAAGCCGGACGTGCCTGAGCCCCGTGGGGTGCTGAGACCGACGTTGGAAGACATGCTGAAGTGCAGAGAGGTGTCGGTGGCGCTGGTGTCGGAGTTTAGAGCATTCCACTTCTCGGCCATGGATGTGATGGACGATGGATGGAGATCAGGGTAAGGGTAAGATACTGTACCTGCCGGCCGGTGGAGGTGCAGCCCTACAAGTGGGGCCGAAAGCCCTGACGCGCCACTGCTGCGAGTCATGCTAGTATGTCGTGATCACAACAAACAAAATTCCACTTCGCTCTCACTTTACCTCCTACCAACAACAACAACAACCACAGCGCATCTCTTCGCGCTGACATCCAGAACAACGTCCAACACAGACCAAGTCAAGAAGCAAGCCATGCCGCATATCATGGACAACCCCGCCAACGACAGCGACGACGGCGACAGCGGCAGCAGCACGCCAAACCCCCTGCCCTTCCCGCCCGTCACCAAGCAGCACATCCTCCACTGCTCCGTTGGTTCTTGGTACCCGAAGTTTCGCAACGTAACCCCGAAGACCAGAATCATTCCCCTCACTCAAGCCTTCATGAACTACCTTCACGCAGATTCCATCATCCTCCCCGATGACGACGACGCCGATTATGACGAAGAAAAAGACGTTTCCAAAGATTGGCGTGAGCTTCACCAGACCATCAAAGCCACCATCTCTGAATTGGACGGTGCGGTCCTCCCAAAGCTGAACTGGTCGGCTCCCAAAGATGCGGCTAACATGAACGCAAACACAATGATCTGTCGCTTCCCACGCGAAATCTGTCTCCTGCTCAAGAGTTCCGACTTTGTCTCACACGACTTGGACAACGCTTTCGACGGCTGTGTCGACGCGAATCCCGACAGCCCGCTCAGCAAGACTGACATTCCATATGTCCTGGTCCTGCGCAAGGCTGTTATGGGATGGAACCCGTCGGTCGAGTTTCGTTGCTTCGTTCGCAACAAGAAGCTGTTGTGCATCTCCCAGCGTGAGAAGGGCCTCTTTCCGTTCTTGCATAATATGCGAGACAAGCTCCAGTCCATGATCAAGGTGTTCTTTGAGACTCGCCTCAGCACCTTTGAAGATGACAACTTTGTGTTTGATGTCTACGTTCCGAACCCATACACTCAGGTCTGGCTCGTCGACATCAACCCGTGGGCTCCGAGAACCGATCCGCTTCTGTACAGCTGGACAGAGCTGCACGCGATGGACGAGCCGCTCGATGAGCCAGAGGTCCCAGATGGTGCTTTCCTAAGAATGACCATCGATCCTGCTAAGCGGGAAGAAATGGTGCCAATACTGGCTTCACAGGAGGCAGCAGAGAAGGAGAAGGAGGCGGCGGAGCACGAGGATGTGGAGGAGATGGATGATCCGTACCTCCCAGAGCTACGTCTCGTCAAGCCTGGCGACCCTGAGGCCAATTTGTGGGCCTCAGGCCAGTACAGTGCTTACAAGTTGCCGTTGGAGGTTGTCAATGCTGGCCAATCACCAGAGGGCATCGCCCAGATGGCACGTGACTGGAAGGAGCTGGTCAATCAGCAGCAGCCGGAGTCTGAGGACTCCGAGTGATTGAAGTGCATCAATGTGTACGCAAACGTCTGCTCACATAGCAGACAACTGTAAGTGTTGTCCGCTCACATAGCTGACAACTGTAAGTGTTGTCTGCTCAGATAGCAGACAACTGTAAGTGTTATGGGTATCTCTGTTTCCCTCTCTCTTTCTATTGTGAAACGCGTACAAAGCCGCCCAAACTGTAGCCAGGACATGTACTAAGGTATTGATCGAGCAAGCAGCCACCCGAACGAGACAACAGAATAATATATAGATCGGATATTCACGGATTTGGGTCACGCCCCTCTGCATCTAAATAATGATGCTCCGGATAGAGCCCGCAAAGCATCGATCCTGGACTTCGAGAAGATCACGGTAAACACACAAGCCGGCAGTGGTACAACAATGTACTAGCGCAACAGAAACGAGGCAGGACAGACGCGAATAAAAGGCGCTCAGGGCTACACTAGCAGTAAGCAGACAAATTGAACCCTGCACAACCGCAACCCGTCATTGACTATAGCAAATCGCTACACGTACCAAAGCCAACCCGGTAAGAGGAGGAAAGGCACCGATTGTATCGACTTCAGACGGTATAGAATCTATCCTAGATAGCTTCGCAGATACAGCAGAAGTAGACAAGTCAGGATTGGGGAAGTGGTACAAGAAAAGGAGGCTCGAGACATACCGTGGTAGCGGCGTAAAACTGTATATTTTGCTGAAAAGGACGTTGCCGAAGGGTTCCTAGCTCCTATCCCGAAGCAACTGGATAAGAGCATGTTCTGCGGCCGCTTTCAAAACATCAACACGGACGAGTACTGAGTCCGTATATTAGGCCTCTTCTGGCTTCTCGATCACTGTGCCTGATCTCCAGCTGTGCCTCCAGCACCAGGGCAACCGCTACGCTGTCGATATATTGGATCGAGAAGCTGAACAGGATTTCTCATTACCCCTGCAAAATCACTTTTCACAACTGTAACAAAAATAATGTATGCAGAGCAGGCGAGAAATCGACTGATGAGTCATAACGCTCATTCGGACGAAGCTCCGAGCGACGGACTCGCGCCCTTCAAAGTTCACACTGCTTCGGACCCCTGCTTTGAGCTTGTTCAGCCAACGAGGAACAACTATGGACGCCCCTACCCACGACTCCACAAGCGAGACCTTACCAGCAGATCTCAAGCGCATACGTAAAGGCACGCGGAGCTGTGTTGAGTGTGGGTCGCCCTGGATTAATATATTAACCTACCCGTGCGCTCACCTCGTAATCAACAGGCCGGCAGCGCAAGATCCGATGTCTATGGGATCATCCAGATGATAACGCTTGGTACGTAGTCTAGAAAGATCCGCGCACGAACAAAGATAGGCATTGATCACGGAGTTAGCACATCGTGTGTGGCACGTGGCCGCGACTGCGTGCCTCAGCTCTATACTCGCCGTGTTGCCAACACGAGCAAGGTCAGCTCCAAAGACCGCATTGCACGTCTAGAAGCGCAATTAGCGAATATCACGGCCACTACGCATGGCGCAAATGATGCGACATTCGGTCAGTATGATCCCGCGGGTGGGAGCTCTGCGCCAGTCTTCGATGACCAGGGCTCGGACACGGACGATCCAACCATGCACGAAGGACCTGCTGCGCTTCCCGAGCATCTACGCTTCTTGTTCGACAACGCCCTCATAGGGCCGGATGAGCGCATTCAGCACCGAGAAGACGACGAAGAAGCTCGAGGTCAAGTCTGCTCCACTCGCTATGCGGACGCTGCCCGAGCCCGACTCCAACGACTGATGCCGAGCAGAGACGACGTGGCGGCCGTGTCTTCGTACGCCATCACCTGGATGAGTTTTTACTACGAGCTTTTTCCCTCGCCATCAGTGACTCCACAACGGGGCCACATGATGGACAAGTACGCGCACATGCTCGAGCCTGATGCGGATATCGTGCACATTGCGTCTTTCCTGTTGACGTTTGCACTCACTGCAAGACAGCTGCCTCAAGGTGGCAACGGATTGATTTTGAACGGCTGGAAAGACGTTCATTCATATGTCAAGGCTGTGATGGCTACCGTCGACGCAGTGATCATATCACATGCCGGAATTGCTGCTACGATTGAGGGCGCATCTGTATCCGTCCTGTTCTTGCGCTTGCAGCTCGGTCTCGGACGAGTACGATCGCTGTGGCTCACGCTGCGTAGGACCGTTGCTCTTGCAGAGATAGCTGGTCTACCGCGCGCCTGGTACTCCGCTCATTATCTCCGCACGAGAACGAGTGGCGCGCCGGACAGCTTGACTCCCGGGTCTGCCGACGGAGTGTACCTGTGGGAGTCCATTTGCGCAACGGACAGAATGGCGAGCATGATGTTCAATTTGCCCGCTGCCACTACGACCTATAAATTCCCACGCAAACAAATCGTCGATGCGGACGGCTCAGTGCGGGCACAGTCTTATATGTTCGAAGAGGCTGGTATCGCAATGCGCATATCCGAACTGGACGATGGATATATGCACCGAGGGCCCGAAGATGCCGCGTACCAAAAGGTGTTGGAGTGTGACAGGGAGCTTCGTTCACTCAAGTCTCTCACGCCATCCAGTTGGTGGCAAGAAGAAGCAGAATTCCTATCTGGGGCAATGCTTGTCCAGTTCTGGCACTACTACCTTGCTGTCAGGTATGACTTCAACTTTGTGTGCAGCGGCAGAAGTCGAGTACCTAGTCATAGGTGAATTCAGGAAGAAGCTTGTTAACGATTCACAGAATACATCTTCACGCTGCAATGGCCAACGACGCTCACGACCAATACGCCTACAGCCGTGCAACATGCTTGGACGCTTGCCTCTCCGTGGCTCGACGGTATTCCTACCTCCGCCGTGCTCTACCCGCTGGCTTCTTCGTGTGCAGAATCGTAGACATGCAAGTCTTCACCGCTGCAATCTACCTCGTGCTCTCCTCGCACGAACACGATCCTATACCATCCGAAGAAGAAAGCTCATACAGCCTCTCATGTGTCGAGCACGTCATCACCATCATGGACCACGTCTCTGCAGGACAAATTGGCAACGAATTCCCTCTTGCTGCCGCGGCGACTCTCAGAGCTCTCATTACCCATCTCACTCTACCCAAATCTGCGCACGCTCCTGCTGTGACTTTGCGGATCCCTCTTCTTGGCAGAGTTCATGTTGGACGCAGGGTACAGAATTCTGCCTGCGCCAGCAGCGGCAGCGGCAGCGGCAGCAGCAGCACTACCAGGACGAACCCAAGCGACATGACACCACACCTAAATACTGTCACACCAGGAGGAAGCCATTCCCAATCTGCAGCAACTGATCCTACAGGATCTACAGACCCAACCACTACTGCCACTGCTCCTGCTGCTCTTACAAACTTGAACGCATACGATCCTACTACCACTACCGCTGCTCCCATTTATGAACCCTGGATGCAACTAGACATCAACACATCATTCCAAGATCCCTTTTTTGCAGAAGAAGACATGGGAGGAGATTTTATTGACCCCTGGATGGTGCGAATGACTGATAATGATGAGACAATGATGTCCATCATGATGGGTGGCGGCGGCGGCGGCGGCGGCGGCGGTGGTGGTGGTGGTGGTAGTGGCGATGTGGACATTCTTGGGAATACGATGAGATAGTTTTGAACATGGGAAAGGTAGCAAAAAAGAAAACTGATGAACATAGATAATTGCGTGGGTTTTCCAGCTCTATTGGTCAACTGTCTCATCGTCAATGGGGGCATTCATTTATCAAGATATTACCGAGATCTTTATTTTCTAGACAAGCAATTAGAAAGATTAGAACTAGATTGTCAGAAATTGATTATTCTTTTATTGAGATGATGTCGCATGTCATTCTTCGCGGGCACTGGAAGGCACAATGAATGACATACAATATGCCATGTTGCAGTGGTCATGTAGCTACAGAATGAACGTTTCTCGTTTAAAGATTCCATTCTAGGGATATTCTCTCATGCTGATGTGATATTGCCTATAATACAAATATCCTTCCTCAAAATTCTCATGAAATTGATCAGTTCTCAACCCACTCGCCGCCGATCCATCTGTTGAGGAAGTCGAGTGATGCCTCGGGTTGGTTGTATGGAACCTGTGACAGAAGGTTAGCATGCACCATGACTGTCGTTGAATCTGATCTAGACTCACCATGTGTCCAGCAGCATGGATTCGAATGAACGTGAAGTTGCCTGCCGACTTGACAGAGCCAGTCTTAGTGCTGTCATCGGAGAGCAGCGTGAGATCCTCCATTGGGGCCTTCACGTATTCCTTCTGGCCTGGCCACTCGAGTGCATTGGTCCAAGCGAGGTTGCCGAGCCCTGTGAGTACTCGTTAGCATGAATCAAGGCGGAAGTCGTATGAGAGGTACTACTTACAATTGCAAATGAAGTCAGCATCACCAGCGTAGATCAGAACTGGAATCTCCTTGAGAAGTCCTGGTACCAGACGGTGGAATGGCTGCATCCAGTCACCATTGAACAAGAAGTTGCGGTTGATGTCCATGTTGCAAGAGTCGTAGCTGCTGACCTCAGCACCCAGTGCCTTCATCACGTCGTCACGGTTGAGGTACTCTGAGATCCAGTCGAGCTCATCGTAGCAAAGGTTGCCACCCTTGCACTTCTCGCGAACATCGTATACATTTTGTCCGGTGCGCTGGAACGGACCAATCATAGCATTATTGCAGTAGATGCTGGCTGGGACACAAGACCAGACAGACTCGCTCTTGTAGCAGTTCTCGATCAGGCTTTGGCATCGTGGCAGAGCATTATCCATGCTCTGGCAGGAAGACTCGTCAAGCACAGCTGGCCAGCCACCATCGCCACATGCCATTGGGCGGTAGTATTCGTACTGGGTCAAACCATCGGTGAGACCGTTGCCGATCAAGACGGACTGAAGGTTGATGTTGCGGTTCTTGTGGGACAGAATCTCTGAGGCAAAAACTGGGATGTAGTGACCGGCGTATGATTCACCGGAGATGTGGAATGGCTGCTTGGCATATTCTGGGAACTGCTTGAAGAAGAGGGTCAAGAGGGCGTAGACGTCCTTGCCGGCGGCTACGGTGCTGCTGACAGCGTTGCCGGAGTAAGAGTAGCCCACGTTGACTGGCTGGTCGAGGAAGATGACAGAAGCATTGGCATTCCAGCTGGATGGGTTGTACGCTGGCTTGCGGTCCTTGCCGATGAACGAAGGGCCAAGCTCCATGAACAGACCAGTCAAGCTGGAACAACCTGGACCGCCGTTCAACCAGAGCACGACTGGGTCGTTCTTGGGGTCATTGCGAGACTCAAAGAACCAGTAGAAGAGATGCTTGTCATCCTCCTCGTTGTCCAGGTAGCCAGAGTACTGCTTGACCTTATCAACGCCGAGGCTCTTTGGGTCTACCTTCTTGGTACGAAGGTTGAAGTTCTCCAGTTGACCATCAATCTCACGCTGCTTTTCACCCTTGGCGTTTGTTGTGAAGAGCTGCTCGATATCCTGACCCTTGGTGTGGAAGTCCCACTCGCTGTCGTGCTTTTGGGTGTGAGCCTTGGGCATGGAAAAGAACGATGCCTTAGACATTTCTTCTGGGAACAGCATTGCTACCTCGTCCCAGACTTCCTGTGCGTCTGCAGTGAGGTGCTTGAGCTCGTCTTTCAGGTGCTGGAGTGGCTTGGACCAGTCTGACACCTTGTCGCCTGCAGCCTGGAACGCGTCCTGGACGACTTTGGGTGGCTGGAGAAGCGGCTGCTGCTGCTGGGTGATGGCAGCAGCAGCTCCTCCGATGAGGAGTGCGGAGGTGGCGACCTTCATGGTGGAGGGTCAGACAGTATACGGGAGATGAGGGAGTGTATGGGAGAGATGTTGTAGAAGAGAAATTGGATGGGATGGAATGGGATGGAAGGAGAGGAGATGGGAAGAGTAGTCAGAGGGCAGGCACGCGGGCGTTACGTTGGTTGCATCCGTATCAGGTGTCAGCCTAGCAACCGTCATAGGCTGTCCTATCCTGTCCTGTCCTGTGCATGGGCCGACATTGGGTCCTGGCGCAAGCTTATCGCAGGGTTCCAATCGCAGGCGGAGTCGGCGTTTGCGGCTCTTGGCATCCGCCCTCCAATTCCCTGCAGCTGGTGACTGTGGTCATGCTTTACTCATCTCGATTCGATTTATTCTGCCCGTCACCATAATTCGATAAACCTCACCCACCTCACATTGGCGATTCGGCCCCTCCGCACACTCTCTATACCCATAAGCCCGCTAGCAGCTTAGCAACAACAGCAGACTCTTCCACAGGAGTCTTGTGGTCGAACACCGAAAATCCGCAAATAGAACCCCGCAGACGTCGACGAAATAATGCCCGCCGCCCAAATCAATCAACCCTCGAACCAGATCAAGCTCACCAACGTGAGTCTGGTGCGCATGAAAAAGGGCAAAAAGCGCTTCGAGGTCGCTTGCTACAAAAATACCGTCACTTCATTCCGCGCTGGCAACGAAACAGATCTTGACAACGTTCTCCAAATACCGAATGTCTTCCTCAACGTCAGCAAAGGCCAGGTGGCCAACAACGAGGACATTAAGAAAGCCTTCCCTGGGATGACGAGAGATGAAGTTGTGTTGGAGATCCTCAAGAAGGGCGAAATTCAGGTCGGTGAAAAAGAGCGATCACAGGAGTTGGACCGCGTGCACAAGGAAGTGATAGACATCGTGGCTGGGAGACTGGTCGATCCTAAGAGTAAAAGAGTCTACACCACTGGCATGATCGAAAAGGCATTGGATCAGCTCAGCAGTCAAGGTGGACACGCAGGGAGAGCAGCAGGAAAAGCCGGGCCAGCAGGAGGCGATAGAAGTCAGAGCAGAGAACAGAGCAGCATATCAGCTTCCGGATCAGGCACGACGACACCTGCGAAGAATGGAGAGGCTACGGAAGTGAAGCCAGTGGAAGAAAAAGCCAAGCCCAAATGGACAGGCGTGGTAACGACGAGGAGCGCAAAGTCACAAGCGCTCGACGCCATGAAGGCTCTGATCGCACACCAACCAATCCCTGTCGCAAGAGCGAGAATGAGACTACGAATAACATGTCCGACGGATGTGCTGAAGCAGAATGTAAAGACGGCGCCCAAAGCTGAAGGAGAAGAGGCAACGACAGGGAGCGTGAAGGATAGAATCCTGTCCTTTGTGGAGCAGGTGGAGACGGAGGAGAACTCGGGCAAAGAGTGGGAATGCATAGGTTTCGTGGAGCCCGGAGCATACAAACTTCTCAGCGACTTCATTAGCACGCAGACGAAAGGGAAAGCGAGAGCAGAGGTTCTGGATACCACTGTCACGCATGAGGATTAAATGCATTATGGAAAATGGAAAGAGGGATGCCTTGACGAATGATCGATACCTACATCATGGAGCGTTCGAGCGCTAGTATTAGAAAAAAGCATTTTTCAGAGATTTGGAGCAATTTTCACGTCACAGGATAAACATCTTTCACCTGCCTAGGTACCAGGTAGGTATACATTACATGTGCCTCCCTCCGAAATACACCACACTTGCGCATTAGGTATTCCATGTAAGGGTATGCCTGACCTTACAGTCGGCTGTTATAGAATTCTGCAGGTGAAATCACTTTTTCAGGCACGTTTTCAAGTCAATACCTTGCAGTACCTACGGAGTACCTATCACACTGTACCTAACCATACATAAACCCTATGTATGATAAGAGTATCTTAGGATCGTGCAGTTAATCTGTTACCTACCTAGGTACCTACCTACCATGTATCACTACCTTACTCTTCTAACCCACTTTCAGACAGTGATTGATTGACATCCACATTCTTCCCTAGTAGTTGTAAGTACATATATCTACCTAAGGTACCTAAGGTAGGCTTTCGTTGGTGCTGGTTCGAAGTTCCAACAAAAGGCTAAAGTATCATGATGTTGTACCTATGCGTTTTATTACATCGTCAGACATATATAACCTTGATGCTGCGAGACAGGACAGGATCCGTCCTTGGCTACCTTCTCGACTCGACCTGGATCATCAACGCGGAAGAGGAAAGGGTGAACAGGCACAGCTGATCATATCGGCATATCGTGGCGTGTAGACTCTTTAAAATCGGACTAGTTGGCTTGTCGCCTCGCGAAGCTAGGTACCTACTTTCATTATGAAGGGTCTTCGCTATCGACCCAGCCGAGTCGTTGTCCCATCTTGACCTTCATACCCTTTTCAATGCACCACTGCCAACCTCCTTTCCTATTCTCCTCTGTACCCATGAAGCCCTCATCGAGGGTCGGCCTCCTCCCCTTGGGTGCTTCAAACACCATCACAATGGTACTGCCCAACTGGAAGCCACCCATCTCTTCACCTCTCCTGAGAGCATGACCCCCTAAAACTGGACTGGCACTTTCGTACGTAGCTTCCGCATAACCAGAATATGGCTCACCCCGCTCCTTCGCCTCTTCCGCGGCCTTATCCGCCATTGTATCAGTGAGCAAGCTATTCGTTCGCAGCTCCTTGTCGAAGTTCACCACGATCGATCCGACGTTTGTGGCTCCGACTGGAGTATAACTAAAGAAGCCATACTTCCATCGCCCCAGCAGGACAACGCGCTCGTTCAAGGTGAAAAGACCTGGCAGAGACTTCACCAGGTACGGACTGACGCTGTACAGTTCTCCTGCGAAATGACGTCTGCTTTCCACGACCCACGAGACTGGCGAGTGGAAGCGATGGTAATCCCCAGGTGCCAGGTAAACGACGCAGTAGTACAGTGCTGTGGGCGTCTCCGGTCTGTCAGGATAGTACCATGGCCGAGGTGCAGTGGGACCACTGGCTAGATCCTTGGCCACCTCTTGCTCTGAAGACGAAGAAGACTTGATGGACTGATCTGACAGCGCTACCGGAAAATCTTTACTGCCTCCAACACTGACTTGAGCATCTGCATTGGCAGCAGCATCCTTCATTCTCGGCTTCTTCCACCAACTTCTGCCCTGCTTTCCTGCTGCAGCCCCGGACAGCAGATTAGGCAGTGTATATGAGATGCCGTTCACGCGCGCAAATTCCTCGTCATCGCGAATGACTTCCTCGTCGCCATGATTTTGGCGGTCGGACGAGACATCAGGTGAACCTTTTGAGCCGGTGGTATTGCTGCTGGCACGTCCGCCGCTCGTGGGCTGTTCCCCTAGCAAAGCATCCACTTTGTATGTCACACCCTTCACCTGCTCCACCTCGCCGTGTTCGATCACTCCGAACTGCACAACTTTACCATCTGCTGGAGATAGCAAGGCATTGGGATGCGGATCCAGCGGTCGCACTCCAGGCTTCAGAGTACGATAAAAGAACTCTGACAGGTTTCTGTATTTGTGGAGGTCTGGCTCGGCAATCTCGTCAAAATTGACACCGAATATCCAGCCGTACAGCTTAAAACCAGGCACTCGCAGATAGTATGGGATATCAATGCTGTTCATATATCCCCACCATCGACTCACCGCCTTGAGCGGAATTGTGCTCATAATCTGTACCGTCCATGGTCCTGACGGCCGTATCCGCTCGCGACGCTTTGGCTTGCCTACGTCTCCCGGGTCATCCTCTGTCCTCTCGCCATCGTCTATTCTCCTCCTCTCACGATCATTGTTTCGGTAGAGCTGGAAGACGCCGAGGAAGACTATGCCCAGGCCAATGGGAATCGGCTTCCATACGACGGGCGTGCTGTTCCAAGCATCACGCAGTCGGGAGCTGAAGGAGGACTCACGATGCTGTTGGTGGTGCTTGCATGTGCGGGAAAAGGATCGGATTTGCCGTGGCGATAGTCGCGAGGGAAAGGGAATGGTGCGCAGCAGAACCTGCGAGTTTCGTGCGACTGTAGGTGGCATGTTGGTGGAAAGGGCCGTGTCAGCTCATCATATCATATCGTCCACATGTCTCTCTCCTCCCGGCGTCGGAGAATGAACAGGTACAGGAGAGCAAGGCAAAACAACCAAAATGATCGGTCGAGAATATGACGATGTCATGCATGCCATGCTTCGACAACCCGGCACGACGGGAGTGTGAGGCTCGGGACGCGTAGAATGCGGCTGGAACAAGCTCAAGCCACGGGACACGGGAGTGTGAACAGCTGGCGAGGCTCAAGGCAAGCACGCATAGGTACTTCTAGAATGTTTCCAGTTGTGACCACAAGAGCGATGACTACCACTTCCGCCCAAGAAGCTGCCACTGGAGTTCATTATCGCTAACAGCCTTTCCCTCGACACATATTCGTAGTGAAGATGTGCACACCTACACGATTGGCCACACATTGATCATCCACTTCGCAAGCAGATACAGCCATGGCGCCGCCAGCAGACGCTCCGACCACAATTACGCTACGCATCAAGGTGCCGCCAGGACATATCGAGGGTGCTGCAGATGAATTCACGCTGGGAGCCGATGTCCCCGTCAGCGCCTCTATTGGCGAGATCCGAGAACGAATCCAACGAACAGTTGCCTCCCACCCAGCACCGGAACGGCAGCGAATACTCTATGCGGGGCGAGCATTGGTGGATAATGAGCAGACGTTGGGAGATGCGCTGAACATTCGAAGAGATCCAACACAGACGGAGTATGTCGTGCACTTGCTCGTCAAGGGCGACGGTACCGCTGCTACGACGCCATCTCGTGCCGGGAGCCACAGTGCTGCTGCTCGCAGTTCAGGTGCAGCGTCAACAGGTCCACCTCACACCAATGGGAATGGGATTGGAAGCACTCAACAGCCTGCGCTTGGGCAACAAAGAACGGCCCAGGATAGCTCAAACATCGCTCAGCTCCTTCAGCAGCAGCAAGCAAGGCTCATCGCTCAGCAGCAACAATTTGTGCACGATGCCCACCACAATCGCTTCGCTGCCGGTCAAGGTCAAGGACAACAAGGTCAAGGCGGCTTACCCGCTGCTATGCTTGTGCCACCAGCACAGCAGTATGGTCATCATGGACTAGGAGCGCATCTTGCGCCGCATCTGCCACCATTCATACCACAAGCACACTTTGCACAGCCAGGCCTTCAAGCAGCGCACACCGATGCCACAGCAGAACGACCGTCTTCCCCGGCGCCGAGTCAAGCTGATAATCAGCAGCGCAGTGCTTCCCAGCCTCCGCGTCGACCACACGGCCAAGGCGTGATCCTCGAAGGCAGAGGTCCCAACGGAGAACGCTTCCATTTCCAGCAGCATATTCAACTTGGTCCGCAAATTCCTGCTCTTGGTTTGCCTCACATGCCCCACTTCGGTCAGCACCTACCGCCACCGCCACCGCGACGGAATGGGCCCAGTGCTGTCGAGCAGGCTCGTGACAACCTTGCTGAAATGCGACGTATGCTGGCCGACCTCCGCGGACTTGATGGAGCAACTGATGAGCAGCGGAGTCGCATTGAGCGATTGCAGCAACGCACTGAAGAAGTGCAAAGCTTCGTTGACCCATTCAATATTGGCGGCTCTACTGCACCTGCCGCCACAGCTCTGAATAATTTGCGTGCTTCAGGTACCGCGCAAGGCATGCCCGTGCCACGTGCAAGCTCGCAACTGCCTTCAATATTCGGCACCTCAGATATCCCGCACTTCATACAGCAGCCCAGCCCCACCTCAAGAACGCCTGCCGATGTAACGTGCTACTTACTATCCTCGCCTGCTGGACCTCAGGCCATCTTATACTCTCCGCAGCACGGGACTTATACTGGTGGTGTGGCGCCACAGCCGACACGTACAACGCAGCCAGCACCTATGACCGCCAATGAACGGCCTCTCGCCGATCAGGCTCAAGCTGTGGCTGCTCAGCCCGTCGTAGCCCAAGCTGCAGCTGTACAACAGGACAATCTTGGTGCTCTAGGTCCACTCATCAATCATATGTGGCATCTATTGCGTGTGCTCATCTTCGCATACTTCATAATCGGAGCAAATCTTGGCTGGCGACGCCCTTTGGCTATGCTGGCAATCGCCATTGGCTTCTGGTTACTTCGGCAGGGACCTCTCGGCGAGGGTGGCGTACTGCGGCGCTGGTGGGATGGTATCGTCAACCAAGGTCAGCGTCCAGTGCCAGTTGCGCCAGGAAATAATGGTCAGCAGCAAGGACAAGTTCAAGCTGGAAACATGAGACCTGGCCAGATGCCAACTCCAGCACAAGTCGCACAACGACTACTTGACGAAGACCGACAGCAGCGGAATAATCGATTGTCCTGGCTCAGAGAGCAAATCCGTCCTGCCGAGCGAGCACTTGCACTTTTAGTTGCTAGCCTGTGGCCTGGAGTGGGCGAAGCCTATGTTAGAGCTCTCGAGGCCGAAGAGCGGCGAAGAAACGAGGAAGAGGTTGCTGCACGTAGGCGGGAGGAGGAAGAACGGCAGCAGCGGGAGGCGGAAGAGAAGAAGAAAGCCGAAGAAGCTGCAACAAGTACGGAGACTAGAAGCAGCTCTGGGGTTGCGATCGCTGAAGGGGGCCCCAGTACGACTGTAACGGCAGATGGGAGCGATAAGAATGACGCTTCAGAAGAGAGCCGGGCTGCAGCTTGATACGAGCAATTACTTTACACCCTTATGGCTAGGACAACAATCGTCGAATAGCGGGTATGCTGAAGGCTTCGGTCATTATGGCTCTCTGACCTCGATTTGCACTCTCGTGTCAACCCTTTCAGCTTCTTCTTTTGCGTTGATTCCGCTGTGACCTAGTGGCATGACCTGTCAGCCGAGTGCTGCGATTTAGTGACAAATACCACGAGTCCCGTATCAAGCACTTGTTGGGAAGCGATTGACGTACACTGGGAATCGCCATGGCTGCTTGGCTAGCAAGTCTCTAAATGCAAGGCCTGGAGGAAAAGGTTCTGCGACTGCGAGGCTCATTAGGCAGACTTGGTAAAAGGCAATTCTATCGCGGCCTGATCATACCGTGAAAAAATATGCTTTGGTCGTAATCATATACAGAGCATTAACCCGTCGCTGAACGTGATGATCGGATTGGCGTTGCTACATGCGCATCTGTCTCTTCGAGTACGCTATAACACTGACCCAGGCTTCATGACAGTAGTAATATGCCACCATCGAGCCCGCCAATTTCGTCGTGGTTGTAGTTGTAGCACTAGACGCCTTTTCCCACCATTCATCGCCACAAAGAAATCCCAGAGGCGAAAACCACTATCCCTTCTTCTTGCTGACACCGACGGTTCTGCCGCGGCGGCCAGTGGTCTTGGAGTGCTGTCCACGGACACGCAGACCCCAGTAGTGACGCAGACCCCTGTGGGCACGAATCTTCTTCAGTCGCTCCAAATCATCACGGAGCTTGCTGTCAACTCCGTTGGCAAGCACTTGGCCATCCTTGCCATCGACAATGTCACGCTGTCTGTTCAAGAACCAGGTTGGGATCTTGTACTGGGTTGGGTTCTGGAGGATGGTGACGATGCGCTCGAGTTCTTCGGAGGTAAGTTCGCCGGCGCTGTGGTATGTGGGTTAGTGAGGGTCCATGATGCTCATTCGATGGTCGGGAGAGAAATATCGTGTGTGTGGAGTTCGAGAGAGATGTACCGCTTGTTAAGATCGACATCGGCCTTCTTGCAGACCAAGTTGGAGTATCGACGACCGACACCCTTGATCTTGGTCATGGCGTACATGACCTTCTCCTTTCCATCGACCTGTTGAATTGCCCGTTAGTCTCCGTTCTCCCCATTATCCCTTATATTCCCCTTCACTGGTGACCAGGATTTCGCATGCCCGCGAGCGGCAAAATAGACATGGCGGTGGTGGCGGCGGTGGTGATATGTACGCACGTTGGTGTTGAGGAGACGCAGGATGAACTGGAAGTTCGACTTCTCTCCGGTGACGAGAGACATGCTGGGCGGTTGGCGCTGGGCGTTGACTGTCTGGCGATGTTCACGACGAGAAGCCAATTCGATGTGTAGTGGAGTGCGGCCGAATTCTGTGTCGTGGCTCCTTCCGTGTGGCTTGGCGTCACGTGCAATGGCAGACATCACTTCGTTACTGACATTTCGCGGCCAACTAAAAATGATATGCACCACGCACACGCTCTAATACTGAGATGGAGTCCGTATGAAGAATACAATCAGTCTGATTCTTCTATCGGAATGGTTGAGTCCACAGATCTACCCCTGATTGAAGATGAGAATTCGACTCGCTCCGACAGAAAATCACTTGCATAAAAACTACACTCGATAGGAAGTGAACACTATTGTAGGCGGACACAGAGGCTTCTCGTTGGAGCTTTCTTGGAAATACCTTCTGGGGCCGGCAATACACTGGCATTTCTATGCTTTGCAGATATCAAGCTGTTTCCGACTCATGGACGTCACTTTTTCGTTACATTTGCAATCACGTTTGATGCAGAACTTCCACCTCTTCCTTCTCTGGAGAGTTTCAGTCTCGCCGTCACCCGGACAGACTTCTACGGGAATACGGTCATGTTGCGATTGGAGTGGCGAGACCACAGCAGTACCGACCCGATCCATTGCATCCAAGCTTGCTGCAGGTTTCGAGCACGATCAGGTACGAAATTTGTTTTTGCTCGACCAGGTCAGAATGTTCGTACTCGTAGCTCGTTAGCCCGGGGGACGAACACGAGGACACCCGTGGATGGACAGTCTCGGCAGCAGTCAGAGTATTCGAAGCGAATCAGATGCGTTTCTGTGCCATTCCTCGAGGCTTCGCGCTACAGCAGTATTAGTAGGCCCTTGAAAGCTCGCATTACCAGGAGAATATTGACAACAGCACTCGCCGACGAGCAAAGGCTTTGATCTGCTGACACAAGTTGGCCACATATTGATACTACTTGCGCGCGCGACGTACAGCAAAATGCCGAAGCAGAACTATACCTTAAAGTTCTGTGATCCGGTTCGCTTATATACAGGCATGCATATGGTTCTCACGACCCCTCACACATTAGCAGGTGAGACTGGATATCCGACACAGATACGTGGAGGCTGATACGGACTTGGAAAAGCAGAGATATTGACAACATCACAAGCCAGACTGATTTGGGCTGTATCGTCACTGGCAAGCTACGATGCGGTCACTGAGCTCTTTCACGACGTCCGAAATTGCACGTACTCTAGGGAGAATAGAGAATAAGCACTGGAGTCTGTCAGGTATAGCATGCGCTCCAATTGAGGAACGACCGAGATGGCCTGACAGGCAACACCAAATCTACCTGCGAAAACATGCCGGCACAGATTATGCGAAACCTAGGCTCATCCTCCTCCAAAGAAGCCAAGAGGCTCCTGCAAGCATCACACTTGCCATCGGCCAGGACGCTTTTCGCAACGTCCATTTCGCGATCCGCAACCTCGCGTACATGAGTAAACCCTTCGCCACATCATCTCCCTGATTCGAATGAGGAAACGGATCGTCTGGCACAGGTTTGCCCAAAAAATTGCAGAGCGGCTCCCACCCGTGACTCGGCTCCCACTCGAGCAGATTCTCCTTGGGCACGATCGCCCGAATATGCGCATTGTGTCGATCAAAAGCTTCGCTCAGTTTCTGCCGGCTGCGCCAATCACCACCCGTCAAGTCGCGCAGAACCAGTTCGAACACTTCACTCAACAAGCTCAGTGGCTGTGGGATAATGTATGTCAGCCTCTCACGCATGAGACCAGACGGACAGTGGGAGCTAGCTATTTATACTTACCAGATCTAGAATTGACGCGATGCGGAAGACGGGGGACTCCAACACAGCATGATAACTGCGAACCATGGACTCTAACCATCTCTCCGGATTTCGTGTGCTGAGAACTACTTTGGCGCCAGGATAGGCCGCTATCAAGTCATCCGAAAAATTGACAGCAGGTGCATCGGTCACGGCCTATTTGTCCTTGGGTCAGTAATGTACCTGTACATGGCCATGACTTCTTCGAACGGCAATGATACGATATAAGGAGTTGTGTAGGTTACATAGCTCGCTTGCTCAACTGACATCATATCTCTGCAAAAGTTTGTAAAAATCCTCGTGTGAATATGGTTTCCCACTGCCATATAATTTGGCATAAAAAGCTTCTCGCCAACAGAGCAAATGTTTGTCTCGTAGGTTTTCCGGTTTGTGGATTTCTTTGAAATGATAGGTGCGGTATCCGAGCATTTTCAATGCGGTCCATATTGCTAGAAGGAAGGAAGGAAGAAAGAAGAACTGTTAGAATTTCTACTTTTTTTTTCCTTTTTTGGGATTGGAAAGAAGTGCCACACGATATCATATCACAAATGCACTCGCTCAATACATAGCTCATGAGAGTGAAATTTTTTGATATATGATATGGTACTTATTCTTTCTGGTCATGGTGGTGAAGACGAACACATGGTTCCTGTTCGGGAGAGACCGAGACATAACACCTGCATCTGTTGGGGAGGTTGCGTCGTCGTCGTCGTTTTCGGCTCTGGTACTTGATCGATCCATCTCGTAGACATGTTTTTTTTTTCTTTTTTTTTATCGTTTGCGAAATGTCAAATGTCCGCGGGGAGTGTATGTATAGAGCAAAAGAGACGAAAATCGAACAAAGTCGTATGTGTGAATTGTGTAACTGTGTTGTTTCTCCAGAGCTCGTAGCTCCCTCCTTCTCTCTCTCTCTCTCTCTCCACAATCCCAACAGAAGTTTCGCTTTGCACCCCAGACACTACACTACACTACATTATACTACACTACACTACACTACACTACACTATACTACACTACACTAAACTATACCATGTACACTATACCAAAGCAGCAACAGCAGCGGCAGGTCCACGTGCACCAACCATCCAATGAATCATCAAAATCATTCACACGATGTACATACGTACAAGTGGTATGTACACCTTGAGATCCCCCCTCCCTCCAGCTAGCAAGGGATAATAAATAGGCAATTAGGGCAATGCAAAAACAAAATACCGAAGCGCTAAGAAAAAGTATCCCCTTGAACCTCACACACCACTACGCACGTACAGGTAAGGTACTGACTACTACAGTGGCGACACCTCGTACCGGACAGCGGAAACTCGCCTCTACTTTTACCAGGTATATAGTTATACCGTACATTACTAGGTAAGGTATGATTCGATCTTGTCGGTATATACTATATACCCTACCTTACTGTACCTCATCATGTACATGGGTTCTCTCACAAGTCCCGGCGGCTTTTTTGCATCATCAAAAAACGTGCCACAAGCCTCATCATCAAGGTACAGTGGTTGGGACACAAGGTATACAAGGTATACAACTACCTAGGTAGCCTACCTATCTAAGGTAGTATCTAGTATTCATTCACCAACACCCGATACACACTACAAGGTATATATACCCACCGCTATACATACGTATACACAATCCGTGGACCCTGTCAATACTGTGATGGGGGAAAACAAAGTGGTGGCATGGTGCCTTGTCCAGAACTGTAAATACCTAACATTGTGATGAAAGTGAAAAGAAACAACAACAACAAACAGTGTATGTATGTGTGTAATGACGGAGTACCTAGACCTGAAGCAGGGCAGGCTACCTCAGGTCAGGTACATTGTAAAGTATGCCACCAATAGGAGCAGCACTACCTTCAAACTTACGTCCTACCTACCACTACTACTAGGGCTGGGAAGCCCTTTTTGTGTCGTATGATGTATGTACGGGCATGTAAGGTACATGTAAGGTACAGTGCAGTACGTATGGAATGTACTTGCGTCAAAGCCCTTTTTGTGTCGTATGGTGTATGTACATCGGATCTAGTCTAAGATGGGATGATCGCATGGTCGGGCAAGTCACAGATAGGAGTCCAAGAGGAAGAGGAGGAAGAGAAAAAAAGGGGGGGAATTCGAGAGAATGAAGGAGGGGAATGAATGAATGAATAGGCGGGCGAGAGGGAACAGCAGCAGCAACAACAACAACAGCTTAAACAAATCACTTCATTTCCTGATCATACTATACTATCCTATCCTATACCATCCTACTCCCCCTTCCTCGCAGTCGCATCTCTCAACCGACACAAAACACCCTCATGTCCCGGCCCAGGCCCACACACCAGGGTAAAATTATGATAATCCCTCAGAGGATCAACATCGAGCCCCTCAATGGCATCAAATTTCTGCAACATGCGTACAATCACATGTCCCGCCTCCGTCAAGGCAAACTGCTGACCAATACAAATTCTCGGACCGCCATTAAAAGGCGCATAGCTCCATCCGGGACGCTTCTTCTCCCACCGTTCGGGGACAAAGTCGTCGGCGTCGGGGCCCCAGAGGTCGTGTCTTCGATGGAGGACGTGAGTACTAAAGCGGACTTCGCCCCCGGCGGGGATGAAGATGGGTGCTGTGCCGTCCGGTCCGCCGCCGGTGGGGAGGGTGGTGTCGCGGATGGCAGTGCGTCCGTTGAAGGGGACAATGGAGTGTAGTCGTAGAGTTTCATTCATGACGTGCTGCAAGTATGAGCAGCCTTTGAGCTTCTCAAAGGTGATGTTTGCCTCGTCGAAACCGTCTGGCCCGAACGTGTCCAGTATGATTCTACGGAGCTTGTGGAACACGCGGTCGTTTCGTATCAGGCAGTAGAATACCCAGCTCAGGAATGATGCTGTCGTGTCTCGGCCGGCGGCGAGTAATCCCAAGACTTGCTCGCGAACTTCCGAAGGATCGGCTGCGCGAGAACGGAGCACGTCAAGATAATCATAGTTCTTGCCATCGGCTTGGCGATTTTTGTAATCCGCTTCGTCCATGGCTCGATCGCAGAAGTCATTCAAAATCTGGACAATCTCCTTAATCTCTCGGTTGCCATATAGCCAATACAGGCCCTGCAGTCGGATGCGGATTCCCAAGATCTGCTGGACTCGTTCGAATGCCCAGTGGAAGTCTTTGCCTCCGTCTCGACCTGCAAGCCGGGCGTCCAGTGAGTTTGTGCTTTTTCCCAGGAATAACTCTGTTGCAGAATCGATCGTCAAGCAAGGAAAGAGCGTGGCCAGACTGACAGGCTTGGTCCAGCCATCCGAATTCACGGGCATGCACTTGAACATCACCTTCAAGTGTCTCTCCAGCAAGGCAAGATCCGACACGTTTTCGCGTGAGAAGATTGGCCGGACCATCTCTCTGGAGCTGTGCCATGCGTCACCTGTTGAAAAGTGATCAGATCATGTAACTCACTGCTCATGCATGAGGGGCAAACTTACCATCTACAGTAAAGATGCTTCTGCCAAGTACCAATTTCAAATTTGTCTCTCTCACTCGGCCCATACGGAAGTCCGCGAACTGCGTAGCGAGTATTGCTTTGATGTTCTCCGGGTCCGCTGTGAGTATGTTCGACTGTCCCAGCACTTGCACAAGGAAGGTATATCTGCCCATTCTATTGAAGCGTTCGACCATAAAATCAGGCGTTCGTTGTTCTCGATCCGCCTTCATCATGTTTCTGATCGTGTCGATGCCCAAGGGCCATTGTGCTGGTTCTATTGAGGCTGGCTGACAGCCAAGTGCTCTCGCTTTGGAGGATTGCTTGAACTTGCGCACAGCATTGCTGATAATGCGCAGGAGTATCGCTATTGTGGCAGCTGTAAGCAAGACTGATCCTACGTTGTCTGCAATCATGATGAAAATGGAGCTGGAATGGGTTGACGGCTAACAGAGTGCGTTTGATGCCGCAATGCATCTGCCGCACTGCTTCGTGTTGCCTTCGGAGCGCCAGTTCATCGTGCTCCATCTCGAGCATAACATTGGTCGCTTCGATGACTGAGATGTCGAGCCGCCTCGTACGCGACCGCTACATACTACTCAGACCCCTGCACCACGCTTGTCCTGGTCTGCTGGCACGGGCAGTAGGATCCTGTCTAGTGTCAGTGCCAAGTGGTGTGTATACACACACCCTTGCGAGATGTTCGGTAGCACAAAATTCGGCACGCCACAGCGAATATGTTCGGACCCTGGTAATGACTACTCACTATATGTTCAAACCTCGGTGACCCACAATTTGATTCACAACCAACATTACTAAGGGTTGAGCATTTCGGACGCGGATTATAATGATGCTTCGCTGATCGAATGGCAACTAGTACGACCGGAGCATTCTCCACGGCCGGGAAGACGTCGTGTGATGGATGGGACAAATACAGTAGGTGACAAAGTGGACGAGGAGCGGGATCGAACCCAGCCCCGATTCAAGACCTTACTGTCAGCTTCACCATCAACGGTGTCTGTTCCCATGTGAGATAGCTCTTCTGACTTGCTGTCCATTCTTGCGCCTGGGCTGTAATCTCCACATCGAAGGTGTAGAGAAGTCGGGCCATGAGCAGGCGCATCTCTGCATGTGCAAGACTATTCAATATCAGCGCAGTAGCACGTGTTAGGGTGATAGGTCCTTACTTGGTGCCAACACATCCCCTGGGACCATAGGAGAAGGGCTGGGCAGAGGCTCGATCATCTCGCTCAAACTCCGATTTCTGTGGCAGCTCCAGCCATCGCTCAGGCAAAAATGTTCTGGCCCTGGCGAAGTTCCAGTCCGCAAGTCCCGCTGATAGTTGATGCACGCCGACTGCTGTGCCGCCAGGTACCCATGCGCCCTCAATGACCTCGCCGTCTGCTGGCACCCACCGTGGTAACGTGGACGGGTTCGGCGGATGCATCCGCATTGCTTCCTGGATGCAAGCAAAGAGGTACTCGAGCGTTGCAGCAGATTTGATTGTGATACTGCTTTCGTCCAGGAAGGCGGCTCGTACCTCGTCGACGGCAAGGGCAAGCTTGTCTGGGTGACAGCACAAGAAATAAGTGGTCGCAGAGAGTGCTCTTGCCGATGTTCCAGACCCTGCGACGACGAACGCGCTCGCCATGATGACGAGCTCAGACACCGAGAGTGGCTCTGATCTGTTATCCAAAATATGTGACATGAAGTCCATTCCCATGTCTTTCTCCTTCAGACGACGCTGCACCTTGCTGCCAAGCATCTTCATATGAGCTTGTCTCGAACGAGTCATGACCGAGGGCCCCACACGTGCGATCAAGCCATCAAAGCCATAGTAAATTGCAAATTGGAACCACCGAATAGTCTTTGCTCTTGCGCCCATGACTGTGAGCCAAGGCTTGTCCGGATCGTTGAGGCAGCCATCCGCGTGACCAAAGGTCAGCTCTGTGATAATGTCGTATGTAGTGAGCGAAAACCATCTCCCAATGTCCAGAGGCTCCCCCCGGTTGCATCGTTCGCGCAAGCATCGCATCAAGCTGTCGCTGTGCTTCTGTAAGCAATGCTCTTGCTGGCTTAGTGCACGTTCCGAAAAAGCTGGCGCGATCGCTCGTCTGAGGCGACGGTGTTTGAGCGTTTCCGCAGCAATGATGCCACGCAAATGCGCTTCCTTGGTCACAGGAGCAATGCCGCGCCCATCCAGACACTTGGAGAACTCGGGGTGCGTCTGACCATAAATCTTTTTCCATGCCTGTGACGACGTATACGACAGCTCATCGGGCGCAATGCGCACGGTAGGACCGTGTTGTTCATGGAGCGCGTGAATGGTACGAGCCAAGTCGCCGCGAATGTTGTGGACGTGCCATGGCAGTCGTGAGATGGCCCAGAGTTTCGGGCCCGGAAATGCGCGAAGTGGGTGGAGGTAGATTCTGTACAGGGCGCGTCCGATGAAGAAAGACGTCGCCTGAGACGCTTGAGCATTGGCTAGAGCTGATGCGATCAGAGCATTTCATAGAGAGTCGTGCTTACCGCCAGGCATATCACCGTGAGAATGGTCGTGGCTCGCGCTCCGTCCGGCGTCATGTTGCCGCGTGAGAACACCGATGCAGACGACGACGACGACGACGCCGCTGCTGGCAATCGGGATAGTCGAGGCTCTCCGCTGGTCATCGTCCGGGACGGGAACAGCTGTACAACTCGTAGAATGTCGTCGAAGTCGAGGTGACAGCGAAACGATGGACGTCCGAGACCATTTTCGGCCCCGTTCCGCCTCGTTCTCGGGTATTTGGGAGAGACCACTTCCTGGGTCCCTTGACCTAGTCGATGATCGCAGTGGAGCGCAAAAATAATCACCGACAGACACGGCCTACCTGCCTCGGATGCCCTGAGTAGTGCAAGTACTGTAGTTCTGCTGGGGAGTCCACATGCTGAGCAGTCAGGAATGGAACTACCGAAAGTACATATGTACCTAAGGTACCTAGGGTAGATAGGTACTCATCTCTGGGATACAACCAGACAGCACCACTTCAAGCCGCGTCTACCACAAGGGCCACAACTTGCCGGTGAAGCGTGATGGGGGGCTCAGACAAACGGCTGATACCAACTGAATGCACCATCAGGGTCGTATCGCTGTTTCAAAGCGCGTAGCCTCTGCAACCTCCATGGCTCATAGCCATACAGTGATTCTGGCGGATCTTGTACGGTTGATGTCGTGCTGCCATAATTGACGTACTGTCGAAGCTGACCATAGCCGGAAACTTGGACGAAGTTTTCCTTCCAGGCGTCTAGATGGGCCTCGAATGGGACGCGATCGTCGAGGGATTTCGGTGTTGCAGTCATCATCAGAAAGTGATCCGTTCCTCGCCACGGAAACGCTGTGGCATCGCTAGGAAGTGCTCGTGTCTGTTGGTTGGGTAAACATTCAAACATGGCGCCGAACCATCCTTTCCCCTCCCACTTCTCGTTCATTTCCTTGACACTTTCGAAGAATGCTTTGATCATGGGCAAGTCAAATGAGCGCACGCTCGCAGCGCTCATCATCTTGTAGGGCAAGAGCTTCCACACTTCCGGCTTCGACAGCCTCTTGTTCATACCCCCATACGTTTCCCACGGCAGATCATACCAAGACGTTGTCAGTGGGCCTGCGCGCACTGCAGGCTGGAGGCGCTCGAAACGCTCGATCCACACATGAGCCTCGTCTTCCGCACCTGACCATACCAGATTAACCAAAATGAGGTTCTTGAGGCCGACAGTAGGGTGCTCTCGTCGCCACAGCACGAAGATGGCCAGGTCGGCCGGCATGTCAGCATGCACCTCATTGATCGTGGCAAACACAGCATCGCACTGGTCGAGGTGATACTCCAAGTCCCACGAGCAATGTCTGCCGCGATTGGCCTCAGGGTATACGCGGAAGGTGGCCTGAAGGCAGATGCCAAAATTGTGACCGGCTCCTCGCAGCGCCCAGAACAAGAGTGGGTGGGAGTGATCGGTGACATCCACGACAGAGCCATCGGCGAGGACTAAGCGACAGGACAGCAGGTTGTCGTGCAAGTAGCCGTATTTGCCCTGCAGTCTGCCCAGCCCAGCACCAAACGCGACCCCAATCACACCTGTAGTCGGACACGATCCAATCGCTACCGTGCTCGTACACACGTGCCTCCGTGTCAGTCACTACTACCTTACGGTATACATGTACCTTCAGGTACTTTAAGGTAGGTACTGTGTATCCCATCCTATCGGTGCCTGAGGCAAAAGTAGGAGGTAACTGAAAAAGGTACTCACTGACTTCGCGCTCGTGGTCCTGCAGGAAGCGCACAAAGTCGTTCGTGATGACCCCGCCACCTACATCGTGACTGCCTGATTAGACGGAATCCGTGATGCTGGAAGGCAGGTGCGAGGCAAGTAGGTAGGAGGAAGGAAGAAGGCAGGAAGCAGGTGCTGTACCGATCGTCACTTCCGTCTTGGCATCGTTGTCGAACTCCACTTCAGCCAGCAGGCGCGTCAGCCTTCCACATCTCTCTTCAATTTCTTCCTCCTCCTCCTCCTCCTCCTTCATCGCACACTCACATTTCGAGAACGACCTCATGTCGATCAGGATCCCATCACGAACATGTCTCATCGACGTCGTGACGCAATGGTGGCCGGAGCGCTCCCAACAGTCAGTCCACTGAGCTCAAGCATCATCCCACGACGACAGCAACGACAGCGACGACAGCAACGACCTACCGCGGCAAAGGCAATCTTCCGCTCACGACAAAACTGCACTACGGCCACGACATCGTCTTGGGTGGCGGGCACGACAGCAGCCATATATGTCTAGAATGCGGATCAGTCGTGGCTGCTGGTCCGCGCACGTCGGGATAGGTACATACTGGCCTCCCATACTGCGTATATCGCAGATCTGAATAGGCAAAATCTTCTGTGCCTGAGGCAGCCACGCGAGCCTCACTTGAAAGCCTTCGGGAAAGCTCGTCGGCGAGTTCCATCTTCATCATGCTCTCCTCTGTCTCTCGATCGCAGACGTCGTCATGCCGGCATCTTATGCGCGTATTGAGAATGAAGCTACGAGACTACTACGACGCTTCGTACCGAGTCCCGGCTTCTCCCACCATGTGTCACCCAGGTTGTGGTTACTTATTATTGTACCCAGGCTTCATCATTGACGCTTGCGCCCCAGGCCCCCAGGCTTCAAGCCTCCAGCATCGCTGGTTTAAATTTCATACGCTAAATAATCGTCTAGGCCAGGGGCATTACGCCGGGGCCCGGCAGCCTAGGCAAGTACCTTAGGCGTGTGCTTCGCCGCATAATGGTCGGCAATAAGCTTTCGCACTCGCCATGGCGTATATCAAGTTAGGCTCCTACTGTATAGCACAGTATTGTACTAGCAATCATACTGTGTAGCAAAACACAGGCCACGAGCTTCTACTCATGTTCTCAGTCGCTGGCACCACTGATGATGCTCTGGGAATTATTCCGGCGCCTCGCTTGCATCTATCGGACACTAGCATCAAACTCATCCCGGCACACTTGGCCCTCCTGTGAGAAGGGAATGCTGAGCCCGTGTGGCAGCGTCGAGAGTCGAGACATGAGGAACAACATCTCTGATCACGCGTTAGCGTCTCTCGATCACCATGGAGCTCGACAAGTGTCGGAACTAATGAAGCGGAGTGCTGCTACGTCGAATGATATGTCCGCACAGCATAACGTGGTCTGCCATCATTCTATCGAAGAGGTCTCGATTAGGTGCATTCGTCGAGCACGACGAACACCAGCGGCGTTAATGTCGGCTGCCGCGATGTTCTCACATGACAAGCCACTCGCGGATATCAAGGTAAGGTAGTACATGTATTTGAAGACTTTCCTTTGATTCCTCGATTTAGTCGAGCCTTCTTCTGCAATCAATTCTTTCCAGACCCGCGTTCTACACTCGGACATAGTACATCTTTCAAGAATTTCTAATGCTTCCTGCTTGTTGGCAGTGACGCGACCAGGAACAGCTCGAAGAACATCTTAATCAATCTAGCCTGTTCGACAGAGCGCCACCATCACCATGGCAGAGACGTCGCCTATTGCTATTGTTGGCATTGCCCTCAGAGCACCAGGAGATGGCTCTGATCCTGAGCGATTCTGGCAGGTGAGCAACGATGATACAATGCGAAATTCAGCATGAAAATAACTGTATTCCAGATGCTACTGGATGCACGATCGGCACGATCGCGTATTCCTCAAGATCGATATGATATCGATGGATTTTACCACCCAGATCCGGATAGACTGGGCAGCATACAGCAAACGTATGTGTTTGTCCTAAGATTCATAGGAACACAGCTCATAGTTGTTCCAGCCATGCACACTTCCTGAAGCAGGACTTCAAGGTCTTCGATGCTCCATTCTTCTCCGTCACGCCGAAAGAAGCGAAGGCAATGGACCCTACTCATCGAATGCTGTTAGAGGCCACATACGAAGGCTTCGAGAATGGTGCGAGACAAAATTCCCATGCCCTGGATTTGATGCTGACGACCAGGCAGCTGGCATGACTCTAGATGATGTTTCTGGATCACATACATCAGTATACATCGGCACGTTTACAGGAGACTTTGGCAATCTGCAAGCTCGCGACAATGAAGGGCCGTCCATATACCACGCCACTGGTCTATCTTCGTCACTGGCCTCGAATCGTTTGTCCTGGTTCTACAACCTCCGTGGACCTAGCGTACGTGATAGAACGACAACGGTGATCCAGGACGGAATTCATACTGACCTATCGATAGATGACGGTGGACACGGCCTGCTCTTCGAGCTTGACGGCATTCCACCTAGCTTGCCAGAGTATCAGGACTGGCGAAGCTGAGATGTCGGTCGTTGCAGGAGCAAACCTGATGTTTGGACCAGACATGTCCATCCTGCTCGGAGCAGCAAAGATCCTTTCCCCTGATGGCAAGGTGTGTCCTACGCAATTTCCATTAAAAGAAGCGACTGACAGACATGAAGTCACAAATGTGGGACCACAAAGCCAACGGATTTTCCCGAGGTGAAGGTTTCGGCGTTACAATACTCAAACCCCTGCATGCTGCATTGCGGGATGGCGACACAATTCGTGCTGTCGTCCTCGCATCAGCAGCAAATGAAGACGGTAGAACTCCAGGTATTTCCTTACCGAATAGTGAAGCCCAAAAGGAGCTTATCGAGAAAGCGTATGCAGAAGCTGGAGTGGATCCAAAATCCACAGGTTACGTGGAGGCCCATGGTAAGCAGAAAGAACTTCCCCATAGTGGTCAGTTATATGGCTGATGCATCCATCTCAAGGCACCGGTACTCAAGCGGGTGACCCTCTGGAAGCCAGAGCCATCGCAGAAACATTAGGGAAAGACAGAACCACAGACCTCTACGTCGGCAGCGTCAAGACGAACATTGGTCATCTCGAGGGCGCTGCTGGTGTCGCTGGTATCATCAAAGCGGCATTGATTGTCGAGAGAGGCTTAATACCACAAAACCTGTGGTTTGAGAAGCTTAATCCTGCCATCAACCTACCGCAACACGTGAGGATCCCACAGGAAACGACTCAATGGCCACATGATGGGCCAAGAAGGGCCTCGGTCAATTCATTCGGCTTTGGCGGTGCCAATGCCCACGTCGTTTTGGAAGATGCGGCATCCTATTTGGCACGGACCGGTCTTACAGGTCGTCATCAGACAGTAACGAGATCCGAACGGCAGACTAACGGCATTGCAAGCCCCGAGGAAGTCTCTCGTAAACACGTCTTTGTCCTGTCATCGTACGACCAAGACGGCGTCAAACGAGTAGCCGAGAGGCTGCAAGATCATGTTGCTTCTGCAACCCGCTGCCAGCAAAAAGAGCTCGCACACACTCTCGCATCAAAGCGCACCGCGCATCCTTGGAAATCTTTTGCCATAGCAAATGGTCTGGGCCAGTTGAGTGATGCACTCAGAGGTATACCGGCACCTATCCGATCCTCTGACTCCACGACATCTCGCGTAGCTTTCGCATTCACTGGCCAGGGAGCCGCATGGCCCGGCATGGGACGTGCCTTGCTCGCATACGACGTGTATAAAGCGAGTATCACACGTGCTTCAGAGCTGCTTCGATCTCTCGGATCCACTTGGGACCTCCTCGACGAGTTGCTGAACACCGAGCACGAGGAGAATCTGAAACTCGCAGAGTACAGCCAGCCAGTGTGCACCGCAGTGCAGATAGCTCTCGTTGATTTGCTTCGTCATTGGCAAGTCATTCCTGCTGCAGTCGTTGGGCACTCGAGTGGCGAGATCGCGGCCGCATACTGCGCTGGCCATGTGACTTTTGACACCGCGATGACTGTCGCATGGCTTCGAGGTCAGGTATCCGGTACAGTGGCACGCAAGAATGCCAGAGGCGCGATGATGGCTGTCAGCGTGGGTGGAGACGTCATACGAGAAAGGCTGCAGCAGCTCACTACGGGCAATGCCATCGTCGCATGCTGGAACAGCCCAAAAGCGTGCACGGTTTCAGGGGACTCCGATGCCGTGGATGAGTTATTTGGACAACTGACGGCAGATCAGATCGGTTGTACCAAGTTGCCCATCGACTGTGCGTATCACAGCCAGCACATGTACGCCGTTCGAGAGGCGTATGAGCATGCTCTCGCTGAACTGCCGACTACGCATAATCCAGAGGCCATTCCAATGTTCAGCTCGGTTACTGGGAAATTGGTTCAGCCGGGCGGACTCGGTCCATCGTACTGGGTCGACAATCTGGTCTCACCGGTGAAGTTTACAGCTGCTGTTCAAGCGTTGCTGCACCACACCGGAGCACACCGCGCATCCAACGACCGCGAAGCATTTGCAAGTGTGTTCCTCGAGGTGGGCCCCCACTCTGCCCTCCGGACCTACTTGCTTGATATCTTTCGCGATGTCCGCTTCTCTAACCTCTCCTACTCGACGATGCTTCGGAAGAAGTTTGATGGCGATGAGACTGCGCTGCAGGCGATAGCAGAGCTCTGGACTCGAGGCTGCCATGTCGAATTGGACCAAGTCAACGACATACCTCCCAATACTAATATGCTGGTCAATCTGCCACCGTACGCCTGGAACCATAGTCTTTCGTTCTGGGAGGAGAGCTATTCTAGCCGGGAATATCGCCTACGTCCGGCGCCTCGCAAGGATCTCGTGGGCTATCGCGTGCCTGGCTGCACTGAGCCGACGTGGCGAAATTTCCTCCGCGTAACTGAAAATCCTTGGATTCGGGAGCATCAAGTTCAAGGCGCAATTCTCTATCCAGGAGCTGGCATGGTAGTGATGGCCATCGAGGCTGCGCGGCAGATTGCAGATGTCAACGAAGAGCTACTGGGATTCGAGCTTCGGGATGTTGCTATTGTCACTGCTCTGCGCGTACCAGATGACGCCAAAGGAATCGAAGTCATGGTGCAACTGCATCCACGCAGAACCGGCACGAAAGCTGGACCTTCTTCCACACTCTACGAGTTCACGGTATCGAGCTGGTCAGCTGATGTCAAAGAATGGACCTCGCATGCAAGGGGCTTCGTTTCTGTGACTTACAAGTCATCGCTCACTCCAGCTATGGTTCGAGAGGCAGAGCTCGACAACCTAGCGAGAGAAAAGTCTTTCCGAGAAGCCAAAAAACGGTGCAGCAAGCCTGCGCGGGCTTTCCTGTACGACAATGTCGAGACCATCGGTATGAAGTACGGTGATGTATTCAGGAACGTGGAAACCCTCTTCGCCGGCCCCAGCGAAAGCTACGGCACCATCTCTATCCCGGACACGAGAGCAACCATGCCCCAGCAGTTTGAGTATGACTCCGTGATCCATCCCGCAACGCTAGACAGCATGTTACACTTGCTGTTCCCCTCTATCAGCGGGAGTGAGCAGTCCCTGAGCGAGGCAGTGGTGCCTTTCTCGTTCGAGCGCATCTTTGTCTCTGCGAACATGCCCAAAGCTCCCGGTACCACGCTCGTCGGGACCTCGTCAGCCAAGAAGACCAGCTATACCACCTGGATGTCACAGATATCGGTGACCACGGAGGATCACAGCCAACCTCTGGTCCTCATGGAAGGCCTGGGCTTAGCCTCAGTCGGTGCCTCCTCTGAGCAGCCCGAGGTCAGAGCCAGCACATTCACACAGGTCTGGCATCCTGATGTCGATCTAATTGCCCCAGACATGATCAAGCAGCTCATCTACTCGCGGACCATACCTAACGCCGACGACGACTCCGTGTTGGACTTGTTAGAGTACGTCTGCTTGGTCTACATCCATCGCTGTCTGCGCTGGTTTGAGGACGAAGGCAAACATCACGTGCCAAACGAGGGCTTCTGGAAGCTCTATGTCGAATGGATGCGCGACCGAATCTCCGAATTCGAACCGATTTCTTCGGATCCGATTGAGGTGAACAAAAAGCTGGAGGCTGCAAAGACCCGCATATCTACCAGCCATTCCGGAGACATCACGGTACAGATGGTCGATCGGATTGGCTCTAACCTCAGCAAGATATTCACCAGAGAAGTTGAGCCTCTCCAGGTGATGTTGGAGAACGACCTGCTGTACACGTTCTACCAAGGTGCGTTCGGCGCATCTTACAACTCAAATTGCGCAGAATACGTGGGCTTGATCGCAGACAAGAGACCAGGACTGAATATTCTGGAGATTGGCGCTGGTACAGGAGGCACCACGGGCCATATTCTCAATCGACTCCGAAGAGATGGTACTTCTTCCAAGGCATCACGCTACTACTTCACTGACATCTCGCCTGGGTTTCTTGCCAAGGCTGCTGATCGATTCACCGCCGACGCCTCCATAATGGAGTACGGTACACTCAACATCGAGAATGACCCGCTGGCGCAAGGCTTCGAGCGAGAGAGCTTCGATCTCATTGTCTGCGCCAATGTCTTGCACGCCACCAAGAGCATACAGGAGACTTTGCAGAACTGCAAAATGCTTCTCAAACCTGGTGGCCAGCTGGTGCTCTCCGAAGTTACCATCAAGCGCATCTTCTGCGGATTCATCATGGGACCACTGCCAGGCTGGTGGTTGGGACAGGACGACGGTCGACATGGAGGCCCACTGCTGGATGTGCCAGAGTGGGACGCTGCACTCAAGAAAGCTGGCTATTCGGGTGTAGATTTGGACGTGCGAGGTGATCGGGAAGGATCCAAAGAGCCAGTATCGCTGATCGTGTCGACCAAGCCGGGCCCGGAGAATAACGCAAAGAGCGAGACCAAATTTGCAGTCATACAGACAGCAGATCCGGCATCGTCTGCGCTGGCAGAGGCAATCGTAGCCTCGGCGAAGGCCATCGGCGTGGAGGCTATCACTCTCGACTGGTCGCAATTCTGCGAGCAAGACATTGCCGACAGGTATTGCATCTCCCTGGTGGAATGGCAAGAGCCTCTGCTGGTGAACGTCTTACAGGACGCATGGGACAGACTGCGTCAATTGATCCAGAAGTCCGCTGGCACGCTGTGGGTGACGGGCGGTGCAGCTCTTGACTGCGTGGAACCGCACAAGTCACTCATGGTCGGACTGGCTCGTGCAATCCGGAACGAGAATGCCGGCGCACGCCTGGCTACTCTGGACATCGAAACTGCGCAAAGCATCGATTTGATGGCATCGTCGGCCTCGATTGCTAGAGTCGCTCTGTCACACAGCGGGGGCGAGACAGCTGAAGGCGAATACGCATCCCGAAGTTCCTCGATCTTGGTTCCCCGTGTCGAGCGTACTACCGCTGTAGATGCCTCCCTTCGTCGGTATGAGGCCAAGGGAGAACCAGAAGCAACATCTTTTGCCTGTTGCGGCAGGCCGTTGAAGCTGACGATCAAGACGCCCGGTCTTCTCGACACGTTTCGATGGGAAGAAGATGAGACCTACTACACGCCTCTACCAACAGATTGGATCGAAATTGAAGTCAAGGCAGTTGGACTCAACTTCAAGGACGTTCTCGTCGCCCTCGGCAATCTCAACGAGAACAAATTGGGCGTAGATGTTGCAGGTCATGTTACCAGAGTCGGCTCTTCCGTCACGACCTTGAAGCCAGGTGATCGGGTGATGACCGCCAGCTGCGACACTTTCGCAACCTTTGTCCGCTTCCCGTCGCAGGGTGCAATTCCCATGCCTGGCAACATGAGCTTCGAGGATGCAGCTTCGATGCCTTTGATCTTCCTCACCGCCTACTACGCCCTTGTCACCGCAGGACACCTGGAACGGGGCGAGACCATTCTGATCCACGCTGCAGCAGGAGGAGTTGGCCAGGCCGCCATCATTCTCGCTCAGCATATCGGCGCGGAAATCTACGCCACTGTGGGATCAGAAGAGAAGAAGCGACTCATCATGGAACAGTATCAGATCCCCGAGGACCATATCTTTAGCAGTCGCGATCTGAGCTTCGCCCAAGGTGTCAAGCGTATGACACATGGTGCAGGTGTTGATGTTGTCTTGAATTCTCTGGCGGGAGAAGCGCTTCGACTATCGTGGCATTGCTTGGCCAAATTTGGACGATTCCTGGAAATTGGCAAAGCTGATCTATTTGCCAACACCGGCCTCGACATGCAACCTTTCCTGGAAAACAAATCCTACATTGGAGTGAACCTGCTCGATTTCGAGAACAATCCCACGCCGCGTGCTATCAAGCTGTGGGCTGATGTGGCGCAACTCATCAACAGCGCCTCGCTGCAGCCAGTTCAACCCATTCAGCTCTTCACCTTCTCTGAGGTCGAAAAGGCTTTTCGGTATATGCAGACAGGAAAGCACATGGGCAAGGTCGTACTCCGCGTCGACGAGAACGATGTGGTACCTGCTGTACCTCGCATTCCCAAGGTCGGCGTCGTGGAAGACGCTACATACATTGTAGCAGGAGTGGGTGGCATCGGTCGCGAAATCGGTCGCTGGCTTGCCGAAAAAGGAGCGCAGCATCTCGTCTTCCTGTCCCGATCAGCAGCTTCGGGCGCCGAAAACAAGGCGTTCGTGCAAGACTTGCGAAAGACGTACCGCACGAATGCGATAGCGTTCGACTGTGATGTAGGGAATCGCGCTGCTCTGCAAACGGTGCTGTACAACATCAGTGACCTGCCCCCTGTGAGGGGATGCATCACCGGAGCCATGGTGCTCAAAGACACTCTGTTTGACAGCATGACTGCAGAGGACCTTCGCATCACCGTTGGGCCAAAGGTACACGGTACCTGGAATTTGCACGATCTATTGCCCAAGCAACTCGACTTCTTCGTCATGTTGTCTTCTCTCGCTGGTGTGATGGGCCATCGTGGCCAAGGGAACTACGGTGCCGGAAACATCTTCCAAGACTACTTTGCCTCGTATCGGCGCTCTCTGGGCCTGCGGGCGATGACAATCGACATTGGCTACCTTCTCTCCGTGGGCTTCGTTGCAGATAACGATCAGTACGTGGACCATGTCAAATCGATGGGCCTGCGCGTGATGCACAATTCCGACCTGCACGGTCTCATCGCGACAGCCATGGAAGGAAGCGATGCCCATCCCGCAGAAGTCATGTGCGGCCTTCCATTCAATGAATACGATCCCAAGTGGTACTGGATGGACGACAACCGCTTCGCCGGATTGCGAAACTTGAGCAGCGGCACCTCCTCGGCCTTGTCCTCCGCAACGTCGTTAAAGGACGATCTATCCCAATGTGCGGATATGAGCGCGGCAACGCAGCTGATCAGCAACGCCATGGCGGAACGTCTGGCACGTTTGATGATGATTCCCGCGACTGACGTGGACGTGGTGAAGCCGCTTTCCGCCTATGGAGTGGACAGTCTCGTGGCTGTCGAAGTGCGCAATTGGATCGCCAAGGAAATGCTCGTCGAGGTCAGTGTGTTTGAGATTATGGCCAATGTTCCCATGAGCCAGTTGGCGGCCGATCTCGCTGCGAAAAGTAAGGTCGTGCGTGTGGGGAAGGAGTGATTTGTAATTTCTCAATGGTATTGGATTAGATGAGGGTTGAAACTTGGAATAGCGGGTGATTTTTTTTCTCAATAGCAAGCGCTTCAGTACTAAGCCTACATATACCTACCTACGCAGCCTTGGGCTGATTCTTAGGACCCACTATCCCCGCCGGTTTTTGACGAGGTCAGACTCAGCAATATAGCAGCAGCACCCTTGAGCAACAACACAGCGCTCTAGAACGTGGAGCGACCAAGTGAAGTGAGATACATGTATGTTCATTCATGATAGTTTTCATCTCGCTACAACATACATTACCAGCTTAATCCAATAGTTGTACCAACGACCGGGACAATGCGAGCACTTGAGAACAACTGCCATCTGACCTGTGCCGCCTAGCCTGGCCGCGCTCATAGTCGACAGCACACACCACGGCCCAAGCTGCTGGACTCACGTTTCATCTTTCATCACACCGACACCAGCATCAACCTCCTCCACCTCTTCAACTGGAACGGCTTTGGGGCTGACAGACCGCTCTTCAGAATCCGCCTCTGTTCTCTCCTGTTCCCGTTGAGTGCTCTCCCCGTTCATGCGCTCTCCGCTGCCCCCAACTGCCTTCTGTACCGCCTCGCAGACTAGCGCTCGCAGCTCATCGACCGTCATCATGATGTTCAAAGTGGTCTCTCGCTTCACTCTCTTGCTCGGTATGGGAGGTTCACGTAGGGAAGGATCGATGGGTGTCGGAGTGCAGACGCGACTAGTGCTCGGTATGAATGGATTCGCTGCCATCATCATGTGACTAGATGGAGGCGCATGTAACTGGTCTGGCGACATGCTCATAAAGTGCTGGGGAGACATCATAGGAGCACTGGTCGGTGCGTATTGTTGGTAATGGTGAAGCGGCTGCGTCTGAGATCGCTGCATGTCTGGTCTTGCATCCTGGGCCATTGCCCGTTGCTGCACGTGCGAGTAAGGCTGCTGTTTTGCGGGCTTGCGCGTTGGCGCTGGGGCTGGGTATGGGTGGCTACGATTCGCCTTGTGCTTCGGCAGACTCTTCAGCGCAGTCGGCTTCGAGCGCACCGGAGCGCCTATCCAATGTTCCTTACGGTGGAATGTGATCGGTGACTGCTCCGGCATGCCAGGAGGCTCTGAGACTGAACGGCGATGACTGAAATGTTGGTTGCGGAGCAGCGAATGATGGTTGGGTGCAGCATGGTTCATCTCCACCGAACTGAAGTACGGCGTCTCTGGAGCGTTGTTGAAGGATGATGGATACGCCTCGTACGTTGGCTGTGGCGAGAGCGTCTGGTTGAGATCGGAATTTGCGGTAGCATTGAAGGTGTAGGCATGGTGGTCGCTGGTCGCCGGGGTCGAATGGTTACTATATGTCAACGATGGGTTGATAGTGTCATAGCTCTGATGCCCAAAGTTGCTGTTGAAGTCGCTGATATCGTTCAGGCTGCCGTTGCCATCTTCTGCCTTCATCCAGTCATCATCAATAGTGGTGTCCGCAAAAGGCGAATGGTCAACTTCACAAGCCATCGTGAGCACAGTAAGCCAACGACTGCGGAGATACCGTGGGAGGGTCGAAGTTGCTCTGCTGTGCTACCAGTTCGCAGGCAGATGTGCATGAGCAGGCAAGATAAACATGTGGACGAACAACTGTTCGCAGCGGGAGCTGACCGCCAGTTCTTTGTTTCCCAGCCTTTAGCCTGGCTCGAGCATCAGTAGTTGCCTCAGACTTGAGACATGCCTTCGGGAACCGGGACTGAGCGCTACGTGATATGAGCAGCTACCCGCCAGCTGCAAATCCACATGGCTGCGGGAACCTGTTTGTCATCAACCGCGCCGTGGTCTCGATGATGTTGGTGAGTCGAAGTGGCTATGGGCCCATGAGGATGAGGCGCGCGGCCCAAGTGCAGTGCATGAACGAAAGTTCGCAGTCAGACATGCTTGCCTCTCCAGTCAAGCAAGACATGCGTGCTGGGTGGTTCATACGTGCATGCTGTAAGTCTCACATCGGACACCAGGTTACTAACATTGTCGTGCATCGCTTGTGGAAGGCGGATAACGAACAACTTTTCGTCTGATATGCCTTCCCGTGAAACAGCATCTGCAGAGTGATATTGCTACGAGGTTGGGTGTTTCGACATGGTTTGGTGCCCTCTCCCTTGTACTGTAGCAGCACTTCATGGCTCATTGCAAAGCCTGGATTCCAACGCTGCATGCCGAATCGATGGCTGGGCCACTTCCTGCGTCAATGAGAAGTTGTGCGCATGTGGTATGGCCCGAAGCTAACATTCACAGCGCTTAGGCACTGACGATGCCTGCTATCCCAACTATACGGGAAGCCACGGAGTGACGGGGACATGCATCTCGCCATGATCAAATCCTCGCGCACAGTTGCTTGAATCTTTCAGTCCTCACCACTCTTCTTCTTTCCCTGATTCCACACTTCCCAGACCTGATCAATGATCATATCCGAAAACTCCTTGCCCTCTTCCACATCCTCTTTGATCTCCTTCTGCCTCTCAGCCTTCCAACCACTCTCATAACCACGCGCTCTAGCTTCCTTCTGCAGCTCCCCAACAACGCTCGATGACGCTACACCTTCCATCGGTTGCTGCATTTGTGCAGGTTGCTGTCGCGTAGCCATTTGCCATAGGGATCGACCACTTTTCTCACGCACCAAGTAGTTGGCCGAGTGGCCCGTGGTGGCTATCAGAAGTATGGTGTATATGTCGAGTTTGCGAGGCGGAAGCAGGGCGAGTACCGGGCAGGCGACCAGAGCTGCAAGAGCTACATTGTGCACTGTCTTCCTATACTTTTCGATATTGGGAGGTGGGACCTCGGGTGGGGACGGCGGTGGATCAGACATGGCTGTCTCGCTCAGGATCAAGGGAAGATAATAAGAGGCTGTTCAATGCAAAAGCAAGTTTGAAGTCGGGGAGAAGAAGTTGAGGGAGGTGGTAGGTATCTAGAATAGAAGTTAAAAGTCAATGAATGCATCATCGGAATCACCCCGTTCACCACCGCCGAGCTTCGCCGCATCACATCGCCTCTCTCTTACAGACTCGTTGTACCTTATTCGTACAGAATTAGACCTACAATCGACCGTAGGCTTGATGAGACTACAATATGCAGGACCGTCTCGTACATGCCAGATTGTAAGTAACAGATGATGTGATACTCATTCTCATGCCAAGACAGAGCTGCACTAGGCACATGCCTTTGCCGCTGCCATAGGTATCTGCCAACGTCGAAATGCTTCAGATTGCTACCAGCCATACAAATAGTACTGGTACCCAGAAAGTAGGTATTTAAGCACTTGACAAGAAAACTCACACTCTGATGTCCGACTTAGGCGCAGCGGTCCTGCACATGAGGAGTAATCAAGATTGAGGCATTATATTAAGTGTTTGTGGTGTGCAGACATCGTTGGCAATGTAGCAAAGTGGTTACTGCGTTTGACTCGAATCCCCTGTTTCGTGCTATCAAATTCCTTCGGGAGCGTAGGTTCGAGTCCTGCCATTGTCGATTTGATTATAATCACGCCTACCCCTACCATGGGCGTTCTTTTTTTTCGAACTTTTGCAAGGTTACCCATCGATGTGATTTTTGCACTTCCTCCTCACAGATAGATATGCATAATTGGAGTGCCTGGAACTTCTTTCCTTCCAGGTAGGTGGTACCTAGGTACTTCTACAATCCTGTTTGGATCACAGAAACCAATATATGATGATCAATGCCAACAACTTTCAAGCAATAAACGCATGTTCCTTTCTTTCACTGTTGTGATTTTGTTGGCCGAATGTTCACAACCATCAAAGACCGTTCGTCAGTGAGATTTACCGCAAGTCTCGAGTCGTCCAATGTGTACACTTGATGTTGTTACATATTCACACCTATCTGTATCTACAATATCATCACAGACCGCCATCCCTTCTCTTTGTGTCTTCGTTATGGAAACTAACGTCCACATCGTCTGCAGAGTCGTCCATAGATGCCCGTTCGCCCCCATTGCCAGGGTCGACTTTTGTATGTACATCGCTATTACTTGAAATAGCTTACTCACGCTTGCGAGAACTGTCTGCGTCAGAAGCATTCTCATCAGCGGATTCGATGCCAGAGTCAGCTGGGGAAGTAGCCTCCTCTTCACTCAAGGCCCGCTCGCCCTCATTGCCACTAGAATCGACTTCTGCATGCCGCCCATCGGTATCACTTGAAATAGCTTCCTCACGCTTGAGAGAACTGTCTGATTCGGAAAAATTCTCATCAGCAGGTTCGATGCCAACATCAGCTAGAAAAGAACTCAATGCCTGCTCGCCCTTGTTGCCAGAGTCGACTTCTGTATGCACATCGGCATCAATTGAAATAGGTGTAAAAGGCGTGAGGGCGTCGTCCGCAGGTTCGATGTCGGCATCAACTTGGAAAACAGCCTCCTCATCACTGGATGCTTCCGTGCTCAGCTTCGCGTCGAGGACATTCGGCTCTTCGAGCCTAGCGTCTCCAATAACGGTCCCCGAATCTGAGCCTGGTGGGAAGTCCCAGCCGATGCCTCGCAGCAATCTGTTCTGCCACTTATCATCAATCCGCGGCATTAATTGCACAAAATGCAAGGTTCGAGGTGCCGTCTCGCGAACCTGCTTGAGAGTACCAACAAAATTCTCTAAGAAAGGATCGATGTCATTGCCCTGGTCGTCGCCTTGCCAGCCCACGGTCTCGCGGCGTTGAAGATTGAGAAAGGCCTTGGCGAGCCAGATGAATGTTCGATATTGTGGCATCAATTCAGTCTTGGCAAGGTAACGAGCTCGAATATACTCCATGCCAAAGTCTCTCGCAGGTTTGCGAGGCCAGAATTTCCGCGCCTCGCGGCCAACCCAGCCTGGGAAGTTCTGGATAAGGTAACGTTCTGTCAATGTGAAGGACAAGAGGGTAAGAGGTGGGTTCGAGCCAGCAATGGACTGCACCAGACGATTCCAGGTTACGTTGTCGAAAGTATAGCCTTGAGTCAGAAGACGGTTTGCTTCTTTGATGGCGTCTACTACGCGATTCTGCGCAACAAGAGAGGCGAGATATATTTTGAAAGTTCTATTAAGGACGTGGCGTCGCGCAGGAGCTGGTCGTGGTCCAATCTGTCCCAATTGAGGTTCTGCGGAAACAGTCTGCACCTGCGCCATTGTGGAGTTCTCACTGGTCACGAATCCGACTTCTGCTTGATCATCGGCCGCGGTCTCCGTTGACTTCACGCCCGTTTTGCGCTGTACCTGATCTTGACCCCGAGCTTTTTCGCGTAGAGCGATAAAGTTTGGTATTGTTGTAAGAGGCGTAATGCTGTCTGCCTGATCTTTGACAACTTTCCAGTAAGCCTCAACTTGAGCGTGCTCCTTGGCATGATACATAGCGTTCATCAAAGCAGCCGAAAGGCGAATCGTGGGCCACGGAGAGTGACCATACTTTTCAGCAATTTCCTTTGACTGTTGAAACAGCCGCTGAACAGCTTCAAGATGTCGCTCACCACCCAGAAGCCACATCGTTGGAGAAAATGCATCCTGCACTGTGTAGTTTCCAGCATTCGCAACTTCTCTCAACTGTATATTGTCCACAGCGTCACGAAGATCAGTCAAAGCACTCGCCAGAGCATCCGGATATTCTTGGCCCGAGAGGCGAGCTTCATTGCGAGCTTTCCTCGCGACCAAGCCCTTGGCTCTGATCAACGCTGCTTTGGTATCAACACTCTGACGGATGTTCGCGGCCAACATGCGATTATGTACCATGATAGCTTTCTCGGGTTCATTCTGGTTGCAGAATCCAGCCATGGCCACAGTATAATGTTTAGCCGTTGGCTCAAACCCGTCGGCCTTCATTACCTTGATCAAGATTGCCCAAGCTGCACTGGTCCGGCGAAAATTGGCAAGCGCTTGCATCATGTGCTGGTATGTTTTCTTGTTGCGACGAATTCTCTCCTCCTTCATGCGACGATAAGTGTGCATTACGCCGTCCATATCGCGGTCCGAGGCGTACTTGGACATTAAGGTGTTGTAGCATTCTGTCATGGATCCGATCACTTCTCCATTACGTACCTGATGCATTGTCTCGGCAAGCAGCAGTTCGGCTCGTGGCACATCGTCAAGAAAAATCAATGCCCTCAACTGCATGTTAACGAACCAGGTCACACGCTTCCCTTGTGTCAACACGTCGTACTGCTTCAAGATGTCAGATATAGCATCGACATCGCCCCGACGGGCGAGCATGATAAGGAGAGCATCAAAGGAGGAGATGTCGGGGGTTAAGCTCGTAAACTGGACCAATTTAGCGAACGTCTTGATCGCGCCCTCGAGATCGTCGGCTTTCTGATGTGCGTGCAGCAAGACATTCCAGCACTTGAGATCTAACCGATCTCCATGCGCTCTGGCAGACCGTTGGACGTCATTGAAGGCCTTCTTGGCGGCAGAAAGATTTGATAGGGTGGTGTGAACATAAATCTGAGCCCAGAAGGTCTTCTGCTCTTCTTGATACGCCGGATACCGACGCATCACGTATGCAACCCATCGTTTTACTGCCTTGACTGCTCCAGCATAGGCACTGTACGTGATCAGCTGGTGCGCCGCCTCGACGCTTAGTTGAGCATGCCATGGCTGCCAATCCTCGATCACCATGTTCGCAGTCACATTGCGCTCAGAACGCACTTCGATGTTTGTTCTCTGCATACGCTTTGTCAAATGCTCGAGCCAGATTAGCATCAAATCCGGGTGGAGCTTGGCGCCTTTGCCTTCCCGATAGTGCCAATATAGGTACGAGATGATAGCATGAGCATCCTCCCGTAAAATGCCCGATTCAGGATCATTTTGCTCATGGAGATGTTTCCCCAGACGAGGGAGCAAGCGTGTCAGCATTTCATGGAAAAACTGGTGTGATTCGCCATCAAGTTTATTGATGAAGCCGAGGAGGTGAAATATCTTCTCCGCATGCTGGTGCGAGAATTTCTCGACGAATAACAAGTCTGTGGCTTGTTGTATGGCCTCTTTGGACAGTCGCAAGTATACCTTTATCGCCCGTCTAGAATTCTTGGACCAGTCCCATCTGAACCTTGCATCACTCGTTACAGTCTTCACGACAGGGGTAACGAGGTCGACCAGATCTTGTATTCCAGGTACCTTGGCCCAGAACAGCTGGATCTGTTGAGGCCGCCCATCGTTAGTAAGTATTTTGTCGTGGTCCAGGACGACCCGCCGTGAAAGCGTCCAGTCTCGGCTTCTGAGACCCTCTTCGAATAGCTGAAATGTGATTTGCTGGCCATTGGGAATGCCACGCAGAGCCTCCTTATGCATCGCGTGTAACATCGCTATTTCCCGGCGTCTCACAAAAGATCTTGCGACGGTTTGGTACGTAATGAGCGTGCGCGCGTCTATGGGTATGGAGCAATACAGCGAGAACATGTGTGCGTCCGCAAGATCATCCGTTCGTTCATCGAGCCATACTAGAAGCTTCTCCTTGAGGCGAGCATCCTGTTTGTCAACATCAGCCAGGGAGAGGTACAATCTCCAGGCCTGACGAATTTCTGATGTCGTGATGGACTTGCTTTGCATGCCTAGAATCTGTCGTAAATGTCGAAGACGCCCTGCGGGATCGTGGGCAGTGTCCTCAATATCATGAAACAATGTTGAATCAAGAGAGTCTTGAGGTTTGCTGAAGCCATCAGGGTACCCTTCAGCAAGATAAGCAGGTTTGCTCGCGAAGCCCGAGTCATTCTGATCATGCCCATCCACTTGATGTTTAAGTGTCCGAAACTTCGCGTCCCCAGCGGCCATGAGATCTTCCTCCAGATCCTGCGCAAGTCCCGCCTCGCCTTTGCGGGATCGGCCACGATAGAGACGCGCTTCGCGCTCAATTGTATCTTCGGATTCACCTAGCAATCCCCCGTGCGGACGCGGACTGCTCTCTTCGCCTGTGCCAGACGCGTTACCATCTCCAGGTGGCTGCGCCATTGAACTTGTCTTTGATTCGTTGTCCTCCATATCAGACGGCGAACCCGACTTGGAAGAAAATCTCCTAGACGTCTGTACAAACCCCTCTGGCAGGCGTCTGGCATTTCGTTTCTCCCAGCTATCGAGCTGCTGCCTGCTCGTACGATGCACATACGCTAGAGCCTGTGGTGGATACAAGAAATCGAGAAAAATGGCATCCGCGGCAAGTGATGCAGGCTCCTTTGTTCGATCTTTCTGTCGTTCTGAGTGGGTGTCATTGCGCCTGACTGGCAAGCCTGTCGCCGGTGTGGAGGGCGATGGAACATAGGTCGGAAGAAGGTCGAGGTCGCCAGCGCCATGAGTCCAAAATGCCTGATGCAGCCGACGCGTGCTGGCCCACGGAGACTGCTGGGCGCATTTGAGAGAGTCTCGAGCTCCGGCTTTGATGCATGCTGCCGTTCGCTCTAGCATGCCACCCGATCGTGGCGATGCTGGTGGAGGCGGAGAAGTGGACTACAGGAGCGAGCAGAGGGCGGCAGCGGCGGTCTTAGAGCTCGTGGGGAGGGTCATTACTTCGAGAATCGCGTTCGAAGAGGTGTATGAACGGTGTGGACCATAAGGGAAATGTATGTGCGCACGATTGAAAAACTTGCAGACGTAGGAGGTAGAAGTAAGGCAGAGCAAGCGACGAATGAGTTTTACAATGCACCGAAGTTGAAAGTCAGCATCATCGAAAAGCGGCGATCAAGCGGCGATCTCGGGAGTCCGCTCTCCCTCCGCTCTCCCCAGTAGCCACCACTTTCACTTGCACTCGCACTCCACACTCTCCACGTAACGTGACTGACTCGAGGTAGGAGTTTCATGTACCTATAATCAGGGACAAAGTCTTCACGATGCCTCGCCGTACCTCCGTGTGGCATAGATGAGTCTACCCACGCGCTCGTATACGGACTGCTACACGTAGCCATTGGTGATGGGAATTGTCACGATACGCCATCATTGATTGAGGAGGTATCACATCATATATCGATTCGATCAGTTGAAACTCTGCACGCGCTGTTTTTATCTGTCGTCAGAAATGCTCAAGCTGAATCTTCACCCCAACTCAAGCGACCAAGTCCCCAATACCAAAGAAAGAGACCCAAAAAAGAAAGTCCACGCAAAACTATGCCAGTCACCAGATGCATCAGGTACCTGAGGTAGGCTCCGTTCCCCCGTCCAACTCAACGCTAAAAGATTGCAAGATCATCATCAATACTTCATGTACTCAATCATCACATCACATCGCATCCCGTCACCGCTGCCTATACTGCCGACTCGAAATCGTCTCCACCAAAGTCGTAGCATCAGCATCATACTTCCTCCTGGAGTTGTGCTCCTCGGCCTTGACCAGGTTGTGTAGCGCACCAGTATTATGGGTCAGCTCCGGGGGGTCGAGCATTTTCCAGAGCGACGACAAGTTTCCCTTGAGACCACCCGGACGCTTCTTTTCCTTCTTGTCGCGGACGAATCCGTCTGCTTCCGTTTGGGACTTTTCTATGGCATGGGATATCTGCGGGGAGGGCTGGAATGTGACGCTCTTTCGGTGACTGGCGCCTCCGGACATTCTGGTACTGTTCGTATTCCTGATCATGCTGCTTCTTTTGCTGACCACCTTGTCACTGTGGGCAGTGGAACTGACAGGCTCGCTGGTCTGAGTCGCCATATCTCTGCTGCCTGTGCTGGAAGTGGTGCAGGTGCTGCTGTCGCTATCTCCGCGTTGAAGCTGTTGATCTGGTCAGAAAACGACACAGAAAACGATCATGGAAATGGTGGAGAAGTAACTCACTTGTGCTGTGGTCAGCTTCCTCTGGAGAGTTCTCTCGGTGACAGGTATGGGATTCAGCGACATTCTCGACATTGCAAGAAGCTTTATGTCTGCCTTGCGCAGCCGCCTTCCCTTCGAATGAGAAGTTCTGTAGGGTATGGGTCGGAGGACAGCAAGGCGAGCGGGAGCAAGGTTCCCTGCTAGAGACTATATACTGTAAATGGGAAGAGGTCAGGAAATCCGGGCTTGATACGGTGGCTAGGCTCTCAGCAGGGTGCCCGATCGAAGTGTCACGCGAAACTGTCCAAGGCTCCAAGCTAGTTAGCCGGTCGGCCTCACTCGGTGTTGGGGGGTCGCCTCTAGAACCACAGTAGCGCTTGTGCTTGCTCGTGCTGGCGAGCTGCTGTGCTGGTGCAATGCGGCTCATTCATTCGAATCGGACGGGAAATGATGGTGAGCATTCAGGTCATGGCCCTGCTACACTCGATTCCACACTCCATGTTGCGAGTGATACCGATCTCAGGACTTCTTTTCCACCTTCACAGTGTTGCGATTATTGGATGTACGAGCTCCAAGCAGGGCTCCTAAACTTGGCCATGTATTGCTCAGTCCGCCTCACGGTTTGTCGTTAAATTTGTGGCTGACAGGGGTATGCCAGAACGATCTCGTGCATTGGTACCTAAACACGTCCGGACAGGCTCGGCTCTCACCCGCGGACCTGGCATCTGGACTTTTGGACGGGCATGTATGGACTATGGAATCGGTGCCGCGACGGTCGAGATCGACGTTGACGTGGCTTTCTGTCACGAGATGCCGCTCTACAACGCACCATTTGTTGATGAAATCGATGAAAGAGGAAGGGGAGATGGAAAGTACAGCGGTGAAAAGGGAGCTCGAATGATAAATGAGGCGAAGCAGGCCACGACGGTCGGCATGATATACTGCTGGGTTCGTTCTGTCCGTCCCAACATATGGGTATCTATCTCAATTTTGTTCTAGATATATAAGGTATATTCGATTCTTCTATACAACATCGTGTGCGTGAACTTGTGTCCCATCGCGCTCGAGACTTTGCTATTATATGCAGTGCATACTGCCCAATACCTATTTGGAAGCCGCGGAAACACTGGTCGTATCATTACTATCGGCTCTAGTTCGTCCAACACATCGATGGCGGGACTTGACTTGGACGAGTCGAGATGCCGACCTTGATCAATGCCGAGTGGCGCGGGCGTGGAGGGAAGTCTAACGCTAGAGCTGAGGATGCACTAAAGTCCAGCGTATGAGGACCGAGCCAAAGATGTTAGAGCTGTTCTGGGACAGGACCGAGAAGCCCTTGTTGACCCAGTAATTGAGATCTTGTATCGTTATCGGTTGACTTCTGTGTTGATTGCAGCCCTTCTTGTTGCCATTTTGAAACGTGAGCGTATTGTGAGGCGACTCTCAGTCTTGTTGACGTATCTGCGCCGTGCACGACATTGGCGTTGCTGCCCAGACTTCATGTCTTCCTACCAGTATGAATGATCATGTTGCAATCCACAGAAGGTGGGTACGAGGCAGAACGAGTTTCTGAACAGCTGGCATAACTCGACACACAGAGGATCTCAGCATTCTTGTATGCGAGGCTCGTGTTTATCACGGCACTTTTCCAATCCGATAAGAGCCTAGGCATTCAAACATCACCAAACCAGCCAAGCTTTGAACAGAGCTTGCTGTATTCTTGATTACGAGCCCAGACGATTGGTGTCAAAAAAACAACTCTTGGCGCCACTCCTGTGAGCTGCGGAGTCATGTGTATGCGGCTCTTGTGTTGTCGATGACCTTTCCGATGCGTGACCCACGCCGGACAACACTGACATGGCTCAATTATGCGTGTTACCGGACCCATTCCGATAAATTGCTCTGCGCACGACAGGAGAGTGCGAAGTAAGACTCTATCAGTTTACCTCTGATGATGCATCCAAGTACCATCGAGCTCGCTGGGATAGCCAGCGAACATGGCGTCTGGGTCTGGGAATGGAGCCTGGTCCATGCTATAGTCCTGGTAGGCGTTGTATGCCACATGGCCATTCTGCATAGCCTGTTGTTGCAGCTGCATCCATTGCTGAGCCTGAGGTTGAGCGTGCGACTGCTCGGGCGTGCACGTGTCGTGACCAGGAAACCTTAATTCGTGTGAGGCGGAGCTTGTCGTTGTCGGACTTGTCTCGCCCACTTGGTTGATGATGCGGACTGACTGGTTGATCAGTGCGAGTGCTTGCTTCATAAAGCTCGCGCCAGCTTCACTGTTCACCTTGAGAGACCACTTGAGCTCTTTCAACTTCCGGGAATACATGGCTTGTTCCTCTTCACTAGAGGCCGTCTGTCCTAGAGTCTGTCCCAGTGTATGTATGAGGGCGCAGCACTTTGCGGAGGGAAAGTACCAGAAAGAGTGCAAGTGCTGTGCTTGTAGCCTTTGCACAAAATCTGTACCGTTTGTGAAGCGTTCGCTCGCCGCAGCTCGACAAACATGTGCTATGGTTAGAGATGTTGATGATGTGTTGTTGAGAGTTCGGAGGAGCTTCTTGTGCAAGCACACCTCGACTGTCAGGTATGCTAAGCGCAGATAGCCCACCGAAGAGAGTTTCATGGAGGCTGCTGTGTCCATCCTGAGAGATTCTGGCAGAGTGAGAAACCACTCTTTGAGGCTGAGTTGAAGAGGCTTCATCCATTCCAGCAATGCTGCAAGACGATCTGCTGCGCCGTCCAAGAGTCGTCTCGCTCTTGCAGAAAAGATGGTGCGGAGGATCTCGGCCAAAATGACTGACAAATGTGCCATGTAGGTAAATACCAGTCGACCTCTCTCGACTTCGCCACTTCCTTCTTGATCGTCCTCCACATTTTCCGGAAAGTCCAGCTCGGAAAGATCTGCCACGTCCCAATCATCCGCACTGATCAGGGTAGGTCGACTTTCCAGCAACGCGGTCCATTTGTCTTGCATATAGAGCGCCCAGCCTATCCTACGTCTCAAGCCAATTTCCCATTCCGGCAACTCCCAGTGGGAACAATCCAGGTGTAGTCCTAGTCCGTGTCCCATGTTGACGAGTTGCACAGTCAGTCGGTCTCGGTTTTCATTGGCAGCGCCCATGAAAGCCTTCTGCCACTGGGAGAGTAGGAGTCCGGCTTGTACTGTTGATAGTTTCGGGCGGCGCATAGCATTCTGTAAAGTCCGGAATGCGAGTGCTTGCAACGCCACAGTGTCGATCATCGGGCTCCTGGACAGTTGCTCATCGTACGTCCAGTAACTGGAGGCGAGCAGGTATACCGCTGCAAGCAGTGGCGGAGAGAACTCGCGGTAGGACCTGGCATACTTCTCGAGATATACGTCCTTGTGCAGTATAGGAAAACTGGGGTGGACCACTCGAAAATAGAGCTGGACGAGTTCTCCGCCATGGCCAGAAGCGAGCGCTTCTATCTCATCCACATCGGTTCGTCCCTGGTCGTAGCCTTCCGTCTGGTCATCGGCAATGATGCGGAAGGCGTGCGAAGGGTGGACAAAACGCACATAATCATGTTGTGCCTGGGAGTCCTGATTGGGAGCAGCCGAAGCATCCAGATTTGGGCTGCTGTAGACGTCCGGGATCGCATTCAGGCCAATATACTCACTATGGTGCCGGTTCTGCAGGCCCAGAGTGCATCGCAAGAGGCTCCCGGGCAGAGTGTCGTACTCCTCGACTCCGGTACCAGGCTTGAGCAGTAACGTCCGGCTCCGCTTGGCAGGTGTCTGGGAGTCTGCTGCGGTGGTGGGGCCACTGCCGGAGGAGTTGGCATTACGCTTGCGTGGCTGCGGTGCTTCGAGGTAGGTGCATGTTTGGTTGTGGACTGGTGAAGGCTGTCAGTTGCTGTTTCGAGGACGGCGCGCACTGCAGAGTTCGCTTTCGTACACTTGCACAACACACACATGGAGTTCCCGTCCTCGGTGACACATTTGGATTTCCGGCGACGACACGCATCGCATGGGCGGGATCGCCTCACGGCGGCGGCTGCTGCTGCTGCCGCCGCATCGGGGTGCGAGGCCCGGCTGTGATGCTTGGATGGACCTGCCGCTGCCGCTGAATCATTATTGGAAGCGGTCATCACGCTGGCCATTCTCAACTGGCAATGGGGAGCTGAGGACTGGCATGGACGCGGAGGGCAGAAGATGTTGCCGCTGCCGCCGTGCACGCGCCGCGAGCCTGCTCACCACCGATCACTATTGCAGCAGCACGGGGAGGATACAGTAGTCATCAGTGAGTGCAGTGAGCGACAACTGGAATCGGATCATGTTGTTGTGCACGTCGCTCAATGGAAGCTTCCACCACTCGTACGGCCGCTGCTCGCTCGGCGATACGATGCTGTCCAGTGGTCCAGGATGTGTCTGCAGAAAGTCGTGGCGCCATGGAGCGCCCACCACCTCCAGACTCCAGCACCTGCCTGGCACCTGCCCGCCCTCCCTAGCACTCTGGCTACCTAACCACTGGTCCAGTGGTCCTACTCTCTGCCTCAGCGGTGCGAAAAGCACGCGACGCGACGCGAGTCTGACATTCTGCGCGCGGGAGACGGCTATGCTATACGGGACGGGAGTTCTGTGGCAGCCTCACACTAGAGGTAGGTAGGTAGAGCGCCTACCTGACTTTCGTGGCTACGCCGCTACCTGTACAGCGGACGAGAATATCAACAATACAGACTACAGTACGCCTCGTCTCCACTCTCCCAGTCTCCCACATGCGTATTGGTCGTCTGCGAGGGAAGAAGTCCGGGGCCGCGGGGACGACGCGCTGCTGCCGCCTGCCTGCTACTGGAGTAGAAAGGAAAGGCTGGAACGCGTGTGGGCCGTGGCAGCCTGGCAGGAACGCACGCACAACGCTGCGCTGGCCGCCTGGCGCTATTTCCTTCCTTCCCTTTCGTCGCGCGACGACACTGGCAGTCTGGCACACTGCAGGAGGCCAGGAGCCAGCTGCCAGCAGGAGCCAGCCTATGTGGACAGAGTTTGCCCACGTCTTTTTTGACTTGCACTCCAGCCGCTGCCACCGCTGCCACCCAGACTGTCGGGCCATCATGGATGCATCTGCTGCTGGCCTGCCCTGCTCGGCGTATCATGCGCCGAGACTGCTGATAAGATGTGATGGTTAGGTACCTAGATGGTCGTTTCATCACTCAACTCCCACAGACTTTGCCAGGTCACCATCCGCCTACATGGTCTTCCTGACTACTCTCCCATCACATCATCAACAACACGAAACCCACATCCCAGACGACCGCGCGCGCCCATCTCCCGCCATCTTCCCTCTCTCGCCATCCTTCCTACCATTTATCCCCTTCTCTCTTCCCGCTCACAGCGACATCCCGATCGCAGCGCGCTGCTTGCCACGAATCAGGCCCCGACTGGCGCTTAGCTTCGATTCGCTACGATGCGATGACTGGATGCGATGACTGCATATGACTGTCTTGCGCTAGAACTAAACCAAGCTGCCACAGCTCATCCACAGCTTGGTCCGCCGACGACGATCCTCCTTCCAACTGGATGCGAGACGAGGCCGCCAGCGCGCGAGCTGTGCCGTATCCTTTGCTGGTGACACCTCCGACACCTCAGCTACAACTGCTTCGTGAGGCAAGAATATAATACCTCTTGACCCGTATGTATGCAGGCCTGCGTAGGGTACCTTATGATTGCATGCAGGGGGCGGTGGAGGTAAGTGTATCATATCGACGGCGGCAGCAGTAGAGTAAAAAGGGTACCTCCTAGGAGGTAGCCTCACCTCAGCCTCACGATCCTCTTGCACGCGAACGCCTGCTCCACAGTCCTCCACTGCCTCTTTGTGTCTAGTAGAGACGTCTTCGTCCGCCTCACACCCTACGCAGCGCCGCAGCCTATGAACGCTCGCGTTGAGGCCGTTTCATGCACGCGTGGTAATGACCTACATATATGCAAGTCGTCTGCGAGCCACTGCTGTTAACCTGCATACGGTGGCGTTCGCGAGCCAACTCCATGGATCAAGCTACCTCAAGACAATAATCTTCGTCCACAGGATACCTCCTACCGCACCGCTCCTGTTCTCTCTTCCGATTGCTTGTCTGCCTACGAGCTACATTACCGATGAGCCCCGAGACGGTATCCCAGCTGAGGGCAGAGGCGGTCTCTCTTCTAGAACTAGTTCTTGGGGCGAGCAGCCTCACTTTCGCTCGCGAGCTGCACTGGTTCTCAACTGCTGTCTCCACACGTCACCCACTCATTAGGTATCGTTATTGCCTTCCCAACCGGCGCATATAATGGTAATGTCGGCAGCTGCTGAGGGCACACCGCGACTTCCTTTGTCCTTTCCGTCCTTTTTCCTCTATAATATTCTTCCTTCATCCATTCGCTGTCGACATTATTACTGATTTCGCACGCATACCTACCGGACTACCATTCCATTGCCTCCGCAAGGCCGAGACTTTGAGGGCAACTACTTAGTGAGGGCTTTGCCGGTGCAGTGAAGCACTCACTGCTGGTGCTCTTATCACGAGTGCCGTGACCTTCCCGCGTTCACCGCCTGAAGGGAACAGCTAGGTACCTTCGTCACCGTTGGCTCTTCATTACCCAAACTTCACATTCGGGACCTTCGACTTCCTCGGCTCGCTCGCTGCAACGTTGGCATTGATGAGCAAACGTATTCTCATTCACGCGTCACTCAACCCGTTGCCCACCACCTCTGCTTCTTCAACAGGCGAGTCACCCATTCCGACACCTGCATCTACGCCTTCCGGCTCGCCCCAGCGAGTGCCTGCACCGCCAATCACTGTCCTGCGGACCGCACTCAAGGACGACATGGAGGAGGAAATTCACAAAGACGACACCGCTGCCGCAGTTGCCACCGATCGCCAGGAGCCTGCAGTGGCTGCTGCAGCACAGGCAGATGAACTTCCGAAGACGGCAGCAGCTAAGAAGAAGGCAAAGTGCGTGAAGTCGAAGCACAGGAAGAAGGCGAGGTCGAAGAAGCGAGCGCAACGCAAGAAGTCCTTGCGAGACGATTCGAGCTCAGAGAGCGCCGACGACTCGAATGAAGACTCGGAAGACAGTTCGGACAGTTCTTCCGAAGAGGATCAGCGTAGGAAGAAGGCAGCCAAGGTCAAACAGGCGAAGAAAGCCGCTCGAAAGCGCAGAAAGAGCAAGTCTAAGAAGGCGGACAGCGACAGCGACAGCGACGACTGTGAAAGCGAGGTACATTTGATCGGTGCGTTGAAACGCGAAGGTAGCATATTGTACTAACGGAGCACAGGCAAGCGACTCATCTTCCGAGGATGCCACTAGTCGACGCAAAAGGAAGGTGAAGAAGGCCAAGAAAGCTGCGGTCGATACTGAACTGGAGGATGCTGCGACGGACGACGATGACGAGATCGCGGCGCTGCAATCGGAGCTGCAAGAGCTAAGTCTCAAGATACACGATCTGAGATCGACTCCCAAGTCCCCCAAGAGCGCTTTGAAGAGGCGGCGCTCCAGTGTGAAAAGCTCTTCGAGTACCAAGAGGAAATCTAGCAGAAAGGCGGACGCGCTCGAGTACAAGCGTGTTGATCAGCTCTGGGATAGTACAATTCACAATTGGAAGGTGAAGGAGAGTGCCGAAGATGAAGAGAGCGAGTTTGCAGAGTACGCTTTTCTGGTGCGTAGGCGATTCGACTGGGAGAACAAGTACCAGAACACCGTGATCGATATCAAATCGAAACAGCTCCGCGCGGTCCTGGCAGAGGTGATGAAGGAGTGCAAAAGCGTCAGTCTGGAAACCGAGGAGCCGTCGATTGATCCCAACTTGCTCTTCCTATACTTGGAAGACCTCCGGAAATTCTATAAGAAGACTCTCAAGGGCAAGATCAGGACGGAACGTAAGAAAAAGAACGTCAAGAAGCTCGAACAGCAAAGGGCCGTGTGCAAGACACTGGTACGCTACATCGACGACGACTACGCGGACACCAAGAAGACGCTCTATCCTCTCCTGGCGGCAGGCAACATCACATTTGACCTACTCTGGGCTCTATTCACGCCCAACGACATCGCTATCACGTCCTGCTATGGATCGTGGGATGAGCCTCGATGCTTCAAAGTAGACTTCGCAATGAAATATTCGACGATGACTCGCGGCGAGTGGTACTGTGTGGAGGGCAAGTACATGGAGTATGACGGCAAAGGGTTTGGATTTGGCGACTTCGAGGTTGACGTTGACGCGTTTAAGGGCCCACGGAAGATCACCAGTCTGTCTGCTTACCCTCTCAAGTACCACAAGGATCCGGCCGGCATCAAGAAGCAAATCATTGCGCGAGGCGAAAAGTTCGTCAACATGGAAGGCATGCAATACCGCTCGCACAAGGGACTTGCTTTCATGAAAAAGAAGAAACAGGTGCTCAAGATCAACATCAATGGTCGCGTGATCGTGGATCCAGCGACGTTCCGGAGGGTCAATCCCAATTACCCGATCTCGCTCATCAAGCCGAAGGAGGCTGATGATCTCTTCAGTGACTCGGAAGGCGACGATTGCTCCTGTTGTGATGACGGCTCCGACCAAGACGATGCGCTTGGTGGTGGCGACAAGGAACTAGAGAGCGAAGAGTTCGGTGCGGGCGATCAGGATAAACCGAAGTTCAAATACAAGTGGGTGGAAGATGACTCGGGAGATCCTCACTTCGTCGCTGTCGAAGTCGATGAGAGTGGCGAACCGGTTCGCTCCCAGCAGATTGACAGGTTGGAGAAGCGTGCTTATACTCAAGAGCAATTGCTCTTGGCCTCTCCGGTTGTGCTTGGTTTCGCGTTTTCCGAGAAGCTCTGGCTCGAATTTTCATTGTCGGGCATACATGATATCGCGTGGAACGACGACGCTTACGATTCGCTGGTACTATCTGGCGACAAAAAGTCCACAGTTCGTGCACTAGTCGAGAGCCACAAGTTCCATCCGGCGAAGGCGATTGACGATGTCATTCAAGGCAAAGGCAAAGGACTGGTGTTTGTCCTGCATGGTCCTCCTGGCACAGGCAAGACTCTCACCGCAGAGTCGATATCAGAACTGCTGCGTTGTCCACTTTATATTGTCTCTGCAGGCGAGTTGGGCACTGACCCAGCTCGACTGGAACAGGAGCTCCAGAAGATATTGGACATTGCGCATTCATGGGGTGCTCTGCTTCTACTCGACGAAGCCGACGTGTTCCTGGAGAAGCGTGAAGTTCATGACATTCATCGCAACGCTCTAGTCTCCATCTTCTTGCGCCTGCTCGAGTACTTCCAAGGGATCCTATTCTTGACGACCAACCGCGTAGAGACGTTCGACGACGCCTTCCAGTCGCGTATTCACGTTGCCTTGCGATATGACGAATTGACTGGCAAGGCCAGGAAGGAGATCTGGAAGAACTTCATCGATCGCGTGCGCAAGCATGGAGAGCTGAACGACTCGAGCGATACCAAAGATGTCATTGGTGTGGAGCAGTTCTCCGAGGAGGACTTTGTTGCCCTTTCTCGACATCGCCTCAACGGGAGACAGATCAAGAATATGGCACGCACCGCGCAGGCTCTAGCGATCAATGAAGGACAGAAATTGACCATGGGGCATATCAAGCGCGTGCTCGATGTCGCCGAGACGTTTGATCGCGATTTGAAAGGCGGAGTGGGTTACTTGGATGCCATGAGGAGTTATACTTGAGAGAGCCTATGCATTCTCTTTGGGAGTGCTTCGCGCGCTGTCACTATCATCGACAGAAGAAGGTATTACTTTCTTATTCTTTTTATGGGACGGTACAACTCTCAGCTCTTAGCTCTCCGCTCTCATTTCTTAGTTGTGGAGGGGGGCTCAGGGCAAACATGGAAGTATTAGGTACAACACACACGGCAGACTTACAGCTAGCTAGGTATAGACCAGACAGTATAGTATACGAAACACACAGGACAACGGCTTCAGGATACATTTACCCTATCTCGTATAAGGTAAAGTACCTAGCTAGATAGACCTCTTTAGGGCTTGCTTTACTACTACGAATACCACGCTCGGACTGAGCATTTTCTTTCTTCTGTGTCGCTCTCGGTCACACAGACACTTTCCACGCGTCTCGTCGCTCCCGAACAGCAGCCGAGAACAGGAAGGGCCACGTAGCGATCAGGTATGTATATAGATCAGGATCATCAGGTACGTACATACCTAGTTCTGCCTAGATTCCCACTTTTTCAGGTAGTGGGGAAGGGGGGCAATGCATGTCTATAATATAAACAAACGTATGTATGTGAGTCGCAGCGACCTACTGTACCTGTAGGTAGCAGGATAACGAAATTGTATGGTCAGGATATCCCCAAACCCAACAACAATTGTGGAAATAATTCCTTCCTTTCTTTCTTCCTGTTCGAGAGACAACCTTAGGTAAGCTCAGAACAGCTCCGACGGACGAGAAGTAACCTACTTTACCTGAGGTGCCTAAGGTAGTTCTTTTTACTTTTCTATACGAGAGCGCAGAGTTTAGCCCATCGGGCGATCTCTCTTTGTAGGAGATCGGCATCGCTACCTTTTCGATGCGATTGGGTCATGTGGGCAGTATACTGTATGACGTCTTTGTCCTTCAAGGTGTCAATGTAAATATATAAGGTGTTGACTGTATACTGAACCTACTTACTGCGAGTTAGGTTCCAAAAAGAATCCGATGTCGTTATTGCACGATCGAGATATTGCGTGCAGAACGAGCGATAGATGGGATAGATGATTATGCTGACGTATCGAATGCTTCTTGGTGAGATCTCGATTGTCTCGTTTTGGGTAGAAGGCTAGGCAGCCCAGGGACTTGCTAAGTCAGGTATGGTATGGAAAAAAAGGCGTCCGTAGTGCATCACTCTCCTGATGGCCCTATCGGTTCCTGCCTAAGGTATAGACTGGCTTCGGTCGCCGAAGATGCAGCAGTAGAGACTTTCCGCATCGTGAAATGTATTGCGTATCTAGAAACTTAGAATGTGGACCCAAGTGAAATCTATCGTATGATAGGCGCATATCTCTTTCTCTACACATACCGGGAAATTTGGTTCGTGGAGACGTTCTGCTGATATCAGCCCGAGACGCCCGGAGCGAGCTCGTCGTCGATTGTCTGTTCACATCGATGATGGGGCAAGGAACGCGTTCACGAGCTTGGCGTATTGACAGAGTCTCACATTGTGAAGTGTATGTTCGGCCGAGGTTTCATCCTTGCGAGGTTAGCTACTACCTTATTGAGCAGGTGCGGCAGATCGCATGAAGCTACCAAAAGCCGATGCCAGAGTAGCCCAAAAGAACATACCTACAACACAACAATATATCTGTGATGGAGGTAGTGGTTTTCTTCCATAGAACTAGTCCGTGACGCTAAACTAGTTCTAACCGGTCAACTCACTAGCTTCACGCTTGTTGCAACGTCGTCTTCCACTTCACACTACATGTGCTTGCAAAGTTGTAATGGACTTGTGTACTACGAGAATGATGTGGCCAGAAGAGTGCAGCCACCATGGCCACCATGCTGACTGGGCTGGCCTCCAGGATCAGACTCCTTCTACCGAGTAGGGTTGGCGGAGCTTGCGAAGCTGCGGCTCCGTCGGTCTGCTGATGGCACGGATGTCCCTGTGATATCAACTTGGCCAGATCTTCTTGTATCCGTCTTGTACACATCCCCATCTGGAAAAAGCCTGTCGGTTGTCGATTGTCGCGGTGCCGAGCCTGTCTGCGATGCCCGCTCGCTCACACCTGACACACCAAGTCCGTCATCGAGAGACACAATGGTGCAGTCAGCAAAGGCTCCCAGATTGCGCGTGTATGAGGGCGAGGACGACGACGACGACGACGGCGACGACGACAATGTTGAGACGCGCGCACCATGCGAAGCGATGCGCGGTAGGATATACAGGCAACGCCATCGTGCAGCAGCCTCCTCGTGGCAGCGACGGTCTCGGCGTCGACAGCGTCGCTGGTGAAACCAGGCACGTCCAACCAGTCTAGACGTCGGTCGACGGGCGTGTGGCCTGCTGCGGTGCAACGAACGGCGATCCACACGCTGGGACTCCCCCACAAGCTGGAGGTGCTAGCGTACGTATTGGTGGCGCATCACGACACGCTTGGGCGGGCGCACCTGTGCAAGCACCCCATGTTGGTCAGTCCATACACGACCATTCCGCGCTCACCATGGCCACGTTGATGGCCGTGGAAGCCAAGCCAAGCGCTCAAGATGCGGATGAAGGCGCAGCTTAGGTGAAACAGGGTGACCCCTTCGTCCCGAGGAATCTTGTTCGCCATGTGCAGGAACCTAGAAACGTCTCAAACGGCAAATAAATGGAGCACTGCGAGCACCGGCCCTCTTCTACATCAATAAAGCCCGCCTTCTCTCTGACCACTGACTCTCTGTCACTCTCTGTCGCCTGACATTGCAATACCTCTTTCTATACAAACCACAAGCGAGCACAGTGTCAAACAGGACTCTCATCTCACTGCAATATACTTCGACAAAAGAGGGGCTTGCATTGCTAGCTACCTTACCTACACACTATACACGAGACACGACACCTCAACTACAAACCGACAATCTACCAACACACTCTACTCCAGGCGCAGCCGACGAGACATAACACAATCATGTCCCAAGTGATGACGCCACTGGCATGGCCCACCCAAGCACGCACAGTAACTCGCCAGCAAAAACACACCTCTCTCCTCACCACACCGGTCCCCACCTGCGCATCGACAGAATGGAAGTACGAATACTACAAAATCACATGGATGTTCCGTGAACTCATCGCCTCAGAACCACTCAGTGGCCCCCAAAAGTGGAAACAAGATCTTCTAGCCGAGGCTCTACGAGTCCTACACAGTATCCAAGACTCCTCCGAATCTCCCGCTGCTGCCTCGCGACAAGACCACAGCAAGTGGTGCGATGTCATGGTGCGCAGAATCATCGCGGAATCATTGTGGGAAACGGGGGGTACCGTCTCTTTCTACGATTGTTGCGAGCAGATGCGAACAGGAAGGAGCAAGGCTGCTGCTGCGAGATTAGCATCGCAGGCCAGACAAAGTTGGACTACAATAACAGGCACAGATCTTAGCACGGAATTCAGCCTGGCTGCATGAAGCATGCAAAAAGGGGATTGAAGGTGTTGATTTTTCGTTTTGTTTGTGCATACAGAAAAAATAGAAAGGAATGGATGGGATGAATGGATATGGAAGTCAGGTGAATTGTGACTTGTACCTTTTTGCGATACAGCACACAGCACCAGCCTAGAACCCAAGCTAGGAAAGAAAACAGGGACCAAGAAGTCGAGAAGTTATGAACGAACAGAGAGATGGAGCCAGCGCCAAATAGAGCGAGCGGGCAGTGGAGAGAAAGAAGGAGAGAGAAAGAAAGATACCAGGTAGCACACCAAACAGAGCTTGTTGAAACACTTGGTTGCATGTTGAAACACTACTTGAAAAGCATGTATGCATGTCCGTCTCTGTGTTGTTGTTGTATTGACTACCTTACTACATACAGTATTGATTCTGTCGTGAACAATCCACGAACTAGAATTTTTCTTATGTAGCTGGATGGACTGGCTGGCTACCTGTAGGTACATGCCTACCTTACATGTACTTCGATGCATGCACAAAAAGCAAAGAATCCATCAATGAAACCATTTGCCCTGCATACCATATCGAACCCCTCAAAATTGAGTTGGCTTCGCCTCGCTTCGAAACTTGACCTTATAGGCTTTATACCTTCCTTCAAGGTTGTGTGAGAGTGTGCTATGCCATAAAGTAAGTACGCGTTCGTACCTACAAGTCCCTACCTACCTGTAACTTCTTGATGTACCCAAGTTAAGTAGTAGGTAGTACCAAACTTTTCCCCTGCATCGACTTGACTTTTCTCCTGCAAATCGCCTTTCTGCATCGACATTTCAAGAACAAACACCAGATACCGGGGATTCAGAAGAAAAAAGAAGAGAGTCTTTCCCCCTCCTTCTCCCCCTCCCTCTCCCCGCACGTTTGTTTACTTGTTTGTTGTGTTTATTTGTTTAGGTTATACACATATATGCCTAAAGGTACATTAGGTATGTAAGTATGCAGAGCCGGAAACATAACATGTCTCAAACATGCTGCTGCTGTGCGTCGTATTATGCTGTGATCGGTTGCTTTGGTGCTGTGTTTGTGATATGCTATGCTTGCTACCTTATGCTGGGTGATGTGATGTGATGTGTGAGGTGCTTGCTGCAATCATTGCACGAAAGTGGGTCATTGCAGAGGCGAGCGTGGAGAGAGAGGTTTTCACTGTTCTGCGCTTTGCTATGAGCATTTTGATTAGGTGGAAAGTACCTGATGACTTAGTTATTACTACCTCACCTGATCCTTTTGGATAATGCCTTTCCATGTCTCTTGCCTATGAGATAGAAAGAAATCGGAGTTTGTGCATTTTGAATATTTACCTACCAGGTAGGTCTGATGTATGTAATCTTCAACCATTTCCAATATCCCACCTCATCACACACATCTGCAGACAACGAGACGTACTCAATAGCACTCGCACGACTGAATGTCTTTACCCCTCTCCAATTTCTTTCTTACGGTAGGTAGGAGGTACTACAACTAGTAGCCTTACTCCCCCACTCCTCCCCCCGCCCACGTCGTCTGAGGAGAAATTTGGTGGCACAGCAGCTACAGCAGCCCAACAATCTCCCCATCTTTCCAACTTCTCGTAATCGCTACCCGATGAATCTTATGGTACCGGACTGGCATTTCCTCACGGTACAGCTTATTGTTGAGGACTGTTCTGATGCGTCAGGTAGTTTCGTGAAGTGTATTATCTGGTACATATCGGGATGCTGTTCTTCAGTTTCCTTGATCGACATAGTAGTTGCTTGATCCGCGCTCGAGTACATATGAGGATCTTTGACCACCTCGATGTACGTAATTGACGAATCTCCTCGCCAGGCGTTCCTGTGAAGCTTGCTTTGTGGTTTGGGCAGGAGCTTCTTGTGACATTTCAGCGAGGAGCTCGCGATATACGGAGTCATAAGACACTTCGGAGCGAGCTCGACTTCGATATATTGCGAAAACAGAGAAAGGCTGAATGATATCGAGACAATCACAGAGATCATCCGACGTCGGTATTTATTGCCTCGACACAAGGCACGCAGGCTGTAGTACGGGTCCATCGTATCCATGCTGGCCATTGCGGTGGTCTAGACTTTGTGACTGCGGTGCAGAAGTTAACTGGCTCTTGCTTGCAGAAGAAGTAATTTCCTGCAGCGGTGTGCGTGCGGGTAAGAGCAGCCGTGAAATCATATGTGAATCTAGCCTCCCTGCCCGCCTGTGGACAGTAGAGCGTGCTACACCGTAGGGTGTTGTTCCGCATACTTGCTCTCAGCCCGTTTCTTGAGATCGCTCGTCCACAGCGCGAATTTGTCCTGTAGCGTACTGTGGTACAACCATTTGACAGTATATGCAAGGACACCCCCCATCACTTCCCAGGTCCTCACCTCACACTCCATATCAGACGTCGCGATGACTTCGTGGAAGCGCTCGCTGCGCAGCCCTCGAGCTACAAAGCCGCCATGCGTTGCCCACGACACTCGGTATACCTTGCTCTGATCAGCCGTGAAGCTAGGATCTTGCAACAGCTCTTCGCTGACATAGCCCGTTGGCTGTTCCGGTGTCGAGATGTCTGTGACGAGCAGGTTGGTCTCGGTGATGCCGGCAGGCTTCTTGGAGTTCATGACCACGTCAAAGGTCATGATACAGTTGGAGTGCATGTGGCTGGGATGATTCGCATCACGGCCATCTGCTGCCTCTTGCTTCGCGATACGTGCACTTGGCACAAACTGATTCCACTCCTTGTATTCGTCGGTATGGAGGACTATGTCGAATACGAGCGAGGCGGGCGCGGCGATGGTGGTAGACGAGGAGATGTGGAACACGGCATCTGTGCGTGGGACGACAACAGTGGTGAGTCCAGAGGATGGTGGCCAAGAGGAGGCGGAGGTCATGGCTGCTATGATTATGACGAAGAAGGCAATCTAATGTCTCTTGTCTGTGATAAACTGTTGAATGTTGTTGTACATGTGCACGACGAGTAAACAAACGTACCTCCACCTTACATAACGAAGGGTGGATAGAGTTTGCACAATTCCTGCACAAGGAGAACTAGCTCACCATCCATCTACAGTATACATCGGTGTATTTTACTTCAACACATTCATCAACATGCATCGTTATGCATCAACGAGCAACAGGTACAGGGTACGCGACAATTAGATGCTCATCATGCTTCCCGCCGCCTTTGGATATTGAGGAAAAGATTGGCCGTCCTGCTCGCCTATCTATGTAGCCTGGCACGAACCAATAGCAGAAGACTCGAGATCGCGCTGATGGAGTGTATATCAGAGAGTATGAGCTGTTTGACTGTGCTCACTACTACCAGCTCATGTGCAAATCATGGTCGACATTGGCGTGTTCATACCGATCGGCAATAATGGATGGCTCATTTCTAGCAATTCTCCGCAATACAAGCCAAGCTTCGAGCTGAACAAGCAGGTCGTACAAAAGGCTGAGCACCATGGTGAGAAACGAGAAGAGAAGAGAGTGAAAAGACTGATGAACTAATGGCAGAAAGGGTTGGACTTTGCACTCTCAATGGTCAAGCTACGAGGCTTCGGCGGCAAGACTGAGTTCTGGGACCACAATCTGGAAAGCTTCACGTTGATGTCAGCTATTGCAGCAGTCACTTCGAGAATCAAGCTCTTTGCTTCCACTGCAGTCCTGACTCTCCCTCCTGCCCTTGTGGCGAGAATGGCCGCGACGATAGACTCTATTGCCCCCGGTCGATTCGGTATCAACATCGTGACAGGCTGGCAGTCTGCCGAATACTCTCAGATGGGACTTTGGCCAGGAGATTCTTATTTTGGCTATCGATACGACTATGCCACCGAGTATGTACAAGTGATGAAAGATCTGTGGACGACAGGAAGCAGTGATTTTAAAGGCAAACACTTCACCATGGAGGACTGTAAGCTATCGCCTCGACCTAGCAAGGGAATCATACCCATTGTCGCTGCTGGCCAATCTGGTCGAGGCGTGGAGTTTGCATCTCATTACGCCGACTTCAACTTTGCAATGGGCAGTGGTGTCAACACTCCCGCTGCATTCGGCGCCGCGACAGCTCGGCTCGTCGAGGCGACCAAGCTGACGGGCCGTGATGTCGGCTCATATGTACTGTTTATGGTCATCGCTGACGAAACGGACGGGGCAGCGGAGGCGAAATGGAAGCACTACAGAGACGGCCTTGATGAAGAAGCTGTCGCTTGGATGGCTTCACAATCCGGCCAGGACAAAAAGGCTGATGCGAACTCCACAGCTGCGACTCTCGCTCGACCAGAGGGTGCTGTGAACATGGGTATGGGGACTCTTGTGGGTTCGTATGCCAAGGTTGCCAGTATGCTCGACGAGGTGGCAGCAGTACCCGGGACCAAAGGCATTATGCTCACCTTTGATGACTTTTTGCTCGGTCTCGACAAGTTTGGAGAAAGAATACAGCCTCTAATGAAAAGCAGACAGAGCAGAGCCCGATGGCTGAACGTACAAGATGAGCGAGGATGGCGGTGGTGATGATAACCAATCATTCCTAAAAGTACATACTTCATCCCACCTTCCAGCCAGGCCAAGTATTATGTACAAGTACAAAGTTAGAGATCCAATCGTGATAACTTCAGCCTCACCACTACCTCCCTTTCAACAACCCCTCCTTCTTCATCTTCCTGACCTCCTCCACAGTATGTGCAACAATTTTCCTCGCCATTTGAAAGTACTCACTCTGTTTCTCCCGATACTCCTCACTCCCTTCCTCGACCTCAGGACAATGCCACTCATACATCGAAGTCAAATACATCTGTCCCTTGTCCTCCCCACTCCCCGGAGCCAGAATATTCGTAATGAAGGACCCATTCCGAGGAAATTCGAATTCAATCTAAGGTAATCATTCATACCATCATAAATCAGCTCCTTCCTTCCTCCCTTCCTTCCCTCAACCAATAGGTACCTAAGGTAGCAATTTTCTTTTTTTTTTTAAATAAAAAAACTCACCATAACAGGCCTCTTCAACATCGCGAATTCCTTCACTTCCTCCCCCTTCCCCCGACGACCACTTCCCTCCCCGCGAATCATCCTCGTCAATTGTTGGAGATGTCCCTCGTCATCTCTTGACTCGTCGACGATGCGACAGGCGGAGATTTGGTCAATGTGGGGTACGGGGTCGAGACAGATGCGTTCGAGGGCGGTCCAGCATTCGGATTGGGTGAGATTTTCATCAGAAGAGGAAGAGGAGGAGGAGGAGGAAGAGGAAGAGGAAGAGGAGGATTTAGAACGAGGAGGAGGGTTGATGGGGGCGGTTGCAGAGGCGTAGATGATTACCATTGTTTTGTCTATCTCATGTAAATGTAGAGGATAGATGGGTGGGAGAAAAAAATTGAGAGAGATGGGGTAAGATATTTTATATGGATCCAGATAGGCAAGGTTTAGTTAGGCATTCATGTATCTTCAATTTTTGCTTTTGCTTTTGCTTTTTCTTTTTGCTATCACTTTCATGCAATTCGCGGTGACGTTGTTCAAGAAGGATGTCTCTCGTTCACGCAGTGTACTTTGTCTCGCTATGGTCGCGGCTGTAGCGGTATAGAGAAAGAAGGTTTGGTGCCTTGCAGCGAAAACGTGCAGGTGCCATCGAGTCATTGGCTTCTGTTCACGATGAGTTCACGTAGCGCTCTTGAAAACTGCCACGTCGCACTACACCGCTGGACCGGGCGGGCTTGAGCAGATAAATGTGTGTGCGTCATTTGCTTCTTCAAGTCGACGCGTGGGACCAGCACGAGACGATTGCGATATGTATGTTGGGACAGACCTCTTGAATACACCGCCGCTCGGGTCAAACGACATTTGGATCTTCCTACTTCTGGGCTGGGTTGAAACTCTCAGATCTGCCAGCGTGATATCATCCGTGCAGTTGATTGCACTGCTTCTGCTCACCAGCGGTAGACGGCGAGCAAGTTGCAGCGCTTCCCGCGAGGCGCTGTAGCACCATCGGACCAACTCGTTACCACCTAAGCGTAAGGATTTCCTTCTTCAAATTGGGGTTTCCAGAGACCCTTCTGTTCCTTGGTCTTGAGCTGTATACCTCGCAGAAAGCCATAAATGGTCTTCAGCGTCGGCGCCGGCACACCGAGTCGTTCTGCCTCCCGTACTGGCTCACCAACAATGTTCTCACTTTCGATATAGTTGCCCTATTGCCGTTAATATCGAGTGTAACATTATCTTATCGGGGACGAAGACTCGCCTTCGCAACGTCCTGTCCCATGCTGGGCATAAAGGCCGTATCTGTAGGATCGCACCGAATCAACTTTTCGTCAACCCCTTCTGGCAAATCTACCCCAGCGGCTTTCGCAATGGCAATGATCTCTTTCATGGCCGGCCTGATCAGATCATCAATCACAATCTCGCTCATCCTCATTCTGGCTGTGTCCATGCCCATGATTGCGGAGACGCTGTTGAAAGACGAGTTGTAGACTAGTTTCCGCCATCGCGTGAACGTCACATCCTCATCGTACGACCAGTCGACCTTGCCGCAGGCATTGTACATGTCTACAAAGCGTCTTGCCTCTGCTACCGCTTTCTCAGAAGGCACGTTCTGCCCGGAGAATGGACCGCACTTCGTACTGTCGGAGTCGTCGTGTCTGATCACGCCGTGTGAGACTTCTGTGGTCCCGACCAAGGATACGCCCGAAAGGACAACGTTTCCCGGGAAGCGATGGATAATGGGCTTCTCGATGTTCAATCCATTCTGCAGGAGGACTATCGTGGTGTGGCCCGGAGTCACCGCAGGCTCGATGATGTCCAACAACGTGGGGCTGACATCCGGAACGTTCTTCGTCGTGGCAACTAGATAGTCATACTTCAAGCCTTCCTGCTCGACGTTCGGCACAGTATTTCGGAGGTGAGACGGCCGAAACCCGGTGATATCGCTGCCATGCTCGATCGAGTCGATTGTGAAGCCATTCCTCTTGACGGCCTCGTAGTTCGAGCGACAGATGGCTGTGACCTCTGCCTGGCCTCCTACTTCCAGAGCATATGCAGCCAGCGTCCCGACTCCCCCGGAGCCCACCACGAGCACCTGTGTCTTGGGGGCTGCGGAGCCCATGTCACCGGTCATGCCCCGTGTGCGTCGTCGTTGACACTTACCGTGTGTGAGTTGTGGTCAGCAGTATGGTCGTGAGCATTGAGGCGTGGCGTCCTTGATTTTATTAGGTACCTGAGCTATAGGTTACGCAGTTGGTAGTAGTAGGTTCATGTACCTGACTACCTAGGTATCAAGACATTATTTGTAGAGGCAAGTGGAGGAAACACTTTCCTCTTCAAGCAACCAATCACATGCGTTATACAGATCCGACGGCGCCCGGGCCGAGTATCATCGTGTTGTACAGAATTGGGCAAGTCTACTCGGCGTTTGATGGCTTGAATAGCCGGACATTATCGCAGAACGCTGAAACTTGATGGCCCCACGCCTCCTCTTCATCGATACCAGTTCCCAGACTGCAGAAAGGACTGATGTGGTTGTGTCCCGGCATAATGTCCACTGCCAAAGTACTCCGACTTTGCTTTGTGCCGATTGCGAGCCACTCCGCGATGAAATCGTCCCGCGTTTGGAACAGCTCGTCCACGGGATCGAGGTCTCCATTGAGTATGAATGTGTGCATACCTGCCTGCATAATGTCTATAGGTCCAGCTTTCTTGGCCGTCTTGAGCAGACCCAGCGGCACTTCTTCATCAAGATTTGCAAAGTATGCCTTGTTCGTTTCTGCTCGATTTGCGTGCGAGAACTTCATGTGGAATGGCACGGAGAGCAGAATTGCGCCTCGCAATCGTGTGCCGTTTCCCGAAAACAGCTTGGCTCGTGTAGGCGCGAAAGACTGGTGCAGTAAGAAAGTGGATGTGTGAAGACCTCCCGCAGAATTGCCCATCACAAAGATATCAAGCGGATCGTTGCCAAAAAGGTCTGCATGTTGCGCAACCCATTCTACGGTCAGGGAAACGTCCTCGCCTCCAGATGGGAATTTCACATCGTGTTTCCCAACCAAGCGGTAGTCGGGCACGACGACGCTGTATCCTTTACGCAATGCGAAGAAGGATGCGATGTTGGCGTGACACAGATTGTCGGCGTATCCAGGAAGTGTTTTATCTCCCCGTATCAGGCCGCCTCCATAGCAGAAGATCAGAACTGGTATTCTGCCATTGCGGACACTGGGCTTCGGTGTCGTGTACACATCGAGCTGTTGCCGCTCATGTGGTCCATACGAGTGCGTTGTTTTCTTCACAGACTCGATTGTCTGCTTGTTCTTCTGCAGCAAAGGTGCATACAGCTTCATAGTCGGCGCAACGACTTCGCTAACAGCGGTGCCGAGTGGTGGTAAGTGCTCCATGGTGATGGCAATGCTCCTGTCGTTCACGAGGGATGGTCAATGGAATGTGCACAGCTCGCTCAACAATGGAACCCAGCTCTTGATCTCGTCGCTCTTCTACCCTCTGGCGACTCCGAGGGCTCCTACACGCCAGAGCTCAAGAACTGCCTTCTGTTGACGTAGCTGGAGTCTGGAGAAGGTCTCCTCATGTTCGAGACCCGGAAGTCCACCCTGTCCGACCCACTCGGACATCATACGTGACTCCAGTCATTCCACTCAGCTTCTAAACCTTCACGATTGTTGGACAAGTCGACGCGAAAGGGCAAGGCAGAATGCAAGACGCGTGTGTTGTCCGAGGGTTCGTGCGAAACCAATGACACCGTACGAGCCGCAAAAGAGGAAGAGATCTGCCGGAACCCGATATACTTAGATGGTGCCTCTCCACTCCGTTCAAAGCCGTTCGTATCCTGCATTCACTTGAGCTGCTTGAGCATACCGGACCTCCTACCGATGACGCGAGTGGAGGGGTGAACCAATGGTAGACCTTACGCCCCACTGGAAGCAAGCTCAAGGCCAGTAGATGATGTTTCATTTTTCTGCAGAAAGACAAGATGAAGTTGGGGGTCTGCTGCATTTGATCTGGAGTAGATCGTATCTGTAGTTGCTCACTCGCCCTTGACCTCCACCCCGTCCATCTCAAGCCTGCAAAAAAGTACCTACCTTGAACATTCACCAACATCATGGCATCTACACAACGTGCCCCTGGCGTCCCTGGCAAGCCCTATGTCATATCCTCTCAAGAAGGAGAGTCCATTTACATCCCTCTATCCAAGTCGGCCACACGTCTGCTAGTGACGGGCAAAGAGACCGACAATGCATTTGCAGTGATTGGGAGCAGCGGCAGTCAAGGCGATCCCGTGGGATTCCACTATCACAAGCACACTCACGATATATTCATCTGCCTCAAAGGCAATGTGAACGTCTGGGCGAACGATGAAGCACGAACAATGAGTCCTGGAGACTTTGCCAGTGTGCCTCCAGTATGTTACAGACTCGTAAAATGCCCATATCCACTACCGTGACTGACGTCGTCATCGCAGAATGTAGTGCATCAATACCAACTCACTGGCAATCACTCGGAAATGCTCGGGCTGATCGTCCCCGGAGGCTGGGAAGAATTCTTCCGCTTTATTGGAGAGTCCTACGGGGGACCCCTTTGGCCACTTGACGATGAACGCAACCCTCTCGAAGTCCTCGTCCCAAAGCTCAAAGCTGCCTCCGAGCAATTCGATATGACTCCAGTTCACGACAAGAAAGAGTTTGATCCTCAGCCTTGGAAAGGAACCGAACACGCATTACCAGGAAAGCTCGAGCCTTACTTCCTGAAGCATGGCACGGGTCCGGCATATGCGGCTGGAGGAGCGCTGGTCCGGCCACTCATTACCACTGCAGAGTCCGATGGCAAATTCGTGATTGCCACAATCGAGGGGGTATCACACCACAGCAAGCAAGATGTCTTTGCAAGTGGGCGGAAGCTGAAGTTTGCCGAGACACATCATGCTTTCCAGATTACAGAGGGACATGTTGAGTTCCAGGTTGGATCGTCACCGCCGTCGCATCTTCACGCTGGGGAGCTGGTGTATGTTCCAAAAGCGACTCCATTCAGCTACCATATCCGCTCGAGGTATGCTAAGCTGTATGCTTTCGCAAGCGGCAAAGGTCTGGCCGAGCTGTTGATTAAGGCTGGTGAGAAACATGGCCTGCCTACCCCACCTGAGAAGGCCAGTGAGGTGAAGACGGAGCATCTGCATAGCTTAGCGAGCGAATTTGGTCATGAGGTCGTGTGAAGGAAAGAGACACGATGAGCAGGAATCGAAGTCGACTGTGTGAACACACTTCCCGTTGTCTGATCCCTATCAATCAGATACGCGTCCTAGTACCGTAGAAATCCAATTGCTGCCATTCCTGCTGTTGCTTGCAGCTCACCGCGTCAAGGCCTGCCAGACTTTGCAGGGTCAAGGACTTAGGTACCTGTAGGCGGTAGTGCCTCCTAGGAGGTAGGTAGTGGTGAAAGGAAGAGAAACATGTTTTGACACGCGTTGTGCAGGTGAAAAGAAAGTGGTCAAGCGCTAGCGCCCGTCCCAGGCGAACCAATAGGAGCTACGATGATCATGGCGTTCTCCAGAGGGCAGGTGCATCTCGGAATTTAAGCCGTGCGGAAAGAGCGGCGTAACGCGGTGCATGGGAAGCTCTGGTGGGGAATATGCTCGCGCGTCTTCCGGTAGATGATGCAGCGTGGAAAGGCAGGCACGTAGGAGGTACAGTACCGGATGGAGAAGGTACGGCGTTAGGGAAGCACACCTACCTGCCTTAAGGAGGAGACAGCAGACGACAGGGAAGGACCAAAGCTCCTGTTCGTACTTCTGTATATGACCACAACGCTACCCACCAGCACAAGACTACTGACATTTCACCAAACGGGTGAGCCCACACGATGTACACAGCTTCATTCGCCTTCTTCGAGGCCCTATGGGAGGTGAGTGACAGCGAGCTGTACTCGTGGAAATAGCCCCCGGGCTGATCATACAGCTAGGCTGGAGTGACCCATTGCTTCGTCAATCTTGGTTCAGACCACCCTTCAATCTTGGAAGCGATTGTGAAAGGGCAAAATGAGAAGAAAGGCGCCTTTCCCCGCATCATCACATGTCCAAACGAGATGGTAGCCCTGAGCATGGCAGATGGCTTCGCGAGACTTACCAACAAGGCTCAAGCGGTCATCATTCACGTGGACGTGGGCACCCAAGGCCTCGGAGCTGCCGTGCACAATGCCAGCAGTGGAAGAGCACCTGTGCTGATCTTTGCGGGCTTGTCGCCATACACGATCAACGGGGAGTACAGAGGATCGAGGACAGAGTATATCCACTGGATGCAGGACGTGCCTGATCAGAAGGCCATAGTCGCCCAGTATTGCCGCTACACAGGTGAGATCAAGCGAGGGAAGAACGTGAAAGAGCTGGTCAACCGAGCATTGAGCTTCGCCATGAGTGAGCCGAAAGGGCCAGTATACTTGTACGGCGCGAGAGAAGCAATGGAAGAGGATATTGATCCGTACCAGATCAATCAGGCCCACTGGACACCTGCAGAGCTTGGAGGTCTGAGCGCGAGACAGCTGAGGGAAGTCAGTGAGGCTTTGGTAGGTGCCAACGAGCCGTTGGTCGTGACAGGCTACAGTGGACGCAATAGTGCTGCGATGAAAGCTTTGGTCTCGCTCGCGGACACTGTTAAAGGCTTGCGAGTGCTGGACACTGGAGGCAGTGACATGTGCTTTCCCGCCGACCATCCCGCCTGGCTGGGCATGCGATTTGGCGTGGAAGAGAGCATCAAGACTGCAGATGTGATTCTTGTGCTGGATTGTGATGTGCCGTGGATACCGACTCAATGTAGACCAAGTCCAGACGCAAAGACCTTCCACATTGATGTCGACGCCCTCAAACAGCAGATGCCAGTATTCTACATCAATGCTATTGCGCGTTACCGAGTCGACGCAGAGACGGCTGTCACTCAAATCACGGGCCATATCAATGCTAGCATGAAGGACAAGATTTCATCGCAGAGATTCACAGATCGTGCTACCGCGCTGCAGGCGTCATACCAGAGCAGACTGGAAAAGATTGCTCAGCAAGTTGTTGTGTCGGAAGATGGCAACTACGGCTGTCCGTACCTCATCCGGCAAGTTCGCGACGCATGCCCACCGGACACCATCTGGGCGATTGAAGCGGTGACCAATACCCCATTCGTGGCCGATCAAATACAAGCGACACTACCCAACTCATGGATCAATTGCGGAGGAGGCGGCCTGGGCTGGAGTGGAGGGGGCGCGCTCGGTATTAAGCTCGCAACGGATTTTGAAAATGGTGGCACGAACAAGGGCAAGTTTGTGTGCCAGATTGTGGGCGACGGCACTTATCTATTCTCGGTCCCTGGCTCAGTGTATTGGATCGCACAGAGGTATAACATTCCAGTGCTGACTATAGTACTGAACAATCAAGGTAAGCTGTTGTCCCCCGTTCATACCATTACCTACGTACGACAAGCTAACAACGACCTTTTTCCTGTTTTTCCTTCCCCAAGGCTGGAATGCCCCACGTAAGTCTATGCTTCTAGTCCATCCTGATGGCGAAGGCTCCAAAGTGGATAACATCGCCCTCAACATTTCCTTCGCGCCGACACCCGACTACTCGGGCATTGCGAAAGCTGCTTCTGGCCACAAGGCATGGGCGGGCATCGCGGGAAATGCGGAGGAGCTCAAGAGATTACTGCCCGAGGCAGTGGCGGCGGTAAAGAGTGGCGTGTGTGCAGTGCTGGATGCACACCTGGATGGGCCCGAGGGCAAGTATCCCGGAGACAAAGCCGCGCTCGTGGGCTAGGAAGAAGCAGATTGAAGAGGGGTGTCTGCAGCATTGCCTCACGAGCGCGTCTTTTCGAAAGATTCTGTATACTCGAGCGGATTCCCAATTGCACGGTAAGGACCTTGATGGTTCTGACATGTTCCGGGATTTGTTTGGAGACATCCTCAAGGCACGCTTCGAACGAGCTTCCCATACGTGTATCAAGTCTCTCCAACGCCCTTGCCCTCATTGACATGGATCTGATCACAGGAGCCCATGTAATCGCACAGATCATCTGCCTGCTGATTTGGGCACAGTCGGGCTACCACTCGAGCTGACGATGGAAGCACACGGCGAAATTTCCATTTCATTCCCCTCCGGGGACACCGAATCCCTCCACCGCGTTTCATTATTCGCGTCCTTGTGCAATTCCTTCTCCGACCCCCCATCATCATCATCATCATCATTCGCGGTTGTGATGAAATTCAGCCTCGCTTGTTCCTGGACCTGCTGTTCTTGCGTCCGTCTCTCCCGTGCATCGCGATCGCGTACTCCATGCAGCGGATCGCGTCTTCGGGGGAACCTCAACGCAGGTCTCTGTTGTGGATCGCCTTGACTCCTGATATTGCGAACCATGTGGGGAGGTACATGTACTCTGGGAATTCGTTCTCGATCTCGATCTCGATCTCGGTGTTGTTGTCGTTGTCCCTCATCGTCTTCTTCATCTTCTTCTCCTTCTCTGCATGAGCGCTGGACTACGACATGGACGTCTTTCTTTAGACAAGAACCACCTCGGTCCAGGCTACCGCGACTATCACCTCGGTCATTCGAATGATAGTCCATTTCCGGTCTCTTGATGGACAGGTCTGTCAATTGGTCGACTTGGTCATCCGTGCGATACTGTGTCCATGGCTGGAACGTGTCCAGACCATGCGCATCCTGGTTCTGTATTGTGGGTCCAGCAATGAGTGAGCGCCTGGTCAGCATGTAGAGAAGAACATCGAGCCAGCCGCTGCTCGTCAGCATCACGCCGAAGAAAGTTAGCTCCTCAGTACTAGCTTTGCGGCCTGTCATGATCCGTAGCCTGGTGACAACAGCCGGTAAGGTACAGACCACGTAAATGATAGGGTAGGAGATTGCAGTCCTCGCTGCGGACTCGGCTCGCAGTTGGTTCTCCGAGGATACATAGAAAAAGCTCCGGATCCGACGCCATAGGATCACGAACATCAGCGTGTACAGGATGACAACGCAGAATTCGGTGAGCAGGAGCCACACGTAGTGTAGCCAGAGTCGCTCCGGCATGTATGTCTCACTGATCCAGCACCTTTGGAAGCGAATGCGGGTCAGCGATGGTGGTCTCGTGGCGGGCCAGTACGGTGGAATATCAATGCTGCTTACCAGATTCCTGCGCGCATATAAAAGTCCTGTGGATGTAATATCACGCCTGCGAATCGTTCGTCAATGCTGTTCCTTATTTGCACAAGGAAGGTCGGCAAGCGGCGATACTAACCAATTGTTGCCAACACGTAAACGAGTGTCCATATTCCTGTACAGAAAAAGGGCGAGAAGTAAGCACACAACGCCTTCCTCAACCCGGTGAATCAGGTAGTGTTCGATTGCTCCCTCGGACTCACCAACAATCATGGCAACGAGTGGGCAGTGGGCCATGCGATAATCGAACACAATGTCTGCAAAAAGATGGCCTGCCATGGCCAGAGTGAAGAGGCCGCTGGCCACATCGCCGGCGTTCAAGAACCAGCCTTGTGTCCAGCACATGGGGTCGGGGGCGAAGATGCCATCGTCCTTGAGCCAGCCAATACCGAATGCAAAGCCCAGAGCTTGTTGGAGGTCGGCGAAGACGAGGTTGAGCAGGAGAGCGACGTATGGATTGACGGGTCCATGGGTACGACGTTTCCACGTCAACACGCGACACAACAGATGGGCGAAGAGAATGGCAGTGGCGACGAGGGAGAAGAGGGCGAACGTCGTCACTGCCGTGATGCCTCGATGCGAGTCGGGAGGAAGGGGCGATAGGGTCTCGTCGGGCACGGGAGCGTAGAGCTCCAGAAGGGAGAGCATCGTTCCTTCTCGTTGTTTCCAGCTGTAGTTCCAGTTGTTTCCAGCTACACATGTAAGCTGGAGGTAAGGTATGTACCTAGTACTAGTAAGTAGTAGTGACTAAAGGGCCGGAGAAGCGTCTGGTGGTGAGGTGTCCATGGCCTGGAGAGAGGAGGCTTGTTTCGCAAGAGATGGAAAGGAAAAGAGTCAAGTAAGGTAGGTAGGTCGGGTAGTGAGTGGAGGAGTGGTAGTGGTCGTCCGTCCAGCGATATGGATGGGCCGTTGATGGTGGTGGTGGTCGTCGTCGTGGGCCCTCGTCCAGTAGTCGTTCTAGATGCGCGCTCTCCGCACGTCCAAGCAGCAAGCATCATCGAACTAATGTCTTGTCGAGTGTCGACTGTGACCGGGATGGGATGGGATGGTACGTAGTGATCATGGTACCACCGTAGTCGCTGGCCACGCGACACTGGCATGTCGAGGCTCAACCACCCTCGACTTCAAGTCCCAGCCGTCCGGGATGCGTGTTTGGGGGCCATCTGGCACTGTCAGGCAGTGGCAGCAACAAAAGCTTGTCCGTGAGTGTCCAATTTGGTTGAACGTCGCACCCTCGCTACATCCTGCGAGCTGCATTGTTGCCTGCGAGCAAAGAGTGTAGGACCGCGGGCCGCGTCATTTGGATGGTAGGGGGAAATGTCCAAGTCGGGAGGTGTTGACGGTACCTCCTATTGTTCCCTCGCCATTGGGCAAAGCTACTTCTACAACAGTACCTCCTACCTACGGTAAGCTAGGTACCTGTGACCTTTACTTCTTGTTCGCTTCTGTTCCGCTCGGCGGGGCTATGGGCAGCCCTTGGATTCGTCTAACCGCAGCCCTAGACGTAACACACCTCGACATCTCGTTATCGACGTAATATACTCCGCTGCCTGAGGCGGCAGGCCCGCCTCTATATCGCTACTGCTACCGCTGCCACTGTCGCAAGTCTCGCCGTCGCGACTCCCGTCTCCTTTACGAATCTGCCTTTACCCCTTCAAAATAGGTACGATTATTAATCGCGAGCGTACGATACGTATACCTATATATAAGATAATCGGCTTCTACGAGTAGCGAGGCAGATTCGTAGGGGAGAGTCGTAATAGTAGTAGCGACGTAGCGTCGCTGCGACACAGAGGTAGCGAACTTCGAAGTATTTTACGTCGATAACAAGAAGTGGACTTAGCGGAGCTGCGGAGGTAGGTATATTACGTACTGTCTGGGTGAGTTACGTCTAGGGCTGCGGTTAGACGAATCCAAGGGCTGCCCATAGCCTCGCCGTGTTCCGCTCTCGTTTGTTTCCCTTTTTGGTGTTTACTACATGTATGTTGTTGGTGATGAAAAACAATCTCACCTCCACAAATAGAACTCACTCGAACGCGACCTCGTCGACGCCAAGGAACCCGGGCGGGAAGGACGACGTTTCGTGCGTTGCAAAACCTGCACATCCGTGAAGAGGAACCACCAGGTTGACGGCTCTTCCGATGCAGTCTGGCAGAATCCAGGCCACTTAATGATCAAGTTTTGCGATGCCACTGCCGCCGAATACGGTGGACATCTATGGGAGACTTGTTCACTCGTCCAGCATCAGGGATGGACTCCCAGTCGACAAGACTGTGCCACTACGACCTTTTCGGTAATCTACCAGGATCTGTGCGGTAGGGCCAGGCTGGCCAGCATTATGTTGGGCGTTATCCTCATGGGCGGCGGAAGCGGGCATTCATTGGTGGGAACGCGCCGTGCCGGGACAGGCGACAAGAACTCCAGGATGAAGCACTGTACATATCGAGCAGTTGTTCGTTTTGGTTTGTCTACGGTTGTCAGTACTTGCTACTCAGTCGTATATAGCCTATACTATAGGAAGACGGGGATGCAGGCTACCTGGCAGGCTCATTAATGGAACTCCACCCTCATTGAGTCATTTGTCCGCTCTTCTTTGAAACTGACTCACTAATAGCGCGGCACACCCTCGGTGGTAATAAGGTATATCCAGTATTCTGTATTTAGGTGGAGGGTACATAGTACATGTACCTGCTCACTGTACTTCCCCGTGGGGAACAGTAGTAGTACGGCTCCGACGACGACACAGTGAACAGAGAGCGGCAAGTGACAGTATGTCAACAAGGCTGGCTTCTTTCGACCACGACCCATCTCAGTAGAGCAGCCAGCAGGTAGAAAACTCTAGCCTGCCAATTGTTGCTGTCCTTCTTTAGCCTTTCCACGCGCTGTTATACTCACTCTCTGTTTCTTCTCCATTCTCTCGTAGAGCCTGGTCGGTTGCTACTTATGTACCTGTATACGTGTACCTCTCCTATGCGAGGCAGCTCAAAGAGGTAACTCACTAAACTCGAAAACGTCGTGCAAGTCGCTAAAGGAGAGCCAAAAGGGTGGCGCGCGGGGGAGAGGTACTGTTGTATACAATCGCATCCATGTCCGGCTCCGAATCGCTATGCAGGGCAGAGAGCATCGTCCGAACCGAGCACTTTTTTTGTTGTTACTGTACTGTTGGGTGTTGGGTGTTGGCTATGGTAAGGTAGTATCCATCCCACCAGTAGTACTGTACATGTAATCGGAGGCCGGGCAGCATTCGGGCTCTTCTGGTGTTTGCCATGGCGTGGTGTCATTCCACACGCAGAATCTTATAAACGAGCACTGTAGGAAACGAGAGATGCAACTCTGTAAAAGAGTGTGTGACTTCTCGCGTGGCCGCCGCCGCCGCCGCCGCGCCGCATGAATGGAACTATACTTATAGGTGAGCTGCCTGTACCTGGGAACTATCATTGGACAGCTAGGACGTAGGAACTCTTCGGCACTTGAGCTTACGCGAAATTGCTCGCCGACCCATGCATCCATTGCGTTTACACTCCTCCTTCTCCTCATACAGTCATACATTCATACAGTCGTACAGTCATACAGTCATACATGATACCTCGCTTATATCCATAGCATTGCGCAAGTCTGGGTGCATCTTGCCATCCATTATATCATCGTTCCGCTCTGTGAACATATCATCTGTTGGTAGCATCTGGCGAGTGCTGTAACGTTACGTCGCCCTATACCTCCTTCAAGACCTCTTGTTTACTCTCATCGTCGCTTCGTGAGGTGCCCATCTTGGTCATCACGAAGCCGATCCTTGGCGCCGTGTCACGAATGACCTTCTGCAAGCAGACGTCTTCGATCGCCGTGTCAATGACGCTGATTGCAGAGACGTCGGCTGCGCCATCAGTCATACCATCGCTCTCATCGTCATCCCAGCCCTTGCGGTGAGGAGGCTCCATCTCGTTTGCCAAGGACGTGTCGAAGTGTGTATATTGCATAAGACTCAGCATCTTCGCTTTGCCAGAAGAGTCACGATTGTCTTTGGCTTTGCGCTTCAACTCAGCCTCTTGCGCGTCCCGATCCACATTGGCGAGTGTGCTTGTGATTGCTTTCGGCACATAGACTTGTTCGTCGTCGCTGTTCTCGAGGTGGAGCACCTCAACTTCTTCCATGTTCAGTGCAGCAAGATCATTCCTGCTAATGTGCTCAATGACCTTTTCTTCCACTGCCTCGGAGATTGGAAGGCCGTTACGCTCACATTCGCAGCCTAAAAGTCGGTGAGTTTGGCAGTCGTCCTCTTCGTCTAGCGAGAACAAGTCACGCAGCTCCGCAGTTGAGAAACCACTGGCTGCAGCTTTGCCATCGACAATGCTGTCTGCAAGTCCAGTCTTGGTGACTTGTCGCTGGAAGATCTTCTCGTCCATGGCACCCTGGGTCACGAAACGATAGATGAAGCACGGCTTCTTCTGTCCATCTCTGTGAATACGAGCCATTGCCTGAAGATCCAGCGCTGGGTTCCAGTCCAGATCATACATAATCAGTCTGGAAGCTCCGATCAAATTGATCCCGGTGCCGCCGGCTTTCGCAGACAGCAAGAAGATGAACGAATTGCTCTGCGATGATCTGTTGAAGCGATCAACCATGTCCTGGCGCTTTGATTGGGGTGTACTTCCGTCTAAACGAAGATAGCTCATGCCGAGCGATGTGATGAGTGCAGCCAGAATGTCCATTGTCGAAGTGTAGTTGCTCACCAAGACAACTTTGTCATCTGTTTCATTCTTGATCTTAACCAAAAGTTCATCGAGCACCTGGATCTTTGCAGAGGCTGCCGGTGTACTGAGCAGTTTTCGTGGTATGCCCTCGATGAACTCAGGTCGCTTTATCTCCTCGCCCTTGACGTTCGTCCCAAGCAGCAGGGAAGGACTGTTACAGACCTTCTTCAAGATCATGATCAGCTCGAGGCTAACGGCAGGAGAGTTCAGAGCAGTGGCGAATGCCTGTGTACTGATGATGGTGCGGTAGATCTGGCGTTGTGCATCGGTAGGCCTGCAAAAGACGACATATTCCGTCTTTGGTGGCAGATACTTGTCCAGGATTTCGGCTGTGCGGCGCAAGATGAACTTGCCAGTGAGATTGGCAAGCTCTTCGCTACGGGCCTCACCCTTCTCCAAGTCCTTTTCCGCTGCGCCTGGCTGGCGCGACTTCATGATGGGAGTCTCGAATTCTCGCTTGAAGGTCGTGTACTTGCTCAGGATGTTAGGATTGACAAAATCGACCATCGTGTAAAACTCCGCAAGATCGTTCTGGACCGGCGTGCCGCTCAAGATGACTCGACGCTCGGTGCTGAGAGTCTTGATGGCACTTGCAGCTTTATTGGTGCTCGTTTTCAAACGATGACCTTCGTCGCATATGACGATGTCAATGCCAGATGCGCCTTGCAGCTCCTTTTGAACCTTGGTAAGTTTTTCATAGCCAATGATCATGACATGATATGCTTTGCCTTTAGTGAAATCGGTGAGTCGCATCTTGCCATTCTCCACCATGTAGACTCCAATGCGGTCATTTCCGAGCCACCTAGACAGGAGTGTGCTGGTCAGCCAGAGGTATCAGATGTCTTCACCGGCCTTGCTTACTTATTGAACTCCTTGTGCCAGTTCTTGACAAGTGAGACCGGACAAACAATCAATGCTTTCTTGATTACAGGAGGAGCGTCGGCAATTGGGTTTTGCTTCAGCAGCGTCCACAAAAGTGCAATAGTTTGAAGTGTTTTGCCCTGAAGAGTGTCAGTCTGGACCCTATTCGAGTGCTCGCGGTCCGAGCTGGAAGTGTGCGCAGCTAGTCTACAGGAGAACAGAACATGTGCAACATGTCCGCAAAGCTCTACCTACCAGTCCCATTTCGTCTGCGAGAATTGCACCTTCGCCGTCATAGTCCTTCATGCCCATCACGCACTCGTACATAAACTGAACGCCCTGGCGCTGATGCGGCCGGAGTGATCGTGTCAGGAGCGGATCGACAACAACATCGACAATCTGCTTGCCCTTCGGTACGCCACTTGGACGTCGCATGATCAAGGCGTTTGGGGCATCCGGATTGTGGCGCGGAGTCGGCCTGTTGGCATGCTTGTCGGAAATCTGAACATGATTCTGCAGTAGGGGTGCTTTGAAACCTGCCTTGCTCGCAGTGGTTGTAAATGAGGGCTTGAGATGTGTCTCTTTCTGGGTTAGAGCAAGCTTCTTAAACTTTGCTTGTTCCTTGTTCGTAACGCGCTTGGTCTCGTTGATCTCCTGGAGTGTAAGCTCCGGCGCACTCTTGACAGCCTTTGCATTTCCCAAGAAAACGCGACCAGACGTGTAGTCGTCCTTCGATATCATCGATTCGACTTCGATTTCTTTCCCGCAAATGGACATTTCAGAGCCTACCATGAGCGGTCCTTTGCAGGTGCCACGCCCGTATTCCTTTCCTGTAATGTCCTGCAGCTTTGCTTGTGTACCCCTGACTGATAGCACGCCGTCACCATCCCAAGTCTTGTTCTTTTTCGTTGTGAACTTTCGCCACACCACCACGAAGAAGCTCTCCTGGATGTGGTCATGACCAGAGCTGCCTTGTGACGAACCGTTCGCCACAGCAGTCAAAGGAGTTCGGACTGTGGGAGCCTGGAATCTCTGAGATGGGGCTGGTTTCTTGAGCACCTTGGCGGCTACAATCGCAGTCTCCAAGCGATCTTCGTCGTCCTCGCTGATGCGCCGTCTCTTGGCCGGTGGCGGCTGACTGAAGTGGGAAGATGTTTTTGAAACTGGCTGTGGTGGCCGATTGACCAACGTCGGCGGCTTGAATGGCTTCATGATAGCGTCGCTGCGGTCATGGTGGCAGGTTGGGTGGAAGACGGGTTGTGAAGACGAGGTGCGAATTTGGAGGACGCGCCGCGCGCCCGGCAGAATTTCCGGGACGAAAGTGACGCGAGGAAGGCGCGAGTCACGTGACCATCAGATTGCCGTCTGTTCCTTCCATTTGGACCAGCAATTTGCTCCAGACTGCGGCTCTGCGGACATACCTTACCTGTACCTGATCAAGTAGACTGCAATGTAATTGGCGCTCCATGATGACAGCCACCGTAACTTCTTGGAGCGAGCTCGGTACCGAGTGTGATGCTTGTCGACATATATGCTGGGTTCAACAATATAAATATCCTGGGAACTTTCATCGCAAGACGTGTGGAATAATCAGCAGGCTCTCTAATGTGCAGCGGAGAAAGCGTGGCAAACGGAGCAGTCATTCATTGACCGGCCCCACCAAAGTTCCACAAGAGAGCTGGCCGCCGATAGCTGGGGAACAAGGAGCTGTTCAGACGGGCTTCGTCTACGTCAATCAGTAACGACAGAGATCTCGGAAAGCTGGGCAGAATGGCCGGCCTCGTGGGCGTTCCAGACGTGGACATCAATTTCATCGAAGCAAAAGGAGGAGAGACCTTCAAGCTTGGTCCGATAACCTGTCGCGTTCTGGAGGATGGCTCCCACACGGGTAACTTGCAGCTCAAAGCGTTCCTGACCAGAGCAGATTTTTTCGCTAACATGTTTGAAAACCACTGATAGATAACAGAATTGGTGTAGCAGAGCTGACCATGCCACCCAAGACACCAGGTCCACCACCGCACTGGCACGAGATGCACGACGAGACCTTCTACATCACACAAGGAAGTGTCCGTTTCCACGTCCCCGATACGTCCGAAGAAGGCAGCGACAAGAAAATCATCGACGCCAAAACGGGCGATTACGTGGTCGTGCCGATTCGAGCACCACATACATTCAGCAACCCCAACGACGACGAGGCAAAAATCTTGTTTACCACAACGCCGAGCTTCTACATTAATTACTTTAAACTGTTGAGCAAGTTGGCGAAGCCGGATCAGCCAGTTCCGGCGGAGGTGAATATGCAGGCTATGGCCATGTTCGCAACCATCTTGGCTGATAAGAAGCCGAGGAAGCCGCATTGAGTATGTACCTAGCGGAGATAGTTTCCCGTGAGAAATGAACTGGTATTTTTTCCTCTGAGGTATTTGATTTTGGCGCTCACCTACATAAATTAGAACTAGCGCCCCCCTTTCTCACCGGTTGTGATCAAGGCGGATACGTACATTGATTCTCGGGAGCTACGATAGTACAATTATACGGAAAATGCGGCAATCACTAAAAGGCAGGCACTATATCAATTCATGTCCCTTCCCCGGGATCGAATCGCTTGAGGAAGGACCAAACACGTGCTTTCCTGCAGTGGAACTCTTGCCTGGCATGGGCAGTGTGGAGAAACGACAGGAAGAAAAACTGGCCCCAAAGTACCCCTTAGGTAAGGTAGCCAGCCATCGCTCCTTTCTTCTACAGACATGCAGCATGATATCAAAATATCGAGTTACAGAGCTTGCTCACAGAAGAACTGAGCCCTCCAGCGAGTAGTATCACAAAATGTTCCAGTCGGCAACAGCGGGACGAGGGAAACAAACACAACCTTCACAAGGTACAACGTGGCGTGCTCGATCACGATGGACACGGTGTAACCTTCCCAAATAAGCTCTCAATGGCACAAAATGTTTTCTCGGCAACCCGGTCTTCGCATACGGCATGCCGGAGTTGGTGTGGATTGTGATGCGTCGCCATATGCGAAGAACTCGATCTAGCAAGACATTAGCGCCTAGCATTCATTGCTGCAACGTTCCTCACTGCGACTGGTATGAAGAGCAGGCCAGCAGATAAGGATATGCGGCCTGCCGGGCCCCGCATGGCGAAAGGATTTGACGCTCTTCCCACGAGAAGGTGGATACAGCGCTTGTCGTGCTGAATATTGCACGGTGCGGCTACGCGACATTGCCGTGCTCGGGCGCACGCAATTGTTACCCCTCATGGCCCTCGTGTCACACGGGACTGAAGTTGCCGTGCAAGTGCTCGAATATGACGAAGCCATCTAGCCAGCCGGCCGGATATTTGCAGTAGAGACTGGCGAATATGCAGATGATCATTTGGCCGTGCGCATCAACACCAAGGCCTCATCATCTCTTGAAGGCAGCATCAGGCACATGAATCAAATGCCAGCGCTGGAGCATCGATGCATCGTAAGATCTCGTCCTCCATGTTCGATTTTGATGTCTGTGACCGCAGCAAGATGATAGCACAACGCTCTGGAAGAAGACCACCTTGCGAGTAAGCTCCGATCGCGAAGTGCTCCATCTGGGAACACAATGTCGTAGAGCAGTAGTATAGGTCGGAGATTAATAAATGCAGGAAGCAATGCTCCCCGATGCACGAGTGACGGATGATAGAGTGTTGATATCCCACGACTCTGCCTCCTCAGCACAAAGACACCGATCTGGTTCGTGGCTACCTGCTTGCTGCTAACGGCTGTTACGTGGGAGCGGGTGTGCGCCCTATCATGCGCAAGGACAACATTGAGTAGTGTAGCGTCGCCCTGCTCGTGATTGGTGAGGAGGAGAGCCTCTCGTCTAGGAGGTTGCATGCCGAATCCCGTGAGCAGAGCAGGCAAAGAGCAACTCACGGAGCTGCACATTCGGAACACAGTGCCTATCCAGTATTGCGGTTATCGCGTCCAGCGCGGCGAGCGCGGCTTCGATGAATCCCAAGACGGTTCAAGCTGGACGAGTGTTCGTGGAGCTGCTGGCATTAATTTGGACGTCAGTGGTCCATAATATGTGGGTTTATATTGTTCGAGCTTGAAAATTCCATGCTTTGCACATCGCGGTTCATACAGCCGCGGGCCGTCGTACATTGGTGGCTCGTCTAGTTGCATGCCGAGGCCGGAGCGGCCTAGTTAGCGACCAACCTGGTTGTCACAGCCTTCAGAGGGCTGGTCTGTCGTCCGGTTACGAGGCCGATCTGCTGTTCGGTCTGGACATCATGCAGACTGCAGTCATCGGCCAATCATGTGCATTGTGGTTGGAATGCAGAAAACGCGGGCAATCTTCGATCTCCGCGATGCATTCCCGCGGGTCCAATTTGCAGTCACATAAGGCTAGGAAGCTACTGGTCTCGCGACAGGCATAGCACACAGGGAACAATGTGGTATAGCTGTTGGACGTTTGTACCTCTCATATGGGGAACCTTGCGCCTTTGACTTCACGCCATAAAATCTCTTCTGGCGTGGCGAGCACGACGCCCGAGGCTATTGTGTGATGATCTGGCGATGAGAAGTGACACAGTTTGCTCTGAGTTTCGCTTGATTGCATGAGCACACGGCACACCATCCACAATGCGAGTCATGAAAAGCCTCCGCCTCGGCCTCAGCCTCATATCTCATGCATTCAGTGCCTTGCCGACGAGAGCTTTGCACTCGTCCGTCATGGGGATTTCGAGAGCCAAATCGTGACCCTCATCAGACATCTTGATCCATGTCTTCTTCAGGATCGTGATGATCTTCTGCTCATCGTGCTTCTCCTTGAACTCGTCAAATTGGTCATCCAGAAACACTAGGCATGCCACGTCCTCGAGCACTTGCACCTCCGGCTCGCCCTGTTTCAAGCCTTCCTTCTCGATCAACGCAATGCATCTCTTCACATCGTCCTCCAAGTACCCGTTCTTCTCCAGAATCTCCCCTACGAGCTTGGCCTGCCGCTTTTTCAGGTGCGTCCTCCACGAGTGATAGCCAATCTTAGTCATGGGGAACTGCGATCGAGGCACCTCCCATCGCCGGAAGTGCTGGCCACATATCGCCAGCTTCAAGACGTCAGAAGCCTGCGGCGAGCGCTTTTGCAAGAATTTCTCCATCTTCTCGGAGTAGTGCGATTCATACGCCACCTCATTGCCCTCGGGAGTGGTGATCTTGGTTGGATCCTCATTGTGAGCCTCATAGATGTCCTTGCGCGCTTGATCGTAGTTGCCTCCCATTGTGTCGCCTGAAAATACTGTTGCTGCCGCCGCCGCTGCTGCTGCCCCTTGCTGTAATATCGTGCGCACGTATAATGATTACCTGAGTTTTACCGTAGTCCCTTGAAAAGATTTCTGTGAATGGGTCAAGAACAACAACCAAGTTGAACCAACTATCTTAACATGGACTTCCAAGAAAAGGTACCTCCTAGATCTCACCGGAGCCTCAGGTTGTCCAATCAATACGTGCATGACTTGTAGGCTCTTCTTGGCTGCAGGGAGGTTGCCGCCGGACGGCGGAACCCACTCAGCGCCAATACCAACCTGGCCTGCTGGTGACGACTCTTCTCTCTCTCTCTCCCTCTCCACAACGTCGCGACTACACTCCGCCGAGTCGCTTGCCGCGCTTATGTCGAAAACACAATGCAGTGCGCCGCCGTCCCGTCTGCAAGCACCTGCAGCTGGTGCAGGGAACAGAGACCGACGGCACTGTCTTCTGACCACCAGAAAACGATCCGTCGCGGAGACGCTTATTATGGGCGGAGGGAGGAATGATGCGTACAATGGTGATTTAGGTAATCTGTACTAGCACATGCACACATGGTTTGACTCCTCTCTAGTTTTCTGCTGCTCGCCGTCGGCTCTTGGCCTGTGTGCTCTGCAGTTTGCTAGTAGTAGCTAGTAGGTAGGTAATCCGATGGAGCACTCCATTCAGTACAAGAAGTATGGTACAGTGTACGCTTTCCGGCCCTCCTCTGCATTGCTCCCTTTTTGTTGAGAACACTCTGATCCCCCTCTTCGTCTTTGCTTTGCATTGTTTGTTGCGCGTGTGTTTCTTTTCAATATGGACCAAGACCAGGACATCGACCCCAACCATCGCCACAAGTGGCTGAATTATTCGGAATCCTCGCTGTGTTCGTCGACACCATCGGAGATCGAATCTAGTCACACTACACCCACATACGAGACTCTGGACTGGGACGGTCCCAATGATCCACGCAACCCTTACAACTGGAGTGGCAGGAAGAAATGGGCGACGGCGACTCTGCCTCTCCTCGGTACCTTCGCTCTAACGCTCAACAGTACTGCCCATACTATTGCCGCACGTGAAATCAGTGCCGATTTCAATGTGCTGGATACACCTGACTTCACAAACACCTATTGGACGGTGTTCAGCTGGAGCATCGGCGGAGCGGTCTTCGCGCTATTCCTTCCCTTGCTGGAGGACTTTGGTGTGAGACGCCCGTACATGCTCTTCTACGTCCTGTTCTTCGCCATGGTGATAGCACAGGCATTGGCCCAGAACTTCGCCACGCTGGTCGTTACACGGTTCATTGGCGGTGGTTGTGTGGCCGTCTTGGCCAACACCATCGTAAGTATGATCCCAGATCTCTGGGCGACGGCCGAATACACCAGCTCTCCAGTCGGACTGTACATCCTGCTTTATGTGGCTGGCAATACCTCTGGTCCTGTGTTGTTTGCACCGGTCATGCAGTACATCGGAGACTGGCGCTGGATCTTCTACATTCAGTTGATAGTATACGGCGCAATGGGGCCACTGTACCAGTTTTTGTTGCCCGAAACCCGTGGACACATTCTCCTCGGCTATGAGGCAAAGCGCATTCGGAAAGAGACGGGGAAGCCGGTGTTCACTGCACAACAACGAGATGCACTTCCAATCCGACGACGATTACTTGAGTCAGTGACGAGGCCTCTGTACCTGCTCGGTACTCAGCCCGTCCTGCTTGCCTGCGCAGTCTGGAGTGCATTCGCGTTCGGACTCGTCTTCGCGTTCACGCAGTCCACAGAACAAGTTTTCAGAGAGCTGTACGGTTGGACGTCATATCAGTGCGCATATGTGCAAGCTGCGATTGTAATTGGCGAGATCCTCGCGTGGCCTGTCACTCGGTATGGCAGCCATCTCTACTTCAAGTCTGCAAAGCGAAACCGGGAGCATCCTGGCGAGCCCATACCTGAAGCCAGATTATACATTAGCGTCTTTGGATCTTTTCTAGGAATCACAGCCGGCATGTTTGTGTACGCCTGGACCTCTTACCCGTTCCTCCCCTGGTATGCACCAGCTATCGGGTTGGCCATGGTGGGCTTTGGCATACAGATTGTTGTTTGTGTCATTGCAGATTACGTTGTAGATCTGTATGCAGCATCTGGGTATACTGGCTCTGCAATAGCCGCAGTGGTGGCAGTAGAACAGTCTGTCGCTGCTGCTTTGCCTTTGGCACAGGCCAGCATGTATACCAATCTGGGGTTCCAATGGGCCAGCTCATTACTTGGATTTATTGGATTTTTGTTGGGCTTTATCCCACTGGTGTTCATTTGGCAGGGCAAAAATCTGCGAGCAAAAAGTCCACTCCTCATGGGAAGCGGCGGGCATTCGGTGGGAACGAAGTCATAGCGTTATAGCATAGCAAAAGCGGCTCTGTATAATATTATGGCTCTATAGTAACCTTGTATGACTAGTTCTAATGAGACGAACGGAAACAGCTGCATGTGTCTTCCATTCTGGGCTCTTGGCATTCGGCTAGGGTTTCGTCTTTTCTTGACTTTCTCTCTCCCTCTCTCTCTCTCGCTCTCTCCTTTTCATCCTGAAACACGACAACTAACTGTCAAACATGGCGTCCCTGAACAATGATCAAAGTTGAAGCACGTCTCTATGCACTATGATGAGGCCACTGACGCCATTTCGGCTGAGTCCAGCGAGTTGAAGAGACGCTGCTCACCCATTTCACCGATTCTCACGCAGTCCGGGGCTGCAGACACTGACAGGTGGGCTCTACTTCACTACGATGAAAGCGATCCGCTGCAGTGCACCGCAAAAGCAATCGTTCATCAGGCGACAGACTCCCGCTTGGCCATGACTACTACATTACATGCAAACAGTCCAGGCCCGGCCCACGGGTGGCCGACAATAGTGCATACGGTATAACAAGATTCACCAAAGTATCCGGCGCTTTCTTCTGCAAATTTGCGATGGAGCGCTCGAACGATCGAGTCAAGCCCTCTGGTCCTATATGCTTAATGGGCATTAGGTGCTAGCACCGGGAAGCCCGACAGCGACTGCCTGTTGGCTCTGTTTGCTCACGCGCGGGAGCGTTGAAACTTCTAAATCACCTTGGCTCCCCTCTATTGCGCAAGTTATAGGGCTGCTACCAACGCTCGTGTCAAGCCTCTGCTCCCGCCCATATACTACCGCCGATCGAGCTGCACTTGAACGAACCGGCAGATATTGTGGCTGCCAATAATCTCGCCTCCGCCACAGAATAGGGAGTATCTCTGCGAGAAGCAGCACCACTGATATGACTTCATACGCCAGCAGACAGACTTGTGTGGTTTCTGTCCTCCTCCTCATCGTGTTCCTGCACGTCTCTACACTCCTGGTTGTGGCATATCAAAGACAACATGTTAGTGGAAGCAGCATTCAATAATATGGCGGGCGATAAATGTATGTCTCTGTTGCGCTGTGGAAATCGCAGTCACCACGATCTGAAATGGCACCTATCTGTATACACGAGATGCTCACATTGCATGCGCAGTCCCGACAGCACGTTTCGACACTCTTCTGAAGAAGCTACCTCCCACACCTCCAACGAAGAAACGATACGACGTAATGCCAATCAGACTACCCACACCACGCTCTGGCATGAGACCACACATAATATCAGCATCACCAGATAGCACGGGGAGCGACGACGAGACCCTAGTACCATACGACACATCACCCACCGACACCGACTGGTCCCACAAACGCGACTCTGCATTTCCTTCGCCCAAATCAGACGATTCAGCACCATTAGGTCTCCATGGCACAGCAGTATTCGACGATGTCCGCGAGCAATTTCAAGGCGGAATATCTACACTAGACAATCTACTTCGCTACATGGAACATTCGGGCCCTGCACAATGCAAAGGCTACCGAAGAGGGATATTGACCTTGCTGGCGAACCTCGTCGCAATGGCCAAATGGCTCGTAGCATTCTTGGAACTCGCCCGCACGACCGATAATGATTCGATTTGGACACGAAGTGCTGTGCTCGGACTGCGGGTGGATCTGCATCAGTATTCTTGGAAAGTGATGAAGTTGACTACACTGCTAAAGCAAGTCGGCGCCTATCATGCTCCGAAGTTACAGCTACGATGACCTATGTGTATGTTTTTGGTTGAGTGCAGATGTCAAAGGACGCAGGGACGGACGGATTTTATTTGTTGATGATTGATACCTATACCTCGATGATGTGTGACCGAGGTCGTTCTGGCGTTGTTTTGTGTATTATTTTTTTGTATGATGAGTGGTATATTCCTACTACTAATGTTTACCTCTAAATGAGAGAGTGTCTACCTACCTTTCCCAACGAGAGAGAGAGTGAGAGTACATTGTTCGATTTTTGTGGCCTTTCATCTCAGCTACTACTAACTAAGGCGAACAACCTGGGACCATTCAATTGGATAGACTAGCCTCCCTCCCCCCTTCCCTCTATCGATAATTGACATCTCCATATATAGCTCAAAACACAAAACCTGATCAATGCAATCAATGCAACAAATCCAATCCAATCAATCAACCCAAGTAAAATCCTTACTCAAGTCACTTAATTGAAAGAGAGAAATAACATTCAACTACGAAACAATAGAAAACATAAAATCTCACACCCTCCGATTCAAGTATATATGTACCTTATGTACATAAGGTAAGGTAGGGTAGGGTAGGTGTTTGGTACCTGAGTAATATGTACCTACCAGGTAAGGTAATGTATATAGCCGGCTGACTGACTGAATGACTAAATCGGACTTGAGGGATTAGGAATCTTGGGTCAGGATGGATAGATGGGGACTTGGAGGGGGAGGGAATGAGGCAGACTCCTTGTTTGTTTGTTTGTTTGTTTGTTTTTTTCTTTTCTTTTTTTTTGAGATTATTCTTACAAGCATACCTAAGGTACCTAGGTATCAGTCAAACTATTTTATTATATACAGTCTCTTGGGTCTCTTTTGTTTGCTATCTCTAACTAGGTAGGTATGTACCAGACAAGACTGTTTGCATACCTTACATGTACCTTACTTGTGAGCAGATGTACTGGTGATTAGAGTACTGTTTCTGCTTCTTTTCCTTCCCTTCCTTCCTTCTTTCCCCCACAAAATGTCAACAGACATGCGCACCTCAGTAATCGTCGAGACACCAAGCCAAGCCAATCAAAGAACGCATGAGTACAAAGAGAAGAGATCAAAACGTCTTCGACCAACGCCACTCCTTCCTCGGTCTCTTATACCTATTACTCGAGAGAATACTCGCCACCTCTTGATCATGCAACAACAATCTCTCCTCATAACCTCCTTCAGCAAAAACATCTTCCTTGAAAATATCCGTCGTGCATTTTCCATTGCCTTCAAATTTCCAATGCGCCTCGCGAAGGCCGCCGGGGCTCATGTCGATGGTCATGTTGGGGATGTCGTGTGAAGGGTGTCCATCGATGAGCTTCCATGAATACAAAGGGCCAGCTTGAGCGAGAAAACCTTTCCAGCGAGGTGCGCATTGCGGTTGATATAAATGGGGTGCTTTTTGGAACGTGATGAGGCGCCAGATGAAGGAGAAGATTTTTTGGTGCCAGGCTTGAGGCTCGACGCCTCGGCCTGCGAGGTCCATGCGTGCTCGTACAGAGGAATGGATGTATTCGTTTGTCACACTCAATGGGACTCCCGTGTTCTTGCCTGTGAGGTAGTCTGTCTTTTGATAACGGCCGGGTGTTCGGACTTTGGCGCCTGCTAGGGACTGGGGAAACGTGTTGCTATCATAGACTTTTCCCATTGCCCAACCGTTGTAGTCGTCGAGTCCGGAGTTACTGGCGTAATAGTTGCTCGACTGTCGGAAACACAAGTTGATAAAGTCATCATCAAACCTGATCCAGTCGAGTGGATCGAATGCCTTGTTGGGATCTCGTGTATTGCCACTCAGTTGGTCCATCATCCAGGCAAGCGTGATATTTGCCATCCCGTAGTCATCGTATGACCCTCCCACGTTGGAGTGCGCTCCAGGAAACCAGACTTGCTTCAGATTAGTTGTTCCTGTGTCGTCACGCTCCCATATTGCAGGCGAGAAAGGAAAGCGTCGTTCATCCAAAGCCAGGGCGTGAAAGGCATTCTCAACGGCGTTGCTGAGCCGCGTATCGTACCAGCTATACTCCTTGATAAAGGCAGGCAGAAAGCCCTGGAAGACTGGGTTCACAGGGATACCGAGGGCGCCGACAGTATCCCACACACCGATACATTTGATCTGAGCTTCCTGTGTTAAGCCTAGGGACAACAAATGATTTTTGTACTGCCTCATGTACTCATCGATGGCGCCGACATCCCTGGAATGCGCTATTGCTGGATCTGGTTGGCTTAGTCTTGCATCTAACCTCTCATCTGGATTGGCTCGACAGTATGCGTCCAGGAATCGTGGCTTGTAGCCTGCTACACCGACGTTCTCCCAATCGGAAAAGCATTCGTAGAAATATGGCATCGCCTACAAACAGTCAGTGTCATGATCGTGGAGGAAACTTGTTCGCTTTCGTGGTCACCTTTCGTGTGAGAACGCCGACTGCAGCAATGAAGCCACCCAGACTTCTCGCTGTGAAAGCACCACGCGAGAAACCTATGAGAAATATGGAATCTGGTCCACACAGATGGTCATCGGGAGAATAGTTCACTAACAGGTAAGATGCACAGGATTAGCAAGAAGATATGGGAATGCGAGCGAGCCATCTCAACCATGCCTGTCTTCAAACTCAAGAGCTCCTTCAGACACGGAGGCTACTCCATGGCTTCTTCCCGTCCCTTTGACTTACTGCCTAGAAAGCTGTATGCTTCCCGTATATGTTCTGACAGTCCAATACCGGTCCCTCCTCCAAGAACCTGATCGTAGAGACCGAGACCAGTACCGATACCGCTTTGGTAGTAGACAATTTGAGGATGCTTAGCATCATCTTCGAACATAATCGCTCGTGCGATCCTCGTCACATTCGACGGATTCTGGAGCTTGCCCCCTGAGTAGCCATTGTCGGCGTCCATCCAGGTTCCATCACAGCACACAATGAGCTTCTTGGGAAGCCTGACCTGGCTGTTTGCCAACTGCTCGGTGGGGCGGAAGGTGGTTCCGTCGACCATGGTGAACTATCCGTCCGCGAATAAGCCGTGTAAGAACAATACCTGAAGACAAGGATGTGCTTCGGCGTACTGGCCGTTGATCGAAGCTATGATGAGACCTGGTGTCGTCCCCGAACCTACTGGCCTGGTGTAGTAGTTGTGCAGTGAGAAAGGAGATAACTTAGTTGAGAATGTGAACAACTTCAGTATGTGGAAGAATGGTCGTGCAGTTGCTTAACAATAGAAGGATATAATCATTTACGATGAGGAGGATGCGGCCCCATGGATATGATATGTCAGTTGCAGGCATATGGCCATGGGTCACGAAGATGAGTCTAGTACGTGCATGGGCTGAAGGCGGCTCAGACTCAGAGCGAGAAGCGGGCGGCCTTCCTTTCGTTGCGCGATGCAATATCGGTGAGCACGTTCGACCACGTGCAAGAAGAGCATTGTTTTCAAGTCGCGCTGCATCGAGCATTTCTGCACGAAGGAAGGATCCGGTGAGTGAGTGAGTAAAGTGAGTGAGTAACATGGCTGAGCTGGGCTGAGCATCTCCAACTAGAATAGACCATAGACGAGAGGACGGGCGGTACTGCCGGGCGGCTGAATCCGGTCCAACCATGGCGCGTGTTTTCGAGACCCATTCCACTCCACAGTTCCTGAGGTCTCCTTTTAATATGACAATTCAGCTGGGCTCAGCTGACAGTACCTCCGTAGTAGCGTAGCACACACCTTTGATTGACCGCTGTGGCTGAATGGCTGCCTATTATTGTTGTTGCTCAGCAGCCTTCGCTACCGACCACTCACGGGGCCATGCTGTAGCTACCTGACATCGCTGCCAATTAGGTCAAATTCGTGACGCGGCGAGAATGGTCAGAGATGTAATGATACCGAGCAATGAGGAAGGAGAAGAAGGCGGGAGAAGAGGGAGAGGAAGACGAAGAGGAAGAGGAAGACGAAGAGGAAGAGGAAGAAGAAGAGGAAGAGGTAGAGAAAGAGAAAGGGGAAGAGGAAGAAGAAGCGAGATGCTTTGAACTCATCATTCTCGGAGAGATCTACCGCTCTAGTCATCTAAACTCGTAGGGAATCTCGTCGCTTTTGCATCGTACTGAAAGCACACATAACCTTCCACAGGTTCCCAAAACGCCGTACCTCCATGCATCGTGTCGCTGGCCAAACACACCAAAGTCGCTGACGACATCTAGAAGTCGTCCTCGTCGCTGAATACCTCCTCACCCTTCTTGCGGCGAGCCATACGGTCCTTCTTCTTCTTGCGCAGTTCCGAAGCAGTGAGCTTCTTCGCCTTCTTGGTGTTCTCAATCTTGTTGCCCATAGCATCGAACTTCTCCTCCTCGTCGTCACCCTGAGTCAGACGAGGTCCGGCACCCTGACCTTGCACCCAGTTGTGACCAGATGGAGTCATACGTCCGTCCATGACAGCCCAGACTTCCTCAGTGAGATCCTTGGTGAACTCAGCAGAGTGAGTAATGATGATGACACCACCCTCGAACGACTTGATGGCCTTGGAGAGAGCACCAAGAGAGTCACGGTCGAGGTAGTTGGTAGGCTCGTCGAGGACGATCAAGTGAGGACGCTGCCACGAGCAAGCGGCAAGGACGACCTTGACACGCTGACCACCAGACAGACCACGCATACGCGAGTGAGAGACAAGCTCAGCGTCAAGGCCAAAGTTGGTGCAGTGGGCCTCAATCTCCTTGCGGACAAGAGGGCGGAACTGACCACTGGCAAGCGCCTCCTTTTGATCGACATCAGCCACCATCTTCTGGTGAGACTGGATGAGCTCGTTACGTGGAATCCATGCGTTGTCAGCTGTCATCATCGGTGTCCACTTCTCGTTCTTCATGCCGATGTTGTCACCAAGAGCGAAAGAACACTCGTACTCGTACGAGTTCTTGAACTTTCTTCGCGAGTGAACACCAATGACGCGACGTTGCGAGCCCTCAATCCGGTAGATGCGGTCCATGGCCTTCTCGTCGTCTTCGGTGACGATCTTGTTGGCACGGTCCATGGTCTCGCGATCCTCACCAGTCTGGAAACGCCATTGAATGTACTCCGATGGCGTCTTGTCGAGGTGGTGATCGATGTGTGCGAAAGCGTGCTGCTTGATGTAGGCGATACGGATGTTCTCGTGTTGGTAGACATCACCCTTGGTTGGGATAAGTTCACCCGTGAGGACGTTGACCAAAGTGGACTTTCCAGCACCGTTGGGACCAATGACGGCAATACGGGAGCCGAGCGAGCACTGGAAGGTAACATCCTGAATTTGTGGCTTTGGTGTACCCTCGTATTGGAAGCTCATGTTGCTGACACGAACAATGGCCTTGGCCTTGGTCTTGACACCCTCGAGGAAACCTGGCTCGGGGAACTTGAACTCCATCTCGGAAGCACCGAGCTCGTAGTAAGACTTAGCCGATGGCACGCGCTTGACGAACTCGGAGAGCTTGCCGCGGTAACGCTTCAGCTTGAAGCGCTCGTAGTGGATGACGTGCTGCACCACGTTGTCAAGGAACTTGCTGTCGTGAGAGATGATAATAGATGTGCATGGCGAGGATGTCAGGTAGTCCTCGAGCCACTTCACGTTCTTCACGTCCAAGTGGTTGGTGGGCTCGTCGAGCAGGAGAATGTCAGGCTCGGAGAAGACAGCACGCGCAAGGGCGAGCTTCATCTTCCATCCACCAGAAAGAGCGGTGATGACACCGTTGACTTGCTCTGGCACGAATCCGAAATCGTCGAGAGTCTTGCGGACCTGGTCCTCTGGGATCTTGATGTTTGCCTCTGCGAGCTTCTTCAGCGTCCACTCGATCGTGGTCATCTCAGTGTCGTCAGAGTCCAAATCGTGCTCAACGTAGACAGTCTTGACTTCGCTCTGCTTGGGGAAACCCTCAACCTGCTCGTTGTTGATGGCACGCATGAGAGTGGTCTTGCCGGAACCGTTGGGTCCAAGGAGACCATATCGCTGTCCCTTCTTCAAGCGCAGATGCGTCTGGTTGAGAAGAATCTTGGCGCCGTAGGCCAAGTTGAAGGTGCAGTTGCAAAGGTCGACACCCTCCTCCTCATCGGGCTCAACTTCGTCCTCGGCAAGAGCACCGGGAAGAGAGCGCTTGCGAAGCTGGTCGACAATGCTGGCGGCGTCGTCGCCAACAACTGCGCTAACATATGGGAGCAAGTGTGTTGTCCAGCTGACTGCCTCCACCTCCTTCTCGTCAATAAGCTGGCCACCGATGGCAGCAATGTATTCCACGATGGTGGCGAACTTCTCGACGGTATCCTTGTGCTTGTAGCTGAGAATGTCCTTAAGCTTGGCGAGGACAGTCTCAACATCCGAGTCGTGAGCGACTTCGGGGATCTTGCCGTCCTTAACAGCACCGACACGGATCAAAGTGTCAAGAGCCTGCTTGGTCTTCTCACGGGCCTCGGGGTCAGCCAAGTTCTCGTTGTTGTGGTTGAGTTGTGGCATCAGCTTTGGCAAGAAAGAAGCCACAATGTTGGGATCTTCGACCAGCTTGCACATGTTGTCAATAATGACAGCGGATTTACGCTTGATGGCAGTCTCACGCTCCTTGAGACCACGCTCGAGCAGAGGCACCATGATGGCGAGGGTGGGCTCGTGCACATCGGTGACGAAAGTGGTCGCACCGAGCAAGTGAATCGTCTCGGGGACGTTCTCTGGCTTGGAGATACACTTGATGAGCTCTGGAATGAAGCGCTCGATATCCTTGTTGACAATGAGCGCACACACTTTCTCCATTGTGCTGTATGCCTTCTTCTTGACTTCTGGTTTGGTATCCCACATGGCCTCAGAGACGATGGGGATCAGGTCTGGGACACGGTAGGCAGCCTGTGCGGAAGCGCTCTCGGTGAGAGCCTCGATGCACTCGAGGTCGGTCATCTTTTCGGGCCACTTCTGGGCAGTGCGGATCGAGTTGACAAAGTGTGGAATGAGGAGCTTGACGGCGTTGGCGTTGACAGCCTTGGTGATGGAAATGGCGGCGTCTTGTGCGGCGACCTTGACGGCGGCCATCTTGTCGCCCACGGCGGCGAGCACGGCTGGCAGAAGCTGCACGAGGTATGGCTCGACTGTGACGGAGACATCGGAGTGCTTTGCGATGGTGGCAATGGCTTCGCAGGCGTTTTGTCGGGCGCCAGCGTCCTTCTTGTTGTTCAGCATCTTTTTGAGGCTGTCGACGGCCTTGGTAGGCGCATCGGCCTCCTGGATGTCGCCATTAATGAAGGTGGCAATCTCCTGCGAGGCGCCTTTGGCCTCGTCGGCGGTCTTGGAGACAGAGAGCTTTGTGAGCAGCTGCTCGAGCACCTGGGCGCTGCCGGCGTTCTCCTTTGCCGCTTGAGACATGATGTGTGGGTGAAAAGAGAAGGTGGTGGTTTGGGGGAGACAGAATTTCAGCGAGCGAAACGACTTTTTGTGCGATCGAGGGGCAGCCGGGAGTTTCCGAGATTTCTAGCGTCGCCGCGAATTATTGGTGAAGCCGCCCTGAATTTATCCGCTTTTCTGTCTTTTTTTTCGCCTGGACCGAATCTCTTGTTGTGCCTCACTCACTTTTCAAAATCCAAATTATTGTTGATGCAGCATCCGTGTGGAGGTTTCAGCAAAGCGGTCGTCGACAAATGGAACACTCGAAAACAGGGTGGTGGGTACATGTAGCGAGGGACACAGTAAGCAGACGGGCGTGGTTGCGATGTGGCCACCTGTTGCTACAACTACCACCTGCCTGCCTGAGTTGCCTGACTACAGCAGGTCCACTCTGCGCGCACTGAAAAAATCATTATTTTTGTGTGGCGAAAAGCCGATTTTTAGCTTCTCAGCAACCGTTGTTCGTCACGCTTCTGACTGGTGGAGTAAGCGATGCCCTGCGTCACTCATTGTCTCTTTTGGGATCGACACTTTCTCACTTCTTCTCAACCACACATGCGACAAGTACACTCATCATCACATTCATTCCTCACTAGGAGGTACATCCTCCACGTCAATGCGATCACTTGGACCTCCCAGAAGTCACGGCAGAATGCGAAATGCGTCCACGTGGGAAGACGAACAGAAGACCGACGGCGCAACAATTCAGACTTACATGTACCTCTCTCGTTGCGAGAACGATGTGCACATACAGTAGAACACGAACATGGGCACATGTAGTCCTGCCTCTATTCGCTGCGCCCTCATCACATTCGCCACTACTCCGACCATGAACGCATTATGTTGTTGTATACCTGAGTAGGTGGAATCGCAAGACGCCGTGTACAAAACACGCTGCCGAGAGCCGAAAACGCCGCCAATATTGAATTCAGTCTGTCTCCTGTTACTGTATGGCTGCAGGGCCAGGCTGCTCTGAACATTCCAGTTTCGTCCCTTGCTTGGAGCCAGACCTATATCACCCTATTGTGGTAGGTATGTTTCTAAAATACATGTATCAGGTACATGCGGAAGAATTGTTTCCCAATCGAGAAAGTTCCTTCGGCAAATTGCCGTCACTGTGTCTGGACCATCCAGCTGCATGTTCGCCACTACGTCCTACCCAGCGCCCAGAAGTGCGCAACGTGCTACTCTCATGTAGTGGAGAAGGACTTCAATCATCTTCCAATCCATTGACGTGAACCCTCACATCACACAACGGAGGTCGTGCGCGACGACCATGTTCATCTCCCAATACAGGAGCGTAGCTCAACGTGAAAGCCTGTGCGCACTTGGAACCTATAACACAGCAATCAGCAAAGCCCTCCACCAGATCCCAACCTAGAGAACTCAAGTAACTGGGTTGTAAGGTAGGTAAGGTAGGTAGATACTGACAAGACATATGATCGCACCCTCCCTCTTTACAAAAAGGAAACTGACACCACGGACACAGCCTGACGCCCGTGTCCAACAAAAAATCCAAAGTCGCCGCCTCGGGCATATCCTTTGGCGCAGGAACAAAAACGCGACCCTGCGCCAACAAGTTCAGTCGTCGATATTTTTTCCTGTCCTTGTATCCCAGCAGCAAGATCGAGTATTCCCAATTCCAGGGCACAGCGCATTGAGGACAACCCATGGCCAGCACAGGTTTTGTATCGAGTTGTGCACTCAGAGAGGATCGAATGCATGAGAGACAAAATGTCTGCAAGTGAGGGCGGCATTCGTAAGGGATGTATTTGTGGTGCGAAAACGCTTTGTGCAGCTTCCTTTCGCAGCAAATCTCACATTCTCTTCGGGGTCGATGGGGAAATAGTTTGGGCCAGTATGCTACGAGGTCCTTGAGTCGGAACTTCTTCTTCTCGTTCTTCTCGTTCTTCTCCTCCTCCTCCTCATTCGTCTGGTTTGCACCCTCTCCAGATGTTGATGCCATGTCGTAACTAATGTGATGCGATGCAAACTGTGAAATGTCTGGCTGGCTGGAGAAACAAAATGTGCGAGTGCTTTTGAGGCACAGTACCTAGAGCTCAGTCAGGCACTAGTGCATTTTGTGATTGGCGAATCACCATGAGCCGGGTGAACGTGGACGAGTTACAGATGCAGTCGGCGGTTCCTTCGCGAGGCGCAGGTCATATCTTACCTAACCTTGAGTCACACCTATGGGACCTGACGGTCCGGGACGATAAAGCATGTAGCTTTTGCCGCTGACCAGCATGCATGCAGTGTAGAAATGAATGCATACATACCTGGCACCTATCTTTTGGCCAATATGTAACTTGCTGCAGAGCATCAAGTCTCTTTTTTCACCTCTCTCGTTGATGAATCCGGTCGCGTAGATTCATTCACAGGGTGATTCTCTCCGTCTGCCTCGTGACAACTGGACAAAAAGTACCGACTTTCACCGCTGATTATGCGGCATCATCAGAAGCTCTCAAAGTTTTCAACCAACCTCAAAATGTTCCTCAGGAAAGCTTTTCTTGCAAACCACTGTTCGGAGCTGTGTACGGAGAGCTTGGGTGGATATGATTCCTTAAGGGAGCCACGGTCCTACGGAGAAAGTACCTAAGGTTCGACATTCGTTCGGGGCTTGGTTTTCGCTTCGATTCTATCGAGGTCAGGGGCAAATACTGTATAACTGCATAATGAGTTGAGTCGAATCTTGAATACTATAGCGCAACGCGTACTCACAGAGAAAATTGACCAGACTCTGCTACGATGATAAAGCGTGGCGGATCTCACAGTGTGTGAGTGGCTTTGCTTTGCCAAGACCCCCCCAGAAATCATACCTCCTTACCTCATTCCTCTCCTCGGGATCCGATGCCGTTCAAGCGCAGAGCACAAGAATACGGTACTCAGGCCGGAGCGGGAAGGTTAGCAGGAACGACTTTAGCATTTCATGACAGGAGCCGTTGGCGCAAGCCGAATATAGGTAGCATTCGGACTGCTGCTGCCGTAAAAACTGTTGTTACCATGGGAAGAGAGGTCTTCATTCTTGTTGTCAGGCGCAGAAGCCTACACCGCTACCGATGCGCCGCCACTCTTCAATTGCAACGTATGCGTATAGTGAAGATGGTGGGAAAGTGCGCCGCCGTTGTGGCATCCCGAATAGGAAATCTTGATCTTCATCGATCAAGTCTACCTAGCTACCGAGATTGTGAGCAGGAAAGGATGCATCTTCGCCGTATTGGGTCCGAGTGTAGCACGCACACAATAATAAGTTTTGGTGAGGAAATCTTTTCGAGGTAGAGAGAAATTGGGAAAGCCGGTTCGGTCCAGCTTCGTGACTGCCTCTTTCCATATATTCTTCCTATCCCCCCAAACTTGTTGTCTGCAACGCTCTCTTTCATCGTGACATTAACCACGCTACTCCACTCGACTCCCATCTGCAATTCAATCAGCAAACAAGAACGGAGAAGCTTCGCAACCACCAAGGCGAACCTCACAAAGACATGTGCAAATCACAGACCCGGACCTACAGATGCGGCTGCATGTCCCGACATAGACTCAGCAGCTGCCGCAACAAGACGGGTCAATGCCAGGGGAGCTCGTACGATGATATCGCCATCAATTCCAAAGAGATGTGCGACATATGCTTGAAGGGAGACGTCATGAAAACGTTGTTCAAGGAACGTTCTCACGCACGACAAGATGCCTTGAGACGCGGAGAGCCTACGGTGGCTGTGTATGAGCGGTTTGGTCGGGCGAGGATGGCTATTCAAGCGGCTGTACCTCGTGATGAGCCGTGGGATGGAAAGCCGTTATCACGGCCGGAGAGGAAGTGGCAGCCGCCGAGATCGAGTCCGCTGAAAAAAGAACTCCACATGGAGGGTGAGGAGGAAGTGAAGGACGCGATGAATGCCGAGCTATTGGCGCGTTCGAAAGCGGCAGTCGAACCTACAGCCGCTGTGTCGGAGACGGACCAGGAGGAGCTCATGCAAGTGGACGGATAGGTGCAGGTTTCGGTCGCATCCCCGGCACTAACGGAGTAGTATGCGATGGATCGCGGCAAGAGAGAAGAGCATAGCTGCAGGTGCAGTCCAAGGGGGACCAGCGTGGACTTATGCTCCGACTACCGCTCAGATGCCGAGCAACCAACGCGAGAGATGGAACCTAAGCAACCCTGGAATGGTTCTTCGAAGGCGAGCGAGGTAGTCCGAGAGTGACGGGGAATACGCCAAAGGACAGAGAATCGGATATGAGTGCAGTTCGCGAAGAAGGTGGTTTCGTGCGACGTCTATGCATCGTGATGCCAGTAATGTGAACAAACCATACATGCAAGTCTTGTATGCTTCTCCAAGTCCTGCCCTTCTGGCCTTTTTCTGCACGTTATAGCTGAATGGAAGCATAGCATTTCCATTAAGTCTTAAGCTGCTGGCACACACATGTCAATGCGACTGCCACCACTCCCCCTCAGTGTCCATGTTCATCCCATCCTTCGCAGCAACAACCTTTGTCCTCCTTCCAGTCCACGTCTCCCATGGCCGCTTCCCAAATTCCCCCAACGGCCACACTAAACACGTGGCGGTGCCCAGAATCAAACTGCGAGAAATGGGGCCATAGGCATTACTATCATTCGAACTGCGCCAATTATCCCCTTCCACCCAGACATGTCCCTCAGGAACCACCACCCTCCCGTTTGCCCGCTGGAACACCACATCCCACTTCCTCGCCGCCTCATTTACCGCCCCATTCAATACATCGTCCGGCCTCCGCTTCGTGTCGAGTAACACCGTGTCTCCTGCTAGGGCCACGACGCGTTTCACACTCAGCGTGTCGGGTTTATGCGGGGCGTTGAAGAAGACGACATCTCCGCGTTGGAGGTGGCGGAGTGGTTTCCACTTGTTGAAGTAGACGTAATCGCGCGTGCCGTCTACGCGGTAGTTGGGCGAGAGGGTGGGTTGCATAGAGGCGCCGGAGATGGCGAGGATTTCGAGCGAGTTGTCATTGACGAAGATGGAGCCGCAGATGATGAGTTGCATAGGGAGGAAGATGGATTGAAGTTTGCGGCGCCAGGAGAATGAGGAGGAGGCGGCCATGATGGTATCTGTGTCCAAGGTACTGCAATATCCGTGTGTCTAGCTCTGTGTCATTCCTTGAGATGATTGGCGGTCCATGTTGCACTTCTGGCTTGCACTCGGCGGTAGAGCAGGTAGGCTATAAGGGGAATGAGTAGCAGAGGCGCGAGTTGGAGCTTGTCCATGTCACCATACTAGTAGTGTTTGGTCCCTCACGGTATGAGCAGGAAGACGTGTAGTTGAAGCAGTTCTAGTGTCTCCACATGGACCCGGTCTAGTCCTACTACCTCCTAGTAGTTAGAACGAGGTATGCTTCTTGTGCAGAGACTATGCCTTTACTACCTCTAGACTGTCCTTTCAGTGACCCGAGCAGCACATCTCTCAGCTCGACTACGCGTATGAGTGTGGAATTCAGTCCCCAAGAGTCGCGTCTCGAAGGGCTGTTTCTAGAGGAACTAGAACCACGGCGTCGAAAGGATGATGACGATGACAATTTCGCCAGACATCATGTCAACGGACATGTTGTACCTCTTCCACTGATCAAATAGCACTGACAGACAGCAGTCCGCGCCATCACATCTCCAGCATCTGCCGTACCTATCAGAAGAGAATCCCTTCTCAAAATGCCCTCCGAAGGCCTCCAAATCAAGGACCTCAATCCGTCAATCACGACCTTCACAGCTCCCTTCAACCGCTTCGCCCCTCTCGGCCGCTCACTTCCCACCTTCATAGCAGTCGGCAACCGCGCCACCGCTGTGCGCCTTGTCAACTCCCAAATCCTCCTCCTCAATCCCATACAGCTCGAGCCCAGAATTCAAAACAAGCTCGACCAACTGGGTGGTGTACACTACCTCGCTTGCGATCTGGGCCATCACATGTACGTCGCTTCATACCTCCACATCTGGCCCACGGCCAAAACGATAGGCGTGCCAGGGTTGGAGGGGAAGCGTAAGGACGTGAAATGGGATTATATCATCGACTCCTCTAGTAGAAAGAAGAAGAACAACAACAGCGACAACGACGACGTCATGGGAAACAAAAGCGATATGTACCCCAGCTGCCTCGAGCTCGATCTCGAGTTCGTCTTCTTTGAAGGCTTCATCACAAATTGCATCGCCTGGTATCACAGGCCCACCAAAACCTTGATTCAATCCGATTTACTCATGAACCTACCTTGCACAGAACAGTATGATCCGTCTTCTTCAGCAACACAAGGACCTGGATCGTGGCTATTTGCTCAACTAGCAAATCCAAGATCTGATGGATTTCGGAGGTTGATTTGGTATATTGCTACAGTAGATTATAGCTTGGTCAGGAGAGACGCTAAAGCTGTTGCCGAGTGGGAGATTCAGCGCATTATACCCTGTCATGGGGATGTGATTGAAGGAGGAGGCAATGAGGTGTGGGAGGAGGCGTATAAGTGGTTCTTGATGGGAGGGTCAAGACCTGATGTGTTCAGATCGTTGGTGGATCGTGTGGGGTTTATGAGGTTGGTGAGGCGTGTATTCTTGATGTGAAAGCTGTGTGGTGAATGCTTAAATCACTTTTACTTGCCTACATGTAGTCACAAGTGACAAGAAGCCGCGAAATTAGAAGAGACCGAGGATGAGAGACCTCTACCACAAGCCTAAAAATTGCCTTCTTTTCGGGAGTTGCAGATGCTATGGCGGGAGGCCTATGTATTCAAGACACTATAGCTTCACGCTATATTTATGAGTTTTTGATCATTACCTTACCTATGTATCTACCTTACTCTCTTCGGGGCGGGTTTTTTGTGTGCTTTTCGTGATCCAATCAGCTCCCAAATTTGACTAAAGCTCTACTTCACTCTTCAAAACATTCATCAACACGGCAACGACCTACCTGAACCCTTGATAACACGCCAAAAGATGTCCAGCACCATCGAAGACGACAGCGTATCCATACAACCCCCACGCAAGAAGGTCAAGACAGACTACTACTCCAGAGACGTCGACTTCGATGTACTCGCTAAGCACGATGCCGACTTTGCAGCAATATCCAAAAGTGCCAAACAAGATGGCTGGATAGACTTTCACAATCCCAAAGTCATACAGTAAGAATGAATATGAACGCCAATATCCAGCAAGTAGAGCGCAAAAGCTCACAATGATGATACACTCAGACAGCTCACCAAGAGTCTGCTCAAATACGACTTCGGCCTGAGTCTCTCCCTGCCAGATGACCGCCTCTGTCCACCCATACCTGTTCGCTGGAACTATGTCCGCTGGATACAAGATCTTCTCGACACCACCTCATCATCCTTTTCCGAATTGTACGACCCAGAGCGCAAAGTCGTGGGGTTGGACATCGGAGTCGGCGCGTCATGTATCTACTCTCTTCTGGCATGTGCGAGTCGCCCTGAGTGGCATATGGCTGGCACAGATATTGATACTCATTCCCTCGAATACGCAAAACGAAATGTCGAAGCCAATGGCTTCGAAGACCGTATACGACTGAAAAAGATGAAGCCCGAAGAACAATTGATCCCGATTGAGGCCCTAGACGTGGAAGAAATGGACTTTGTCATGACCAATCCACCTTTCTACTCTTCTGAACAAGATTTCCTTGCTTCATACAACGACAGCTACAAAAACAACAACAACCATCATAATCACAAACAACACCACAACGAAACCCCTCCAACAACACAAAACGTCCCCCTACCCTCAGCAGTCTGCATCGGCGCCCCCAACGAAATGATCTGCCCCGCAGGCGACGTCGGCTTCGCCACTCGCATCCTCGAACAATCGCTCCTCCTACGCACTCGAATCCAATGGTACACCACCATGCTCTCGCACATGCATTCCCTACAACAAATCATTTCCAAGTTAAAAGCGCACCACATCACCAATTTCGCCGTCACGACGTTACATCCGGGCAACAAGACGAAGCGATATGCGGTCGCGTGGAGTTGGGGAGATTATCGTCCGCGAAATGATGTGGCGAGACATGGGGAGTTGGTGTGGGATGTTTTGCCGTGGCCGACGGGGAGGACGATTCGTGTGGAGGGTTGGGAGAGTGTGAGGGCGGTGGGGAGGAGAGTGGATGAGACGATTAAGGGGTTGAAAGGGGCGAGGTGGGTGTGGAGGGAGTTGTTGGACGCGGGGGTCATGCAGTGTAGGGAGAATGTGTGGAGTCGAGCTGCGAAGAGGCAGAGGATGTTTGCGGAGCGTGCGAGAGCTGCTGTGGGTGGTGGCGAGGGCGCGCATATGGGTGACCATGATGATGAGGATGCTGAGGATGAGGATGAGGATGGAGTGGTGGCGCTTGCGGTCAAGATTACGTGTAGGAAAGAGGAAGTGGAAGTGCGTTGGCTGAGAGGCCAGGACTATGCGGTGTTTGAGAGCTTTTGCGCCATGCTTCAGCGTACCTTGACGGGAAAGCAGCGATAGTCGACTCAGAGTAATAATACTTTTCTGTACCCATCAATCCACTCTCTCGAGTCCAGTGCCCTCACTCCTACTCTTGGCCTTCTTTCTCCCACAATCCTTCTCTTCCTCCGTTACCACTTAGCCTCCTTGCTCGCGAGGAACGTATTCAGAACCGTCACAGTGTGCTCCAAACCTTTCAACCAATCATTCAGTTCTTTGTTCACGCGTGGTTGATCATCCCCCAGCTTCGCATAAAAGTCCTTTCTATATGGGGTAGCAGACATAGCAGCGGAGAAGATGGGTTTGACAATGAATGAATGGTGTTGCTTGAGCGTTTTACCATAACCTTCGCGGAACGAGACGGAAAGCTCTTCGCTGGGCGTATCGACGTTTCGGCGGAGGGATTGTGCGGTGAAGTCGAGTCCTCTGTGGAGAAATTGGAGAAGAAGGATTTGGTCAGCTCAGCTGTTGCTGCGCCCTTTTGGCCCACGGTTTCCTTGTCTGATTTGCAGATGGAACAGCAGGACAAACTCACCTGTTCAACCACAGGAGACCTTCAGTCGCGGTGTGTTTCTTCGTCTTGAGCTCGTTTCGCACAAGATCCTGTAGCGTCTCGCTCTCGACAGGTGCTGCCAATTGTCTTTCTCTGATTTTCTTGATGTTGCCGCCCATGTCGTTCTTCACGGGGTTGAATGCAACGCCACCGAGCACGTCGAAGAGCTGGGTGAGAGCCTCTGCTGCTTCCAGGAATTCGGTGGTGTTGATGGCATTGTCCTTGGATTGGTCGATTGTGACATCGTTGAAGGACTTCTTGCCGTCGAAGTAGGTGCCGCCCGGTGGGAATGCCATGATGATGAGAGTAAGTAGTGTGGTGTTGTGCTTCTTTGGGAGATGGACAAGGACTGAGGTGCTGTGTGAGAGAAGCTGAATGGACTGTGACAATGTTATTGCGGTGGGAGGACGTCAATATTGCTGAATCCAGGGAGGAAGCTCTATGCCCGCCACACGTGATTCTCTAAGGCAGTGCATGTGCCCTGCAATATGCCCCTCCCCTGCGATCAAAGCGCACCGTCCATGACTAGTGGTTTGAGGGGGACACTTTTCATCAATTCTGAAATACGAGCGCTTCTTACTATATCGTAATTCTACGCATAGTACGCAAGCAGGCAACGGCAGAGACGAAATAGTAATGGCCGGTGTCAGGAGACAAGAGTGTCAGCCTCGCCGTCGTGCCATACACAGCACACAACACACAAGGCATTCACGGCCGATCTCGCTGCGGTTCGGGCCTCCCCTTTCGGTGTCCCTCCGGCTGAACGATCAGCCTATTCTTCCTTTCACATGCTGCTATACAGTAGGAGGTATACTGTTGACCATCTCCCCGTAGATCTGTTCATTGACCTACTGGAGAAACACTATATTGTTTCCGTCTCGTCCACAGTATTCCAACAGAAGCTTCTCAGGCGATTGTCTATGTTGATGAGCCCCAGATTTACCACATTTGTAGCTACTTCGACAGGCTCCAACCAAGAAGCAAGTCACCATGGCAAAGACGTATAACATTGCTTGCATACCCGGCGATGGCATTGGAGTGGACATTACCGAAGCTGCGGTAGAAGTGCTCAACAAGCTCGCCACAACAGTCGGAAGTTTCTCCTTCAACTTCACCACCTTTGACTGGTCCTCCAAAGCATACCTAGAACGAGGCTGGTATATGCCAGAGGATGGCATGCAACAACTGGCAAAGCATGATGCCATCTACTTTGGAGCAGTGGGATGGCCTTCGGTACCAGATCACATCTCTCTGTGGAACCTCATCCTCCCGATCAGAAAATGGAACAATCAATATGTGAACGTGAGGCCAACCAGAATCCTCCCAGGCACCACAGCACCTCTGGCACAATTGCAGAAGAAACCTTCCGATCTGGATTGGATCATTGTGCGCGAGAATTCAGAGGGTGAGTATGCGGGTCAAGGTGGGACTACTCATGACAACTCGCCACATACCGTTGCTACTGAAGTCGCCATTTTCACACGAGTCGGCATTGAGAGGATCGTGCGGTTTGCGTTTGAGACTGCAAAGTCTCGACCCAGGAAGAAGCTCACTATGGTCACGAAGTCGAATGCACAGAGGCATGGCATGGTGTTGTGGGATAAGGTCTTTTACGAGGTGGCCAAGGATTATGAGGGTGTGGTTGAGCATGACAAGATGCTGTGAGTAATGGTATTCCCGACCTATGCACGGGAGATTCACAGTCATTGAGTCGGATCTTCATATTCTCAGAACACCGCTGACCTTCGACGTGCTCCTCTCTAGGGTAGATGCCATGACTGTAAGAATGGTCAACAAGCCCGAAAGCATGGACGTGATCGTAGCCACAAACCGTAAGAGAGTCACCTATACCTGTACCCACCTCCCGTGAGAGGGGGAAAACGGAATGTTCACGAGATACCTCTCGAGACCAAGCTGACCAACAACACCATCGACATAGTCCACGCCGACATCTTATCCGACCTCGCAGCAGCTCTCGCCGGCTCCATCGGCATCGCACCCTCCTCCAACCTCGACCCCACCAGACAATATCCCTCCATGTTCGAGCCCATCCACGGCTCCGCGCCAGATATCGCCGGCCAGGGAATTGCCAATCCCGTAGGAGCGTTCTGGTCTGCGGCGGAGATGGTGCGATGGATTGGTCAGGGTGCGTTGGACGATGTGGCGGACAAGTTGATGCGGGCGGTAGAGAATGTGACAGCGAATGCGGAGACGCGCACGAGAGATATGGGTGGTAAGGCTACAACGAAAGAGGTTACGGAGGCCGTGGTGAAGCAGATTGAGGTTGTTTTTGGAAAGGAGTAGTAGTCTTTGTTTTTTCCGTGTTCTTCTTTGCACAGGAGAGGTGGTAGTACTCCTAGAGCAGAGAATCAAGTCAGCATGTTGGAAGAGAAACTCAGGTACCTAACTTGCCTTGTGATGATGTGGTACCACCAACTCAGCTGATATCACCATCACCATCTCACCTGAGAATCTCAAAAGTCGGCATCGAGATCAATCGAGCACGATCCCATCGCAACATGGATATTGTATACCTGTACCCTAGACATCATGCTATCTTCCCCTCCTCTTCCTCTTATCGTCAAACATCAGCTGAGTATCTACCTGGCATTTGGTTTCACACTTTCACTCCAACAAACCTGCGCCTCATGATTCTCAGCATCATCCATCTCCCCTTCCTCCTCTTATCATCAGACATCAGCTGAGTATCTATCTACCTAGACAGCCCCCTCATTCGGTCTACGCTGATCTAGGCGTTTGGTTTCACAATTTCACTCCAACAAACCTGCGCCTCATAATTCTCCTCCTCATCTTCATCATCAACATCTCACGATTTCTCATCGCCTACACCTTCCATATCAGAAACATGTAGACTTTCCCACAAGACATGTGTAGACTTTCCACCACAAAACGTGTGCTGTAACTTGTACACTTTCCTAATCCGACTCTAAACCTTTTTCGGCAATTGCAATTTCAACGCATCCATTTGCATTATCCTCCTTGCCTTGAGTATTACCTACCTCAGATAGCACATTCTCAATTTCTCATCATACAACAAACGAACGAATGTATACCTAAGGTCTGTAAAAGGCAGTTACTCAGTCCCCATCATCCCCCTCCCCTCGGACCTCTCCCTTCCCCTGTCTCTCGTTTGACACAAGATAGAATTTCGTCCTTTCTCTCACCGAGTTCTCCGCAAGCCATCCGGGTAATCGGACACTTCGAACAAGCCTCAAGGAAAGGAAGGTCCAGGGACTGGTAGTCACTACATAACTACATGTACTACTACTCGAACGGGAATATTCACCTATCCAAAAAAACAATTCCTTGTCGAAAAACCACATTTTTCCATTGATCTCAGTGCTCACTTCTTGCCACTTGGTTTCTTTCTTTTCCTCGTTTGCTCTCTAGATACCTTACCTCAATACAGCTCATTCTCCGTTCTTTTTACGAAGACTAGAGATAGACGAAGGGGGCACGAGAAATAGATAGATACCCTTACCTCGGTACCAATCTATTCAATTCATCATTCGGATCCCAGAAACGAAGGGGAAAAGCGGAAAACGAACGGCGTTTCTCGTAAATGATCACATGTACGACACTTTCCCTTCCCTTCCCTTCCCCGTCTTCCTCTTCCTCCTCCCCCTCTTTGAGTTGAGTTGACGAGGACTGCCCTGTCGCAAGATACAAGAGGTAAGGTATCCTGTTTAAGCGAGAGCTTGATAATGACGATCATGTCATCATCATCATCATCATTCATGTGATGAAGCGAATGAAATGGATGAGAGTGCCGGATGGATGTACATGTACGACATCCCATGATTATTGAGTTCTCGCTTCTGAATAGCTGGCTCGGCTGCTGGCTACCTATGCTGGTCGAAAAGAAAAAAGATGAAACAAAGTGCAGGACCAGGGTTGGGCGTTTCGAATTTTTCTTTCTCTCTTTTCTGATTCTTTCCGGGTTGGGTTGCACAAAAGTCCCCAATGTAGTCATGTGATGAGTGTACTGTAATTTTACCAGGTACATGTATGGGCTGGATTGGATGGTGAGGGTAATCAAGATGAAGATGATGGGAAGATTGGATGGAGGGAGTGAGAAGAACAGTAGATGATTATCATTACAATGCGAAGGGATATGCATATCTCTCTCATCTTCGTAGACAATTTCTTTCTATGAAGGACGCTCGTGCTATCATCAAGTCATAATAATAATGATAAAAATAATAATAAAAATAATAATAATCACTCTGGCAAATCAAAGCTCGCTTGCGCTCTTTCCAAGCCATGGTAAACTCTGTATTGAAACCCCTGATCGCCCCTCTGCATCAAGTATGGCTCCTCACCACCTGTTGCTGCCACCATACGAGCTGCCTCCGTGCGGCTTATTGTGATGTTTCTGCTTCAGCTTATCTTCACCCTTCGAACCTAAGAAAGCACCAGCAAGCGCGCCGATAATGCCATGACCTGCCTTGTGGCCTAGCAAACCACCACCAATGCCGCCTGCCATGGCTCCCATGAAACCGCGCTCGCCCTCTTGTGGGTTATTCGGATCTCTTGGGTCTTGTTGATAGCCATATGGGTTGTTGGGGTCGTTCGTGGTTGGTGGATGTTGTTGCAAATAGTTCTGCTGTTGTGGAGTGTAGTCCTGTCCGTAGGAAGGTTGCGCCTGAGCGTGATTGAAGCCACCGGCGTTTGGAGGGCCTCCGTATGTGGATTGGCCCTGATTGTCGTAACCTGAACCATATTGTGGCGCTGGTGGTGCGCCATAGCCTCCAGGCTGGCCGTAGGGTGCAGAGCCGTACCCACCCTGGTTGTTGTAGCCGCTCTGGTCGTAGGAGCCCTGTGGCGGTTGCTGAGGCTGGTTGTAGCCTTGGCCACCATATTGCTGATTCTGTTGCGAGTACGGATCGCTGCCGTAACCTCCTTGTTGGCCTCCGTATTGAGGCGCGGGTGGGGCTTGTCCGTAGGACTGGTTGTTGTAGTCGTAGGGTCCCGACATGGTGCGCGAAGCTGCAGATGTCGAGTGCCGGATGAAGATACGTTGAGGTTGGATGGTGATGTGTCGATGGTTGGTGGGATGGTGAATAGGGTAAGTAGTGTCCGACGCAGTGCAGGATCTTATATTTACCCCTCCACACTGAATTCCGACGTAGGTTCAGTTGAGGCCATCACTTGACAGCTGAAGGAAGCAGGCGGAGCAGATGGCGACGTCGTCATTGTCCACGAGCTGCTGAGCTCAGCCTTACCAAGCCACGCGGCTTCAGCTCAGCCGACTCCCGCTGCTTCCACTTCTTTCTAGGAGGTACCTGCCTAATACTGTCCGTGGCTGCACCTTCTCCGAAGAACTCTGTTCATAACTTCCTCATCAATATGCGCGCGCTTTCCCTCCGGACGCACAGATTGTGCCTGCCGCTCGGAGGCGTGTCAGACGCGTCGCGTTCAGATAACAAAAGGTACTAGGAGGTAGTGGAGCCAGCATCACGCCACACCTCCCGACTACCGACTCCCGAGTGCCGACCCCACTTCCCACGCCAGCTGACAGCCGCCTTGGCCCTTGGAAAGCGCTAGAATCAATACAGGCAGACAGATGTACCTTAGGCAGCCAGGCTTCTCACCTTCACAATCATCAACCACCGGGGCTTCCAACAATGCCGCCCCGCCTCACCAACGACAACCTCCGCACAAGCAGCATGGCTGGCTGGCGGTGTTGGCGGTCGCGGCTCGCCCATCACCAGCGAGATATGCGAGGCGGGCGACCCGGATGCCTGGAATCAATCATGCGAACCCATCGACCGAGAGGCACAGGCTCCAGACGGGACTAATATGCTCTAGCCGTCCTCCTGCGCAGTGTACCACGCCAAACGCGAGCTCGCGAGGAGTCTCGTGGCCTGCAGACATGGTGGCCTGCGGACATGGTGGTCTCAGACGCCTGTGTCGCGCTGCGAACATGATCGTCTGCATCGGGACATGGCCCAGCCAGATCCCCTCGCTGTACAGTATAGTCTCAGTGTACTGTATACGCTCGAGCTGTGCGCGGTAGAAGGTATCCATGTGCCGCCTCTGACAAATACGCATTGACATGCTACCTGGTAGGTCCAGGTAGGATACCAGCATGGTGGTCAATGAGGCACTGGACTTGCTCACCGTGGCCATGCAGGTGCGAATGCTTGTGTGAAGCACAGAGATCTGCTTGGCACATTTTGGAAGCTCGCTTGGCGCTCGATGCCCCAGGAACGTCTACAAACTCTATCAGGGGAACATGAGGAGACCACGCCCAACATGAAACACATTCGACCTCTGTGACGTCCAGAGCCATCATTTGCTGTGCAAAGTGCAGAATGACGGCCTGAGATGAGAGCTGCCGAGTCGTGTCTGGTGTGGTCGGTCAGTACTGACTCGTCGTTCTTGTTTGTTGCAGGGGACTTCGTAAAAGACACCGTGCTCCCCGTACGGGACTCGCCTGAATCCCAGCAATCCTGAAAGAAGTTCAGCAGATCCGTTTCAGACAAATTGGAGATCGAACTTTACACTCTCTTGCAACCTCGAGGAACCAAAGTGTACCAGTGCCTGATCCCCGCTGCGACCTGGCGATATGCAAGAAGGAGCGCTTGGCAACGCGATACCGACCACGAACTGCTGCGTTAGACCGCAACTTCGTTGCAAGCATGTCCTTGCGTGGCGCTGATTCATACTTTGGGATCAAACGTAGGTTCACCAGAGGCGATTCTAAATACTTCCTAGACCCTGTCCTGCGTGTCTTGCAATTGGGCGCGATGACGATTGAAATCTCCCGGGCTTCTGAATAGCAAAATACAGATGGGATCGCAGCAATCCTCGATATGAGCCTACTGATCGACTACCGGCTTTCTCATATGTCCATCTCGACGGCCACGGGCGTTGTTTCTCGCTTCCTCACCTCTACGCCGACAAGCGCACCCAGCGAAACCGGATCATGAAGTATCCTACTGCTGCCATCCTATCACCATTACACTAGCGCGCGGTGTAGTGCTTGAAACTAGAGGTTGAATCTTTGGCGATCTATCACAGTACTTCGGTGAAGTTCGGTCTGTCACCAGCGACCATTACCACACCAGCGCACGGTCTGCCACAGTCATTGAAGCAATTGCGAGTTGGGATGTACTTCGGTGAACTTCGGTCTTGATCAGGAACTTCTTGGACCGAACAGCCCCGGGTGCTCGCATAAGCGGTCGCACCGATGGAGATCCGACAAAGACAAGACGACCAATTCAGGTCAAATCAACAGCAAGGCCAAGGCAATCAGAATTCGAACCAGCAGCAAGGTCAGAATAATCAAGGCCAGCAGCAGCAGCAAGGCCAGAATCAGCAACAAGGTCAACCCCAACAACAAGGCCAAAACAACAACAACAACAACAACCAGCAGCAGCAGCAAGGCCAGAACCAGCAACAAGGTCAGAACCAACAACAAGGCCAAAATAATAACAACAACCAGCAGCAGCAGCAAGGCCAAAACCAGCAACAAGGTCAGAACCAACAACAAGGCCAAAATAATAACAATCAGCAGCAGCAAGGCCAAAGCAACCAAGGCCAGAACCAGCAGCAGGGCCAAAACAATAATAACAATCAGCAGCAAGGCCAGAACAACCAAGGCCAGAACAACCAAGGCCAGAACAACCAAGGCCAGAACAACCAAGGCCAGAACAACCAAGGTCAGAACCAGCAACAAGGTCAGAACCAACAACAAGGTCAGAACCAACAACAAGGCCAAAACAATAACAACAACAACAATCAGCAAGGCCAGAACAACCAAGGCCAGCAGCAGCAAGGTCAGAACCAACAGCAAGGCCAGAACCAACAACAAGGCCAAAACAACAACAACAACAACAACAATCAGCAGCAGCAGCAGCAGCAAGGCCAAAACAATAACAATAACCAGCAGCAGCAAGGTCAAGGTGATCGGGGTCAGAATCAAAACGGGAACCAGCAGTCGAATGGGAATTCGCAATCCCAAGGACAGGATGGGGACCGCGGCAACGATAACAATTCCAACGATCGAGGTAACGGCGGTTCGCAGTCTCAAGGGCAGAATGGGAACAATGACAATGATCGTGGCAATCAAGGGCAAAATGGAGGCAACGATGGCAACCGTGGCAACAATGGTTCTCAGAGCTCTCAACAAGGCCAACAAAACGGTAACAATCAATACGGGGGCAACGGCAATTCCCAGAACGGTGAGCAGCAGTCTGTTGACTCGGGAAAGACAGCAATAATATCCGGGAGTGCCGCAGGTAAAGTTGTGCATTGCATTGAATGTTGCCAGCAACTAACTTTGTCCAGGCGCCGTCGTCATAATAGTAGTGATAGTTTTCATATGGTGGCGAAGACGTCGTGGGGCAACATACGGAGATATAGCACGCTTCAGGAGGCATACGCCCACCGTTGTACCCGAGCAACACCACGAAAGTGGCTTTGCAGCGATGCCAGTATATCGCAACAACACCTACTCTGTGCATAGATCACCAGCAGACGCGTTGAGAAATGTTTCGGAACCACCTGAAATGACAACGTTAGCACCACCTGCAGTGACTGTGCCAGAGACGTCACCACATCGCGGCTCTGTGACTGAAAGCACGTTGTGGAAATCTGCGAATCCTCCTCTACCATCTCCAGAGGAGAGAGGCTGGCCGTTGACGGACACGGCGACTGCCGTCATCGCCAACCAGCCACCTCGATACGAGCTCAGCAGAAGCAAAAGCGGCACCGGTCTGGTCTGCAAAAAGACCGCTGATGCCACCAGTAGTGGAGACAACACCCCCACCGCAAACTCTCCCGTCGAGTCTCATCGTGGTGGACGATGGTCTTGGACCAATTCGCAGGCGCCCAGCACCCCTCGCGCTGCCGCGCCCAACGCCAGAGCATCTCTCACCAGCTTGACGTCTCGTCACTTTGCGAACTTGATGAGAGGCCATGCTACTCCCAAAGAGGATACATCCAAAGGCACTGGAGCTCCCAAAACCGCACTGAAGAACCACGCGACCACACCTGTCCTTGCCCCGCCTCGGGTAGGCCGAAAGATGTCCCAGAAGTCGAAGCTTGGACACCAACCGAGAGTGGGGAACCTGTCCATGATATCAAAGCCTCTTGGCCCTGCAATCAATAGCCCTGACGAAGCCCATTCACCCCTTTCGACCAAAGAAGACACATCGAGGGAAAGCAGCAGCACGGCCGCGATATCACCCGTCATCGAGACAAGACCACAACACTACCGCTGGAAGTGATGATGATGATGATGCCAACGAGCCAGCGAGCGAGCGATAGAAGGGACGCAGGCCGTTCTTTTTGTTTTCTTCTCGGTCTACGATTCACAACGCATACCCAACAGCAACAATACTCTGTCCTGTCCTTTCCTTTTCCGTGCACATGCAGTCTTTACGATATGATACCCTATGCTTTGCGTTTCGCTCCTCTCCTCGTTTTGCCTGGCAACGTTTTGGGGATTGAACAAAAGGCGGTACTGCTACTACTGCGCGCCCGCACGCTCAACTGCTATGTAACAATCGATGAATGTATAACAAACATACCTGAGGTATATAACTATCTATACATGTACTTACCTGCTGTACCCCACTGGCTCATGATCAGATTCCATGCATGTACTCACCACTCACTCGTTGCTTCTGAGGAACCTTTTCTTTTTCTTTTCAAATAAAGCCCTTATCAAAACCAGAATATATTTCAATAGAACTACATAAGGTCAGGTAGACTGACTACCTACCTTAGGTAGGTAAGCGAAAAGAATCCCCTGCCTCCTTCCCTATGCTCTGAACAAAAGCGAACGTTGGCGTGTTGCCTGCCTGCCCTGCCTGCCTCCTACTACTACCTTAGTACCTGACTTAAGGTACCTGTACCTACTACCTGTAGTAATTCTTCATCATCATCATCGTCGTCGTCGTCGTCATCTGATTGTTCTTCTTCTTCTTCTTCTGCTGTCTCGCATTCAAATGGGTATCTCCGAAGGACATTTCAATTTCCACCACCATCACCATCACCATCACGCAAAAAAAAAAGCTTTCATCAAGTCGTCTTCCTCCTCCTAGGTACCAGGTAGAGATAGATACAGATGGAGAATGGAATAAATAGAAAATCTCTCCAGTTGAACACAAACATTTCTCCAGTGTCTGCGTGAGAAAGCAAAAGAGATGGAAAGAAGGGTCCTCGTCCCAAGTTGTCGGCGTGATAAGATATTGCCGACTTGATCAATATAGCCCCGAGAGAGAGATGGATAGAGAGATAGTTGTCGATCATGTGTTTGTGAAGAGCTGCTCACTTCCTTCCCTCAAACAGCTTTCTGGCGACGTGCTGAGCGGTTTCGACATCGTTGGTGCGGCAATGCAACACCGTCTCGAAAGCCGAATTGTCAGGCCACCAGCTGCCTTCCGAGTTGCCGCATTGGACCAAGGTGACAGGGTGTTTGAGTGGTCGTGAACCCCTGCTCTCCTTCAAGGCGTCGTTGGCACTCTCTGCAAACTCAATCTGATCGCCCAGACTGTCAGTCTTGTGGTGTTGAGGCTCGCAGATGACCACGATCACGGCATCGGCCTGGCTGAGGAAGGCGTCGTGTGTGTCTGTGAACCCCACATTCGGGTGAAAGGGCACGTGGCGAATGCGCTTGTGATATCGGCTGAGAGCACGACCGAGGAGTTCAAAAGGGTCTGTGTTGCTCGATGCGGAGTTTTTACTGGAAGAAGAAGAAGAAGTAGAAGAAGAAGGCTTGATGGCAATGACAGGCGTGAAGAGTACAATCGTTCCTGAGGTCGAGAGGGTGGCCAAGCTTTTCTCTGCTGCTGAGGAACGAGCCATTGTGCACCGTTCGGGTGACGTGACCTCGTGAATGACAGATGATTTCGAGATGGGAGATGCTGTGTTTCCGGACGAGTCGGAAGGTATGTTTTGGAGCCAATGCCGTACTGCCTGGTGCTTGTTCTTGGCATATGACGAGGAAGGTTGGGACTGCATTTCGGTGACAGCTGAGAGCATCTTGCGAGGCATATGTATGTTTCTGAGGCCCCGTGCCTGACGTTGGCACTGGGCGAGTGATAATGAGTTCCAAGTGCTGACTTCCGCACACTCATGGGCGATGCCTTAGTCCTCCAACAGCCGGCAGTATGCGGCAGGACCTGCGTGACACTGGAGACGTGTAGGGTCCTGTTTAGGTCTTTTGCAGGAGCGAGCGATGACTTGTCCGAAGTCTTGAGCCGCATGCACAGCCAGTCAGAGGGCAGAGCTGGTGCGGGCTGTGGCCGGTGAAGCTGTTCTCTGCCCTGTTATTAGCCGCACGGTGCGGTCGCCAGCGTCGGAGTGTGTGTGCTATGAAGTAACACAAGTCGTGTTGGAGCAGGGTTCGCTTAACAATAAAAATCATCAGAAAATGGATGGAGATGGTTGGTTGTACGGCAGTAAGTAGCACAATTATATTGGCTGAGAGCGGACCTAGAGCGTGACAGGCAGGGGCACACTGTGCGTAGGAGCTGGCTAGCATGTGCATGAGAGACATATTGTCGACGGGGCTGCTTCAGCTATGTACTTTCTATGGGCCGCCAACATGGACGGAGTGTCGCACACACACGAAATGGGCCAGGAGAAGCTGAGGGAGCAGCCATCCGCCGGCGATGAGGCGGCGATGGGGGAGGGGGATATTGGCGAACACCAGCGGAAGGGCGGTGGACGGTGGGCGGTGGACGGCGGTGGCTGTTGTGTGTGTGTTTTTAGCTACTTGGCCGGCACTTGGCTGAGTGGCTCCATGCCCGTAGACGAGCGGCAATCCACAGCAGCGACCAGGTATCATGTATGTATACAGCCAGCCAGCCAGCGCAGAGGAGAAGAGGGAGAGGGAGAGAGTGAGAGAGAGATAGGGGCAGAGTGAGGAGTGTTTGGCAGGGCGAGAGAGCGGGCGTGCGGGTGGCCGCTGGGGCTTAAGGTTAGGCCGCTGTGTAACAGTGATGAAGTGCGCGCGCTGCACATTGATCTCCGCCTCTCCCTACTGCACCTTGTCGTCGTCGACCATTAGGAGCATTATGTTGCATGTTGCACTGCGTCCGCTCCCCTCCCTCGAACGACAGCTTGCCTCGTTCCTATTGTGCGCCAGGTCTCGCAGAACAGCCATGTCGACGCGGGCACCGCCGCTGGCCACTGACCGCTAACCGCCGACAGCCGACCAGCGAGAGACGATGCATCCGGGCTTCCTGGCGGCCGATGCTCTCCTCCGTGAGCTGGTAGGCCGCCGGGTGGTGATGGCGACGAACATCTCCTTTAGGAATGAAGTCGACACCGGCAGCGCAGGAAGAGCACGATCGAAAAAGTGGGAGAGGTGCAGGGTCCGAGCACGCCTTCGTCGCGCGGTGATTGGCTCACAGCGGAGCGACACAGCGTGCGAGGGCATACCTAAGCTTGAGACACGACACCACGTCTGGAAGTTGTAGCACGTCGTCGTTGTTGGATACAGGAAAAAAACCTTCCATCACCCTCGGCAGCCCGCCATCTACTGCCAGCTGCCCTGCCCTGCCCTGCTCAGCCCAGCCCAGCGCCATCCAGAGTCGGCAACCACCAGCGGAGCCGCTCCACCTCTACGCAGCACCATCATGGGCAAACGCGGCTTCGCAGAAGCAATGGTGGCGTCGACAGGGTATCAGAACTACAAAGACCGTTTCGGCACGCGACAGCGAGGCAATGATTGCCTAGAGAGCCCTCCGACAGCACACTGGAGATGCAACCTGGTATGTGCCACGGCGGGATGTCAGTGTGCAATTGCCACGCCCCGGATCGTCATTCATTGCTAAAGGCCACTCCCAGACGGCCTTCAGTCAGAAGCAGAATCTGTACTTCGTCGCCTACGGCTCCGACATCTATGTCTATGTGCCACAGTACCCTACGCAGGCACTCCCGCACGCACCTGCACTGATTGTTCCATCGCAGCCCTCACGCCCTGGCCTTCGAGGGACACTCGATCCGCGCCACCCACATTACATCAACGTTATCGTTGTGGAACGACTGGGCAATGAAGAGGTCGTTGCCGCTGTGAGAGATGACGGAGATGTTTCAGTCTGGCTCGTTCGACACGTCATGCATGCAGTGGCAAGGCGAGCGGAAGTGGGCAGCAGTCTGAGTCCTGTAGCAGAAGAAGTCAAGGCCATCTTCCAAGCTAATGTAGGTCAGTCGGCCTGGGGTCTGGCAATTCATGCGGAAGCCCGATTGATCGCCGTGAGTGCCAATACGCACCGGATCTCGCTCTTCAGGTTCGGCTTGGCTCGAGAGTCAAAAACTAACAGAGAAGTCACTTCGAACGATGATGCAGCTTCATCAACATGCCAAGATCGAACCGTGGATGTCACACTCGAAGTCTTCAATGGTTCGTCCAACATCCCCCATGTCGCTTTTTGCAATACGGGCGACGACCCTCAGGGTCGGTGGTTATTGACCACGGACATTGGTGGTAATTGTCGAGCCATCGACCTGGATGTTATGCAAACGTATCAAACGTTTCGCTTCGCCCCCGTGTCGAACTACTTGGAGTCGCACGATCGTTTCAACGCAGGCTGGGGTATCTTCTTTCTCGACAGGAGGTCCTTCATACCGGAAGACAGCATGAACGCCGCTCTTGGCCTAGAAAAAGGTGAACGATTGCCAGGTGAACAAGTGCCAGGTTTATATGGCAACCCGCCATTTTGGGACATCTCGGCCACGGTGTCCCATGTTCCACGCTGTGCGGCCAAGTTCTCCGCGAGCAGGCGGTGTGGCCGGCGTAGTCGTGAGAGGCGTTCCACGTCCATCGCCAGTGCTGGTACCAGCTCACAGCTAGCACGGGAGGCTGCAAGCTCTCCAGACAATGCAGCAGTCTCAGCATCAGATAACACCATGATGGAAGCCGAGAACGACGATGTTGACCCGGAAATCCACGACGACAATTCTGACGATTACGACTATAGCGATTACGACTCTGACGATTTCCGCACCTACACTGTGGGATTCGCGTCGGACGATGAGAGCGATGACCACGTGTACGGACGATCAATGTACGACAACAACCCTCGAGTTGCGTACCCACGGCGCAGCGTATGCGAAGGGCTGCCGTGTCCCATCCTCCATGCCAGTGTGCGAAGCGTCTACCTCCTACAGCCGCCCTCAAACCAAACGCCCACCGTGGGCTTCAACAATGCGCTACAGCAGCTTGTTCCAGCAGAACACGGTTGGCTGAATGCGTTTGAACGCCTCAACATGCACTGTTATATCCCTGCGATCGGGATAGTTGTTCTAGCATCACAAAAAGGCCGGGTGATGATCCTGTCGCTGTCCAGGTTTCTCAAACGTACGACATTGCCGTCGTCGTTGTCGTCGTCGTCTCCCGTGACAATGGGAGAGGATTTCGCCAAGAAGGGTCATAGCATGTATCAAGTGAGGAGGCAGACGGTGTATGCAATGCGCATTGAGCACATCTTGCCATTCGATGAACAAGAACAGCAAATGCACAGACCATTCCAGCCTCTACATGGTATCGCCACGTCTCCTGTGCAGCAAGGTACTGCACTGTTGCCTGAGGACCAGTGCCGGTGGCGTTTGATGTTGATGTATGCTGATCATTCGATTCTCAGCTACGAGATCAGTAGAAAAGGGTCCCACGACTCGGCAGTCGATATTGGCAGTGTACTCGTCTGATTCAACCTTTGGGCTGCCTGTTGTTTGGTAATGCTTTGAACCACAACATAGTTTGCGGAAATCATGGTATTACACTGTGCATATACAGTCAATATATATATATTCTAGTCTCCTGTTCACCTAGAGCCACGCTCTATATCCGTCCGATATCCCCAAACGCCTCGCTCAAAACGGCAATTCATCCCAACCTAGTGTTCAAAACCCCTAACCCACCCCGCCTTCAAGGTCGTCTCCTTTCCACTCTTACACCCCAATCGGCTGTTGCTGCTGCTGCTGCTGCTGTAAAATCTGCTTCACAGTCTCCACCACACTCTCCCCCGCAGCAGCAGCGGCCGCTTGACTCGCGCCCCCCTCCTGCGCAACGGCCTCCACGGCCGTCCGATTAAAAGCCGTCTGATACGCCGTTTGCGCCCACTCGGACGCGACATCTGCGGCGCGCGTGGCCGTACCGTATAGTGTTCGTGAAGTCGCCATGAGAGCGGCGTCGCCGGCGAAGTAGTAGTATGTTCGTCGCGACATGGTCATGATGTGATTCGGGAGGTAGATGACGCTGGCGATGAGGAGGAGAGAGAAGGTTAGGAAGAGGATGGAATCTGTGCGGAAGAGGAAGGTTAGTTTAAGTAAGTAGAAAAAAAGGGGCTTTACAATGGATGTTTCTTTGCATAAAGTAGAGAAGTGGATTGGGATGGGATGGGTAATGGAACGTACTAAAGACGAATTTCTCGGTCGGAGTGAGCATGTAGAGGGAAAAAGTGACTTCGTATTGGTAGTTTTTCTTTTGTAACCATTTTACGAAACCCGTGGGTTGGAAGAGGAGGAAGCCGGCTGTCAGGGCGAGAAGGGAGAGGCCGGCTGTGTATTGCGTCGTGGAGTCGGAGAAGTCCATGGTTGTAGTAGTGATCAATCCAATCCAATCAATTCAGGTGAAGAAGAAGGAGGATGAGGAGAAGGAGGTTTCGAGATGCTGTGTGGTATGGTGTGTAGGTGATGGCGCGGCACTTCGCGAGGGTGTTGGTACGGCCGGCGCGTGTGGGAGTGAGAGTTGTTTGTTGTAGGTGTGTGAATGTCGCGAGATCGGTAGAACAAGTCGGTAGAGTTCTATGGTGTATTGATTGATTCAGGGTCCGAACCGGGAGATGAAGGCTCCGCTCCGATGCCTCCGCTCATATCAACTTCGGGTAAATCTCTAACTGCCAAGAAAAGACGGCCGGCCTCATATAAATAGGTACATGTTTCTTTCTTTGGTCATGGCCTTCTGCTTCAACAGCCATCGTCGTGTATTACGCCTGGCGACTCACTGGCACCCGCTTTTCTCGACCACGCAATTGAAGTCTCATCATGAAATTCGACTTTTCACTGCCACTGCCACGGCTGCGGCTGCGGCACAGATCCCACACGATAGCGAGATCTTCAACTACACATCTGGCAGATGGCTGTCCGTTGGCGCAATTCAAGGTCGAAGCGTCGAGCTAATTGTGCCTCAGATACAACGAAAAGAAGAGATTTGACGAGAGACGCCTGATATTCAACGTATCCGCTCTGCTCGAAGCTGCAGCCAAATCCGTCAATCGAACAAAAGATGACATCAAATCATTCTGCAAATTGGCAGAAGGTGGCTTCAACCGAGTGTTCGAGTTTACTATGCGAGATGGTCTCCAGGTCATCGCTCGTCTACCATACCCTTCCACACAGCCAAAGCTCCTCGCAACTGCTAGTGAGGTGGCAACGATGGATCTGGTTCGGAGACATGGTGTTCCCACGCCGATCGTGTACGGATACTCTGCAGACGCCAATAATCCCGTCGGCTCGGAGTACATCATGATGGAGAAGGTACCTGGTCGATGTCTAGGCGACATCTGGTATGAGCTTTCGGACAAGGAAAGAGTCACAGTATTAGGATCAATCGTTGATCAAGAAGCCAAGCTGTTCGGTATTTCTTTTCCAGCATATGGAAGTGTTTACAACACAGCCGATCTGCCCCAGCATATGGGTCATGCTAAGCTAGAGGCCGAGGCTGGACGATTCTGCGTCGGTCCGGACGTATCTCTCAAATACTGGTTCGAGACGCGGAGTCAGCTCGAAATCTCGAGAAGCGCAGGTGTGCAATCCAGAAGCTTCATATCGCACAGATGAGAGAGCTGATCTATCATGCTATAGCTATGACCTGTCAACAAGTCCTCGAAGGCGGAGCTCAGAAAGAACTAGCGTTGCAGACACACGGCAAGCCACGTTTGCCATTCGACGGGGAATACCGCGAAATGTTTGGTTACAACAAGGTCGATCCGGGCGAGCATGTGAGCAGTCTTGAGAACTATCTCAAAATTGCTGCGTACATTGTGCCTCACCAAGACTGGCTCTGCAAGCCAGTAATACGACACCCAGATCTCAATCAGAATAACATCTTCGTCGACGACGACTGTAAAATAACCAGCATCATCGACTAGCAGCATACTAGTGTCTTGCCTTTGTTTCTGCATGCTGGGATTCCTCAGTCACTTCAGAACTACGGCGATCCAGATTCGGAAGCGCTGAAGAAGCCCGAATACCCCTCAAACCTTGACGAGCTAGACGAAGACGACCGCAAGAGCGAAATCGAGCTCTATCGGCGGCGGCTCACGCATTTCTACTACACTGAAGCCACGTGCACGAAGCTGAGCTCCCATTACGACGCCTTGGCCCATGACAAAGGACTCGTCCGAAAGAGGTTGTACTGCCTTGCTGTCGAGCCTTGGGAGGGAAACAGTATCCCGCTGAAAGCCAATCTCGCACTGGTTGCAAAATGCTGGTCTGAGTTCATGAGGACTGCACGCGAAAGCGATTACAAGGCCGCACCATGTCCGATTTCATTCCAGGAGAAGGATGCAGAGGAGACGGTGAGAAAGAGTCTAGAACAAGAAAAGATGGACAAGACCATGAGGATGTTGCGCGACGGCATTGGGATCAGCACCAATTGCTGGGTCTCGTTCGAAAAATATGATTATGCTGTGGCTGCAGCAAACGAGGTTAAAGCAATGGCTTTAGGCTTCGCCGAGAGCGACCACGAGCGTGAGATGATCGTGCAGCACTGGCCCTTTGCCGATTTTGATGAAGATGGATAATCGCAAGCACCTCTCCGCTACGATGCGGAATGTAAATTATGTATCAACAAATCGCCAACTCTGACTTTAACTGCCATGGCCCATGGGCTGTTGGAAGTGATATGCTTAAATGATATCTACCTTATTCTCACGCCGGCGGGCTAGGCCGAATGGTGCCAGGCGAAGGTGGAGTACTAGAAGCAACATGACCTTATCACACTTCCTACTCTCCAACCTCATCAAAGTCCTTTCAACTTCAACGGCATGCTAAGCTAACTACATGTGACTAACAACGATGTTATATCAATTCAAGTGGTTAGTTAGCGCTGCTCTCCTGCTGCAATCTCTTGCTATAGCGACCGACGTTTCCACTCCTCGCATTCACCATCTTCCCTCACTACGAGAGCAGGCTCAGATTCAAGATGGCTGGCGAGAAGAGAGAATGGCAAACATTCCTGCCATCCTCCGCAAGCATAACGTCGACGCCTGGATCGTGAGCAAAGGCACGTCCTCGGCGCCCATCAGCTCCCATGACTGACCCTCCACCAGATCAGTCAACGCGAATATGGTGAAGAAACCGTCTTCTGGTCCATGAAACATGCCGAGCAGTTTTCCGCTCGAAGAAGAACGCTCTCCATCTTCTTCGCCGATGACAGCTTCGAGGGCTGCGAGTCGCATACCTGGATCGACAATACTCCTCAGGTCTGGTCCAATTTACACAATGTCCTACGCTTCTGCGATCCTCGCAGCATCGCCATCAACGTAGACTCTGACATTGCATTCTCCGGCGGCCTCCACGCCGGCGAATATGAAAAACTTCTCGCACAAGTTCCATTACCATGGAAAACCCGCTTCGTTTCCACGCCACTGGTCGCAGTCGAGTATATTGCCACCATGCCCGCATCACGGCTGTCGTGGTATCACAAGCTCATGGAAACAGCCTGGGCAATCATCGACGAAGGCTTCAGCGAACGTGTCATCACACCAGGAAAAACTTCCACGGAAGATGTAGAATGGTGGTTTCGAGAAAAACTGCAATCTCTCAATTATACCACCTGGTTTCATCCCGACGTAACCATTTTACCCGGCTGGATGACAACTTCTTCCCAACCCCCTTCCTCTCCTCCCAAAAAAACTCCATCCATCATCATCCACCACGGCGATCTCTTACACGTCGACTTCGGACTGACCGCCCTCGGCCTCAACACCGACACGCAACATCTCGCCTACGTCCTCCCTCCGCACTCGCACGGGAAAATCCCCCAAAGTTTCCTGCAAGGCCTACAGCAAGGAAACCGACTGCAAGATATTCTCGTATCCCACATGAAACCCGGTTTAACGGGCAACACGATTCTCTCGCATGCGCTGGCAGAAATGCAGGCGCAAAATATCTCGGGGGGGAAAATTTATTCGCATCCGATTGGGGATTGGGGACATAGTGCGGGGACGTTAATCGGTATGACGAATTTGCAAGAGGGAGTTCCGGTGTTGGGGGATTTGCCGTTGTTGAGGAATATGTATTATAGTGTGGAGTTGTCGGTGGAATATTTTGTTGAGGAGAGGAATCTGACTATGGTGTTTCCGTTGGAGGAGGATATTTATTGGAATGAGGAGAAGGAGGATTGGGAGTGGGTGGTGGGGAGACAGGAGACGTTTCATTTGATCAGGTCGGAGGAGGAGGAGAAGGAGAAGAAGGAAATTTCCGACGGGCGGTTTGTTGTACAACAGGTATAAAATCAGGGGACGAGAAAATGCTCTCTCTTTTTTTTTGATCATTGCAAATCATGGCTAGGTAGATCTGCTTACGAATATCTATCCATCCTCATTCATCATCACTCTCATCCAACCATCATCCTCCCCGGATCCAAACCCCGCAGCAACCCCTTTCCCCCACTCTCCACCCTCCCCTTCATCAACAATTCACTCATCACCTTCCCCGTGCCCGGCCCATTCTGAATCCCCCAACAAGTATGCCCCGCCGCAATCCACAATCCCTTCACACCCGAGATCGCACCCACCAGTGGCGAAGAACTCCCTCGCACACTCGGCAAATAACACGCCTGTCGCGCCGTCACCTCCCCATCCCTTAACTCGTCCGATATACTCGAGACGAAATCTACGATATCCTGACAGCGAGTCGGGTCGACTTCGACTTGATCGGATGTGGGAGGTAGGGGCACAGACGTGTCGCCTTCGCCGCAGGCGTAGATTTCATTATTGGGTCGAGCGTAGATTTCGGGGCTGACGAGGGTATTGCTATGAGGGCCTTTGGACGTGGAGGTAGGGAATTGGGGAGGGAGTTTGATCTGCGTGAAGAGTGCGTAGGGCGAGACGTTGGCTTGGATGGTGACGGAGTGGGCTCGGAGGGCATCGATGGGGGCTTGGGGATAGAGCTCTTTGGTCCAGGGCCCGGCGGCGAGGAGAATGTCAGTTGCCGGGAGGGTTTCTTCTCGACCCGTGCTGGTGTCTGTGTATGTGACGCTCTCGACGGCAGAGCCGTTGTTGTGGTAATTGATGCTTTTTACGGGGCAATGAGTCTTCACTTGGACACCTTTCTCCTGTGCCAAGTCTGCCATACTTTGTGTGAAGAGCTTTGGATGAACTTGTGCCGTGGTACTCGGATCTCCCATCTCCTCATATGACCTCAGTGAATCTTGTGCAAGCCAATCCAAGTCCTCTGGAATACCCATCGCGTCTCTTCTCGCACTGCTCTTCTGCTTCTTCTTCGGTGGGTTCTTCTGCAGACTCACATCGTCGACCTTGCCTCCAGCGCCATACTGTCCATTCGCGTTCGTCCCATCTGCACTACTCTCGTCCTGGGCCTTCTTCTCGGGCAGCTGTCGACCAATGCAATCAACAGACCCGCAGTGTACCGCCCTGTAGCCCCATCTCTTTGCGCCATCATGCTCGTTCGCGAGCTCCTGGTGCAGCTTGTAGCTCAGGGGAACGATACTGCTGGGGTACGCCCAGAGCGCCAGCAATCCACCTGCTTTGCCGGACGCGCCCCCTGCGACGACGCTCGCTTCCAGTACTGTGACCTTGTGCTTACTGGGGTCGTATGAGTGATGCCGAGTGAGGTAGTATGCGCTCGTACAGCCGATTATACCCCCACCGATGATGACAATATTCTTCTGCTCGCTTGAGGAGGCCATAGTGGCGAGAGGTCCTTGTATTCGTGGCGAGGTGAAGTAGGTCGCCAGATCAGGTAATACGGTGCGTGATCTGAGTGCTACGATCGCGCATAACGTCCAATTCTAGAAGAGGGTTCGCGGTAAGCAGTTAAGGTAGTAAGAAACTGTACATACCTGCATGAGGTACATGTCTGTAGGTATGTAGCAATTCGCCTCTGGCGGAAGACCAAGTCCATTTACGTCACATCTGCAGAGCTGCAGGTTCAACTTCCTAGGATGGTGACCCACACGCGGAGCAGAGATCCATAGCAATGCTTCATCATGAATTGCAACTACTATGTATGGTATAGGAGGTGCGGGCATGTTATATGCCATGACTGAGTTTGCGGACAAACGGACAAGGACTATTCTACTTTGCTGTGCACAGACACTCTTGGTATGCGCTCCATGAACGAGCTTCACACGAGGGCTTCGCGATAGTGGGTCAAGGAAAGCGTACAATTCTTCTTTTGTCATCTCGCCATAAGAGGCCATACATCAAGCATAACAAAGCCGGAGTCTAGTAGCAAATGCTGAGTCTAGTCGAGCAAGATGGCGCCCGCCCGCCTAGAGCCGAATAGCTGTACTATCACATCTCGCCTCATTCGCTCTGCCAACGCGCCATTTTGCCATGCTACATCGTAGCAACCGATATGTCCTCAGACAAAGCCAGCTACTCACTGCCATTCCCATCACTCGCTCATGACGCTGCCGGTACCGTGTGCGCAATGATTGCCAAAACTCTACGCAGTACGCGCTTAGAAGCACTTGCGGTGGACAATGGATGGGCCAGACTCGTCGTACTCTTGCTTTGAGATCCACATCTGCTGGAAGGTCGAGAGCGAGGCGAGAATGGAGCCACCAATCCACACAGAGTACTTGCGCTCCGGTGGTGCGATGATCTTGACCTTCATGCTGGATGGTGCAAGAGCGGTAATTTCCTTTTGCATGCGGTCGGAGATACCCGGGTACATGGTGGTACCACCAGACTGTAATACGTTAGTTGAAGGAGACCAAGCTTACGGAAGCAGCACTTACCATGACGATGTTGCCATAGAGATCCTTGCGGACATCGACATCACACTTCATGATGGAGTTGAAGGTAGTGACGTGGATACCGCCAGATTCGAGACCAAGAACGGATGGCTGGAAGAGAGCCTCGGGTGCACGGAAACGCTCGTTGCCGATGGTGATGACCTGTCCATCGGGCAGTTCGTAGGACTTCTCGAGAGACGAGCTTTGGCTAGCAGTCTGGATCTCCTGCTCAAAGTCGAGAGCGACGTAGCAAAGCTTCTCCTTGATATCACGAACAATTTCGCGTTCGGCGGTGGTCGAGAAGACGTATCCACGCTCAGCAAGAATCTTCATGAGGTAGTCGGTCAAATCACGACCAGCCATGTCGACACGGGAAATGGCGTGTGGAAGCGCGAAACCTTCGTAGATTGGCACGACGTGAGTGACACCGTCACCGGAGTCGAGGACGATACCGGTGGTACGACCAGAGGCGTACAGGGAGAGCACAGCCTGAATGGAGACGTAGAATGCCGGTGCGTTGAAAGTCTCGAAGACAATCTGTGTCATCTTCTCTCTGTTGCTCTTTGGGTTGATGGGGGCCTCGGTGAGAAGGACTGGGTGCTCCTCTGGTGCAACACGAAGCTCGTTGTAGAAGGTGTGGTGCCAGATCTTCTCCATGTCATCCCAGTTGGTGACCACACCGTGCTCAATTGGGTACCTCAGTGTGAGGATACCACGCTTGCTCTGTGCCTCATCACCAACGTACGAGTCCTTTTGACCCATACCAATCATGATACTATGCTCTTGTCAGAATTTAACGACAGACTCGACGAGGGTGAGTCGCATACCCGTGGTGGCGCGGTCGTCCAACAATGGAAGCTGTCCCAATGTCAGCTTTTCCGCCCCGCGCTTCTTCGTCCTGGTTCTATTATCACTTACGGAAGACTGCTCGTGGCGCATCGTCACCGGCGAAACCGGCCTTGCACATACCAGAGCTACATCACGGTCAGTCTCTATTCCTCGCGTTCGAGTGTCCCACCGGCCGCTTCGTTTCGCTCGCGTGGGTGTTGTTGATGACGTCGAGAGCGAAGCTGACTCGTGGTGTCGTCGGCGGTGGTGGGCGACGAGCAGGCGCGTGCTTACCCATTGTCAATGACGAGAGCAGCGACCTCTTCTGTGGATCACAATGGGAGTCAGCGCAATGAGCTTTGGGCAGTGGCAGTCGGTCTAGGGGTGGATTGGAGGTATGCAAGGCACGGGCAACAATAGGAATTCCTCGAGCTTACCCTCCATGGCGGCGGTGTTTGCGGTGAAATAGAGTTGCTGAAGAGTGCGTGGGTGCTCGGGTAGGCCTCACGTCGATGGTGCGTGGGTGGTGAGAGAGATGGAGTCGAGAAGTGGAAGTGGAGGTTGTGAGTTAGTCCAAAGCTGGGTGGTGGTCGGTGAGAAGAAGGGAAGGTGTTTAGCGCAAGGATATCCGCACGAGCCAGCTGTGCAGGTCGGTGGGCGGTTTGGGCGATTCGGAGAGAGCGGCGAGATCGAAAACACTTTTAACACTGCACTTGCCACAACAATTGAGGTCTAGGCGAGGACGCACGATGCAGACTCTTTTTAGATACTGCTATGTCGCTGCCTGGGGCTGCTGATGGCTGCCCACTGCTGCTGCTGCTGCTATTCATTCTGCTGCCTCCATCCGAACGCGTGGACTTATGTGCGCCAAGACCATGGTTTGCCTCCCCTTCCGGACGTGTAAGGTAGTTCTCCAGGTACAGACATTGATGACTGCCATTGACGCCGCCCGACGCCGCCTTCTACCAAGAACATCACGACCCGTCTCCCTCTTCGCCATCACGTCCGCCGTGCCGCGCGGTCCATTCTGCGTCAGCTTCGCACGATGAATTTCGCACAGCTGTCCCGCCACCTCATCTCACCACATCTGAACGCATAGCCAATCCTGAACGGTTTTAGCGAGGGTTGGAGCCGCATTAGCGGGGTCTGGCGGGGCGGCCTCGAAAGGTGGGCGTCGTTCTCGAACCTCTTCTCATTTTCGACACCCTCCTACACGAAAGGCACGACGGCAAAAGGCGATACAGATACAATGCCGTCGTGTATGGTGCCTCAGGCCTGTCCATGAGCCTCCAGAGGGACAGGCGCCTACGTGTCGAGCCTGGTGTCGGGCAGGCGCAATCGACAAATGGTCAGGGAAGGTAAGAGAAGGTAGGAGAAGCCGCTCGAATCGGCTAGTGCTGTCGAGAATTCGCTGTCAGAGGCAGTCGCAACTAGCAACGACCCTTGATGGAGTGCAGTAGTCAACATCAATAATACTCTCCATCACGACCAACAACACCTCAGCGCGCAGTCTCGACCACAGAAACGAAACTTCACCTACTCTACATACACATCTCGCTGGCTGCATCGACTTGCGCCCCGCCGTTCACAAACCACAACCATGGCCGACGGGCTTAATTCACTTTTACAATGGGGCATCGCAAATAGCGGCGATGCGCCTGCTGGGGAACGCCGGGACCCAACCAAAGGCTTCAACCCGGAATTGCTTGCGCAGCTTATGGGAGGACCATCGGACGCTGATCGCATGAAGGACGCAATGCACGCAATTGTTGCGCCCATGGACAAAGTCGACCTTGAGAACAAACTCACAGCATGGGACAACCTCGAGCAGCTCATTGAGCAGATTGACAATGCAAACAATCTGGACCCGCTCAAGCTGTGGGACCCTCTAATACAGCAACTCGACCACGAAGAGCCAGAGATGCGGAAGAATGCTGCATTGTGCATTAGCACCGCCGTGCAAAATAATGTCAAATCACAAGAACATGCGAACGGCTTGGGGATAGTGCCGAAGTTGGCCAAGCTGGCTACAGAAGATGCGGATCAGGGTGTACGGAAGAAGGCCATCAATGCCTTGAGCAGCCAAGTCAGAAATTACCAGCCTGGTATGGATGAGCTGGAGAAGGCACTGCCGGAGAATGTGTGGCAGCGCACAAAAGGAGGGCAAGATGCGGGAGATATGGAGTCGTGTGATGTGATCATTCAAAAGCTCAGAGATATGTCTGCAGCCAGGTCTTAGGAAGTTGCGACAGCGGAACGATACATAAAAGGCGATAGCGAAGTCGAAGGTCGGCTGGTGCTGGGCACGCTGACGTCGTGAAGATCCATACAGCGCACAGTGTGCGAATGAGCCATGAAGATTGCTGGCATTCCGTGTCTATCAACATTGTCAGAGGGAGATGGTGCATATCGCTCCTAGGGCACGGCCGTAGTATCATCCTCCAGCCCTGCTGCCACAAAGCAAAATGATGATGCGTGTTTCAACTTGTGAAGAAGACTACTGTACCTGATCAGAGCCGACATGACCTTACGGATGTCCATGAGCACCTCTGCTAGCAGACTTGTGTTTTATCGCAGACATTCAGCTCTGTAGTGCAAAGCTATCGTGCTTGAGTAGAGCAGGCAGGCAGGCAGGCAGGCTGCGTACTCACCCGCTGATAGCAACATGAATGGATCAAGTTTCGAAACACACTACATGGAGAATTGAAAGTACATGTACCTACCTAAGGTAGGTTAATTACAGGTAGTGTCGCCAAGTGAGAATCCACGACCACATCAGGCACATGTACCTCACCTACCTGTATGTCTTGACGCCGTGATTCTGCGATTCATTTCTCACGAGCCACGGGCCATTACAAAACTGGCAGTATTCGAAGTGCACAAGGAACACATGGAACGAGCAAGGAAATGCACTCAGAAACCGCATACAAGGTATAATACAAGTACACATTACATAGTTATCCACTTATTCACGCTTGTCACATGTACTTCTCTCGTCGTAACATCCCACAGAACATCCCAATTTGACCGCGAGACCCCCAAATCAATTTCGATTCGGGGTAGTCATCAGATCACGCGAGGAACTCTCGCCAACAAACATTTCTTGCCCAACAAGCCAAGAAAACACGAGAACACGTTCTCAGCAGTAGTAGTAGCGGCAGGAATGGTGCTGGTAGTATGAACACTACCCTGGTCGAGCTGCTTCTCACTCTCCAAACTGAAAGTAGAAGCGCAGTCACACCACATACCGTGTGTGAGGACGGTAGCTGCATCGTCTTCCTGGCTCTGGTCCCTGCCGTTGTCGCTGTCATTGTCGCCGTCGTTGTCGCCGTCGTTTTCGCCGTCGTACTCGGAGCTGTGCTTCATTTCAAAAGGAAGAGTGAGATCAGGCCCAGTCCCGAAGTCAACGAAGACTACAGCAGATGAAGACGTTTTTCCTGGTGACTTCAAGTTCTTATTCTCGACGATGACAGTGCTGCTGCTGTTCATCAGCGGCACGAGTCCTCGGAACCATTCGCCTTCCGAAAGGGTCGTGGTAGCAGTAGCAGTAGCCCCTGATGCAAGAGCTGCACGTGCTGCGGTAGCTCGTGTGAAGTTGATCAAAGCTACGAGGTAGATAGAGCGCCAGTGGGCCCCGGTGACTCGGATGTCAGGATGGCTCTGGTTTTGGGCATCTGGTGTAATAAGGTTTGTGTTGCTTGTCTTCTTGATGAAAGGGCTTGGAGCAGTTGGGACATGAGACAGGTATCTGGCTCGGAGTGAAGTTTCCAACGAGTTGAAGGAGTAAGACGAAGAGGAAGACATCTTCGTTCTGTTCTGATCGTTGGTGTGGTGGTGTGGTAGTGGTGTGGTAGTGGTGTTTGTTGTGGTGACAGTGGTGCAATAAAAGTTGTCTTGTCGTTGCTGTTGTTGCAAATACTTGACTTTTGCAGTGGAGTTGTGATGCTTCTACTTTCTGCAAAGAGCGCACTTCGATGTATTATGTATATGCTGAAGTATTCACTTTCATCGTGCCGGCGAGGTGCACCGTACAGCGACAACCAGTACCATGGCCCGAAAGGTGCAAAAGTGAGGACACCTTAAGGTTTTTCCCAATTGCATAGAGGTAGTTGGTCAGTACTCCTTACACTTTCAACTGTACCGACCTCTTCTCGAGCTACCACGTACAGGCCTCTGTCTCCCACCATTATTCGGGCGCTGCACAACAGGACTGCTGCCTGCCAGCACCGAACTGTCTAATAGCGAGCTCGACAAATTCAGACTTCCGGGACTGCGCGGTAGCGAATCTGCTGCAGAAACTTGCGCTCGCATCCTCTCCTGTAATCCCACACCTCCCATCGCGGGCGCCAGCATCGACCTCTCCCTGCTGGCTGGGATACCTGTCCTCGCCGGTCGTGTCGATATTACTTCGGATTGGGAACCATCAGATGAATCGCTCTCCTCTAGCTCCGTATCGGTATGCTGATAGCTTCCAGCCTCAGGCACAGAATCGTCCAAGTCCCGCTCCATCTCCATGCCCAAATCTTCTTCGTCTTGAGCCGCGCCCGTCAACTCAGCTTCTTCCATGACAGCAAACTGTTCTTCCAGCTCGTTGGCTTCTATTTGACTCCCTTCCACCATACTATCTTCATTGAAGGTGACGTCCACAGTAGAGGCATCGGCGTCAGGAATGTCATCATCCAAATCGCGCTCTTCTTCCAGCTCGCCAGCTTCTTCGGCAGCGGCGTGTTGTTCTGCCTCAGCCTCAGCCTCGGCCTGTTGTTGCTGAGCTTGCATATCGGCAATTCCTCGTTCCTGCCGCTCTAACTCGTCCTGCTCGAGCCGCTCAGCGATCTCCTCCTCTTGCGCCTGAAGGGTCTTTGCGACCCCAGGCGGTCTGATCCAGTGGGAGCCGAACATGCGAACAGCGTTCTTGCGCGCTTCGATGGCATTTTCGTCTGCGGCGAGGAGAGCGAGTGGACTACGCGCGTGATGTAACTTGCGCTCTTCATCGCGTCGTTGGCGCTCGCGGTGGGCCTGCTGTTGATTCTGGCCGGCTTGTGGAGGCGGTGATTCGGCGCGTGGACGATATGCTGTGCGTAGAAAGGAAGAGGGATCCTCTTGAGGAGGAATGAGCGGAAAAGCAAACATTGGTGTCTGATTGTTCTTGTTTTCGTCGATGCTATATTGTTATTGTTTGGTGCGGTGGAGTGTTATGGTCACTGGTGAGACACGAGCAGGAGAGATGGAAGAGGCCTACCAGACGGAAAGTGCTACCAGGCGCGCAACTGGAGCACCCTACAGACCACTTAGGTATCACTCATTACCTCCAGAGGTACCTGTACCCAAGGTCAGGTCAGGAATGGATGCTTCCTGCTCCTCCTGCTGGCTGCTCCTGCAATGGCTGGACCTCCAATGCTCCTGCCTCATTGATTTCCACCGCGATTACTCCGACGGGAGGCGCGCGCCTTCTTCCGTCTGCGGCTGACGCGGGCCGTTGCCGAGCCCGCTTTCATCCTCTATATATACGGTCTCCAGCTTCTCTTCATTCTCTTTTTCTTTTCCTTTCTTCTTCATACTTACCTTCTCAAGGTATCCGGCGCTCAAGAATGCTGGAGCCATTCAGAAGCGGCTGCATTGCACAGCGCGGACCGCAACTGAATCCTGTCTCCTTCGGGGGCCAGGTTGGGGGAATTTTTGCTGGCCAACCTCGTCGTCGCCGACTTCGAACACGAACACTCTTTCATCACTTCGTCAGCCTCTATGGCTGGCGGTTGGAGAAGGATACACCACCTTATCATCACGGCAACGATTTGTGCATCAGTCTGCTATCGCCTGCTCGCCTTCCACCTCGATTGCACGACGCGTTGGACGCTCTTGTCGCAGCCGACGTTCGCATCTCGCCTCGACACCAAGCTTTTGCAGTTCGCACCATCATATGGAGGTGGCATTTTCCGGTGCCGCCAACCACCTACAAACTATTGTAACTTGGAAGGTATAGAGCAAAAGGGTATAATTAAATGTGTATAATCTATTTAACTACTGCCTCTTTAAGGCAGTGTCTGTATCTATTTATACTATTAATACTATTATACTACTAATACTATTATAATAATTTTCTATTAATCTCTATATAATCTCTATATAGAGATTTCCTACCTATTAGAGATTTACTACCCTCGGCCTTAGCCCTCGGCCTAACTCGGCCTTAGCCTCCTACTATCTAGGGATTACAATACTCCCCTTTAATCTAAGCATTACCTAATATAATAATTGTCCCTTATAATAGCCCGTAATCAATTACCTTAGAATATAACTACTATCTCTAATTAGTTGGTCTAATTCCTTTAACTCTTCTTTAATAGGTCTTTAATAGGCCTCTACCCTTAGGTCCTTTATTACTTGTTAAAGCCTTACTTTAAAGACTTTACTTTAGTAGCTTTGTTAGCCTTTGTTACTTTCCTAATGCATTTACCTAATATGTTATTTACTTATATTATAATACCTTATTTATATGCCCTATAATATATTCCCTAGGGTATTTAATACCCTCCTCTCTCTTCTATTCTTTATTTTAAACTAAACTTCCTATATTAACATCTAAACAACCTCTATATTAAAGGTTCTTAGCTATATTATAGCTACTTAATCCCCTATACCTGCCCTAACTATATTTGGAGGTAGCTCTAGTAGTAGTAATAGTAGTAATAATAGAGTACTAACTAACAACCTAACTTAGTAGCCTAACACTCTATTAGCTAATACAGCTCTTGCCTTTCTAATTAAGCTGTCTAAAGACAACTAGGTTAAGATTAATAGGCCTAAGCTTAAGAAGATCTAATAGTATATCCTTACTATCTATATAGCTAGCTAAACTAGGGATCTTCCTCTTTAGTTTAGAACTAAAGAAACTATTTCTCTCTTAAATAAGGACATCTTTAATACTATTACCCTAAGAGACAACAACAAGATATACAACTTTTCTACTAAGTCAAATATTAATTACCTCCTAGCACTTCTTAGTTAGATTTCTAGGAATAGAGTTATTAATAGCAAAGATATAGCCTATAAGCGATACTAAAAGGGCAATAGTCCTTTTGTTAGGTATATGTTATCTAAGGATAAAGGATTCTTTAAGAATGCCTATATAAATTGTAGTTTCTATAACTACTTTAGTAAGTGCTTATTTAGTTCCTATACTGTTGTTTATAGACTAGTCTCTAAGAAAGGTAGTCTATTAAAGAGAGCTAAGAAAGCTACCTCTAGCTTAGGTAGTTCCTCCCTTAAGATCCCTTTTAAGGATAGTATTAATCAAAACACTCTAGAGGGAGCCTAGGTAATTGCTAATTATCTTACTATAGTAGCTACTTAGTATATTAAGAGAGTAGAGTAGGGTTAGGGGTTCAGTCTAGGATCTTAATACTCTAAGTCCTATAGCTCTAATAAGGATAGTAATAACAATAGTAAGGGTTCTAGCTATAGTAATACTAGTAAAGGTACTAGCAAGAGTACTAGTAAGGGAAAGGGTACTAGTAAGGGTACTAGTAAGGGTGCTAGTAAAGGTGCTAGTAAGAAGTAATAGTTAATAGTAAAAGTAAAAGTAAGTTGGTTAAGTAGGTCCTAAAAGTTTTTGAGATAGTTAGTTAAGAGATTTAATCAGATCCCTATCTAGTAGGTAGATTAGAGAATAGAGTTTAGAGTTTTTGCTTTAGTTAGACTATTAGCAAGTTGTTTATCTATCCTAATGTATTCTATAGTAATATATCCTTTAGCCAATTGTTCCCTATAGTAGTAGTTCCTAAGGTTAATATATCTAGACCTCTTTAAGTTAATATAATCCCTTGCAAGGGCAATAGCCGACTAGTTATCTACTCTTATATTAATGCTCTAGTAGGAGGTACCTATAAAGATACTAATTTCATTAAGAAGATTCCTAAGCTAGTTAACTTCCCTAGTTGCCTCTGTTAATACGAGATATTCTGCTTTAGTACTTAATAGGACAATCTCTTTCTAGAGTACTAATCTCTAGACAATAGGTAACTTAGCTATTTGAATTAATAGTCCTAATATTGACTTAGTAGTAGATAGGTCCCCTACAAAGTCTGTATCTAAGAATACCTAGATAGGTATAACTCTACTTTTGTTCTTCTTATATACTAGGCCTTTGTTAATAGTACTAGAGATATACTTCTAGATATACCTTGCTATAGCTAAATAGGCTAGTCCTAGGTTTGATAAGAATCTAGTAAGGTAGTTAGTAGTATAAGCAATGTCTGGTCTTGTTTAGTTAGTAAGGTACTAAAGCTCCTTAATATACCTATTAAAAAGGGCAAAATCTTCCTTAGTATATTCTCCTTCTAGTAGGTCTATTATTTAAACAAGTAGGTATTTAATACTTTTGTAATTCTCTATCTAATAACCTTTAAGCTTCTCCTTTGTATAGTAGGTCTAGTTAATAGAAATATTGCTATACTTGTCTGTTTTAACTTAGAGCCTAAGGAACAAGCTAGTCTTAACTGTCTTAATATTATATTCCTTCTTTATTCCTTTGACAAAGGAGTAAATAGCCTTTTCTGTCTTCCTAAATACCTAGAAGTTATTAACATAAATTAGGACTAAGGTATCTTTCTTGAAAAACAGGCATATATTACTTAATAATCTCTTAAAGCCTATCTTAGTAAGTATATCTCTAACTATATAGTACTAGAGAGCTACTGCTTACTTAAGTCTATAGAGTCCTTTCTTAATCTTGATCAAATACTTTTCTAGGTCCTTAATAAAGAGGTAGGCTATCTTAGGTAGTCTAATATAAAGATCAATATCTAATAGTAGATTTAGGAAAGCTATCTCTATATTAATCTGGATTCTCTTCTATTAGTAGTTAGCTTAGAGGATAAGGAGAACTCTGCTTATTACTACCTTTAGAGTAGGAGCAAAGGTTTTAAGGAAGTCTTCTCCCTTCTTTTAGGTAAAGCCTCTTACTATCTACCTAGCCTTGTATTTCTTAATTATCCTATTAGGAAGTCTCTTGATTATAAAGACCTATTTTCCTATTAATAGTATCCGGCCTTCTAGTATATCTTAGATTAGGCGGAGCTTAATATATCCTAAGTTAATAAGGGAGTTCTATTCCTTAATAATAGCTTCCTTCTATATCTTTGTATTAGGCCTACTTAGTACTTCCTTAATAGTAGTAGGATCCTTAGCTGTCTTAGTTATTTTCTTATTGTCTTTAACTAATCTTTTAATATAGGATAGGGTTATAAGTCTTGCTATAGTAACCAGTTTCTGTATTTTTCTAGTAGAGCTATTATTATTAGTCCTCTTCCTCTTAGAACTAGCTAGTACCTTAGGGATATAGGGGGTAATTATAGAGTTACCTTCCTTAGGGAGTATATTGACCTTAGGCCTCATCATGGGTACAACCCACCCTGGTGGGTATGTGGGGTGGGTTGGGTATTGGCAATACCCAATAGGTATGGGTATTTAGCTGGGTATACCCAACCCATCGGGTTGGGTACAAACCCAGTGGGTATTGCGATACCCAGTGGGTATTGCGTACCCATTAGGTATTGAATCTTCGTATATAGAAATAAAAAACCTAGAAACCGGGTGCCCTAACGAGAGCGAAGAAGCGATTTATTTGGACTAGGCATAAGAAAAGAAACTGTATATAAACCCGATATAGATACGAAAGTGAAGATTATAGTTAAATTGAATGAAGAAGCTCAGGATTATATATACGCTATGCTACAAGTTGTGATATTTTGAATCTTGAGAAATATGGTCGGCAAATATAGTCGGCAGGTAAACTTCATACAAGCTTAAAGCAATCTCCCTATAATCGTCTCGTAGCATCCCGGAGGCACTCTTGCGCAAGCTTGAAGCTTAGGCGTACTGATCGCCTTGGCTCCTCTACTACATCACCCTCGTCATCGCTAATCGCATCTAAGTCACTGATCCGTTCCATAAGATCTTTCGTCTGCTCTCGGTCTTCACTAAGGATCTCCTGTGAAGTTAGAGTACTAAGAAGCGCTTGGGAAACCTCTGTAGCCTCCTGGGCGATAAGAACTCTAGCATCGT